TTTGAGAGAAATTTTGCCTGGACAGCGGCACTACGGTCTACTCTTATATCGAATTCCCACTGTCAAGGGATCTTTTATGTGCACGCCAATGTGTACACGGGACCTCGGTTTTTCGTCCGATCCGAACGACTAGACAGCTGTCATTGTCAAGCCCCCCCGTCCTGCATTACTGACAAGGGGGAACCACGCCGGAAAATCTGGATGAACACATGTTTGATAATTATGAGCGTAAGAGTGACAAAAAATTATGTAAAGTCATATCACATGAATTAATTAATGTCTTTTTATTTATTTTTTTTTTCAGTTTGCAATACCCCTCTCGGATTACAAAATGGCGACATTAAGACTGAGCAAATCAGGGCCTCATCTGTCAGCCTTGACCAATCTCTTTCGAAGATAAGATATAACTGCTGTACTGGTAAGTTTTCCTACTGGAATGTTTTTATCATCCGTATAGAAAAAGTTCTCTGACCCAATGCAAGTATAGCTGTAAATTAGACACTATATCTATCTAGATTTTCTGTACAGAAAGAAGAAAGAACAGGCCCACCGTACTCCTTAGATATAACATAAAATAAAAAAGAATCCAGAGTTCTTGAGAAAATATAGACGCATTTTTGCTTAGTCATAGATTTCAGACGACCATGTTAACTTAGCTATAGTAATGGTATCTGGCTTCTCCAGATCTTTGCAACATTCATGTACATCTTCTTGTGACCGTTCCCACTGGGCAACAATTTTCGATCAACCCCTTTAGCTACGCCACAGTCCCATTGTTGTTGATGAATCATACAAATCGCCGCTGCAGCAACTGAAATTTATAGTAGATTTCATAAGAAGCACACGACTCCTGTTCGGAATCACAAAAATTTCGGACTCTTTATATCCTTTGCTTTGAGATAAAGCCCTAATGGCGAAATAAATACTTTCAAAGACACCCACTAAAAGCTTTACGCACACGTGGCTGGGAATAAAATGGGTCAGTGACATATTTAATCGTAATATAACATAAGCAAAATACGTCTTAGTTATACACACAGTCACGAGCTCTTATTGTGTAATAAGAAAGATGATATTACCGCTTAGCGATAATTGATAAATTTAATAGACAGTGAAGAGTTTATGTAACCCGTGAACATTTTTTAGTGCTACTTGACTTAAATTGCATCAAAAATATTTAAAACAAGCGGTTGCCATGCAATATACGCCCACGTTTTGCAAGAGATTGACATACAAGCTAAAAAAGCGATTTTCTTGCAATAAAAGATAATGCGTCAATATCAAAAGGAACTGGGTTCCGTGGGATATACATGTAATCATACATTTTAAGTTTCAGGCTAAAAACATAATTTTTCGTACTCGTACATCCATGACGTTACGCCCCAATAGTATACATGTCAATATCGAAAGGAACTGGGATATTTGAGAATAAACCTATATTTCAAGTTTCGTCAAAATCGGATAAAAATTGTGACCTGAAGAGTGTCCACAAGCAAATTGTGGATGGACGTCTGGGGAGGACAATATACGTCCACATGAAAATGGCTGTATAAAAAAACCTAAATTCACCCTAAAACACTTTCTAGAAAGAGTCGGAGCAACATACATAGATAAATACAGCATTTTGTTATGTTTCATTCTAATTCGTCTGTAAATAACAGTGCACGCACCAATAATCATTTTGCATCCTAAAAATATACACATGTTAAAACATATTAAAGTTACAATTTCATATTTTAAAGTTATATTTTTAAAATGTATTAAAATAAAGCCCTAAAATAGATGGTATCTATAAACAGTCATACCTTGTTAAAGAATAATCCTATTAATCCTTTTATTCACTATTGCCAGTTGAGAAATTGGCAAAAATATCATTTTCAACTTCAAATTCAAACGTTTGAAGGTAGCTGTTCCATGGTGGGGAACAGGAAAACAAGGGAGGTAATTGTGTTATTATTTCCGGTGTGAAAATTTGATCGTATAATTTGATCGTATAATAGTGAGTTGACAACCTATTGAGCAAAAGACATAATGTTTTGACTTTCTTAGAAAATATGAAATTGTAACTTTAATGTATTGTTGCTTCCGATGAGACGATACTGATCTTTAACTTTGCTTTTTTCGAAAAAAGTAATATTTTCCACGGCTAAAGCCCTACTACTATGTACTCAGATTAATTATTGGACATTTAATTAAAAATAAAAATCAAGCCAGGTGGCGTTAGTCTACCACTTCCGGTTTCGGAGTTATGACCCCCGAGCGAAGCCGGGTATCTGTCTGTCTGCCTGTCTGTTCGTGCTTGGCGGCTACACTAGGTCTGCCCCGAGTCTGAAATTTGGGGTATAGGGGTAGCTCGGACCGGGGAGTAACATAGGCCAGATAGCGTTAGTCTACCACTTCCGGTTTCGGAGTTATGACCCCCGAGCGAAGCCGGTCTGTTCGGGGTTGGCGGCTACACTAGGTCTGCCCCGAGTCTGAAATTTGGGGTATAGGGGTAGCTCGGACCGGGGAGTAACATAGGCTGCTTCCGGTTTCGGAGTTATGACCCCCGAGCGAAGCCGGGTATCCTGCTATTATATATATAAAAGCCGCTGTACAAAGTTTCGCACTGTGTTTACAAAAGAAAGTTAGTACTTTATAGGGTCCTCAAATGTTACATACACATTAAAGATACATTATGGAAGGATGTCGCGTGTGCATTGGTGTGGTTTCCCCTTGTCAGTGGTGCAGAACGGGGGGGGGGGGCTGGCAAGGACAGCTGTCTAGTCGTTCGGATGGGACAATGTATACATTGGAATGCACGTTAAAGACCCCTTGGCAGCTGGAATTTGATATAAGAGTAGGTCATAGTGCCGCTTCCCGGGCAATTTTCTTCACTCTAAGCCGAGAAAACCTTATTTTAAACTTACTGTAGCCTCGATTGTCATTGTTACCGGCTGTCACGTTAATTAACAACGTCTCGGTTATCCATTTTTACGGTTAAATCATCAACGGGCGTTGAACAACAGATCGGATTGAAATCCAATGAATATCGAACATATAAGATGGCATCGAGAGTAGTGTATGGTCTTTTCATGTTAATAAATGTCTAATTGATAGTTTATATAACATTTCAGGCCTAAAGACAATCTGATTAAAACACATATCCTATTTCGTTTCGATTTTTTATAGTTCGGAATTTCCCTCATAGCACACTGTATGGCGTATGCCCGTCTTCATTAACCCAGTCGGGGCAGAACAGTAGGACGTTAAACCCCATTTCATTTAATTTTCATTTCACATTATGGAAGATTAGATAAAGAGCTGGCAGTTCTCACTATAATAGTTAAAAACTAGATAATGTAAAAGAAATATGCTGAAAATTTTAGTCAAATTGCTTCACTCTAAGCCGAGCAAACCTTACTTTGAAATCACTGTAGCCTCAATTGTCATTGTTACCGCTATCACGTTAATTAACAACGTCTCGATTATCCATTTTTACGGTTAATCATCAACGGGCGTTGAACAGCAGATCGGATTGAAATCCAATAAAAATCGAACACGAAGATGGCATCGAGGGTTGATTATGGTCTTTTCATGTTAATAAATTTCTAATTGATTGTTTATATAACATTTGTATTTGTACACTTGGCACCGTGTGGTGGCATTAGGTGAAATAGCCCGCGTTACCCTAAAATAGTAAACGAGATTAGATCTTTCTATATCTATGTGTTCGGTAGACCTTATTTATAAATGTATATCGTGTAATGTTTGTAAGTTTTTTCTTGTGTGTATCATTATTTATGACTTTTACAAGATATTATCTCTCAACACCCTTTCCATAATTGTACCCACATAAAGCCGGCTTTAATCCACAAGAATTTACTTGGGAGAGCAATACCATTTATCGAGGCGTAAACTAGATGTAATCATATTTACCTGTATAAATAACAGAGCAGTATTCACAAAAAAGTCCATTTCAATTTTATTAATATTTTATCAGATATTTAGAGTTATGTAAAATTGTTTGTCAACTCCCCATCTGTAGTTTTACGTTTTGTGGTTGAGGGGGCGTTCTTATTAACCTTTTAACTATCACATATTAATGGCCGCAACTAACGATCTAACATGAATACGATCTACAGCTTTGTTTAGGCGATTCTTTTCTAATTCTGGTTCTGTTGCTTTCTAAAAAAATAAATCACGCGTATATGACCCTGCGCGCCTACCTTAATTCACAGTTAACAAACCCTTAATAAATTATCAATGGAACAATGATAAAATATAACTTTCATATAAAATGATAGAATATTATAAGAAAATGCAAATAAATCAATTGTCTCTATGTGGGGGATACAGCGCGACACCGAGGCTCGGCTGGAAAAGGTGAAACCCCCGTGGTTAAATCTAACAGATTTGTTTAAAAAAAAAAAAAATTAGCGTAAACGAGTATGAGTGTTTTATCTCACATAGTATTATTTTATTTTATTTTTTTTTTACGAAAAGACGTTCTTACGAACACTTTATAATGTATCCCTATTATATCGTTGTTATATGCCAGGATTCGAGAATATGAACCAAGATGTCCCAATACATTTACATTTATTGGAATTTCTCTTTTAAGAGAAATATGTGGCGATCTGTGCAGATGAATTAGTAGTTTTCACCCTGGCTTGAGAATAGAGTTACCTTTCTTGGCCCGATCTCTTGATTGGAAGATTTGAAAGGTCTTTATTTACAAACACGCGCAACGCACAAAATTGAATTTTAGACAGCTGACTATATTTATAAGCTATAGTCAAATTTTGAGTTGAGCATTGTCGATTTTAGTCCTTTTATACTTTTATTTAATGTAGTCATTATGTGAATCATTGGGCCATTGCCTTTGTCTACAGCATGGCTAGCTATAGATGTAGAAATATTCGCGATGTCGAGGACCTATCAACAACTTTGTAATATGATTTAACGAGTGAATAATTTATACTTTTATTTTATTTATAAGGAGAAGAATTTGCAGCTTGGTGCCCTGCTGACAATAAGATTGGAGAATGGGTGGAGATAAATTTTTATCAGCCCACGTCAGTTTCTGGAATCAAGTTACAGTCTCCACAAGCAGTTGGCACCATAGAAGGAAACTTGACAAAATTCAGTGTCCATGTTGAACTGATTTCCTCACAACCAGGAGTTCTTACTAATATCACTGAGGTTAGATGGAATTTATGATAGGCCTACACAACCTTCTGTGTTGAAAAATATACATGTAGAAACACAAAAATTGACAGTTGTTCTTTACCTAACCTGAAGAATTCAATCCTAATTAAAATTTGTTCTGATTTTAATTGTTGCTGGCAAACATTAGGCTATTTACTACTTCTCTATCAATATTCTATGTTCAAAATTCTTAAATCAAAATTTAGCCACTGTGATTGGCTAATGCATCCTTTGGCGAAGCATCTTTTATTTTCATTGGCTAGATATGAAAGGTCAGGTCAGAGTTGTTAAATATATTGTTAGACCTCACTGTAGAGTACATTACATGTAAACTACAGTGGACTCTGTCACTTCCGACATCTGAATACTATCGCATTCTGTGAAATCCGTCATCATTTTCATGTCCCGATTTATTTCCTTATTACTTCAACCTAAAAAGTTTTGAGTAGTCCGTATTCTGAATATTCCGAAATACGACATCAATCAGCGGATTCGTCACACGATTTGCGTTGAATTAACATTGGATAATCCGGCCATCAATCAGTGGGTGTTAACCGACAAGCAATCAAGCAAATTAAAACCTGAAAAGTAGTCACTTAAACCAGGCCCATGATTAAATCTAGTTTTCTAAATTTAGAGAACTGCAATTTTTAATCTCATATTTCTCTTTATCTCAATTCCCCAGATTGTTATTATTGCATTATTATTTATGATTATTATGGTTTATTACAATTATTTGGATTTGTTATGCTGCAGGTGATCAATACAACTCTAAATGCTGAAACTGAGTTTAATGTCACCTTTGACATTGTCACAGTAAGAAGAATTCGAGTTGTTGTTGAAGAGTTTAACATTAAACCATGCTTTCGTATGGAGATTCTAGGATGTGTCCCAACAGGTATTTACACTACATTTTTTTTTGTCTAAGAAACATTAGAATAGAATAGACTATAAATTGCATGTAATGTTGAAAAGCATATTTATCTAGTATTTTAGAGGAAAAAGCACAATAGAAATCATTAACATTAATCTGCATTCAACAAGAAATATAAAACAAGTCATCAATATCAATCAAACAATGAAAAGCCCTTGTTTTATACAGTAAAATTTTTAGTTTTGTGTTTAGCATACATATATAAATGGAATCTGAATTGTCTACCTCGATTAAAATTTTCATTTATATTAATAATTACCTATAAATCCTAAAATTTAAAAAATTAATGCAGACTTTACATTAATTCCACAATATTGATTTTTATCAAGTTATTTTATTGACATTTCAGATAAATTAGCCCCGGTTGGTGTTGGTAAACCAGTGTTGGATCTAGAATACAATTCTGTAGATAGTATACAATTAGTATGTAAAATAACAGATCAACCATCACTAGGTATACAATATCAGGTAACATGGTACCGAGAAGATATTGCCATTAAATCAACACTCTTACCTAGATCAGTTCAACAAGAAAAACTAGATGTTACTGTCGACAACTTTAAAAATCAGAAAACAGTAAGTAAATAAAGATTGTAATTATATTTGGTTTGGAATTAAAAAATTCCATTTTGCTAAATTTGAGTCTGAAATAATGTATACAAATTAGTCACTCACAATGACTTTAATTAATTTTCCAACTACCACTAACTGCTGTTGTAGGGGTCAGACGACTGACTATTTCTTTGTTGTGTAGCAATTTTCCGCATTCTTATTTATATATCAATATTTTTGTAGCATCAATGTTCAATCAAGGCCTGTCATTCTCTAGACTGTGATAGTGAGGTTTATAGTGTTAAAGTTGAAAGTGATTTATTTTTACCAGGAATAAAGGTACGGTATTTCTCTTATTATGTTTTTTTTTAACTTTAAGGGCATTGAGCAGTAAAATGCACATTTTAAATAGAGGTAATAAGCTACATTTCAACACCAAAAACATCGTAAAATATCAATTCAAAATATTTTAAAATCGTTGTTTATTATTTACCTTCAAACGAGATTTTGTGATTTTGGGTTAATTCTTTGAATACGTCCACAACAAGTTTTAAAATACAATAATTTGGACGAAAAAGTAAATATCTACTTCAGTGCACTACTTCGCTGCTCTAAAAATCATTTTATACATTCAAAAATCAATAAATCAAATTCAGCCATGTTCCAGTCGCGATAATCACGTCTTAGAGGGAATTCCTTCTGACATCATATGTATAGATAGACATCAGTGATCCAGTGTGAAACTGCTGCTGGACACGGCCATGATTGTTTACAGCGGATGACGTGAATGGTGTATACAACGTCATAATTTAGTCAAGAACTGATCTAGGTCGGGGAAACCTTCTCGTTTGCTATAAATAGTTTTTTTCTTTCCGTTTGTACCTCCATTATTACACACCAAACGGTCAGAGTTTTATGTGTCCTCTGGGTTATTTTACACGTGGAACAAGTATGCAAAGTTTTAATAAGATTGGTGTTGAAAAGTAGAGTAGAGTTACAGATTAAGTTCATGTTTTGTGATATTCCATTAATTATTTATTGAATTATGTCCCTTTGGTTCCATTACAGATGTTAAATCCAGGAAATGTTGAAATCTGTGAGGGAGAAGTTGGTAATATTGAAATTACGGGAAATGCACCACCAGCTTTGATATGTCTCATAAACAACCAAAAACCTGACTGCTCCATTAATCTTCACACGATCATAACAGATGATGAACCAGTGCGATGTACCAATGATCGAGTATTACCTCAGATAACTGTCCTAACTTCCTCTGACAAACAAGCCCAGTGCAATACAGTGTTTGATAATTCTAACTGGGATAAAACCATTCAAATTCCTATCAGAGGAAATGAAGATTCCCTTCTTGATGGAACAAGAACAAGTACTATTACATTATCAATTGTTCCTGAAGGATGTTTGGATTGTATGCTAAAATCTGTCCAAACTGTCAAAGTAAGTTACATGTTATTAATTTCAACGACAAGTTTCAGCACTGAATCTTGAACAAGGGGACATTACCTGAGACATTTTGAACTTTCATTACTTGTGAACAGTGTTCACACTTCAAAACTTTTCCAGCTGAAAATTTTAGCTATTGCATTGTTTGTTAGAATCTGTTTTATGAATAAGAGAAAAGGTCTTAAAATTTAATTTAAGCTGTATTTTGTAATTTCTTAGTATGCAATTAACCAACAGATAGATATTTATGTCTGGCATCATTAATGCTATGACGATAACGACTGGTACAAATACATGTAGCCCAAATGAAAGCCCTGACTTGAGCCTTATGTAGCTGCCATGTTATCTCCCCAGAAGAAACAACGTTCTATTTATGTCAGTAGGAATTTAATTCTTTATTTGATTCTATTTATTTTTTATTCTGATGAGTAATTGGTTGTTTTAATTATTCTGATGAGTAATTGGTTGTTTTATTTATTCTGATGAGTAATTAATTGTTTTATTTATTCTGTTGAGTAATTGATTGTTTTATTTTATTTATAGGTTGAAACCTGTGACAAAACTCCATCGGCATTCTGTAAATCACTCAACACTGGTCATATATCAACTTTTGATCAATCGTAAGAACATGTTTAATTAAACATATTCATAAATCTTTTGTATTCTTTTTAAATGTCTGCTATTTTGATATCATATGGTAAATTAATCTTTATCTCCAAATAATTTTATGCTGATGTTATTGTCTATGGATCAAATTATACATGTATTGAATTATGTGTAAAAACCAAAAAGGAAGATAACCAATTTTTATAATTTAGTTTTTCTCAATCATTGTGTTGCAGGTTTTATGATAATCAACATAATGGTGAATTTGTTTTATATAAACATGCAACATTACCCTACTCTGTAAGTTTTTATAATTACTGTCCTTTAGTATTCATTTGATAATAAATAAAACTTTATACAAACATATACATGTTTATTAAATAAAGATTAAAAAGAAAACATTTTGGTCCAAACATTATTAAAGTCACTTAATTCTTGCATAAATCATAACCATTCAAATGTTCATCTGTTGTTTTTTATACGCCCACATTGAAATGTTGTCGTATATTGTCGTCGCCCCCGTCCGTCCGTCCGGCTCTAAAGGCTAAAGTTAATATCCGATTGACTTTAAATTTATATACAGTGTTTAAGGCCATGATACGAAGAAGCCTATTGATTTTCAGCGATTTCCGATAATTACTGCCAGAGTTCTGGCCCTTGATCACTTCAAAAAATCTTGTGGACGCTCTAGAGGCTCAAGTTAATATCCGATTGACATTAAATTTATACACAGTGTTTAAGGTCATGAGACAAAAAAGTCTATTCATTTTCAGCGATTTTCGATAATTACTGCAAGAGTTATGGCCCTTGATCACTTCAAAAAATCTTGTGGACGCTCTAAAGGCCAAAGTTAATATCCTATTGACTTTAAATTTATACACAGTGTTTAAGGTCATAAGACGAAGAAGCCTATTGATTTTCAGCGATTTCCGATAATTACTGTCAGAGTTGACTTCAGATTGATACACAGAGTTTAAGAGCTTGAGACGAACAAGTATATTGATTTTCAATGAATTTTTCTGACTTGAACAGCTAAATCCATGATATTAAAAGTTTTGTATACTAAACGTTAGCATGGGGCAGAACTTTATAAAAAACCAAACAAATTCTAATGGTTTTCTGATAATTACTTCATGAGTTGTTACTCTTAATCAGATTTTAGTGTATTACCGAAAGAAGTAAAAATATGCGACAACACTTGTTGACTGCCCGGACGATTTAGCTGCTGTGGGCGTATGTTTCGTTGCCTGGCAACCTATCTTTTTACTTCAAGCCACCATCTTTGTCTGTCTTAACAAATAAAGTAATGATAATTCGGCTATTTTTACATGAAGTTTTTTTGTGTTATACTCAGATGCGCTTAATAAAATAATAACAATTCGTACAGTTTTGACTTTTGAGCTGTTAAGAATGTTATGGAGATTTTATCAAGAATGCTTTGATTTGAAATTGGGTTATTTTTAGGTTCACATATTTAATCGACTGTGTGATGAGAGTTCATCTGTATCATGTACTTGTGCTGTAGCCATACAATCTATAGATGATGTTATAGTTATTAATGGTTGTCAAAATAAAGATCATCTGGAAGTTTCTGTATATTTAAATGGTGACCTTCATACAGACACAATGATCTACAGTTTTAATGGTGGCAGAGAGTATGAGGTAAATAATACTTATTTAAAAATGGAAGCAAGTTTTATATTCTATGATCTTGAAATTGGACACATACTGTATTTGTTTGCAAATAAGAATGAGTGTACTATATAAATCAGGGACCCAGCATCTAGGAATTGTGACGTCATATAAAAAATCGAAGTCCATCAATTTTCCAAAGTACAGGCAGACCATGTTCCATTAGGCCGTACTGGAATTGGCGGAGCCCTGCGTTTTAATTGAAATATTTGAATTAAATGTTCGTAAAACTCTGCAATAAACATTGTCTCGAACATGACTTATATGTCATCATTCCACATGAATTAAACCACCTGTAATATTTTTGATATCATAAATTAATTACCTGATTGGTCACTACTGACTTAGGTATAATTACCATTTGAATGAGTGGGTTTAAAACATATAATATTACTTATATTTTCTAGGTTTTTTTACCAACTGGTACAAATTTATACGTAAAACAGAATAACAATAACTTTATTAATACATGGATGTATGCTGCACCTCAAGAATTTAACAACACAAGAGGTAAAAATCTCATTAGATTATAATTTTCAAGAGAATAGTTAACATTCTTTTGAATGTGAATACAAAAAAAGCCATGTAAATTATGAAAGTTATCCTTACGCTATGTCTTTAGCCTTTAGCCATCAGATTTTATTCAATCCGTTCTTTATGAAGATTTGACTTTCTCATTTTGGAAAATTTTCTCAGTAGTACCTGAATCATTTGAGCACAGATTATTTGTAGTCGACATGTGTCTTTATTTTGATTTGTAATATTTACAAGATTGTGTGGTTTGTATGATAATGATCAAGTCAATGATTTGTAATATTTACATTATTATGTGGTTTGTATGATAATGATCAAGTCAATGATTTGTAATGTTTACAGGATTGTGTGGTTTGTATGATAATGATAAAGTCAATGATTTGCTCAAACCTGATGGAACAACACAAAATAATAATGTTAAAAGACCTGATGATTTTGCTACAAGCTGGAGGTAAGAATTATTTATCATCCACAAAGCCTTCTTAAAGGCTCAATACCACTCTTGTTGTAACTGAATAATATGTCCCAATCTTTATTCTGGTCAACAAATTGTACTATTTTAGAATATTTCAATTAATTGATGATACAAATTTCATCTTAACACATCTTATTTAAAAATTTTGAAAAATTCAACATAATGGTTTGAAACGTCTAACGTAAACCTTTTCAAATGAAACTTCGATTTAAAAATATTTTCGAACCCTTTGGACAAGTAAAATAGGATGTAATGGATAATTTACACAACAGGTAGGACACTTAAACATCTAGTACTTAGATAGAGATATTATTTATTTTCTGGAGCTTTCAAGCCAGCAAGAGTGTTATTGTCCCTTTAAAAACCTATTTTCTTTAGAATACTCTAAAGTTATGAATATTAAATTTCACAGGTGTCCTTTCTTCAAGTTTTGTTTTTCTACTAAATAATTTGCATATCTTAGTGAAATTATTGAGACCTCTAGATTTAATTAGTCCTACTAGTAATTCAAATGATGATTGTTTCTTTCAGAGTTTCTAGATCTGATACTATGTTCTATGGTATATGTTCTGATCATATGTCAGCCATACAAATGGTGCCTTCAGAGAGGTGTGAATGTCGATCAGCTGACAGCACCAGATGTCAGACATCACAAGTTATCATATGTCCATCACTGAGTTCCTACTTTCCAGGTAACATACAATCCAATCTGTCAATCAAATGGTTCTTACTTCTCCAGTTACATTTAAATCCAAACTGTCAGTTTCTACTTCCTAAGTAACATTAGTTCTGATCTGCCAATCACTTAGTTCCTACTGTCCAGGTAACATTTCATCTAATCTGTCAATCAGCTACTTCCCAGGTACACTATTGGTACAAATAGGATAGGAGCTCACAATGAATTGAGCGTCTGGAACAGGGTTCTTAATCCATTTTTAAATGAACCGGCCACGGGTAGGCCTAACGAATAGTTGTCTTTTCAACAACAAACATGTTGGTTTATGCATACTCTATTCACGACAGTAATTGCATAATTCACTAATTGCATAACGTATTCGGGATATAATAGCTGAAACTCTGAATAAACAAGACCTTTGTAACTGCATACGTGTATTCATACATCGCTATAATATCGAAATTTAATCCAATTATAGTCATATTATTATTTCAGCAACTTGCATTGCATATTCCTACTTTTGCTTTCATCCAACTAAACGGAAGTTATAAATTAGTAAAAACTACAAGTACGGTACATATAAATGTTTTTTTTTAAATTATTTTATTCGTAAGCACATGTTAATATATATATATATAAAAATAACAAAGTATATAAATAACAAAGTAGCACAAATCAGTTTCCGTGTATAGTCGGAACTCTGAAATATGCTGTGCGTGAGAAAGGTCACGTGGCCAATTGTCGTGATTCAGATTAGTTTATATTATTAGTGTTACCAGTATACAATTGTCCGGATTTAATGCAGCAGGACTAGTTCGAATATCTGAGAGGATCTCTTCCTCAATTTCACTGGATATTAAAGAAATAAATTCACCAAAACAATTTAAATCACGATATACATTTTTTGTCATTTCATGTCCCTGCTATTCAATTATTATTATTGTTCATAATTTTCGATGGCAATGTTTCTTTTTGCTATGAAATACGCATTTCGGATTAACGGCCGGTTTGAAATAATTTCTATAGATTTGGGAATTAAACTCTTTGTTATGCCATCGTCTTTCTTTGCTGCGCAGGTATGATCGTGAGATTAATATGGTCTTTTATTGCCGATAATTTGGTTGACCTATATTAGACGTGGGAGGATCTCCGGCTTTTGGAATTTCCATTGACGACGTGCATGCTTGAAGTTCAAGGTCAACGCTGCCATCACTATCTTAAGTTAAATCTCGTTTACGTTTCCTGGTGTCATTCTGCGAGTTGTTCAAGTAATTGGCATGATTACCTCAATTAAGTTGTTTATTTATGAAATAAGCCGAAGGTATTCATTGTAATGATTGACTCTTTGATGGGTTTCTTAATCGACGAGTAATAATTAACTCTTTGTAATCGGCCGAAAGTAGATTGATCTATGAGATGTGTCCGGTTAATTGTTTTACCAATCGGCCTGATAATTTATTCTTTGTAAATCGGCCGAAAGTAGATTGATTCATGATAATTTAGTGGCCGGTTCATTGTTTTACCAATCGGCTAGATTAAAGATCAATCGGCTAAAGCCGACAAAAAACAGCCGATTAAGATCCCTGGTCTGGAATGTTTTGTATTGTCAGAACTGAAATCTTGGTGAGCGAAGAATTATGTTTTGGAGTCAGCACAAAGCCCCAACCTTTTCAGGTGGTTACTCAGTTTGCATTTGATAATTAAACATGGGATCAATTTTTTTTTTTTACAGAAAAGGACATAAAGTCTGAGCTTATTAAATATTCATCATTCCATCCCATGAATTGTTTAGAGGGTGTTCCTGTTATTGATGAATTTAAACAAGATGAAGATAAAACCATTGTAAATATATTTACCATTAATCCTTTTAAAGAGACCTTGACAAGTGTTGTCCTCTGTTTTATAGGGAAACCAACAATATTGTTTCTATAAGCATTTAACAATATATTATTATTTAAACCAGCAGTTTGGTGAATAAAAAGACACCAGGAGACACTATACCCCAGTCTACCAGCATCTTTAAATTTCACCCACAGTTACTGTGCTGTGGAAATCTTATCAATAAAATAAGATACATAGTGTTGAAACAAGTAGTTACAATCTATTATTTCCCTTAATAAAGTATTTTGCATTAACCAAAAAAGAAAAAAAAATGATTACACAGTGTTTCAAAATATTATTGCAAAATCCTCTCAAGGTGGATGTGGTCTTTGGTTAATAATACCTCGCTTTAAAATGGTTAATCTGATCATGACAAAGTGATAAAAATGATCTAATAAAATTATTTATGTGGAGAGATATAGATAAAATTGTACCTATGTTTGTGTTAATTTTTTACTATAGGATGACACATTTCCTGCTGATTGGAATGAAACTAGAGCTGAATCAGTTTGTAAAGACTATATAGAAAAATCTAAACTGGCTGAAGTCTGTGGTAATGTTACAACTAACTATGAAGCAGATGATTTGATATACTGTATTGATAATGTCAAGGTTTGTTAAATAACAAAACTTTAATGTTCTAATATTTTAGTGAAATAATTTTATATATCTTTGTCATATCGCAGTTTGGTTTGGCCCATTCATTTTTATTTAACAAAAATATCACCTCAGCCTTGACAATTATGGTGTGCATATGTTGTGCACATAATCGGGCAATCCTCGAATGATCAATCATGTGGAGAACTTGAGGCAAGTATAATAAGATCATACTGTATATAATATACAATAGAGTGGCATGGATTCAGTTGTAAAAAATTTGATCTTGTCGGAAAAATCGAATGAAGAAAGAATTCAATAAGGATTTGAAATAACTGCTTAAATATTCATATTTTTGGGTTTACAGTATAGTGGTGGTACAGGTAGATGGAATACTGTATTATTTGATGCCATGTATGTACGATGTTTCTCACAGTTATATTATAATCTTACTCGTTGGCCTGCCAGTACACCTCCGTTAGATATTGTCAGTAAATTATGTCCTGATACATGTAATGGCAATGGTGATTGTATCAATGGTAAGATACTTTGATATTCTGTTGAATAATTAAAGATAAAAACATATCAAATATATTTAATACTACAAAAAATTTAAACAAATTTGTGATCATTTTTGTTGAAACAAAATTTTTCCTTTAAAACTTAGCACATTGAAAACTCTATTCATTGACTTCTAAAATTCTACAGAAATGTGCTAGAGAAATAGTCCAATCGTAAAAGAGATTCAACCCCCCTCCTCTCCCTCTCTGGCTCAGTGATAATTAAAGTAATCATTTCAATAACATATCCAGACCTTTAAAATAACTAATGCTTCAACACATTGGAATTAGCTAATAATCATTTTAACCAATCTCAGTGGCTAAGATTAGTCTTTAAAGAAAACAGCGAATTGGTAAAGAAATACTTAGATCTTCATGTAATGTACTATAGGCAATCCAAAATTAAAACTGGAATGTAAAAAATATCAGACTCATTAGATAGAGCAAACTTACCATAAGTTTTATTTTTATTTTTAGGTTTTTGTATTTGTAATCCTGGATATATAGGAGAAGATTGTTCTATAAATAGCACTATAGTGCCAACTATTACTAGATTACAATATGATGGTGTATGTAATAACAGAATATATTCATGTGATTCGGTAGCAGTAGAAGGTTATCATTTTGTCAAGAGTAACAGTCTGAAATGTCAATATAAAGAAATTGAGGTTGGTATAATAAGAAAAAATAAAAATTTTAATAAAATACCATAGAATTATTAATAAAAAAAGATAAGATTATTATTAATAAAATAAGATTATTGATAAAAAAAAAGATAGATGAAAATTTCAACAAAAATTGAAACTGTTAAGAAAAATTTGGATAGTGTAATATTTTTACAGACATGTACTAGTCTCCAGCTGAGCACAAAGATGAACAAGAAAACCCAACAAACTGTTTGCTCTCAAGGGTCAGATCAATTGTTTTGCTTTAATTTATGACATGATTTATATCAAATAGGTGAGTTCTACAGGATACACCAGTGATAGAGAATGGAAGGAATCAGAAGAAGTGGTATTTGTTAATATAGGATTAATATCTTGTTCTTTACCTAAATCTGGTGATTATTTGATACAAGTTACTAATACTGGTAAAGATTGGAGTCAATCAGCTATATTCTTAACACGGGACAGAGACTGTTTTATCTGTGATTCACAAAATGGAACCTGCAAACAAAGGGTAAGTTTATACTGTTGAAGTCTCAAGACAAGTGAATTAGATGTTTATTTTGGCTGTGTTACAGTGATTATTTCAAGACTGGTCACATTTTTGCACTCTTATTTCTTGTACTCTAACTTATACTCTATGATATCATTTTTAAACACTTTTTAACCCTATGGATATCTTCCCGTGTTCAGACTACAAATTTTAAGATTTCTTGTATATACATACATGACATGTATACTAGAATAGTACAATGTTTAGGAAATGTTACATTTTGATAGGGTTGAATGCCTTATTGTTAGTCTGAATTCTTTTTGTGTGGAGTCTGTATATCTGCAGACCCTCCGAGTTTGTCTTCTGGGTTTTGGTTTTTGTTTGTAGTGCAGTTCTCTGTGAATGAATTGCGTACATGGTAATGAATATTGGACAAAAGAGGTCTATAGAACAATACCAAAAAATATATATGATTTACAATTTCTATTTATTACAGAGTAATGCATGTGTAATAGAAAACAAATGTTATTTTGAGTACACCTACAAACCAGATAATTTCTCTTTGATCTGTGATCCAACTAAAGATCTTCAACAGTGGACTTTAAAAAGCTGTAAGTACTAGTACATTGTTTTATTTATGTCCTTTAAGTTATAGTGTGGTTTAATGAAATACAAATGTATTTTGAAAATGGTGCTTTTTAATTTTTTAGAAAATTAGGTAGGTGGAGGTACATATTTCAGTGCCTCACTAACATTGTTCCTCACCTCTGGAGCAGAATAACCGAAGGCTGTTTTACCAACTGCAGATTTAGTTCAATTGTACTACTTTTGTTTTCAGCTCTTTGTGCAAGAAGTACTGGAGTATGGAATGATACTGCTGCTATGGCTATTGGTTTCCACAATCATAAAACACTGTTAGATGTATCTGATCTCGACACTTGTAAAAATTTATGTGTTAATGAAACCAAATTTGCCTGTCAATCATCGGATTACGATTCAACCACCAAGGATTGTCATCTTTCCAAATATCGACGAACAGACGTACAGAAATATTACTCCACATTTGGTGACAGTTTCACAAATTCTGAGTGGTATTGTGATGCAGGTAATATCCTTTTAAATTCTGTATTACCTTTGTCTTCTGCTTGACAAATTAATTATTATGAAATTGTATTAATGATTACGATGTACAATCCCACCTTTTATTTACAGTCTTTGGAGTATAACACCTGCAGCTCAGACAGTGACTGTGCTGTACGGACTGCACAGTGCAGTGGACGCTTATGGCTAGCGCCCGGTTCCATTCACTTGATCTCATATATACGTTTGTTGTTTGACATGTCTGTGTATATTGTGTCCCGTCCGTAGGTTTGTTTTGTGTGATGCATTGCCCCTGACCAATGAGAATCAGTATACAGAGCCCCGAGTTTAGGCATAAAGATCAGACTGATGATAGTAGTCTACTTTGAAACTGTTAAATTTTAATGTCCTTTATGTTTTGCCTGCATTGATATTTATGACCTACGAATATTGTCTTCTCAGTATTTTTGTCCATCATAGCAAACAAACTTTATCCATTTTTCTTGGAATGCAGTATGTTTAGAATTTAGTGGAAAACTACCTAAAAATGTTTTGCCTGCATTGATATTTATGACCTACGAATATTGTCTTCTCAGTATTTTTGTCCATCATAGCAAACAAACTTTATCCATTTTTCTTGGAATGCAGTATGTTTAGAATTTAGTGGAAAACTACCTAAAAATAAAGAGTTACTTTTTTTCTGGTAATTAAACTTTGTTTTTCTATTGCAGATCATTGCCAAGGTTCTAAGATTGAATGGAAAATGGAATCCAATATGGCTGTTAATAATTCAAAGTATACCATTATATCTGATATATGGTCATCTGATGCTTGTAGAACACGATGTCTAACGGAGATAACTTGTAATTATATATTACATAATACTGAGAGAGGTCTGTGTTTATGGTCAACAGATATAGTTACAGAGGAAACTGGTCTGGTGTCGGCTCCAGGATGGACCTATCACAGGATAGAATGTGCACAAGGTAAGGTTATTTGTATTTCCATGGATTGAGTGTCAAAATGAATTGATAATTTTTTTTTTAAATTAGCAAATTGAATTAAGCTACTTTGAAGTTTCCAATCTGTGTGCAACCGAAATCCCACTCTATGCCGACCTGAATTCCAACCATCCAATCCGACTGTTAGAGCTGCATTCACAAATAATCGATGCTCGAAAAATGTCGCACAAAGTAGAGTGACTGCAGACAATTCAGTACAAATTCGTGGTATTCAATTAAAATAGAAAGTAAAGTTTGTGTTTTATCAGATTTCGGGGACTTTATTTTGCCAACAAGATAAAATAATAATTTTTGTTTTCATTTACGCGTCAGCTCGAAAAGTCAGATTGCCGAAAGTTATATGATACAAACATTTATTTTTTGCCCATACATATAAAATCATAAATGCATTTAAATGATTATTTTTGTAGGTTCTCCTAGTGATCGTAATGGACCCGAAGTACCAATGGCTACAGTAATACCCACATTTGTCGGTGCAGACGGTAATGATACATTTGAGTGTAAATTTGATGAGATAACTGATGAAGAAAAGAAGTTGCGATTTGATATTCTATGGAAGGTTGATGGTGTATGGATCTATGAAGATTTACCAGATGATAATGTTACAGAATCCTTTCTACCTCATTCTTACGCTCAACAAGTGACAGCTGGGACACAAGTAGGTCCTTTTCATATTTTTTTAGCTCTCTTTTGGCATAAAGTGGGCACACAATCTCATTGATAGGGAGGACAAATTGATAGTTATCTATTTAAATTAACTGTTACTGGTTACTTTGTTTTGTTAGATTTTACAGTATTGTAGAATGATTTTACAGTATTGTAGAATGTCAGTTTATAGATTGAGCCACTTTTAAGATATCGCCATTGATTATTCAAATTATTATTTTAGGTTACATTTACACTAGAAGTAGTGACAAAAACTAGGCTAAATGCTGCATTGTATTTATTTAATCGAAATATAGGTAAAATCACCCTTTTATCATTATGAAATAGCTTAGAATTATAGCTAAAACATTTGCATGTCTTTGACCCTATGTAAGTATTGTATGTATTTTATTTAGATAACATGTGCAGTAAGTGTTTGCTATGATGAAGCATGTGAAGATTCCAGGGGTAAACTGTCTGTTTCACAAACATATACAGTTGAATTAACAGTAAGTAAATTATTTTATACTTTTGTTTTACGGAACTCTTATTAAAATCATTTCTAATAATTAATATATTGAAGATTTACCATGAAGAAATAATTTTTTTTTTTTTTTTTACAATACAGGTATCTAAAAATGGCGATCTGACCTTAATTGAAGGTGAACCAGGGGAAATGATTCAGATCCATGCCACAGCTCCACCATACGTATTATGCCGTAACAAATCTGTCACAGACCAAGCTATGTGTGAAATAGCAATCATGGTTGAAGCTGTTGATGATGACAAACTCACCTGTCCAAATGGCGATGACTTGCCTCAGACATCTATAAGAATTACTGAAGATGGAGAAAAAGAATTGTCCATCTGTCATTTAGTTATAACCAACGAGAATTGGAAGAGAAAATATGAACTGAATGTAAAAGCCACAACGGATAATAAATATGACGGAGATAAAACCGGTAGTCTGACAGTATTGGCAGAATATAGAGTAAATGGTGCAACACAAGTAACTGATACCATCCTCAGCAGCAAGGTAAACCATCTACATATAATATTTATTACCTGTAAAGGTGTCAATTAATAATATGTCCTATTTTCAAAATTACAATAATGCACATTATAGGATAGATCACTTATTTTGAAGGAATAGTCTCAGATATATTTTAATGAATAAAACCATGATCTGCGTAAAAGATAATGGTTAGTTATGAATTTTTTCATTATACATAGGAAAGAATAAATAGGAAATAATAAATAAAAATGCTACTGTTATGACTACTGTTTTTATGTCTGTTTTTGTCAACTTTTTTTTCGATTCTGTATCTAATTATAGAGTATATTATTTTTGATGTATGATATTATATTACAGTTATCTATTATGGATAATGATAGAAGTGCTCTATGTATGTCAGTTAATGATCCTCATATATCAACATTCGATGGCATGTAAGTACATCACATACAATATTATAAACTTTTTGTTTGCAGACAGTGGTATAATTAGAAGGTTTGGTAGCCCACCGTATTCTGGGTGACATTATTTTTAAAACATATGCCAAAAAACTGGTTTGATTAAACAGCATTGACGTCATATAATCATGGGTTTTTGTCTCCATACAAACCACAGTGAAATTATCTGTTTGATCTCCATGATCGTTATTTTAGATATTAAGCGCTTGTGACATCATCGGAGGTCAATATTGCAATATTAACCTCCTTGCATATTTCACAATTATATACAAGAAAATCAATAACACACAAAGAATCTATTTATTAGATAACAAATAAGTTTATTGTGGGATTTGGGGTGTTGATTGTTGTACTTTGGTCTGACAGTTTAATGGGTTTTGGTTGGAAACTGGTTTTATTCTCATCAGGCGATTCTTCATTATTTAGCAAATAACTGATTTTCAGCCTCTGTTTGTTGACTGCATGTTGAAGAATAGGGTCAATGTGACGCGTGTTGGTAGTAAACTGCACTCACATGTATATTAACCTGACTAATCCATTTTGAAGAAAAAGGTGTTTTTGCTGTTAATCTCACTTTGTTTGTATGCCTAATAGTAATATAGACCTCTCACCCCTCTGTTGCTATTACAATTCATTGCCAAGGAAAATAGTTTGATTTTACTGGTTTGATTCCGCATGTCACATCAATGAATAATCATTTGTTAAAATAAGGACTGTGTGATCATGAGATAACTAGTTTTTACAAATGAATGATTAGTTATGTTAGAAAAAAATGATAATCGTTTTTTACTTAACTATATGTAATATTTATTTCAGATATTATAATAACTATTATCAGGGTGAATTTGTATTATACAAACACAAAACATTACCTTACTCGGTAAGTATTTTCATTCAATGATTTGTTACCTTTTTTAAATCACTGGGTAAACAAGAATAATCTGCAGAGTTTTTAAAGTTAACTTTTATATATTTTAAGTTCTCAAATAACCCATTAAGTCAACAAAACAGAAGACATCGTTCCTTTCAGACTACATCACAAAAACAGAAATGTGTAAAATACAATATTTGCACTATGACTCAATGATGCCTATGTCTGGCCCCCGGATCCATTCACTTGAATTGATATTTGTTGTTTATTTCATGTAATGTCTGTGTAGTTTGTCTTGTCAGCAGGTTTGTCTTTTCGGTTTTGTTTTGTGTGTAATGCAGTTCTCCTGCCCTGACTATTGGTAACATGATTGGCAACAGTCCTGGCATCTCAGACATTTTCACATCCTCCAGGTGTTTGATGTAAATAGGCATATTTTACAGAACTAAAATGCTAATTGAAAAAGATAAATATTTCAAGTACCTATACTGTACAGGAATATAAGAATTACCTATATATACATGGGAAATGCACAATTCATTTTTCAATTGATAAGATATTTTTCATATATAATTATTTATATTTGTAGGTAAATGTATTTTATCGTAGTTGCGATGGTCGTGTATCATGTAATTGTGCTGTAGCTGTAAGAGTTGATGATGATGTAGTAGTTATAGATAAATGTGGACCGAAGATAGAAAATACAATAGGGTTTTATCCTATCACCGTCACACTATATCGTAATGGACTTCTTACACCAGGATTTGAAATATACAGTGAGTTTGGTGGCAGAGAATATAGGGTAAGAATTCTATATTTAATGTAACATTTGATTTGGGGGGAACTGAAAAAACTACATTTGTTGCCTGTTCAAGCCAGGATCGATATTGTCTCTTGCCTATCAGTGTCTGGATGCAAGTGCTTCGAAGTACCTTGCAATCTCTTGAAATTTTATGTCCCATCTAGGCAATTACAATCAATAAATCAGATAAAAACTTTGTGTTCCACAGTGGAAGTTAAAGTCATTTGGTGGTCGCTCTTTCCGTGTCGCGGCAACTGTTTGAAGTATATTACTAGACACTAGGAAATTATGCACCATTAGTTTTACAATGGACATATTCTTATTATTTATTTTAATTTAATTTAGTTTGTTATACTCAATTTCTATAAATCTGTGCCCTATGCTTATTTTTGGGAACGTGAGATGCCATTGATCTCATTGATGAGCTAAATATTAAACAAGACATGCATGAATTTGCCTTTGAAGGTGGCTGTGGATGAATAAAGAGCTTACTATAGATTTTTTTATATTGTTTTTAGCTTGTATTACCATCTGGTACCACGGTGTATGTAGGGAGAAGTGTTATCCGTGGTTACAACTATATTAATGTTTGGTTGAAAGCTTCAGCAGCAGACTTCAAACAAACAGAAGGTAAGCTAAGCTGATTTTAGTTTTCAAGTAGTTATGGGGCCATACAAACAGTACACTTGCTGACTCAAAAGTACAAATGGCTTAAATTACTATTTCATTACCTCATAAGGTTACTTAATTTCTAAACTATTCCATGTCAAGCATTACATTTTAACTGCATTTTGTAGAACACTGAAAGTGTTTCACATAATATAAAAATTGTAAATTTTCAATTCTAAGAAGCATATATAAGTCACAAAAGACAAAGGTCACCTTGTTTTGCAAGCTGGTTAATTTAACACTTGAATGACAATCCACAAAGTTAATATTTGTTTGTGTATCGCAGATCGTTATAATGACTATATTATGATTTACTAAAACATGTAGCTACATTGAAATATTCAATGACAAATTTTGAAATATGTTCTCTTATACAGGTCTATGTGGTACATTTGATGATAATACTAGTAATGATTTTATGATGTCCGATGGTACTCTCTTTAATGCATCAAATAATCAACCAAATGCTTTCTCAAAAAGTTGGAGGTAAGATTATTGAATATAAGTAATATGAAAATGTTAATATTTTATAACTTTTTTTGATACTTCAAGATTTTATCTAATGTTGGTTTCAGGAATCTTTGTTTTCTTGCATGGAATCAAAGATTAATTTATTACACAATGATTTAGTGTAATAATTATTACACCCACACTTATGTTATGTTTAAACTAATTCTTTTTATTGCGAAAGCTTTATTTCAATTTTCATACGCCCACATTGAAATATGGTCGTATATTGTCGTCGGTCCGGCGTCCACAAGCAATTGTGGATGCTCTAGAGGCTAAAGTTAATATCTGATTGACTTTAAATTTATACACAGTGTTTAAGGTCTTGAGACGAAGAAGCCTATTGATTTTCAGCGATAATTACTGCCAGAGTTATGGCCCTTGATCACTTTGAAAAATCTTGTGGATGCTCTAGAGGGCAAAGTTAATATCCAATTGACTGTAAATTTATACACAGTGTTTGGGGTCATGAAGCGAAGAAGCCTATTGATTTTCAACGATTTCCGATAATTACTGCCAGAGTTATGGCCCGTGATCACTACAAAAAATCTTTTGGACCTTCTAAAGGCCAAAGTTAATATCCGATGGACTTTAGATTTATACACAGTGTTTAAGGTCATGAGACGAAAAAGCCTATTGATTTTCAGCGATTTCCGATAATTACTGCCAAAGTTATGGCCGTTGATCACTTTGCAAAATCTTGTGACGCTCTAAAGGCTAAAGTTATCATCCGATTGACTTCCGATTGATACACAGAGTTGAAGATCTTGAGACAAACAAGTATATTGATTTTCAATGAATTTTTATGACTTGAACAGTTAAATCCATGATATTAAAAGCTTTGCATACAAAACGTTAGCATGAGGCAGAACTTTATAAAAAACAAACAAATTCTAATAGTTTTCTGATAATTACTTCGTGAGTTGTTGCTCTTAATCAGATTTTAGTGTATTATAAATGTTTCATTACCGAAAAAAGTAAAAATATGTGACAACCCTTGTTGACTGCCAGGACGATTTATTTGCTGTAGGTGTATGTTTCGTTGCCTGGCAACCTATCTTTTCTTTTAGTGTTGTTTTGATAGCTTTGATTTCCAGTGTTTTGTACAGAAAGAATTTTGTATTTTTGATAACCTGGTAAACAATATCAAGTCTATCAACCCTATGTGATATAGTAAAATGGACAGTTTATCCAATATTTCTGGTCCCATTTTGATTTCTGTTGTCATGTATTCTTTCCTGTAAATTTATTTGGAATATATTGTGCTAGATTCTTGGTTTAGATATTCTAAAGAGAAAGTGCTTGATTTCAGAGTTGATTTAAAAGATAGTTTATATACTGGAGTTTGTCCTACAGTAGATTCACCACCAACACCAACAGTTAAAGACACATATTGTTATTGTCAAAAAGCTACCAATGATTCATGTCAACCAGGCAATGATATAAAAATATGTCCCTTTGAAAAAATTGGTAAGAGATTGACTTCACAATATATTTTTTTATTATTTTCATTGTTGATTTTTTTAATTTTTGTATCGGTACAAATTTTGTTGTTTAACTTTATTGATGTCCATTTTAACTGAAGATTGACTCTCATTAATAAAAAAAAGAGATACACAAGAAATTTTATCACTCTCTTTTATTTGAAAATATTTGTGTAAAATACATTATCTGACATAAATCATTTTTCAGAAGAAAAAAATGATTACATTTTGATGCTCTTTCTAGTTTTGAAAACTGCTAATTTGAAAATTCCTGAGACGGGGTCAACAAACATAAAACAAAATATCTATAATAACTTACAATGTAGCTTTAATCATTTTGAATGTGGTTTAGGTGTAAATATTAAATCCCGTATGTTAAGAGATTCTCTGTTTCCAACCAAGTGTATAAAAGATAACCTGGGCCAACCGTATCCTGATTTTGAATACGATGAGAACGCTGAACCTGAGGTATGTGTTTTTCTTTTCTTATTATGGGGGCTGTATGGCCGAATGGTTAGAATGGTTAGCATGTGCACACTGTATCGTAAGGTCTGTCGTTGAGTAAACTGGCATGATTTCAATTCCCAGGTTGTACGTGACAAAAAGTAGGGTCGCCTGTCCAACCTTTTTGGTTTTATCCGGGTCCTCCGGTTTCCTAGGTGCAAGTGAATTATTGAAATAAAATTAAACCATGTGCTAGTCCCAAAATGACCTAGTTTGTGTTGAGTGGACATTACACACTCTCTCTCTCTCTCTCTCTCTCTCTCTCTCTCTTATTATGATTTATTTTTTTTTTTTTTTTACCAGTTGAGGGTTTTTTTTTCCTACTCATTATAGTGTTGAACTATTTGACCCATATTCCAAATAATGGCTGCAGTAGTCAACCAATTACAGCAGCTTGACTTTTAACTGGAATATTCCGAAATCCCAGCTTAGGTTGAGAAAAATCTCAAATTTTTTCATGCCTGATTCTCCCTTATCACTGAAAGAAAAAATATTGCCTTATCATTTGGATGGGAAGAAAAACAAAATGAAATGGGTTTAATGTCCTATCGTTCTGCTCCTACTGGGTTAATGAAGAAAGGCATACTCCTTGCAGTGTGCTATGAGGGAAATTTTGCCCAAACAGTCCACCTGTCAAGGGTTCTTTTACGTGCATGCCAATGTGTACACAGGACCTTGGATTTTTGTCCCATCCAAATGACTATACATTGTCCCTATACAAATTCCCCTCTCTAGCATTGACATGCGAACAGATGCAATAATGACGGTATGTTAGTCTCAGAAAAACTGAAGTATTGTGTTGTGACGATGTTAAACTCCATTTGTTTTCTTCTCATTTTCCAAGTAGAATGAGTATTTAACATTTCATCACTCCAAATAGAATCAGTATTTAACATAATCTTTAAGTGGCATTTATCGATTTGAAAACACGTTAACAAAGCACAATTTTTATGAAAAACAATCACTGGTTTTATTCTAAAAGCACATTGTTTTGACTAGTATGCTCTTATTGTTATCAAGTTATCAGTGTTTAACATTTTATCATCTATGTAATAAACTCAATTTATATTGATATTAGTTTATAGTTCTTATGGTATTTTTTTTCCAGTTAATATCATTTCCAACTGCAAGTGGTTTATCTGAGAAAGATGTACGGGGGATGTGTACATATACATTGAGTTTTACAGACTCTATAAAACCGTGTGTATCTGTACCAGATGTTGATAGTAAATTTGCACACGAATCTTGTGTCGAAGATTTAAAGGTAAATTGTAGTTCTTTTATTTAAGAACCTTGTGATATATTTAGCCAGTGATTATTTTGACTAGACTAATCTTATATACTGACATCCAAAAGAAGCTACCAGGAGATTGACTAGTATTTAAATCCATGTGTAGTTCGATACTGGAGCTAAAACGATGTTTAAATATGTCACCTAAATACAACAAGATCCTGTCTGAATTTCTATATATTTTCTATGTACAGCTTTATTTATTCAATAGTCTTGAATCTTGATATAGTTTCTTTTATGATGTCAGTGTAGACAGTTATCTTCTGATAACAACACGATTTAAGTCCTTCAAAAGTAATGGAACATATGAATGATTGTTTAATCAAATTGTTATGTCTGTTTTTTTGTCATATTTAGCCAGAAAAAGACAAGTTATATAATTTCAAACTGCATCAATATTAAAGAGTGTATTGACCCACAGCAATACCAATTCACAATTCCTATTAATTATAATATATTGTTATGCTTTTATCTTGATATTCTGATATTTTAACAAAAGAACAATTAATTATAGAAAGACCTCAATTGTAAAAGGGTTTAGTAAGAAAAGCTTATGACTAACTGTAATGTTAATACATCCAGATTGTCCACTGTACAAGATATTTGAATACTTTTATAATAGATAACCAGTGATATTGTGTGGCAAAAAGTAGCTAAAGAGAATGTAAAAGTACAGTGTGAAATACAGTTAAACTGGAATATAAGTCTGTGGGTAGATAATGGTAATAATACTATAGCACCACCTGAAAATATATTAGATAATTTATGTCTTGCTGAATGTGGTGGCGCCGGTGATTGTGTCAAAGGTAAATATCATTTTATGACAATTATGCGATTAGGATTTTCTCAATTTGAAGGCCTAGGTGATATCGCAGACAAGTTGTCTTAGTTTCATTTCTATAATCTTAGTGCATGCGCAGGGGTCTTTCCTGTGGGAGGAAACCGGAGTACCCAGAGTAAACCTACGAGGTTGAGAAGGCGTCCTATCTCCAAGCCACACCAGGGATCGAAACCACAACTGCAAGCCGGAGGAGATCGGCCAGCTAGTGATCAAAGCATGAAACTCTAGACCAATAAGCCATCACAACCCCCCTTTCGTCTTTGAATTTAATTACATGTATATATGACTGCTGAAGCAAGAGTGAGGCATACAAAATGAAAATGTTGTGATCTTGTAGTTGTTTGTAAAATATAATGACAGTTGCTGTAACATGCTGATTTAACTTTAAAGGCTCAACACCACACTTGTTGTAACTGAATAATATGTCCCAATCTTTATTCTGGTCAACAAATTGTACTATTTTACAATATTCCAATTAATTGATGATACAAATTTGATCTTAACACACCTAATTTAAAAAATTAGAAAAATTCAACTAACTGATTTGAAAAGCCTGACGTAAAGCTTTTCAAATGTGACTTGGATTTAAAAATATTTTTGAACCCTCTGGACAAGTAAAATAGGATTTAATGGATAATTTACACAACAGGTAGGACACTAGCACATCTAGTACTTAGAATAAGGCTATTTTTTATTTTCTGGAGCTGTCAAGCCAGCAAGAGTGTTATTGTCCCCTTTAAACATTCTCAGTCATGCTTATTATCTACATCATGACATCTGTCTACAATATCCATTTTCATTAGACATTTGTAGGTTAAATTATGGCTTAAGCTTTCAATAATCTCCCTTTAATGTGTCAAGGGAGATAATTTCATGAAAGATTTTTTTTTTAGGATTTGATGTTTTAACCTTGGTTATAAATTAAGATAAAGGATTTGTAATAAAGCAAGTCTGTTTCTGTTACTAGGTAAATGTATGTGTCAGAAAGGATATACAGGGCCAGACTGTTTTTTGAATGAAGATGAGGCACCAAGTCTGTTTTTCCTGGGAAATGGTGGAATATGTGATTTACAGAATAATCCATGTGATGAAGTTTATGTTTTTAATAACAATACTGTGGAATCAGATGTGCTTTTCTGTCATTTCTACAAAGTTGAGGTTAGTATTAAAATGTTGAAGAATTCAGTATAAATTATTTCTTTTTATTTAATGGTTGATTTATTGATGATGGAGGATCACATGGCTAAGTGGGTAAGACGCTAGCTCGCTAGCCTGGAGGTTGGGTGTACGATCCCTGCATTGGCCGAGAAAGTTCATCCAGATTTTCCGGCGTGGTTCTCCCTTGTCAGTGATGCAGGATGGAGGGGCTGACAAGGAAAGCTGTCTAGTCGTTCGGATGGGACGAAAAACCGAGGTCCCGTGTACACATTGGCGTGCACGTAAAAGATCCCTTGGCAGTTGGAATTCGATATAAGAGTAGGCCGTAGTGCTGCTGTCCGGGCAAAATTTCCCTCATAGCACACTGTATGGCGTATGCCCGTCTTCATTAGCCCAGGTTAGGAGCAGAACAGTAAGACGTTAAACTCCATTTCATTTCATTCATTGATTTATTGATGTGATTACATTTGCAAATTTGTGTTTTTCTTGTTGTTGTTATTTAGTTGTATTTTATGTCCACTTCCACCGAGGTGATATCGCAGACAAGTGTTTTTCTTATAATTCTTTTTGTTTTATCTGTTGTCAAGATGATTTTGTCACTAATCAATGTTTTTTTTCTTTGGAAATTGCCTCAAATGTTAATGGCACAACAATTATTTCAGACTTAAGGCAGAAATAGACTTTCATAGCATACATATTATCAATTTAGGAAGTTATGGCTATTTAAAGCTTGCTCTAGGATCGTTCATTTCTGTCCAGGAACAACAAATGTGTTTATATTACTATCTAAAGAACGCGTTTTAAGTCCTTATTTTGCGAAATGTTTATAGTTTGATTATTTTGAATATTTTACAAAAATGATGGATAATCTACAATGTATTATCTTATTTTAAACTACAGACAAATGCAACAGGTTATAGTATAGTTGGTGGAGAAGAGTTACGACAAGCTGAATACATATCTGTCAATCAACTCATCTGTCCATTACCAGAGAAAAGTAGTTACAGTATACGTATTAGTAATAATAAAACTATACTCAGTGCACCAGCTTTATTACTAGTCTACGATTCTCTATGTTATAACTGTAATATCACAGAGGGCTCATGTCAACTAAAGGTAATTTATATGGTTTTATCAATATCGGGGTGCAGGTTGGAAGAAGGGTCTAATGCTTGCACTTTAGATCAAATGTATGTCATTGAGTCAAGTTTAATGGTTTTAATCCCTCACTTGTACATGACAAGGAGTAGAGTTTCCTGTCAAGCCTTGTGTGTATTCTAAGGTTCCTCCGGTTTCCTCCAACAGATAAAGACCCCTATGCTCAAGTGTATTATGAAATAAAATTGAATCGTAAGTTAGTCCCAAAATGTCCAAGTTTGTGCCAATTTTATGTTAATCTCCAGTTCCCCTATCTCTCTTTATTAAAATGTTGGGTGGTCGAGTGATCTAACAAATTTGTTGTATATAAAGCCTTTTATCTATGCAACAAATGAGTTCTATCCCAGGTTTGTACCTGACAAGGGATGGTGTTGTCTACCTAATCTCATGCTTTTCTCTGTATACTTCAATCCATTTCCTCATATTTCTAAAGACCAGCACAGTCTTGAAATGAGAATATTTCTTTCTTTTTGTCTTTTTCAAAATGTATGAAATTGAAAAAAGAACATGCAACGCTATTGCAAGATTATTTTTTTTTCTTTAGTATTTGTTATTTTGTTTGGGTTTTTTTCCATTTTTTTGTAGTAAATTCTGGCAATATTATTTTTATGAAGGTGTCTGGTTCAAGTTAACATCTGCTTTTTCTTCTATATATTTTCAGAATACAGCATGCCTCATCGAGAAACGTTGCTATGAAGCTGGTGAATTTAATCCTGTCAATTCTAGAGAGTTCTGTGATCCTGTTATTAATTCAAGTATTTGGCAAATGGCTAATGGTAGGTTGAATATATTCTTCATTACATTTACTTTGACACAAAGTATACTTTAGGGGCACATCTTTTATACCAGTCATTTTAAAACCTAATATCCATTTGATGTAAGAATTTTTATTTCTGTATTTCTAAACTACATGTACTTTTTTTCTATATTTTACACAGATTCATGTGAAACCCTTGATCTCATGTGGTTAAGCCAAATGAACCATTACCTCCAGGATTCTGTACAAAGTGTTCAAACAGTGGAAGTATCTGATTGTCGAATGGCTTGTTTAGATCAGACTAACGATGCCTGCTTGTCTTTTAATCATGATAATACTAATAACAACTGTACATTAAATTCTGAAACCAAACATACCAAACCTGGAAGTTATATGACAGACAATGAAAACAAACTATCTTATGAAGAATGGATTTGTGAAAACAGTAAGTGTTTTATACTTATATTACCAAATCACCAGGACTTCATTTTAACATACATTTATGATAAAGATAGTTGTTGTGTTGCTTTCATAAGACTTTATTTATTAAAAGATGAGTTCGGTGAATATTTAAATCTGAATTTTCAGAAGAGTGAATTATCTTTGAAATATATCTAGTGTGGTGGATTAGTGAGTAAGATGTTGGCTCACTAACCTGAAGGTCATGTGTTTGATCCCGGTGTGGGCTGAGAAAGTTCATCTGGGTTTACAAGGGGGCCTGGCAAGGGACAAGTATAGTTGTTAAGATAGGAATAAAAACCGAGGTCCTGTGTACACATTGGCGTGTATGTAAAGTAACCCTTGGCACTGTCTAGGCAAAATTTCCTTTCTAGCACACTATGGTGTATGCCCGTTATCATTAGCCCAGTCAGTGCAGAATAGTAGGATTTTAAACCCCATTTCATTTCAAATATATATACTGTAAGACATGATATTGATGCATCACAAAATTAATATGATGTTAAGAGAGTCAGTATAAATGTGTATTGAAGTTAATGCATTCCACCATATCTTACTCTTGCATAAATTAGTAGATTTCTGTAATTTTAACATATAAGTAAATCACTAGTTACCAGATAATTACATATATTGTTATGTTATCAATGACCTTAATTATCATGTTATCTAATTAATTAACATTTATTATTGTATTGTTTTGAGGGATGTTATGTTTGATAATACTACTGATTTACAGGATAACTAACTAGTCCATACTTTATTTGTGTATATAAATAATGCAACCATAGGTTTAATGTAAAGCATTAATTGCTCACCTTCATTTCTTGTTATATATTAAATGTAAATTTTTAACTTATTTGTTATGGCATCAATGTTTATCTGTATACATTTTGAAGATAAAATGAAAATAAATTTGGTCTAACATTGATTCGATTGCTCCGAATCATATTAAAATACTATTTATCAACCTGACAGAAGATAATTATAGACAATAAAAAATGTTTATTGTGACACCCCTTCTAACAATGATTTAATTGCTCTGTATTGTATTAAAATATTATTTATCAACTGATGTGTAAATATATCTTTGATTTATAGATCCATGCAGTACGAGAGGTATAACATGGAACAGACGACCAGGGTATGCTATACTAGGTTTAGCCATGAAAACAACCAAACAGATTTCTTCATTAACAGCCTGTCGTAATTTGTGTCTTAGAGAAACAGGATTCTTGTGTAGATCATACCAGTTGTATGGTTCGTCTAAAACATGTTCATTGTTTAATGTTACTATGATGGAAGCTGGAAATAAATTTGTTAAGTGGCCAGGAAATATTTTTGAAGAATGGGCATGTGCTAAAGGTAAGGGAATTGCTAGGGTTCAGTTTTGATGTAATTGTTTTTACGGAGAAAGAAACATGTATCACCTTTTCTTTATTGGAGATAGGACATGTTGTTTTAAGGATGTTAGCAGTGTTGGATGGCTGAATGGTTAGCGTGTACTTGCTGCATCATAAGGCTGCATCATTGAGTCAACTGGCGTGGTTTCGATTCCCCGGTTGTACGTGACAAGGAGTAGGGTTGCCTGTCCATCCTTGTAGGTGTTCTCCGGGTCCTCCGGTTTCCTCCCTATGTGCAAGCGAAATGTTGAAATAAAATTGAACCAATATCTTAAAGGGGTTACGTGTCCTGATAAGTGGTTTTCACTTTCACATCCAAACAACTCAATATTTTGAGCTGAAATTTTGAGACAAGGTAAATACACCATTCCTTTATATTTTGGTGCTTAAATTTCATACGTACACAGACTTTTATTTCTGAAACTGTTAAAATCGGGATGGTCCCTTTAAGATATATAATTTGATATGAAATGAAATGGGGTTTAGCGTCCTACTGTTCTGCTCTGTTTGATATGATCCTTAGATTCACCCAAAAAACATATTTGACAAAATATATTTATTTCTTTACAAATTTGCTACAATTAAATCCCTGTAAGTACCCAAATCATTCCCTTAAAAGAGTTCAGAAAACTGATTTGTTATATATTTTGGGGGTATTAAACCTTACAAACTCTGGCAAAATATTTAACTCGACTGACTAATGTAATTCAACAAATGAAAATAGATTGCTTATCAGCATAAAAATGTGAAAAATTAAGACTATATTATTCAAAAACTGAATTTTTCAGTAATAAAGTTAACCAAATTATTTCTAATGTACATTTAGGTGCTGATCTTCCAATACTCTCCAAAAACCCTGAAGTTAATGTTGAACCAGAACCTACCCAAACCAAGTATACATTGTCTTGTGAGTTTGCTGCGATTGTATCAGATAAAATGGTAAACTATACAGTCGAGTGGTTTATAAATAACCATATTGTACAAGAAGATGTAATAACATTAATGTCCGGTGAAGAAACAGGAAAATTATATATGGATTCATCTCTCTTAACTGGTTTACAATATGGTATGAAGGTATGTGAACAAAACTTTTATCCTTGATCAAAGCAAATTAGAATGTTTTTCTCTTTCTGCAACATGTAAATGGTAAAAAAGAACTACACATAAAAATTTGATACTCAGGGCATTTTAAAAACTAAAATACAGAGAAGAAGCCACATGAAATTTTAAAAGCAAAAAGCTTGTGCTTACATATTGCACTGACGATTAGTTTCTAATGATCTGTAAAGAAATGGCTTGTATGTACAAATCCGTAAACATAAATACTGAAATAGTATTAGTGATTTTCGTATGATTTATATTTATCATGTTTTAAACGTAAATATTAAAATAGTATTAGGGATTTTTTGTATAATCATGGTTTAAATATATGTAAATGTAAGGATTATTGTATAATTTATAGTTATCATGTGGAGTCAGTGCTTGTGTAGTAATGAATGAAGCCTGTATCAATGGTGCCTTTAGGAGAAGTAACATCAGAGAACTTAAAATAGAGGTAATTTTTTTATTAATAATGTCATTTGATTTAACTGTTCAATAAGTAAGTCACAGTAGTTGTGTGGTAAGGAATTGCTAAAAGTAACAGATTATTGAGTACATAAAGGTCCCATTGTAGGTAGATTTCTGCACTAACAATGGAAATAAATGACCTGAAAACTGTTGAAAAACAGTAAACCCCTTTTACCATTCCATTTTTCTCAAAAATATTCAATCAGTGATCATACTATTTACAATTACAAATGACTTATTGTTAAAATTTTAAGATTTATGTGTAAAAATCGTGGGTTTTTTTCCAGTTTGAAAATGACATGGACATTGAACTAATAGAAGGTGATGATGGGGAAGAATTAGAGATAACATCTAATATGCCACCATCTTTTCTCTGTAACTCAACTACTAATGATAACGATTGTAGTTTTGTTATTATGGCCCAATTAGGAGCAGACGACAATGATACTGTTTGTCCTAATGGCGGTGGTATCATCAATCAAGCTGTTCTAGGATTTAAATCATTCTGTGGATTAAGAATAACGGCAGAAAATTGGATGCAAAAACACAAGATTCCACTAAAAGCCAAAGTCGATTCCATATACGATGGAAATAGAAAACGAGAATTGAGTTTTAACTTCCAACTACTTCTAGCAGAAACAGAACTTTTCAGTACAAGTCTGCAGACATTCCAGGTATATAGTTTTTGTTTAGTGCCTTGAGTGAATGTTTTTATTTTATATATTTGATTTTTCAAGACAAACCGTTCATTTGACATCATGGTATGTAACAAAAATAAATCCTTCGAACATTTTAGTTATTTTATCTTATTTATTTGTTTATTAGTTGTAAATGAGTATTGTTGATAAATATATTTTTTTTTTTTTTTATAGTTGAGCATCATTGATAAAGATAGACCTGCTATTTGTTCATCTGTCAATGGACCACATCTTACAACATTTGACGGCAGGTTAGTTTTGGAGAGTTATTATTCTTTCACTTTTTTTTTTCAACAATGGAATTATTTTATATTTGCAAGTGGCAGCATTAACTATTAGGCCAGAGAAAGTAGCTATTATTGCAGTTGGAAAAACAAATGCAAGCAATGAGCAATTAGAATACTGTAATCAGTGCAAGCCCCACCGTTGAAAATATTTTCTCTAATCTCTTTCCAGATATTTTGATATTTTCTCAGAAGGAGAATTTGTTCTGTATAAACATACAACAATGCCATTACAGGTAGATATATCATATAGTTTTTAATTACATTTTTACACTTTTTGAACTGTTGAAATAATTTGTATTATTTTAAAATCTTAAAAGATTTTACATGAAGAGTTTTAATTGAAAAGTGAAAAACAAGATTTTTATCCAAAAATACAGTATTTCTCATTAATACTTTCTTATGCAGCTTTATTTATGTTTATACAGCTTAGTTATTTTTGCATGTTTCTTATAAAGGTTCGTACATATTATCGTTCCTGCTTGAAAAATGGCATCTGCAACTGTGCTGTGTCTGTTCAATCAGGTGATGATGTCATCATAATTGATAGATGTGGAGCTAACCAGAAGACACCTAAAAATTATCCACTACACACACAGATGATACTGAATGGCAAATTGACACCTGGTACGAAAGTCATGAGATTGGGTGATGGACTCAAATACAAGGTTAGATTGCTTTGTTCTTTTTTCACCCCAGATATTTTCTAATAAGAATATTAACCCTTTATCGCCTGTAAATTTTGAGGTTTGAAAAGGTCAACTGGAATTCAACAATTGGATGTTAGTCTCAATTAAATCCTCTTGTCCATCCCAATAGACAACAGCTTTATCCTGAAGGCGTCACAGATAAAAAGTTATTTCTTCTCTTTAGCCCTTTAAGACATGAAAGGTCTATTAAATATCTGAAGAGGACGAAATAAACTTGCTATGTTCACCTTCCACTATTTGAAAGCATGAAATAAAACCAACCTGCTGAAATAGTAAATAGAATTAATTTGTAAGGGGAGATTACCTGTCTTAATAGATATCTCTGGTGATCTTGAAAGTTAATAAAGAATTGATGTATTTTTTAACAGATTGTATTACCAACTGGAACAGTCGTTACTGTACGAATAGGTCAAGGTGTTACATCACAATATCTTAATGTATGGATTCGACCATCTGCTTACGATCTGACCAGAACACAAGGTATGGTATTTTGTCATTCACATGTATTAAAAGTCAGCAGATATATTTAATTATTTTTCCATCGATATTACAGAGAAGCACTTTGTGAAATAATAGTGCTAATACAGATGATATTTATGTACAAGAATGTCTATAATCAGTTACATGTCTTACGAAGCATTAGATTGTTGATTTTCAGAAATATTAGAGTACGAATATAAGGGATTACTTTTACAGCATAACAGTACCATTGTTTTATGTGATTTGTTCTTCTAAAAACTAAATAATTTGTATACAATCATCTACAATTTTTGCATTGTATGAAAGCCCTTTAATTTCAGTCTTCTATAAAGAAACTTTGAAATGAAATAGCTCAGAAGTTATTCCCCCCCCCCCCCCCTTAATGAGTAAGAAGGTAGTTTCAATAATTTGATATCATTTGTATTAAATAACAATGGTATTTAAATGTATGTTGTATTATATGACTATATTACAGGTTTATGTGGTAGTTATGATGGCGATAGTACCAATGATTTAATACCAAACAATAAACCGATAGAAACTACACCAAAAGCTTTTACATTATCATGGAGGTAAAAATAAAGTTTCTATATTAATTTAAATAATACATGTATTTTGGTTTTATTCATAGTTATTTCAACACCAATCATGTAATGGAATGGAATTAAATGAACAAAAAAATAGTAAAAGTTTGTAATAGTGATCAATACCATCATACAAAGACATTGCTTTAATGTTTTGATAAAACTACAATACTGTATATATATTTAAATATAGTATGTCATTTTCTCTAGAAAGATGTAATTAGTGCCAAAAGTCAATTTTAAAGAATGCATGTATCTTAGGAAATTTCCAGCCCCAGGTCCTATTTCAGAAAGCATAGATGAAACATTTACTATGTAACTCTGTTCAACTAACATGCTGGTTAATCCAGATTTTAATTTACAGTTATTGTTGATGTTTGAAGGAATGTTAATATCTATGTTTTTATTAAGATCTATGAAGAATGAGAGTATATATAATGGTGTGTGTAAGAAGATAGGTGTAGGAATGGATATTATGGAATCAGTTTACTGTGATTGTTTACAGAACAATAACGATACCTGTGATTCCATGTTACAAATATATCCTTGTAACCATGACAACATGAAAGCCACATTTACATCAGGTAACTTGAATGCTTAATTTTTTTAAATAAATTATTTTTTCAATTTGATATTTGATACAGATATATAATGCATGTTTTACATTGAGTTAATTTATTTTTCACGGTTTGACTCTGTACCCAGTTTGTCTTGGTACCTTATATCTTTGTAAACAATAATGTAAAATAAGTAAGAAACACAATATGAAATCAACAATTTATACTATCAATAAACAGTTGTTTCTTAAAATGCTTTTTCTTTTAAGTCTACGAAATCCAAATTTCGTCTATTGTATTACCATTACAAGTTTTACAATTTAAGTATTTTATTTTGTTTGTAGGAGATGATATAACAGATCTATTAGTAAAGAGATCTAAAACAGCAGTATGTGATAAAACAGCACTACAATTTGATTATAATGAAGACTTCCAGTTACAGGTATAATTTAAATATTTTAAATTTGAAAAAAAATATATATGATATTATTAAAAATTTATCTTTTTTTGTATTTTTTCTATCTAAAAGGGACTCACAACATACAACATAAACAAAGAAAAACCATTATTTCATATTCTTCATATTTAAGGACATCAGATTAATTTGAGTAAAGTTTTGAAACATAGGAAATTAGAAAGCAAATATATTAAGAGAATGTCAACAAGGAAAGCTCATAAACTTAGCAATTTGAAAGCCCGATGTACAACTAATTTTCATGAGAAGTGTGTGCATCAGTTTGTTTGTAACAATATATCTTTATCTGTCTTTAAAGGAACGAGATTGGCCAACATTGTCCGGTTTAACTAAAGATAATGCTACAGAATATTGTACCAAGCTATTGACAGAGTCTAAACCAGCCAATATGTGTTCTACAGTACCTGATCTACAGATGGATTTAATGCTTAAATCTTGTGTTTCTGATATCAGGGTAATGTTCTTTTTCCTATTGTATCTATGTTTGTCCTCCTGGTTTTCATGTTTTGTGTGGTGCCGACTTCCTGCACTATTTAAGAAGTAAATTTATGTTGTTAGAATCTAGAAAGTATATTCAAAGGCAGAAATTTCACAGAATTGAACATTTAATATATAATCCCTCCCACAAGAAATCACCAAGACAGTTTTTTTGGGGGGAGTAAAACATGTATTACACCTCATGTATTTCACAGAATTGGACATTTGATATATAATTCTTTCTAGAAGAAAGCACTTAGATACATTGGTTTTTTTTTTGTGTGTGTGGGGGGGGGGGGGGTGGTATCAAAAACTTATATTACAGCCCAATTATAATAAATACTCTTATTTCATCAGTGTGTTGAAAGTCACCTTAACAAAATTAAAGAATGAATTATTACAATAAAACTTCAAATGTACATGTATTCTTGAATATTGTGTTTATTATCTTTCGTTTAAATTGTTTTATTGTCTTTGTTTATTTAACAGATGAATAATAATATGGATTGGGCTATTACTTATATAACTAGTGTATTAGAACGATGTGTTATAGAATTATATAGTAATATAAACATGTGGGTAACTATTGATGATGTACAAGTACCTGATCCAGCTATACTAGATATTATCTGTTTTAATGATTGTTCTAACAATGGTACTTGTAACAAAGGTAGGTTTCATTAAATACTTCACAGACATGATTTAGCTGTTGAGCTTTGGTATTTGCGTTGGTCGAACATTGCACACCCACCTAGCTAGACAGTGAGCCGAGCAGAACCATCAAAATTTTGAAGTAGATATTTCCATCAATTGCCACAACTACAACATATTTACCTTGACAACATTAAAACTTTTAGTTATTGGGACTGACACAGATGATGACACTTGACTGCAAGTATCTGTAACTCACAATGGAGCGACCCCACTATTCAATATAATTTGCTAGTTTGATTAATTTTAGAAACTTAAAAATTATTCACAATGTATATTTAGCTCATTTGCTAGATTGATTAATTTTAGAAACTTAAAATATATTCAATCAAAGTGTTTTTTGTTCAGGTGTTTGTGAATGTAAAGATGGGTTAATTGGTGCTGATTGTTCAGTAAGAGCAGATGTACCACCTATGATATATAATTTATATAATCTTGGACTGTGTGATGTCACTGTCGACAAATGTAATGAAGTTATTATCTATGGAAACAAGTTTGTGCAATCACCAAATCTTACCTGTAAATTTCAGCAAATCCTGGTAAGTATTAATAATATAATATTAATAATAATTCTCAATTTATATAACACAAAAATACCTTATGGTAATTTCTATTGCGCTTTTCAAGTTTGAACAAACTCATTCACTGCTAACAACATTAAGCCTGGTTGAAATGATGAGTTTTAAGCTGAGATTTTAAACTTTCCACAGTTTGGGCCAGCCTAACTGACAAGAGGATTGAAAATACATTGTAGAATATTTATCGGTCTGTGTGGGACACAGTAAATTTTAATTGAGGTAGAATATTCATTAAGTGACTGTCTTGACGGAGTTTGATAAGGCTCTGGCACTAATAACTTCAAATTACGGTAGAATGTTTGATGATTTGTTAGTCATCTTCATTAGCCCAATTAGCACAGAATAGTAGGAGAATAAACCCCATTTCATTTCGACGATTCATTAGATGAGATTCTGGCCAGTTCTATGATGTGCATGTATTTATTTGGGGATTAGGTCGGGGGTACTGTTAGCTTGTTTCAAAAAAATTTAATCTTAAGTTGTAAGCATTTATATTCATAATAGATGGGTGATAAAATAGATAGAGTGGAAGGAAAGTTAGTATAATGTTAATTAGACTGGTTTTACAAGAAAATATATCAGTGGTGTTTTAGTTTCATAGTTGTAACACATCTCACCAGTTATCCACAATTATAACTGAATACTTTTAAACAAATACTTTTTTTTATATAAAATGTCATAAATTTTATGGCGAGTTGAATAACCGGGCCCTGGTTTGATTTATTTCAGATTGAAGAAAAGAACTATACTGTTGTAGAAGATACTATGGTTGAAATAGCTGCTATCTTTATTAATTTTAATCAGATAGTTTGTCCTGTACCAGCTAATGTAGATAGTTATATTATCTATATTAGTAACGATCAAACATTGTATACAACTGAACCAAGTATATTTACAGTTTATTCACCAAAATGTCACAAGTGTGACCGATCTGGTTATTGTATTCTTGAGGTATAGTAAATTTAGATTTTCAAAACTTAACTTTTCTTTAAAATCCACGTTCTACTTTGTTCTGTTAATAACTTTGAAATATAGTCAGAAAATCTCATTTTAATCACATCAATATATATTTCCAAAGAGATTTCCAAAATTTCATTATGTTCTGGTTTATTGCATCTGTCAGAAAGCTTGACTCTGTGGAATGTCAGCATATGAATAAATAAAGATATATGTTTTATGTTAATGTTTATTTACGTGTATATTTTTAGGATAATACCTGTTTTATAAACAATGTCTGCTATGATTTTGGTGTTAGAAAACACGATAATAACAGTTTGGTTTGTGACCCACAACAAAATTACCGTGACTGGAGCACGATACAAGGTATGTTAAGTGATACAGGTTAATAAATTTTGCTGTGTTGTTCTATAACTTGTACAGTGAAATCACACTTTCTAAGTCCAGCAGCTGGAGAGATAAGAATATGTCTTTAAAGTAAGTTGGAATCCCAAGATTCTGGTTTGAGTGGCCCGTAATACTGAGGTGGTCATTGAGCAGGATTTACCATTTTTTAAAAATGATAATTTTGTTTTGGATTTTTTCAGACTTCCCATATCTACAGACAACACCTAATATAAGTATAGTATCTAGTGATGATGAGTTTAAGTTTATCTGTGAATTCCAACTACCCAACTTATCTGATGTCAAATATTACATAGAATGGTTTCATGACAATGTTATTAAAACAATTGATCTAGTTGGTAATGAAACACAAGTGGAATTAGACATTGGAGATGTTCAGAACATCACATATGGATCAAAGGTGATATATCTTTAATACTGTATATATATAATAAAAAAAAAAGGTGATATATCTTTAATACTGTATATGTAATAAAAACAAAGGCGATATATCTTTAATAATGTATATGTAATAAAAGCAAAAGGTGATATATCTTTAATAATGTATATGTAATAAAAGCAAAAGGTGATATATCTTTAATAATGTACATGTAATAAAAACAAAAGGTGATATATCTTTAATACTGTATATTATGTAATAAAAACAAAAGGTGATATATCTTTAATACTGTATATGTAATAAAAACAAAGGTGATAAACCTTTAAATACTGTATATGTAATAATAACATAGACATCTAAAAATTGAATGCACTTATTTCAGTCAAATTTGAAACTAATTAAAAAATGGTTTCTAATCTGATCGGTTCAAATAAAAATCAATGGATTATCACATGGAAACAGGTTTTAGTTTCAAGTTGAGAGTATCAATCGGAATCTGAACACATTTATTTGGTTTATAGTTTTGTGATAAAGGTGTGGTTAACAAATTAAAATGAAAGACAAAACAATTAGAAGTTAACTTGTGCTATGACTAAATCTGTTATCCACAGTGTAGATTTGTAAAACCAAACAAACTGATTTCGAACTAGTTTGATCCGATCAACAGAAAAGTTTTCCAAATTTGTTTAAGACCCAAATCAGTTTCCTTCCTTTAATTTCATTGTTAATTTGTATATGTATCTGTTATTATAGATTGAGTGTGGACTAAAAGCATGTTATGTCAGTAACTGTAATGCTTCCATGAGTCAACCAAAGAAAAGTAAACCATTTGTTGCTGAAGTGAAGGTAATATTTATTTATATAATACATTTTATCATTTCATCTTTTTTATATGTTTAAACAACTTTCTATTTACTAATTACATTTAAAAAATTTTTGATTAATGTTGAAACCTAAAAAATAAATACCTGTAATTTTAGTTCAAATTTCCTTTAGCACATCAAAATAGAAGTTCATTGTTTCCATTTTAATAGTATTTAAAAAAAATAGCATCAATAACAATATGATTTATTAAATTGATCGATCTGAATTATTTTGAAACCAAAATATATTTTGGTATAAATACTCTTTGATTGTCTTTAATCTTGAAGTACATTTTTAATTTTAAATCTAGGTTCTTACTGAAAAACTGACTGTCGTAGAAGGAAAAGAACCCGGCTTTATACAAGCACAGTTAACAGTTCCTTCTAAATATCTCTGTTATGGTACAGAGACGTGTGGTATTAACCTGAATGTCAATTTACCAGAAGACGAGGATGAATATGCCTGTTCATCGACTACTAACTATTATCAGACGGTCTTTGTTTCTACTGAAAAAACACCAACATGTCAGATATCAGTAACAGGATCAGAAGACATCATACAAATACCTATTAAAGCTGTTGTGGATGGCCTGGTTGATGGTGAAGTTGAGCGCAAAGTAGAAATTACCACAACTGTCATGTCTGGTGAAGTCATACAATTTAATGGAACCATATCAACATCTATGGTAAGTTACAGTTGTACGTACATGACTACAGTTTTAATCGTTATATTCCGTCATAACATTCCTGTCTTCCAGTGTAAAATGATGTTTACATACCCAAATTATAACATCCTAAGATATAGCTGTTGCAAATATATAAGTGCTTGAATAAACCTATGGTGCAATTATAAGGATTAATTTGGTTCTTATTCAGTGATGACTTTGAAGAAAATTCAAAAGTATAAATATACATCTTTGGTATTTAAACTTACAGTAATCAAAGAAAGAGAGTTAATGATAAATTCCAAAATTATGCCTTCCTACGATCTTATTGACTGAATATGATTCACTGTAATTTAATCGACAGAGTATAATTAATTAACTGTAAATCTTATCAACTGAGTATGATTCACTGCAATCTTATTTACATGAGTATGATCCATTGTAATCTTATAGACTGAGTATGACTCATTGTTTCTTTGTGTTATTTGATAAAAAAGAAACTTTATTAAAAAAAAAAAAAAAAAAAATAAATTGACTTACAAGTGGTATTAATCATTTTTAAAACTATATATCTGCCTTACATGGTACAGGAACTGTATCACAATTTAATATTTATATATTTTGATATTTGAAGGTAACAATAGAAGATAGAGATACAACAGCTTTATGTGGTTCTATCAATGATCCTCATATAACAACATTTGATGGAATGTAAATATAAACCTTACATTTTTATGTGAACGTATATTGCAGGCCCCCCTGTCCATCTGTCAATAATTTGTTTGTGGACATTCTACAGGTCTCCATTTTTATCCGATTTTGACGAAACTTCAAATATAGGGTTATCTCCCAAAGATCTTGGTTCCTTTCGATATTGGCATGTATCGGATCGTAACTTCATGGATTATGGCCCCTGATTGTACGAGAAATCACGTTTTTAGCTTTATACGATTTTGATTAAACTTGAAATGATATTTGCGCATATCGGACCGTAACTTCCTGGATTATGGTCCCTATGCGTGTGGTCCCTCTAGATGTCACAATTTTTATCCGATTGTAAAAAACATTTTAATATATCACCATTATGATGACTGAGTTCGAATTACATGAAAGTCGGATCGAAACTGCCAGACAAAATGGCCGCCCCCTGTACACAAATAGTGTTAAAGTATGTAATATCAATGTTGTGGACCATCTAGAGGTCACAATTTTTACCCAATTTCATGAAACCTAAAACATGTGTTTATATCCCAAAGATCTCGGTCCCTTTCAATATTCGCACATAACGGAGTATAATTTCCTAAATCGTGAGGTCACAATTTTTATCTAATTTTAAAAATCGTTTAAATATATCATCGTTACACCCTGATGATGATTGAGGTCATAATTTTTATCCGATTTAAAAAAATGTTTTAATATATCACTGTTACACCATTATTATGATTACGTGAAAATCGAACAGTGACTGCCCGTCACAATGGCCGCTCCTTGATCGCAAATTGTATAAAAGTATGTAATACCAAAGCTGTGGACCTGCTAAATGTCACAATATCCCCATATCTCAGTCCCTTTCGATATTCACGCATTTCAGACCATAACTTCTTGGATTATGGCCCCTGATTGTACGGAAAATTTCCTTTTATTGTTAGCTTGTTCTCTATCCATCTTGATTTTATATTTGGTTTTATTTTAGAATCATTTATTGATATTCTATTTGTTTATATTTTAGAACATATGATATATTTAGAGAAGGAGAGTTTATATTATATAAACATGATGTTCTACCTTATGAGGTATGTTGTATAGGATATCATCTTTACCATTATTTACTAACAGTTGAAAATTACCTGAGGGCCATGATGACATTTATTCTGTTTACAATAATATAAAAACTAGTTTTGTAAATAATAAATAAACTAATGAGATCGTGAGATCCTCTCATTGCTTGAGTCTAAAAATATACTGAGACTCGATGAAAATGCACCACTGATTTGACTTGAAGTGCTGGGGAGACATAAAACAACTGAAATGTGATTTGTTTGGCATGATTGTAGGATGAACATTTATTGACACAAGAAAATCAACAACAAACCTAGGAGGCTATAACAACTTTCCTTTACAGTGAATGAAACATAGGCACAAGTGGTACAAATCAAAAGCCAATAACTTGTGTGTGTCCATCTCTAGTAGCCACACATCATTCAACATCGCTGCATGAAGGAGATGGACCTCTGAATGGCTGCTTGTGAAATCCTTCTCCACTCTCGTTGCAATGCTGCTTCTAGTGGCTCTGTACTCATGCCCTCTCAAATTAATGTGCCTTTAGTATCGTACTTCAGAACCCAACACTTAACCAGTTAAAAGGCAGTAGATAAACTAGAAGCATTTTGATTGTTGGAAATAGGTTTCCAGGTCTTTTGATAATTAATAAAGTATTAACATAATGAATAATGTATTAGAATAATAAAAGTCCAATTTAATCTGCAGGTACATGCATTCTATAGACGTTGTGGTAAGAAAGCTGCATGTAATTGTGCTGTAACTGTTAAGTCTGGTAATGATGTCATATTAGTTGATAGATGTAGTTCTCGTTTGGGATCCTCACGTTCACCAACAACTATAACTATATACAAGAACGGTGAACTTACACAAGGAACAAAGATCTTCAGATACTCAGAAGGAAAGAAAATTAAGGTAAGAATTTTTAGGTGTTATAATTATACAGATAACTCTAGACAAATATCCATTTATTTGAATTGCTATAGACTACAAATAAAATGTATTAAACATTGAATGCCATAGTTTGTTTGGACTAGATACTAAAGATTGATTAAAGAAACTAAAATCTGTTTGACCTAGATCTAGATAACATATAGAATTAAATTGATCTGATAAGTTGTTTTGATTAATGACGGGACAAGCTTTATATGATTAAATTTTAGTTTCGAAAGATGAATGGAGCAGAACAGTAGGACGTTAAACCCCATTTCATTTCAAATGACGAAGTAGGAGTTATTTTTTTTTTTTTACTAATTAACATTCGATTTTTGGTTTACTGCAACACCAAATCAATTGTCTGTATCTACGAAAATATGATTTTGAATAAGGTCAGATTGTCATCCATGAATTATAAATTTAATTTAACTAATATTGATATTAAAATGTATCTTTTAACAGATTCAACTACCTGGTGGTACAGCTATCAATATTAAACCCGAGACAAGAAAAAAGATAGGTTATATCAATATCTGGATTCAAGCTTCATCTAATGATTACAATCAAACCCATGGTAAGTAATAGTTCAAGATACAATTAAACCCATTGTAAGTAATAGTTCAGTGATGATGATGATGATGATGATGATGATGACTTTATATAGTGCAAATACTCCAAAAAGCCTGACTGGGCTAATGAAGACAGGTATTTAGAAAACAGGATTGTCTTTAATTTAGAATTAAATATTGATAATGTAAGAGCAGATTTTATAACTAACGGCAGGGCATTCCACATCAAAGCTGCTGATACTTAAAATGATTTAAACCAATTTTTTTCAGTTGACACAATTATACTGTAATATTATAGTATTGAGATTTGTTAATTATTAAAATTCCATTTGAATGTAATGTAGGCATACATCAAAACAAGGTATATAAATAACCTTGAATTGACATCACTAGTACAGAGTAAAATATTACTTTTAATCCAGAAATGATTTTGGGTTTACAATTAAACATCATTTATGCATCAGCTGGATAATGAAGACAGACAGTTGTTAAAACAAGGCAATATAGTAATTTCTTATGATATATAGTGTTTTGTTTTGAAAGTGTCGATAACATTTCTGAAATTGAACATGAAAAACATTTTAGAATTTAATCAGTAGTCAATGAAAAGAGATGATGTGTACATATCTTTACCTCTGATTACCGTATTATATTGTGTAGGATTATGTGGTACATTTGATGGAGATGAAGATAATGACCTAACATTACCTGATGGTACCATATATACAGGCAAAGAAAAAGAACCATATGGTTTCTCTTTGAAATGGAGGTAATTATATCTAATTTATTCATTTCATTAAACCAATTCATATTAGACTTAACTAAAATCATCAAAAAACAGTGCTATGGCTTGCTTATATCAAACTATTTATTGGATTAAACTGAAAACAAATATTTGTATCACTTGTAGCTTCACTACTGCTTTGTGTCTTTGATATTATTTTGGTACTATGAATGGCCAAAAACTATAACCAATTGACAATGCAAGCCAATCTCCTTTCATTGAATAAACTACAATAACACAAACAATCCAAAATGTTAAATTGAATGGTGAAGATATTGCATAATTGAACCTGTATAAATGACAACTACTAATAATATATAAATGTATTTATTTTGTAGAGTTGATGTGAAAGACAGCCATTATTCTGGTATTTGTGTAGATACAGTAGAGGAAGACAGTAAACCAGTGATGTATTGTAGATGTCTACCAACTGGAGCACAATGTTCACCTGTTAATCATATAGCAACATGTTCTGGTGAAGATGACAAGAAACGTTACACAGATGGTAAAATATTATTATTTATAGTAATCAACTCTGTAAACATTTCAAACTCTATTTCTTTAATGAAATGGTACTTTTTTTGCATCAAATGTTAAATTGTATTTCTTCAGTCTCAATGCACGAGATGGAATAAATGAGTAATTATTTACCAATACAATAACTATTTATAAAAACCTGATATCAAAATTTGACTTTTGATATTTTCATAAAGGACTACTTTATCTGTGCATTTATTCCTCAGTTTTTCCCTGTGTACATGCAAATCCATAATTTGTTTAATATTATTATCAGATCATATCTTTAAAGCAAAATTTTCTCTTTTCTTAGCTTCTGACTTGTGACACTAATGTAGCATCTTCTATATTATCATTATACATTTTATAGTGCACAATTTCCATGATAAAGTGCTCACATGCATTTTACAAAATATGGTACAGAAATTAAATATACAAATAAAATAAATAAACTAAAATACAAATAAGACATACATGTAAACATTGAAATCAACTTAAAATCTTATATATATTCCAATCTTTTACCTCCCAAAACTCACTCAAGTTTTGGTCTAAAGGTGAAAAGTGAATAATTTGATATTGAACAAATTTTTATTTTTATTATTACAAGGTACTGATGTGACAAATCTATATCTAGAAGAAGCTAGGGAACCAATAGGTTGTACTGACGATGTCACTAAGATAGAATTTGAATATGATGTTGACTATGTATCACCTGTAAGTCAACATTTATTTAGCATGTCCTCTGATGCTCAACCACCTGAATTTTTCTATTTAAATTTATAAAAAAATAAAAGAATTTCTATGTTTGAGGTGTGTATTAGTCAGTAAAAAATAATGTTCGTTATCATATGATTTGGCTATGTAACTCAATCAGAGATGTTCAAATTAGAATTTATGCAAATGCAAAAAGGTATGTAAATTGTCAAGCTTTGATTAATATTCTGATGTTTGGAACCACTGATTACACTTGCATTATAATGGATCTGTTTTACAGAAAAGAATTTGAAGATATATTATGATGTTGGTAGTCCACATACAAATATGCAATAACTTCACAATAATATAATCTATTTAAACATTTTTGTATGTTTTTATTTGTAGCCATCAGTATGGCCAACTCCATCTGGTATAACAGAAGATGAAGCTCAAGAGATATGTTATTCTTATATATTTAGTAAAGAAGTAAGCGTATCATGTTCAGAAATAGGTATATTATCACTAGAACTAGAGAGAACAATCACATCTTGTGTATCTGATATACAGGTAAATATATATCATGATTCCGTTTTATTATTCACTGTATTTAGGCTTAAAATATTTAAAATTTGATTCTTTAGATTGTAATATAGATTGTAACTATGTATTTAAATTTAGAATTGAGCGCAGATATAGCATGTCTCTTCACAATTAAGACAAATTCAGATCTTTTAGTTATGGTACACGTTAAATTTCAAATAGAAAATAATTTCAATCGACAAGCAGATTTTTAACACTACCTGTGGCATGATTTGGTATGGGTATCTCACTTTGGTTCAGTAGATGCATTTTTGATAACAAAATAACTAATTATCTTAACCTGGATATTTGGTTTGCCTGCACAATATACAACACAGTACCCTGTAAAACTAAAAATAAGTAGTAAAATATATATAAATAACAGAAAAGCAACACCAGCAACATGCTATTGGACTTTCTACTGAAAATGCAAAATATTTATAAAAATTAAAAGTGACAAAGTTAGAAAAATTGTCCAATTTTTATTTCATGAACTTATAAACTCAGTCGTATGACATGATTTTTGTGGTATATTTTCAGATGTTGGATGATAAATCATGGGCTGAGACAGCATTAGATAATTTTGTAGAGAATTGTTTATCAGTATACAGTAGAGATGTTACTCTGTTTATAAGAGGTAGGGTATCAGAAGTTGTAGAAGAAATCTGTCCTAATCTCTGTAGTGGAAATGGTTTTTGTCGCAGCAGTAAGTTTACATTATTATTATTCTAGTTCATATCTACAGGCTTTAGGTTTTGTACAGTAAGACATTTTAAGCAGTAAGCTTTCACAAGGAATATGTTGGGTTGAAAAGTAGTGAACTGAACACACAATCAAGTCAAGTCTTAATTATATGATCAGTATAAGCACCTTTGCGTTATCATTCTTAAAGGGCATACTTAAAATACACAAAAATGGGTCTAAAAGCATATATTAATGTAGCATGAAATGTATATAAAGTGATTTATATTTCATTATTTTTTTTTTTAATTTTTTGTAATATTTCATCAATTGTGTTTGGTGAAATATTTCAAGAGTCTAAATTGAACAACAGTTGTTTACATCTGCACTTTTTTTATTATTATTTTGCTGTTTGTGAATCAGCCATTATTTATTACTTCTGCATTGTCTTGTAGGATGTGTTTTTCTTTGTTCATTACAAATGGCATCCAAAACCATAGAGTATTGTACTGTTTTATATACATGTAATGTATTGATCCGTACATAAAGGTGCTTTAATCCATTTAGTAGTTTTATAAATTGTTCCTATGATTATTTCAGGTACCTGTGAGTGTAATGATGGGTTTGTTGGAGATGATTGCTCTGTTAATGTAACTGTAGCACCAGTATTAGACATGTTCCGACCAGGATTAGGCTGTGATTTAAAGGACAATGATTGTATGAGTTTTGGTATTATTGGTGGACCGTTTGTTAAATCAGACAACTTAACTTGTAAAGTTGAGAAACAAGAGGTATGATGTATTTATGATATGTTTAATTAAAGATGATACATATATATCCTTGTATACATACTTGGGCTAATATTTTTATGCAATAATAAATAAATTATATTTACCATGCCTGAGTTCATGCAATTTGACTCCACTAAGAGAAAGATGACTTTGATTTGTTCTAATTATTAAATATCTGTATGCAAGAGATCATTAGAAAGTAATAATTTTAGCAGGTGATTAAACATGCTAGATTTTATTATTGACTTAATGGATTCAAGCCTCTACAAACAGCAAACTGATATGCACAGAACATGGATTGTGTGGAATTATTTCCTATTGTTAGTAATATTAAAATGAGTATGATTTCTATTGTTATATTTCAGTATGCTGGGAAGTATGATTATGTATCAACAGGAGTAGTGACTATAACACAAGCTGTATTTTATACCTATGAATATATTGTATGTAAATTACCTAGTAGAGGATCATATACCATCAGTATATCTAATGATGGTATATTATATAGTCTTCAACAATCTCTTAAAGTCTATGATACCAGATGCTTTGAATGTTCCGATGATGGTTGTCAATTAATGGTAAGTAAATTCCTCCACTACTAATGATCACTGTGCACGAGCAAATTTAAAAAAAAAAACAAGATATACCATATATTGGTTAATATCGAATTGACGTTAAATGCCATATAGTTCTCTAATTATAATCTTAATCATCCAGTAATAGAATTATAATCCAACCTTTATTGATAATAATAATCAATTTGTATAGTGCTGATAGTTCCACCTAATAAGCTGCTCCAGGTTGCTCTCTACAATTAAAATACATACAATGTAAAAAAGAATAGTTGTAAAACATTAAAAAAATTAAAATGTCAACATGTTCACTGAAAAGCATGTTAACCGAAGGTAGGTATCATAGAAATGGTCTAGCATGGGTTTTGACAAGACTTTATCTAGAAAATAGAATTGTATAAACTATATGAATATGTTCTGTTTTCCAGCCAAGATTTTGTTATATTGCTGATAGTTGTTATAAAATTGGTGATACCAACGAAGATGATAAAACTTTACTGTGTGATCCAAGTCGTAACATTACATCGTGGACAAGTCGACTAAGTAAGTTTTTAATATTCAGATAAAATTAGACTATGTACCTAAACCATCAGATTTCTAGCATGTACACATGCTCCTAATAAGGCGAAATATACCATATATGAAACTATTGCGCTAAAAATGTTAGGCTTTGCATTTGTTTTAGATTCTTATTTGCTTTTACATTGATTATGTTTCAATTTTTAGCAACTGTCAAAAATATGAAATAAAGAAGTCTTATTGATTTTAAACTGTTTCTGACAAATTGTTCGTATTTTAACTTTATTTCCTTACCTTTATTTCAGGGTTTGCTGATATTGGTGTGGTGCCAACATTATCGACTAGTTATAATAAGAACGAGTCTATATTTAACTTTGATTGTGATTGGTCTAACTATGTAGATAATGATACAACTCTAACTATATATACACAGTGGTTTGTTGATGATGTACTAGTAACAGAAGTTGAAATAGAAAGAAATATCACCATGAATACTGTATCACATACTACATTAGATTCTTACCTTAACTATGGTTCTAGAGTAAGTGTAGTTTTACAAAAACCTAAAGGACTAGTTTCCTAAAGAAAACTGAATTGTCATAAATTTGTGATGATAATTGTTGCAACCACTCCTAGATTCATGATATCAAGCCTAGAAATAAATCATTTATTTGTCATGGAAAATATTAATGTCAGGTAGGAATACATACTTTATCTAGACTGTCTTTTTTTTTTGTCCAAATACAAAATTAAGTTGTGATTTTGTCAACTTATTTTGCCAGGTGATATGTATGGCATGATTTTGTAATGTAGATATTGTTTATATATTGTAGGTATTTTGTGGTTTAGTTGTATGTAGTACATCAGATTGTAATAATACTAGAAGCCCTTTTGTTAAAAGTCCAGAAATCACCATTCAAGTAGAGGTAAACTATACAATTCAATCTTTGATATTTATCAAATTGCAACAACTACATACATTACAACAAAAAAACAAACCCCTATGAGTCACGTACGCCATACGCTGAAGGAAGCTTAAGTAGTTACGGATCGGCAAACTTTCCTTCTATCGTATTACGAAAACACGTAATTTTATAGGAATATTACTGACAAAAATTTGAACACCACACGTGAATTAAATATGAAAAATACCGAGGTGTTCCTATTTTAATTACGCGCGGATTTGAATATTTTGTTGACGTAAAGAAAACGATTCTTATTCCGGAAGTTCTGCATTCATTTGCTGCCGTATAAACAAAGACACGTAATGCATACTATTGTGAATTTGATGCCGAAGCAGGAGTTTGTAGGAATGTTACTGAGTTAAATTTGATTACCGTACTGGAATTAAATATGAAAAATAGCGAGGTTCACCTTTTTTTTATTACGTACGACATTTGAATATTTTGTTGACAAGTGATTGACACATTCGATTGCCGAACGAAAATCGCTTACGGGACAGTGCTTACTATAAAGCTATGTGCTATGAGTCACGTATGCCATACGCTGAAGGAATGTTACAGACATATATTTGATTACCGTACGGGAATTAAATATGAAAAATAGCGAGGTTCACCTATTGTTATTACGTACGGCATTTAAATATTTTGTTGACACGTGATTTTTAATTGTGGTATGAATCCGTCTGTTTATATATCGATAAGAGTTATGCCCCTTTATTTTCGGTAAAATGTCCGACAAGGAAAATTTTGAAATCCCATCACTGACACACACACCCTCCAAATTATTTTTTAAAAGGTAATGAAATTTAGATGAGTAAAATTCAGAAACTACTACCAGAAAAGCCTCTTATTTGTTAATCTTTCATGTAAAAAAGCCTTCTTATTTTAAAAACGAACAAAGGTACCAATTGGTTGTCAAAAATATCCTAAGAAAACCTACATAACAAACTCAACTTGTTTTCATGAAATAATTTGTCATGTTGTATGAAAATTGTTGAATTTGTTTTTACTTATAGGTCATCACCAAATCAAGTTTGGTACTTAAAGAAGGAGATGATGGTAAAGTATTCCGAATTAAGTCCACCTTCCCACCATTTGTTTTGTGTAATGACACAGACTGTTCCATTCCATTAAACTACCATATTCCACAAACAGAACAAGACATCAAATGTCCTGGTTCAGATTTCATCATTCCTCAAGCTGTTATAGAATTAGTAGATGCAGACGACAGTAAGCCATCTTGTGGATTGACTCTAACTAAAGAGAATTGGATGAATGAGTTTACAGTATCTGTTCGTGCTACAGTTGATTTGAAGAAAGACAAGAATCAGAAACGTAAAGTAATGATCAATACCAACATACCACATCGTACTACTATCGGAAAGATGACAACTTATGAAATTGGCAAAATAGAGGTAATATGTTTATGTTGATAATATGTGCTTTTATAATGTTATGATTGTGTCATTATAGTGTCGTTATAGTCAAAACACTGTGGTTGTGTAGTTATGAACAGTGTGCACAACCATAATTGCTTTTTCTTAAAAATAATTTTTGAAGCTCTATTGAAGTTTAGAAATTGACATTGTGTGCTAAAGATCCCTTGAAGGCTAAAAATTATATGTGTCCCTGGTAATAATAATTCCCTTCTATTGGTCTGTTTTCATCTGAAAATGACTGAAGTGATTGAAATTGTATATAGTATTAAATAATGTGTATATATATTTTATAGTTGGAAATTGAAGATGGAGATAAAGGGGCTTTATGTAAATCTATCAATGATCCACATATTACAACATTTGATGGAAGGTAAATATAAACAAGTTTATTAACATTCAGTAGTTCTATAAGTCTGAAAATCTATCATTTTAATAACCAAAAGAATCAATTAAATAATTCACTTCAAAGAGACTGAATGCATGAGATTTAACTTCACAGATAAATCCACTGACATAGTGTTAACTCATTTATTCACCTAAATAAATAAATTCTATATTTCAGATACTATAATAATTTCTTTGTTGGAGAATTTGTTCTCTACAGACATACAACATTTGATTATGCGGTAAGTTGGAAAGTCAAACACCATATCCAGCTTCAAGGCTGTAAATATTCATTTGAAGTGGAATCAACCTTATTAAAGGGAAATTCTGGATAAAGACCACACCTACATGGAGAGTTGTCTTTGAAAAAATTTGTCATATGTATTTTTGTCAATTTTTTTACATGTGTTCAGATTTCTCTCTGAACTCTGATAACAGAATCTCCTGTAGAAACAAAATTTTATATTTCAAGGAAAATTTGTTGTAAAGTATGGGTGCTAAAAATATCTAGTCTAATTAAAATTATAACAACATTTTCACACTGTTTTATTTTACTATTATAGTATTACTGCACGGCCCTCCATTTGTTTCTAAAGGATTTTTTATACATGCATTCATTAATACTTAGATTGTCATTGGTTAACTCCAAATAATCTACCAGTCAAAACTTTTTTGATGGGTTTTGATTATCTAGACATTTGATTGGATATCTAAGATTAATTTACTTAGATGGTGATGAACTGACAATATGAAAAGAATGGAAGGAAGACATCAGATTTTAATATGATTGAAAAATATTGTGTTTCCTATAAAAGGGTTAGTTATATTCTTGGTGTTACATTGTGATTTCAGGTTCATGCATTCTATAGAGAATGTAGTAATAGTAAGAGAAAGAGATCAGCATCATGTAATTGTGCTGTAGCTGTAAGAGTTGATGATGATGTAGTAGTTATAGATAAATGTGGACCTAAAGATGATTATAGTAGAAAATATCCTGTAACAGTTAATATGTATAAAAATGGAGATCTTACACCAGGATTTAAGATAATCCAATATAACCACGGAAAGAAATATTCTGTAAGTATCGATTTATTATATTCCTATTTGCATGAAGGATCGTGAATTGTTTGGTAAACTGTCATTTCAATTAATGTAATGATATAAACCAAACTAAACATAGCTAGACATGCTACATGTTTTTAGAAACAAACTGCCATTATGGACTAAAGTTGCTTACTTTCAAATCCGAGGACCAACATGTACCAATGTTAATACCGGGGGGGGGGGGGGGGAATGGATGGCCGAATGGTTAGCACACGCACGCTGTATCATACGGTCTGTCATTGTGCGTGACAAGGAGTAGGGTTGCCTGTCCAACCTCGTGGGTTTTCTTCAGGTCCTCCGGTTTCCTCCACTGCTAAAAACCCCTACGCACAAGCGAATTATTGAAATAAAAAAATTAAACCATATGTTAGTCCCAAAATGACCTAGTTTGTGTCGAGTGGACATTTAAACCCCATTTCTCTCTCTCTCTCTCTCTCTCTGTTTATACAGGTGCCCAATTGTGGGTTTGGAAAGCTGCAAATTGATTGAATTGATATGAAATTCACCTCTGTCAGTGAAGGGATTAGAACCATGATGTAACCAAACAATATGAATATGTTTAACTGTGATGATTTATTTCTAGATAATGTTACCTGGTGGTACAACTGTTACAGTACGAGTTGGTAGAAGAAATATTAATGTCTTTATACAAGCATCTACTATAGATTATAAACATACTGAAGGTTTGTAATAATGCAAAAATAAATTCTTATCCTACTAAAGCTGAAATTAGATGAATTTAGACTTTAGCCAAAATTGTAGAATTGATTGCTCTCACAATGTTAATTTTGTTTTTGACGAAAATATTTTTGTCATATATTCTTTATTTGATTTATAATTCTACAGGATTGTGTGGAACATTTGATGATGATAAATCAAACGATTTTCTTACACCAGACGGAGAATATCTAGAACTTAAAGGAAAATATCCTGATACATTCTCACAGACCTGGAGGTAAGAAAATGATAATTATAGAACTTTATTCAGAACACCCAAGAAACAGACGGCTTGTATGTTTTCTTGAATGGGTTGTTAAATTCACTAACAATTTAAAACCCATCATTAAAGAGATGTACATTAAATGAGATACGGTATGGGTGTATTTCTTACATATCAACAAAATGTGGGTATAGGCAGTATTGTATTAGAAAAATTCTCTTGGAAGAGTGCATTCTATCTGCTTTTCTATTCTAACAAGAAATCAATAATAATAGAAGCATTTCAAATCAACTTTTTGAAAAACTTGAGGTGCTCTCATTTATTTAATCCAAGAATGCATTAGTGACATCGTTAATACTGCCAGATCCTTCAATATGGCATTTGAGAGAAGGCATCTAGAAAGATTTTAAATACGGATTCTAATAGCTGGCATTGTTCTCTGTTTATTGTTAGACTTTCTTCTTCAAGATTTTTGTAAACTTTGAATGCCAAATTTCCGACTGCTGAATATGACTAGACTTTTGTATTTTAAAGCTCAGATATTTAGTCACTTAGCGATTAAGTATTTTAGATGATGAAGATGCAATAAAGGTGGATAGAATTGTTTTTCATGGAGAAAAAAATTGAATATCAATCACCAACTAAGGGAATCAGCTTATGGAACTGGAAATTTCATTTTAAAGCCCCCAATCAGTATTTAACTAATCAGATCTTATAGAAAATGTTTTTATCACCTCCTCACTACACAAAGTTTTATATATTTAACTTATTTTACTTTCACAGAGTCAGTCTAATGAATTCACTATATAGAGGAGTATGTGCCAGAACTGTAGAAGCTGTTACTAAGACAAAGACTTTCTGTTCATGTGGTGCTGAAAATGCTATAAGTTGTGGTGCTGATGGTTATGTTTCTGCTTGTTTTGAGGAACTTGGTAAAAGACGAAAGGGTAAGTCCATAGGCTAATTTACTCTTCTTCTCATCAACAAAACTGTTTTGAAGAAGTCATTTAGCACCAATACATATTCCAAACTAACAGTAATACGTGATATTTAGTGGGGGAGGGGGGTGATAAAAACTGTGATATTAATGATATTGATAGTTTAACATTCAACAATCAAACACAATAAATACTAGATTGTATTCATGTGTAATCAGTGGCTTGATGTCCAGCCAGGTTTCCCTTTGTCAGTAATGTGGGATGAGAGGGCCTGGGGTAGACGTGGTAGATGGAATAGAAAGAAGAGTAAACAGAAGATAATAATATGTGATATGGATGCAATATAGATATACTTATACTTATTAATCAGGGATTGATATAACAACTCGTCTGATGGAATCAGCCATGAAACCTGGTGATGATTGTGATGAAATACCAAATGAAATCTTTGAATATAATCTGACAGCTACTCCACAGGTAATTCAAAATGTTTACTTTAATTAAATTTAATCAATCTCTGTATAAAGAGAGATACAAAAAGCAGCTTTCTCATGGTTAGACTTTAATTATGAATTTTTGTGACAAAGTGGAATTGATCTTTAATGATAAATGATATTTTTTGTCTTACACTATTTTATTGTGGCCCAAGACATATGTATCGAGAGGGGAGTAATTCTTATGTATCGAGAGGAGAGTAATTCTGCTAACTTTTATTTTTGTACCGTAGTCCCTTTACTAATGAATACTGGTAGTGCATATAATTGTAAATTTATTTTTACAGATACCAACATGGCCGACACCAGGAGGATGGACGTTACAATCAGCAACTGAATATTGTAGAAAGTTTATATTGGAGAGTGAAACTGGTTCTTTATGTACAAGTAAAATACCTAGCCTAGATAGTACTACAACTATATCAGGATGTGTTGAAGATATTCAGGTAAAAATTGTCTTGCCATAAGTTTTTCTTATCTTGGCACAGATTTAAGAATTTGTTTTGAACAGTTGAAAAATTTCTTTAGTATGCTATCAAAGCTATTGTAAAAATAGTTTTGAAGCTATTTATTTAATGTTATATTGGCAGTCTTTTACATTACACCTGCCTTGTGCAAATTCAATTTAAAAAAAAATGATCTAGTTGAGTGGTTGAATCTGGGAATGGGCCAAGAAGAGCCTCAGGAGTTTAAAAGTCTGGTGTTCACTTGTCAAGGGTAGCACCTCATGAGTTCAATAAGGAATGTTTTGTATAGTTGTCAGGACAAACAGGGGTCAACCTGTATGCACATTGGCATAAAAGATCCTTTGTAGCTGGAATTGGATATAGGGAAAGCAGAAATGCGCTGCCCTAGCAAAGTTTTATTCCATGGCGCTGCCACATGAAATAGAAAATAACTTAATTTCGATAATTTTAGTTTGCCTTGAGCAATTGCTCTCTAGTTTTAGTTTATAAGACCTTGAGATGATCATTAGTTTTACTTTTCTGTTTTTTAACAGGTACTAGATGACACGTCGTTTGCTGAAACGGCTCTAGCTACCTTAAATCAACAATGTATCATAGTCATTGAATTTGATATCACATTCTGGGTGGTGATTGAAGGACAAGTGACAATATTTCCAGAGATAGATAATTTCTTGTGTCCTGAAAATTGTAATGATCAAGGAACTTGTAGAAATGGTAAGTTGTTATAAATGAATAATACTATGAATTCTGAGGTGGTCAATGGTGGATGATTTCTGATCATCTTCCCAAAGTCAAGGTAACGCAGTTCAATTATACGAGTCCATAATTTGATAATAGTAATTTGACAGCATAGTAAAATATTAATAGTACCCTGCTAGAAAAGGATGGGTCTCTAATATTCAAATAATTATATTTATAGCTCATATACAGTATGTTCGTAAAATGAATATTGAAAGCTTTACTTATTATCATTTATTTCAAGGTGATTGTGAATAACAAATTGTTGTTGTTGTAACTTGTACATGAAAGTATACAGTATTTGTGTAATAAATTAATACTATTTTTATATGTTTTAGGTATTTGTGTAATAAAGAAATACTATTGTAATATGTTTTAGGTATTTGTTTGTGTAATAGAGGTTATGCAGGAGATGATTGTTCTGTAGATGTAAATCAACCACCAACTATTTATTCTACACTCACCCCATTTCACTGTGATAAGAAAGCTAGAAACTGTGGTACTACAGTTTATATCTATGGTGAAAACTTCTACGAGTCTGATAAATTAATCTGTGCTACTAAACAAATACAGGTAGGATCATTTACAATGTTATATAAATCATAATTTATTTGAATTATGGTTCTTTGGGAATGTATTAAGGTTTTCTTTTTTTTTCTTTTTTTTTTCTTTTTTTTTTTGAAAATAAAAACCTAATTTGTCTCAAAAGCCCACGACTTTAATTAAAGAAAATTAAAGAAAATATTTACTCATAGGAGTAACAGGGGGTTATTTACTACAACCATTATATTTTCTTCTATTTTAGTTTTCGAGCAATGGAATAGAAATATCAACAACAATAGTTAAAGTTACAGCAACATTTATTAATATAAACACTGTATCATGTACTCTACCAACTGAATCCAGTTATTCTGTCAGTATCAGTAATAATGGTGTTACATTTGGAATGTATGTTAATATATTTATTATCAACACTGACTGTGTTACATGTTCAAATGATGGATGTCAGATTATGGTAAGTTAGAATTTAAGAAGCTTTTATAATGTTTATTATATTAATGGAGAGAGTTTTATATTTTAGACTGATACATGTTATATAAATGGAATATGTTATTTTTCAGATTATATAATACATGTTGTATTGATTGAGTATATTTTAGACTGATACATGGTATATAAATGGAGTATGTTTATTTTTCAGACTGGTACATGTTATATAAATGGAGTGTATTTATTTTTCAGATTGATACATGTTATATTGATGGAGTTGTTTATGTTTTAGACTTTTACATGTTATATTGATGAAGTTGTGTATATTTTAGACTATTGATGGAACATGTTTATGTTTTAGACTGATACATGTTATATAAATGTTTATATTTTAGACCGATACATGTTATATTAATGGAGTGTGTTATGGAGTAAATGATGTTAAACCTGGTGAAGCTGAAATGTTCTGTATACCATCTGTTAGTAAATCAGAATTCTCACAAAAAACTTGTAAGTACTTTTATGAAAAACTTGCCTGCTGATATTTTTTTTTGTTTAAAATCGAATCTATTTTAATGCAATTAATCTCTTAGATTTCAAATATCCAATACCTCCTTGAAAACCATTGAATAATGAATTTCTGTGTTGTACTACATAAATGAATATGATTTTACCTTTGTTTGAATTCAATGACAATGATTGGTTTGATTTTTTGCAGCCTATCCAAATGTGAAAACACCTATGTTGAGTGTTGTCAATCATGAAGAAAGTCCTTACCAGACACTAAATTGTGAGTTTGAACGTAAAGAAACACTTGATATACAATATACAGTGGTATGGTATACATCACAAGAAACTATAATAGATGAAGGTCCTTTTACTGAGACAAACGTCAGCATAGCAACTGTTGAAACCTTTTCTAACTTCAGTCTAGGTGAATCGGTAAGTATTCTGCAATATAATTAATTTCAATGACTAAGATTTATAAACAAATGGGTAAAATTCTCTTCCATGTAAGCATAGTTTGATTATGTTAAGTTGTTTCTTTATCATAATCCTTATTCTGCATGGATGACGTAAAGATTAAAAAGTAAAATATATTTGACAGTCTGTAGATCTAAATATTGGAATAACATGTTTGGTACCACATATTTAGAACTATTTTCATTATTGGCCAAGATATTTACATAAATTTTATGCTTCCATTTTATATTCCTTTGCAAGACATAGTTTTAATTTTGTGAAGTTTTCTTTGGGGCATGATGACAATGTTATATTACAAAAGATAACATAAACACATAAAAATAAACAATTTAGAAAATTCTGATTTGTATTAATTAAAATTTAAAGCTATACAAACAAATTGAAGTTCATTTGTGGCAAACATTTCTAGATAAATAAACACTATCTCTTAGTTGACATGAAAAATTATCAGTTGACATCAAATATTTCTGGAACTGAAAGGGTTAATAAATAAAAAATGAAGAACACTGTACTGTATTTATAATGTAATGTTTACAGGTCCACTGTGCTGTTATAGCTTGTTTTACATTAAACTGTGATACAACCAAATCTCCACCTAGAAACAGTTCTATTATAAAAGCTACAGTAGAGGTAAGTCTTATACTTTCAATAATTTGATTCACTCAAATAGAATTTCATGGCTATTCATATATTTTATGTGCAAATTACAAAAATTCATCATCATTTAAGGGACTGGTAATCTCACTAATCCTGTGTAAACTACACTATTGTGAAAGTTGAATCTTGTAAAAGGACTATCAGTCTAATATGGTTTAATTCTGTTCAGTATATACAAAGATATGATGAATTGATAATTTCTCATCACCCACAATAGACGATATGAACAGGATATGGTAAAAAGCCTTTAATGGGTTCTTATTAAGGGGTGAGGCTATCGAAAAAATTTAATTCTGAAATGTTAAAGCTATTGAATTGAAAATAGTACAAGTAGTTAGGAAATGTAATAAACAAGGGAAAACTAACATTGAAAATAAAGGAAAAAAAAGGTTTTACCAGGGTAACACTTTTTTTTTTGGAAAAAGTATGAAAAATGTAGGTACACCATATCTCTGGCACTTATAAAGATAAATGTCTCATTTTACGACTGCTCATTCTTTAATGATAACCCCATTTATATTGATAAATATTTTAACATTAAAATGATAATTCAAATTGCTTTCTGTCTGATTCTGTGGTAGATATTAGTTTATATATCCTGCAAATGTATTCATTCATTTGATATGATCACCCCTCTTTGTTGCTACATATATAAATGCTATATTTGATGTAAATGTAGGAGTTGATAATACCCTTCTTATTTCATTAATAACAAGCCAAATAAATACTTTAGGCTAATGATTTTATTTTTCTGACCATATTTTCAGATAATATTGAAAATATCCTGAATGCGGAAATGCCATCATAATCCAAAATATGACACTAAAATTGTTTCTTAATGAGAATCCTTTTTGTATTTTAGATACAAGAATCAAGTTTAACTGTGGTGGAGGGTGGATTAGCAGAAATGGTGCATATCAAGTGTCCTATATCACCTGGTTTCTTCTGTGGTAAATTATCTGATTGGAAACAATGCTACATTCTAATCACCACTCAAATCCAGACTTACAAAGAACTGAAATGTCAGGATGAGACTGTAACACAAGCTGTGATTGGTTATGCTGATGATATGATGCATACACCATGTGGTATTAAAGTTACTTGGGAGAATTATGGTAGTAAATTAATGATACCTGTTAAAGCTACTACAGATATGTTACGTGACAAGAAACAGATACGTAATCTTGATATACATGCTGCATGTTGGAAAGAAGAAACAGTCCTCACTACTATATCAATAACTACAATAGAGGTAAGTAATTTTATACAAATAGATCAGAATTACACTAAAACTTAATTATAAGAATAGTTTAGAATTACACTATTAGTTCAAAGTAACGCTAAAACAGAATTTATAATTGTTCAGAGTTAAGCTGAAACATATATATATAATCATCAGAGTTAGCCTAATACAGAATGGTCATAATAGTTCATAGCTTTTCTAACACCAATATTATGATATCATTATTTTACTATGAGGAATTCATATATAAATCATTTCTTATGGTAAAAGGGTAGGACAAATCTATTGATGAGCTTTCCATTATTGTTATATGTGTCTGTCTCTATATGTCTATATATGATTATATAAACTGGATGTTTTAGCTAACTATTGAAGATGTTGATAAGAAAGCCTTATGTAAATCAGTTAATGATCCTCATCTAACTACATTTGATGGCAGGTAAGTTGAACATGACGCTTTCTACTCACAAGGAACATTTTTGTGCATTTCAGTACCACTTATCACTCTGGCATATTTCCACATATTTTGAGTCCACTTGTTTTTACTGGATTTTTTTATTTTCATTTTGCTTTCATTTTATTACTAAACAGAACACAGATTACGTTTGGTTCCAACAACATTTGTTACAAAATTTTGGAATTGATAACAAGTTTTTCTGGATACCATATCATATAGATTAAAAATGTGAAACTTTTGTGTTAAAATATAATATAATAAGCATGAATGAGATGTATTGTATTAAGATATTTCTTTCTTACATTTTTCACAGGAAATACAACAATTTCTTGGTTGGAGAATTTGTTTTGTACAAGCATAAAACACTTCCATACGAGGTGAGTTATTTCACAAATATTAATATTATAGTTTGCCCTTTTGTTAGGCTTATGAATTGGATAAATTGGTCTGAATTTGAAAGGTAATTTATTAGCACTAACTTTATATTAAATAAGTTGAACAACATACGTTATAGATATATAAATAATCTTATTTGGGCCCTCAGTGGGTTAACATGCTTAGTCTCAACCATTCAATCTATAAAAATCTTCTTGGTCTTGTAAATCATCTTTGAAAGTGATGAATCAATCTGTTTTATCGCATCTGTCACATGATTATTTCATTCATACATACATATTGATATATTCTACTCTTAAGATACAACCGATAGTGATTGAAACTAGTAATTTCCCAGTTCAGCTATAATAATATCAATAACCTTACCGCCATCATTGATATTGACGATATTTAGAGATCGTGTGGTATGAATATAATTCAGGTTACCGCCACTGATTCAAAGTCGTTAAGTGGGATTATAGCCATAAATAAACAAATATGACTGAGGCGTAACCTACCTGCAACACCCTGAACATATGAAAGGACTAAAAATATGACTCATATTATTATTACAGCTGACTAGTTAATACAGTCTTGGAGAATATTTAGGAAACATATTAAATAATGTTTTGATGTTAATCTTGTGTGTGTAATCTATTTTAAGGTACATGCTTTCTACAAATCATGTGGTAAAAAGGCCTCTTGTAATTGTGGTGTGGCTGTCAGATCTGGAGATGATATCATAGTTATAGATCGTTGTCAAGTGAAAGGCAGAAAACCATTGAGAGTTCAGATGTATATAAATGGAGAACTAACATCAGGGACAAGAATGATTCGATACTCTGGTGGACGAAAATATAGGGTAATTATCTTAAAGACCGAAAGCTGATTTAGGCTTTTTTTATAATTCTAAAAGATTTATCCAAGGTATAATATAGCAATAGACAATTATTTTGAGGATCTGATGTCCCCATCTGAGCGGTTTGTTTTCAGAAAAATTAGGAAGATAAGTAGCTTTCTGCTAATTGATACAGGGACAGGTAAAAGATAGAGTTTGAAGTATATATATATGTTGGCGTTTTTCAGATTTATTTGCCAACAGGAACTCTTATTACTGTCAAAGATGGTAGAAAGAAATTTATTAATATCTGGGTGAAAGCTTCTTCTTCTGATTATCAACAATCTATGGGTAATTTGTTAAATTTTCTACATTCATTTTGTAAAAGTATAATTATTGTGATGTGATAGTCATTAATTGTAAAATTACTAAATGAAATAACTGAAATCAGATAATTATTGTGGTGGTCCTAAATTGTAAAATTACTAAATGAAATAACTGAAATTATATATGTGGTAGTCCTAAATTGTGAAATTATTAAATGAAATAACCAAAATAATATAATTTTTCTGGTAGTCCTATAGCCTATTGTAAAATTATTAAAGGAAATAACTGAAATCATATAATTAATAATCAACAAACTCATGAAAAACTTCTGTTGTTATTCAGTGTTCAGAATTAATGTTTATTTCTTCCTTCATTATGATTAATTTGACTTTTTACAGACTATTTATTGATATGCCATGGTTTTTTTTAATAGGATTATGTGGAAGTTTTGATGATGATAAATCTAATGATTTGTTGATGTCTGATATGACAGTATCATCTGAAACAGGAAAATATCCAAATGAATTCTCTAATAGCTGGAGGTATTTTTTTCAAAATTATTATTTACATGTATATATATATATATATTATGGCTTAATTAATTTACCTCATTTTGAAAGCTAATATGTTAGTGTTTGCTCATAATATATCTCCAATGCTTCTATATTTGATATAAATAGGCCATAGTACAAGTAAACAAAGTGATCACTGTTTATGATTTGAATTTTTTTTTTCATGACCTCTCATATTTATTTCAATATTTGTAGAGCAACTAGTACCTTTTACAATGGTTTCTGTCCAGAGGACATAGAAGGAGGCGAATTTGAAATGCCACAATTCTGTCAATGTACACAAAATATGGATAGTGTATGTAGCAAGGGCCTGGATGTAATTAATTGTGCTGGTACAAAGAGTTCTAAAAAGAGAAGCTTCAGAAAAGGTACAAATATATGTCACAAGTTGTTTGTTTAAAAGATAAAAGTTTTAATTCATGTAAAATTAATGATTATCACTTTTGGCGATAACCAGTGTTTCCCTTTTATTTTGGTCATATGATGTAACTTACATACATTAGTGAAGTTCCCTAAATATACAAACTTGTGGCTGTTTGTACAAATTGTAATATTTGGATAAACTATCTAGGCAAACAAATATTAGATAAAGGGAACTAACCCTTAATGGTTTGCCATGCTTAATATATTAGTCAATGACACTTTTGCTTATTTTTCAGGAGTTGATGTAACATCAACTTTTATGGAAACAGCAAAGGTGCCAACTAAATGTGTATCACAGATAACAACAGAAATATTTGAATATGATATCAATTATGTACATGTGGTAAGTTAACCTTTATTTTGAAAAATTGTTGAAATTGACTTAAATGTATTAACAGTATTTTTATTACAGTCATTAAATTATCAATTTTAATTAAATTGATGAAAGGTAGATAGTTATAGTGAGTTTAAGTTGACTAAGGCATATGGGCACTTAAAAATAGTCTGAAATTTTGGGATTTGTCACTAAACAACATAAGATAGCTGAAGGTTTTTTTTTTTGCTGCAAAAACATAACTCTGAGATTTACATAGTTGTATGAGATTAGGATAAAGATGTCTAAGAATCATCCACATGGAATAAACCATCTTCATTTACTAAAAATATATCTGAGATAGTTCCTGTAAGTTAGGATTTGTCTAGTGCAAAACCAATGTCATCTCACATTAACAATAATCAAAAATATAGTTGATAGTCAGTCTTACAAGACCTCAGATTTGAAAAACAACATTTGACTAATTTGTATATTTATTGTACAGGATGTAGATTGGCCAACACCAAGTAATATAACAGAAGAACAAGCTAGAATTATCTGTACTAATTTCATGAGAACAACTTCTATAGGAGCTAAATGTCTGGATTTAATAGGAATAGATATAGATTTCATTACAACTGTAGAATCTTGCATGGAAGATATCAAGGTATAAAAAATATTTTTCTGAATATGCATTCTTTATTTGTTAGTTATTCTTTCATATGGGGGAATGGGTGGTGAATGGCCAATTTGGATTAGATTGTAAGGTCTGTCATTGAGGGGGGGAGGGGTTGGATGGCTGAATGGTTAGCGTGCGCGCACTGTATCATAAAGTCTGTCATTGAGTCAACTGGCGGGGTTTCAAATCCCTGGTTGTACGTGACAAGGAGTAGGGTCGCCTGTCCAACCTCCGAGTCCTCCGGTTTCCTCCCACTGCTAAAGACCCCTACGCGCAAGCGAATTATTGAAATAAAATTAAACTATATGTTAGTCCTGAAATGACCTAGTTTGTGTCGAGTGGACGTTAAACCCCATTTCTCTCTCTCTTTTTAACATGAAATCAGTTATATATCAATATAGACTCTATCTGTGTACCTAAAATTCTAAATATAGACAGATAGTCACTACAATAAATCAACATATCAAACTTACCGGGTAATTAAATAATTTTATTCTTTACCGAAATCAAAGTTTAATTAGTAAAAAATAGAATTGACAAGATCTGAAGTATTTTTAAAATGCATATTACCATTTTCTTTGATTTGCATTCTTTTGATTCCTCTTATTTATTTTTTTAGCTTTCTATTCTGTTAATACATTTTTTGACAGGTAACAGATGATATTGACTGGACAAATACAGCTCTAGAAAATCTCAAGATCGAATGTTTCTTTGAGATCACATTTAATGTTGAATTGTGGGTTACAGTAGGAGATGTATTTCAACCTAATGTACAGATAACAGAGGCATTATGTATTAATGAATGTAGTAAACAAGGAAACTGTGTTGCTGGTATGTTTATTATTATTTTATTTTTTTTATTAAACATGCATTATGCAAGAGCTAAATCTGCCTACAATCTGATTAAAACACAGATCCTATTTCGTTTCGTTTTTTATAGTTCAAAATTTCGAATTACTTGTCTTTACTACACTAGGATCTGGAAGAGTTGTTATATTACCGGCGTTTTGGTTGAAGTTTGGGATTAGCCGATGAAACGGTCTGTTACAGCGCGTTCTTGGTGATGCACGGAACTGTGGGTAAACCACTAGAAACATCAACACAGATTGAGTAAAACTGGTCAGATCTTCTGTAGTGTAGGCCATCGAAAGTATAAAAAATAGAAATGCAATATAGATCTGTATATTAATATATAGTTAATAACTGAGAGTACAATTGTATGGATACATTGCCCTGTAAATTACAAAACGAAGCCAGGATTTTCGGAAATAAATTTTGTTACAGAGACGCACAATTATAAAATTCTGAACAGTTTTTGAACAACGGAAATAATATTCGAAGAAAGAGAATAGAAAAACATGGAACTGTCACCCTGTTATTAAACCGATACCAATTTGTTGATAATAATTTTTGGTATTTATAAAAAAAATAACGTTATATACCTATTCATTATTAAAGATATTTAAGGGTGAGATTCAAGGCCTGTAAAACGAATGTTGTTTCATTTTGTATTGCACCTGTGGTCATTTTCCCACCCAACTCTCTAACCAAATAATTAAGACAAGACGGAAACAAAATAACGGACTATGGGCATATTTATGTTTGTAAACGCCCAAACTATAGCTTATTCATACACAAAATTTGAATTGCTGCGACCCCCTTATATGAAATGATCTATCCCGATAAGTGACGTAATTAGCTTCCATTTTTGTATTTCTTGGATGTCAAGTTTGTGAAGAGTTCAATTTTACAACAGAGAACTTTTTTATTCGCTGGGATATTTAACTGTACAATGATTTTTATTTAACCAGAGATAATTTCAAACACACAGATAAAGCTTATAATAACTGAAGTTCAGTAGTTTGTTCATAATTGAAGAGATCTGTTTAAAATTTACGTCGGTTCAGACAGTAAGATATATATGTTAATATTGATACATGTAGATATATGTCAATGCATTTATTAAATATGCATTATGCAAGAGCTAATCTGTCTATTGCAGGTCTTTCTTTAGGCCTGAAATGTTATCTAAATTATTAATTAGACATTAATTAACTTATCCAGACCATAATCAACTCTAGATGGCATCGCTAGCCTGCGATCTTAAGTGGATTGTGAGCCGATTTACTGCATAACTTTCCTTCTCGATTAAACTATTAAATGGATAATAGAGACTGTGCTGTTTATCGTACTGATGACCGAGGCTAGCCAGAAATTTCATTCGCTTAGTTCTCGGTTCATAGTGGATCAATTTGAATGAAGTTTTCAGCAAATTGCCTTTACGTTATTTAGTTTTTAATTATTATAGTGAGAACTGCCAACTCGTTATCGAATCTCCCATAATGTATCTTTAATACATGGGAAAAATAATCATAAATATACAACACTTTATGAATTTGTTGGGTGGAGCTAATAACTTCAAATGATTATTAAATTAAAATTCTGTTCATGTCTGCAAGTTCAGCCACAAGATCAGTCATATCACACTTTCTGTTGGTGTGCATTTTTCTGATTGTTTTGTATATAAATTATATTTGTGTTTTAGGTGAATGTATTTGTAATAGTGGATATGGTGGTGAAGATTGTTCTATAGATTTAAGTAAACCACCAATATTAGACTATATATTAACTGGTACAACATGTAATATACTACTAGACAAGTGTAATATAGTCAATATAATTGGTAGTGGTTTTATAGATAACAATAATCTCACTTGTCACTTTAACACAATACAGGTAAAAACAACTTATTTTACATCTTTCATTATTTTGATTTATCATGGGATAAGTTGACTTTAGTAGAGGTGCAGTAAAATACTGTGATATATACTTTTTGTAATGTTGACCACAATACTGTTTTTGTATATCAGTATATCGCTCAGAGATTATCCAAGATACTCGCTATTTGAAAGAAAACTCCTTGTCACAAATCTGTGACATAATGTGTGAGCTATGTAACCAAATGCTAGTACTTATCTTTATATTGGATAATTTAATATTCATACCTGTTTGTGAAAAAAATCATTACTTAATATTTTGTGTGACCACTTGGTACAGTTAAACTTCCATTTTAGCAGCAAAGCAACAATGGAAAAAAAAGTTGCTAGATAACCATGATCAAAATCGGACTTCATGTGTTTGGATTAGCTCTGAACTACCTTTTCTTATCACAGTCATTCGATTCTCAAATACTTTTACTAGATTTATTGTTTGTTTACTTGTCATCGTTGAAAAAAATAATTCCCGATTGATACCCATACATTTCAATAAAAAGAAAATGTTGAATTACAACATTGTTTTGTCTTCCGAAAGAAGATAGACTTTGGATTATCCTTGATGCTTTATGTCTGCTATAGATTGTCAAAATCAAGTTATAAAATTGGTATAAAATATATCTTTTAGATTGGTGGTAAATATGACCAGCCTGAGAATGAAACAAGAATGCCAGCTATATTTGTTAGTTTTGAAGAAGTTAAATGTGTATTACCAGGCTATGTAAATGTCAATATAACTATTAGTAATAATGGTATATTAGTCAGTGAAATACCACTAACACATATAGTTTATAATCCTTCTTGTGAAGTCTGTACACCATCTGCTTGTCAACCACGGGTAAGTTATTTAATTCTGTTCTGTTTCAGGTTCAATTAACTGTTGAATTTTAATGAATTACTGGTACATTAAGATACTTAATTGAATTTGTCCATTTGCATATGCTCACCCCATCCTTCCACTGGATACAAAAGTTGTTAATGTAATGTAGGGTAATATTAATGAATTAGCACTTTCACATAAACAGCCATTTGAACTAAAAATTATTAAATATTGTATCGATAATTGAACACACACCATATACAGATCATACAAAAAATTATGAATCAGTATTCTTAGTAACTTTTAAGAATATAATTTAATCTCATTATAAGCCGTATAATTTGTCTAAACAGATAAGTGCATCTAAAAATTTGCGTAAATACTTTTGAATATTTATCATGTAATAAAATAAAACCAAGTACGAACAATCCAAACCATTAGACAAAATTCGAAGTCCTAAAAAAACGGTATAGGCAAAATAGTGTAATCAACAAATGGACTGTTCACCGTGTACAAAATACATGACAAACAGTGGTAACTGGTGTCCGGAAGAGTAAGCTTACCCTGCCTGGCGCCACACCCGCCATAGCTGCATCCAAACTATTACATGAAATCTCGATAAAATAGTGTGATTGGCCAAATTACTATCGGTATGCAAAATGCACGTGATGAACCGTGTTAACGATGTAGTAGACATAATCAGGGAGATAGTATACGCGTCAATTAAATATATCTAGAATAATAGCCGAGAGAGACATGTTATATTTACCAATCAAGTCAATATGACGACCATAAAACTTTTTAAAGGTTTTTATAAGTTTAGTGCGCAAGTCACAGCCATTGATCGATCCATAGTATATCAATCAATCTGTCTTCATTATCCCAGTCAGTACAGAAAAGTAGGATGTTAAACCCCATTTCATTTCAATCTATATATTTATTACAGGATGATATCTGTACAATAAATAGTCAGTGTTATGAATGTGGACAGATATTTAAAGATGATCCAACTCTATTCTGTGATCCAGCTACCAATAACACAATGTGGACACAAATTGAAGGTAATACTAATATTAATGAACATACATGACAATGTGAAGTATTGATTTGATTTGAAATATTAAACAAGGTGTTTTAGATGTGTGTAGAGTTAGGCTGTTCCATAGTACTTTCAGAATACTCTGAATAATTATTGTTTATAAAAAAATATAAACTTTCATTATATTCTCTACAAATTGTATTTATGTTAAAATAAACATTTATTTTTTGTTTTTTTGTTTTACCCTTTTCAGCTTCAAGCATAAGCATAAGCCGATATCCATTTGAAAATATTGTTGATTCTATGCTGAAGACTCCATCACTGGATTGGGTATTGACTGGAAAACCAAGTCTTGTAGAAGGATTTGGAGGTGGAAGAGCGGTTCGTTGTAACGCTGGACAAGAATCAGTACAAACTTCTAATCTGCATCCTATTCTCTCTGCTCCAAACAACTGCTCCAAGGGATTCACACTTAAATTCTACAACAAATTTGAGTCTTTCTGTGAGAACATGTATCTTATATCTACTGGTGGAGATGTTGCTGATTCTACAGGTATCGCTGTCTATTACCAGCGAAACCGTCTTCTATTTACCGTCAGTACAGAAGACAAAGAATGGACCATTGTACTACCCTACAAGAAATTGAATGTATTTGAGGAATATGAAGTCAGTTGGGAACGTGGATTGGGATTAGAATTGAAAACTGGTGGAAAGATTAGGAAATCCATGAAATATCTTCAACGATTAACCCGAGGAAAGAAACAGAGTTCATTGAGAATTGGTGGTTATAGATCTGGTAGAGGAGAATGTAATGGTGTTTTTGTTTTTGGAGGTTTAGAAGTGTATAATGCCCATACTACCGTTCTACAAACACTCAATGTTATAACAGGTAAGTACAAGAAATCTCAAATCATTCGTGAAAAAAAATATCTGCCCTATTGACTTACTGATAAAAGAAATATTGAAACAGTTGCTATTCAAATAATAGCTGATTCTAAGCACTTAGATTCCAGTATAAGCAATTCAAAATTTAGTTCTAAATAAGATGATCAAACATTATCATCTGGTGTTTTATTGTGATAGGTGTTTGGGCAAGTTCCATTTTCATATCCTTACAATAAATCAAAGTCCTCTGTTTTTGACATGAGATTGGTTTTATCTCAACATTGGATCAAAAGATCAATTAAACTGACTAAATCCTTTGATTTTGATGAAAATAAATGTGTGGGTTTGATTAAATTTGAGGTGCTTATGTCTACTTTTATAAATTTAGATTTTGTCAGTTAATATTTCAAATATGAAAAATTAACTGTATCTTAGACTGTTCACTTACCCAAAAAACACATCAGATCCTAACAATTCAATTTTTTTTATGACCTAAACCAAATATCTTTTTCTTTACAATTTTATGAGATATTTATTTTTATTTCAGAACTTCCTGCTATATTTGTAAAGCCAACCATAAATGTGACATTTAACTCTGATAGAAATGTAACAGAATTTAGATGTCAGTTTACAAGACTGGAGAGAGGAGATGTGGCTTATAAACTTAAATGGTTTATCAGTGATACAGAAATTAAAATGGAGAAGCTGACAACTGAATCTGAGGGTATTTTACTAGAAACTGAATATACCCAATGGACATATGGTGTACAGGTGAATATGAAATGAATTGAATTAAGGATTAAAGTCCCTTATTTTCGAAATCCAACTGTCAGGGGTTCTTTTAAGCGCACTCCAATGTGTACACAAGATCTGAATGACAATATGTTGTACCTCGCCAGGCTCTCTGTTCTGCACCACTGACAAGGAGAAGCCACACCAAATTCCCAATGAACTCTCTTGGCCAACACCGGGATCAAACATGGGGCCTCCTTGTTAGTGAACCAACATCTTACTCACTAAGCCACCACGACTCTCCAGGTTAGAAAAAAATAGATTTGACCGAACAATGGCATTTGAGTATATTTTTGATTAGGAACAAATATTAAATTCTTCAGTTTTTAATATTGCCACATTGTTATAAATAATGGCATGTGCCGTGCATCAAACAAGGTTTGTTTTAAATTCAGAAGCATCTAATACCACTTATTTTCAAGACTTCTAGTAGATAAAAAACATTTTATACTACTTTTGCTTGAGATTTTAATTTTTTGACATTTTAAATATTTTATATTTTTACAGGCGTATTGTTTAGTTATACCATGTTTCTCATATGATTGTGATAATACACAAGGAGCTGGTCAATCAAGTGTACTCTTAGAAGCTGGTATTCTGGTATGTAAACGTTCATGTTCTCATGTTAGTTTAAAGAGTTCTTGATTTATAAAGTTTGATTGTATGTGAAATTTGAGACAGATGTGCCATTGAGACAGACATGCCAATCTGTCGATGAGATATTTATACATTTTTTAGGATTCATTACAAGTACGAACCCATGCATAGCCTCCTCGGACAAAGTACTTTGCTCTCTTTAAGTGGGATGGGATAGTGATCGAATAACCAATAATTAGGAGTCATGGGTTGGTTTGAATATGATGTGTTATAAAATGAACTACATTCATTCTCTGGTTGAGAAATATAATGGTACCGGTAATTAAATTTTGCCATAGACAATTTTGATCTTTATTGGGGAGAAATATTCAAATTTTTCTTATTTGGCATGGATCAGACCATAAAATCTAAAAAGATTTTATTATGTTAGTGATATGATTATAAAAACAGATGTCATTAGAAATTTGAATCATTCCGAGTAATTATTGTAGAATATTTTATCTGTTTATTTCAGTATTTAAATCAAACCGAGATAAAATTATATGAAGGAGCCATGACATCTTTCATCTATTTACAATCAACCGTACCTCCACATCTACTGTGTCCTATTGGTCATGGAACAACTGGTGTCACCACTATACAAACACAACTGACAGATTTTACTGGTAAACGGAAACAATGTCCTCAAGGAAATCCATTGTTTCAAGCTGTAATTGGTACTTCTGGTGATTCACAATGTGAATTTAGAATTACATCAAATAACTGGAATCAAAACATGAAGGTAAGTATATTAAACAGAATACAAACAAATAACATTGGTAAAATTAAGAAATGAATGAGATTATAATTGAGAAATTTATGAGATTATAATTGAGAAATTTATGAGATTATAATTGAGAAATTTAGGAGATTTTTATTGAGAAATTTATGAGATTATAATGGAGAAATGAAAGAGATTACAATTGATGAATGAAAGAGATTACAATACAACTGAGAAATAATGAAGAAATTTATGAGTTCGTAATGAAGAAATTTATGAGATTACAACTGATAAATTTATGAGATTACAGCTGAGAAATGAATGAGATTACAATTGAGAAATAAATAAGGTTACAACTGTTAAATTTATAAGATTACAATTGAGAAATGAATGAGATTATAATTGAGACATTTATGAAATTACAATTTAGAATGGAATGAGATTACAATTTAGAATAGAATGAGATTACAATTTAGAATCGAATTAGATTTCAAATAGAAAGGAATGAGATTATTATTGTATTTTATTATCAGTTACCAATCCGTGCTACTATTGACGGTGTTATAGATGGTAATTCTAAAGGAAAGTTACTTATATCATCTGAGACAATATGTGATGGTAGTACAGATACAACCATAAAGCAAATTACTGTTGTTGATGTAGATGTTATAGATAAAGATAAAAAATCTATCTGTGGGTCAGTTAATGATCCTCATATGAGAACATTTGATGGCAGGTGGGTTGAAATGTCTTTAAATCATTTTTACTTTAAAAGTTAAGTAGTAGCAGTTAGCTATGGATGTGGTTAGGTAAGCCAGCAATAAAAATCAATGATTTTTGTTTATTCTAAACAATTTTATTAGAAGTCTAATAATTAAAGTTACATTATGTAAGATAAGATAAAGAGATGGCAGTTCTCGATATAATAGTTAAAAACTAGATAGTGTAAAGGTAATTCGCTGAAAATTTCAGTCAAATTGATCCACTATGAGCCGAGAAAGAAGCGGGTGAAATTTTTGCATAGTCTCGGTCATCATTACTAAAATCATCAATATAAACAGCATAGTCTCGATTATCCACTTTTATTGATTTTATTATCAATAGCCGTTAGCGGCATATATGAATCTAATCCAGCCAACATCGAAGGCTAGCCTTGACATCGAGAGTTTATTATGGTCTGGATAAGTTAATTAATGTCTAATTGATAATTTAGATAACATTTCAGGCCTAAAGCAAAGACTTGTAATAAGCAGATTTTGCTCTTGCATAATGCATGTTTAATCATTGTTTTAAGATTCGTGGGAAATATGTAATCATTAGGTGAGGTAAATATGTATGCACTGAGAATTAAAAACTCTGGTCAATATATAGTATTAGCCATTTGAATCCTAAAAGATCAACATCCATATTAATTTGTATGAGTAAATGATTCATGTTTGTTTTTAGGAAATACAATAACTTTTTGGAAGGAGAATTTGTTATGTACAGACACACCACCATGCCATATGAGGTAAACAATTGATGCTAAAGATAAATAAAACCACAAGGGAATAACACATGTATCTCTGATATTACAATGATGATTTGAAGACATTGTATTAACACCCCATTTCTAGCATTAGGTTCTGCAATAAAGTTCCCTGAACATTGTTGAATATTATATTTATTTCACCTTGTATTTTATTTAAAAGAATGAAAGTAATAATATGAATGCTTATCATAATATTTTTTTCTTCGTTCTTGGTAGTAGTTGGCTTAAATTCAAATATCGTGTTGTCTATTTAGTGGTTGATTTCAGATCTAATGCTTTTATTTTTAACAGGTTCGAACATTCTATCGTTCTTGTAATGGTTTTGCTTCCTGCAATTGTGCTGTGGCAGTTCGTGTTGGTGATGATGTCATCTTGGTTGACAGATGTGGTGCCAAAAATACGGGAAAAAAGACACCTATGAAAATAACAGTATATAAAAATGGAGAAATGACTAGGGGATTAAAGATATTAAGATACAAAGGCTCCAAATATCAGGTGAGTTTTATTATCTATTTATTGTCATCACCATTAATCTATCAATCATTCTTTCTATTTGTTCTGGGGATGATGCAACCCAGGAATTTGAGTCTGTAGGTTATGTTGACTCTAATGGGGTTTATCATATCAACAGCACTTCATCATAAATGATTCTTTCTCACCTGTGTTGGTATTACAGATACAAATACTGTACAATATTATTTAAATATCTGTGTTAATACATTATGAACTCATTTTAAAGTGGTATTTAATTTTATTTGTTTGTTTGTTGTTTTTTTCAGATTGTATTACCTACTGGAACAACTGTTAGTATCAAGTCTGGTGCTAAATCTTATAAAACTAAGTCTAATTTTATTAATGTTTGGATTAAAGCATCCGCTGCTGATTTTGAACACACACAAGGTAATAATTCTTTCATCTTAAGTTAATAAAATATGTTGTTCTGTAAATGTGATTCTGATGCTAGGTAGAACCAGATTCACTTGCTTCATGTACAGGTTTATATTGTGTATATGATGAATGATATATATTTGTGTTTTATGTAATAGGTTTATGTGGTGTATATGATATATTGTTGTGTTTTATATAACAGGTTTATGTGGTGTATATGGTGAATGATATATTGTTTTGTTTATGTAATATTTTTATGTGGTGTATATGATATATTGTTGTGTTTTATATGACAGGTTTATGTGGTGTATATGATATATATTTGTGTTTTATATAACAAGTAAATGTGTGGTGTATATGTTATATAGTTGTGTTTTATATAACAGGTTTATGTAGTGTATATATTTGTGTTTTATATAACAGGTGTATGTAGTGTATACATTTGTGTTTTATATAACAGGTTTATGTGGTGTGTATGATGGAGATGATGACAATGATCTGCTTATGTCAAGCGGAAAACTATTTACAGAACGTAAAAAATACATCAACAAATTCTCTGAATCTTGGAGGTAGGATATTGTTTATTAACTCATATTATTTATAGTTAAGTTGAATAGAAAATTTGTATACACTTATATTTATTGTTGATCAGTTCTTACATTCAAAACAAAGGAATGACAGGTCATATAGGCTATGTTTGTTTCTCAATCCCTTTCAATTTTTTATTTAAAAAAAGGTGATGACACTTACCAAAGATCAACTTGAAATGATTCATAATCAATTGTGATTGAAATGATTCAAAATCAATGGAGAATAGATATGTTTACTATTTATTTTGTAGGGTATCTAAAGAAGAGACATTATACAATGGTTATTGTCCAGATGATAATGATGAAGATGAACCAGAACCTATGTCTTACTGTAGTTGTCAGTCAAATAATTTATGTGAATTAGACAGTTATAGATTAGATTGTCGTCCACCCAATAAAAAATCGGGCAAATCTAGATGTAAGTTTTATAGCACCTACACACCTTGTCTAAAGCTATCATCTAAATGTCATATAGTAATTATATCTCATATCTTCCATGAAACGTGTCAATGGATACACAAACCCAACCAATAGTGTAGTGACATATACACCGGCTTAATGAGTTCTGCCTGATTACTAACAATTTTAACTGACTCAGAAACATTATGTATATAAAATAATGACTTTGATCTGTTTTGTCAAATGTATTTTCATTTGTAAAAGTCAATGATATCAACTTTACAGTGATGTTTTCTATTTTTTTCTTGTAGATGTGGATGTAACTGATGAAATCCTGAACTTAGCTGTTGAACCAAATAAATGTGTTACACCTGATGAAAAAGAAATCTTTGAATATGAAATAGACTATGTTCCCAAGGTAGAACATTTTTTACCAAATGTTGATGCTTTGGTCATTTTGAAAATTGTATTGGTAATTTTTATCTGCCCATATTTAGTGTGGAGGTATATTGCCACAGACCCCACCCATCATTCTACCCACCCCTTTGATTTTTTGTCAATTTTGCCGGGATTGTTCATTTGGTGGTAAGGGGGAGCTACGGTGGCTCAGTTGGCCCACTAACCCAGATTTCCTGTGTTTGATCCCTGCATTGGCCTGGAAAGTTCATCCGGATTTTCCAGCATGGTTCCCCCTTGTCAAGTTGGCTGGGCCGGCAAGGAACTATGTCGAGGTCCTGTGTACACATTGGCTAGGATATAAAAGAACCCTTGGCAGTAGGAGATAGTGCTGCTGTATAGGCCAATTTTCCCTTATAGCAAACTGCATGGTGTATACCCCGTCTTTATTAGCCCAGTCGGTGCAGAAAAGTAGGATGTTAAACTCCATTTCATTTGGTGGTAAGGAAGAACCCTATCAAAATTTTCGGTCACAAATTTCAGAGTTATCCCTCTATTCAGGTTCAGTCTTATGAACATTGTTTGTACAAGACAAAACTTGTAGGATTTTAAAAAACTTACTGAACTTATGAAAGCCTATTTCAAAATGTTTGGATTGTAAATTTAGACGTGTTTTGCTAATTTCATATATCTAGTTGTATTTTGAATACAGATACAGAATGCAAAGGGCCCAAAGAGGAATGCAAATGAAATTTAAACTTTTTGTAGATCTATCTCCTTGAAAACCTTACCTATTGAAAGGGCTAATAAGTGTACAACTTCAGTAAAAGTAACACCCCCTGGTGGCACTGTGAATGATTTGTATAACTCATGAAGCACTGTAACTTCTAATTTTTGTTTTTCCATTATTGACATTTTTGTTTAACATAAATTATTTACACATATTTTAGGAACCTGTTTGGCCAACACCTAGTGGTTTAGAAGAAAAAGATGTTAAAGCAATATGTGAGAATTTTGTTGAGTCATCTTTAGCTGTTAAAGATTGTGCTGCTTTAGATGGTGTTGATTTTGATCATGCTCTAGAGTCTTGTATAGAGGATATTCAGGTATTTTTAATTAAATTTTCAGTATGATCTGAGGGTGTAAAATGTTACTATCCGGGGGTTTCTGATTTTTCATTGTTAGGATAAATGTGGATGTATTGGACATTTAAACCTTTCAAATTGATCATAACATATTTCATGAAATGTGATGGTTGTGAAAATTTTTAATATACATAGGCAATTAACTAGAGGGTTGGCATTTTACAATATTAACATCAATTAATGAACAAATCATTTATATAGAACTGTTGCTCCATATTAAAGGATACCGACAAAACAATATATAACATGGAATTGGCCATTGAAATGAGGCATGTCCTTACCTTTGTAAAACAGATCTCATATTTATACCAGATGCGATTTAGCTTTTCTTTTTTATTTCGAGGGAAGAGAGTCGTATCTGTAAGTTTTGTTTGGACAATTACATAGCTAATACATTTGACGAACAGGACATACAATGAGCAGTGTACAACATACAAATTTAAACTCTATGTAAAGATGAAAACTCAATTGCCACTGCCAGGGCAAATGTCCTACAGATAAGAAAAGTGGTGTATCCAATCATGATCCCCTTCACAACCTGTAGACCTGTAATATTTTATGATTAAGATTGGTAATTTTTAATTTTCAGCTATCTGATGATCGTGATTGGGGCAATGTTATGTTAGATAATATAAAAGAACAATGTTTAGAAGTAATATCAGTAGATATATCTTTATGGTTTACTGTAACTGGTACACTACAGATACCTAATATCTTCTCCATTATATGTCCATCTGATTGTTCTGGTAGAGGAAAATGTGTCCAAGGTTTGTATTTTGTTGAATTTCATTATTGTTGAAAACCTATGTTTAGTACTATCAGATATCTTGGTTTCTAATACCCCCGTCAGACCGGGGTGGGGTCCTTACTGCGTTGCTACAGCTATGGAAAATGATCTCAGAGCGTGTCAAAATTACCATAAGCATTGATGAAACACAAGATATTGTGCTGAGGTCGCCATTGGTCCCCAATGAACGTCGAGTTAGTGTGTTTGTTTTGAGCATGTTCAAAACAAATTCCGAGGTTCTGCGATCTGACCTGGAAAGCTGTGAGAACATGGTTCTTTTTCCAAGTTTGTAATTTTTTGGGACATTTTCTCGCATTGTGTTCAGGTTGTGCATTTTCTGGTCTCCATACGGTCGCAGCAGCGCACTAAGGATGCCAACCGGCTATGTAATTTATCATTGTGGTACTTGAGGGGGCTCCAGCAGCCCTCCCCCTTTTGCGACGACCCCAGAATAGATCAATCAGTAATCAGTGAATAAGCACATCAGTAGTCTGTGAATAGATTAAAACATGGTTATGAACTCACCAATCAAAACTCAATCACTAGTATTATAACAGTTTAAATATATCACTGTTGGATAGATTTATTAGGACTTTAAACCATATCATCCTATATTTATTATCAGGTATTTGTGAGTGTGATAATGGTTATATTGGAGATGATTGTTCTGTAGAAGTTAACAAACCACCTGTTCTAGAATATATAGAAGGTGGCAGAACCTGTAACTTGATAGAAGATGACTGCACCGAAATTAAAATTGTTGGAAGTGGATTTGTAGATGTTGAAAATCTGACTTGTCACTTCACATTAGTTGAGGTAAAGAAAGTATATATTGGAGAGGTAGGGAGGGTAATTATACCTTTTGACAACCCACAGGGTAAAACACAGATGCACCTTTTTAAGTGATTTCTAAACTTCCTTTGCTTTACACTTTTACCAACAACTAGTCATAATGTGATATGAATTGTTCGCATATTCCTGAAAAGTGAAAGATATGTACTATTTTAATGTAAAGATATGTACTATTTAATGTAAAGATTGTTATTATGTAATAATGTATAATGGATTATGAAAAGACCCCCATGTTGAATGAGTTGGTTTTTACGAAAAGAATGCATAATTATTATCATTTTATATATCTAACTAAGACACATAAAGATGGCGATGTAAAATCAATGAAAGCATTTTTAATTGTGTATGGTGTTAGCCTTGATTCTGGCAGTAAAGCTTATGTACAATAATACAATAATGAATGCTTATGGTCCTTCCTTTGTGTCCATTTCTAATGTTTTGATGGTTTTAATTGTTAAGCATGTTATTAATAAGCATGGTGCAAATCAGTCTGCAAAGATACCCCCACCCCACACCCACCCCCCACCCCCACCCCTAAATGGACTAGTTGGACTGAACACAACTTAAACATTGTCTTTGAGACGTTTTTAACTGATATTGTCTCACATATATTACAGCCTAACTTACTAGAAGAGATATTTATTACTACAGATGAAATATTCACATCTTCAGCTATTTTCATCAGTTCTGAATCTGTTACATGTCGACCAGGTAGAGAAGCATCATTCAGAGTCAGTATTAGTATTGATGGTGTTACTAAAAGTGAATCACTAATCTTTGTGTCCTATGATCCTGTTTGTATGACTTGTGACAATGATAGATGTTTTATTCAGGTAAGTAATGTAATATATTACCTCAAATCACAAACTGTTGACCAGGTGAAATAAATATTCCTAGGGTCATAAATTAGTCACTCAAGAATGACTAATGCTTGTTGCTTGAACTCAATATAGAATATAATATGTTATTTAAAGTATTGATGCGTTATAAGCATTGTTTGCTAAAATATTAAATTTTTCACAGCTTAAACCTCGCTAAATTTGTATTCAGATTTATTTAATTTAACATTTAATTAAGAAAGCCAAATCAAAATACCAACGTCAGATAATCTACTGGTTCGAATTATATCAGATTTAAACTAGGCCCATCAGGTTTCGTTCGCTACCAATAAATGATGGCAACATTTTGTTAGGCTCATGCACCATATAGATCGATGAAATTTCAATATACTTATTGAACCATATTATATCTTGCAAGGAATTCCTATAGTGCCAAATGACACATCAAACCTTTAATATAAATATAACTACCTTTCAATCAAAATTTTAAATGTACATCAACTCAGTTTAATTTGGATAGTAAAAACATTAGAATCTTACATTATTATATTATCTCTCTCTAAAACCAACAGAATCATAATTTTGTATTAAGTGTATAAATCTAATCAGGCCTGAATATTTAATTGAATTATTGAAATTACTAATATATTTTATTTTTTCAGGAAAATATCTGTGTGATTGATTCTAAATGTTATGCCAATGGTTTTATCAATCCTAACAATAGAAGTTTGATATGTAGGCCTGAAGTATCATTAACTGACTGGCAAATATTTAAAGGTATTTTGTATTATTTATAAACATTAGATTTTGTTGTTCGTTGTTAAAGGTATTTTGTGTTATTTATTAACATCAGATTGTGTTGTTCACTCTAAAGGTCACAGGCCATTAATTGAGTTCCTACTTTTTATGTTAAAAGCTGTGAACATTTGAGCTATTAAAATGAATTACTTTTTGAGATACCATTATTTGACAAGCTGTGTGGAAATAACGGGGCCATTTGAAATGGTAAATGGAATGGTACCTTTAGAATGAATACCTGATATAATAATTCCATAACTTTTGATAAAATTTGTTTCCTCCCTTTTTTTCAGTACAAGAAGTTACCATTGAACGTTTTATCTTCCTGAGAATAATCAAAAATATTCTTGTAACATCATCTTATAACCTGACCATATTTGGTAACCCAAGCTTTATACCTGGACCTGTAGGTGGAAATGCTGTATTATTCACCAGTGACAAACACTACCTTGAGTTTACTAATCAACAGAACTGTCTCGTGGATTTAAATCGTTGTCCATTAGGTTTAACAGTGTCTTTTAATTTACAAATACAAAAGTTTGTTAATAAAATGTTGATCATGTCCAGTGATGGAATAACAATGTGGTGGAAAGGTAACAGATTATATTTACAGGTGTTGCTTGGCAACAAATTATGGGATGTTAAGCCTAAATACAACAAGAAAAAAATAACAGGTTTTGTTAAAGTAGAATTCAGTTGGAGTGAGCAATTAGGTCTAAAGATATATTTTGATAATAAATTAGTGGACACTGATAGAAAATACAGACGGCTGAAAAAAGTACCTGATCTGTTAAGAAGGTTACGTATTGGAGGAGGTTTGTTTGCTATAGCTGATTGGAATGTTGTATTTGCTGAAAGAGAAATTGTCAAGAATTTTGATCTAAGTATTGGTAAGTCCACTATTTGAAGAATATTTTCATTTCGTGTGATTTTTTATTATTTTTTCACTACATTGTAATCTGACAACAGACAAACTGTCAGTCACCATCATATTATGACATCATATTCTGTTCTTATCCCACCATTGAATCCAAATGGTTATGCCCCAATACCACTCTCATAAACACTTTCGTATAATCAAATGCAATAGGCATATTACCAATACAAACATTTTTATTATTCAAAAAGTACATGTATGCGATTTAACCGCAAATGTTAACGGAGTACAACATAGAAAAATAATTAAAATCTGATTTTAATCAAATTGCTATTTGAAGTATGTATGGCCAGAAAAACATCCATATTTTATTAAATATATAATTGTTATATAACAGAACACAATCTCACCGTCTGGAATTAACGTTTATTGATATATAAATCCATCTAACTTTCATCTTACAAAAGTAACCGTGAACTCGTACATGTATCACCTAGGCATTTGCATTCCTGAATTTATTTGTTGAATGGGTAGCTATTGTTTAGGAAATGATGAATTGCAAGGAAATGAATTATGAATCTTAGAACTTTTGTTTTCATATAACATTTAATGCATTATTGAATTTTGTGATTTTTCAGAACCTCCAATATTAGATTCAAGACCAGAATTGGAAATAATAGTTGATAATGCAACCCAGGCTGTTAGTTTTGAATGTAAATTTAAAACTTTGAATAATCCCAGTAACTTAAAATATGCAGTAACTTGGTTCCATAATAAAGATATACTACAGCAAGTCCAAACAAGTTTTGTTGGTGAAGAAGGCAAGATCACTCTTACAGAAGACAGAATTAATTCATTAGAAATCAATGACAAGGTATTTAATTATGTTATCATTTTCAAATAATTTATTTTTTTGAGAGAGAGATAGAGAGAGAGAGAGAGAGAGAGAGAGAGAGAGATTTAACTACACTCAATACAAACTAGGTCATTTTGGGACTAACATGGCTCAATTCTATTTAAGGGTCTTTAGCAGGACCCAGAGAAAACCGACGAGGCTGAATATTGGGTTGGCTTATATAAAAAACTTTTATATGGTTACTGTTGCCACCTCTATCCGTAGGTCCGTGAACAATTCTTGTACACATTTTACAGGTCCGATTTCTTTTTTTAAACTTGCTAAGATTGTTCAATTAGTCCCAAGCACAAATCCTAATAAAATTTGCAGATCAGTTGTAAATGATTTAAATTCTGCAATTCTTTAAAACGTTCTGCAGTTTCAAGTTTTTGAGATTTTTCTTTTAAACTATCTTGAAGTTGTTTAGTTAATCCTAAGGGGGGAATGTATCAAAAATTAGGGTTGCACTATAATTTTGTCACTGAAACCTTGTAATCCTTGTTATGATTATTGCCCCTGAACTTGAAATCACCCCTCAAAATGTTGATGATACTATGTTTAATTAGTTAACTTTGATACTGTTTTTGTGCAGCTGTACTGTGCTGTAGCTGTTTGTAAAGATGATAATTGTGGACCATATAGAGAGAGTATAACCATTGTAGCTAACATGAAGGTAAAACACAATTCTATTACTCTGTTTTAATACATTTAGTTGGAGTATAAAGAAAATTTGAAATCAAATGTGATATGATTTTGCACTAATTTTAATTGTCTGGTTATTCTTGGACTAAATAAATATTTAAATTTTTATTTATGATAAAATATTTTTTATAACTAGACTCTCACAACCAGCTGACATTTAATTTATAAAAGTTAGAATCTGTAAGGTGGATAACTTATTTATTTCATTGTTTCAGCTTCACACTGAGAAACTGACAGTATATGAAGGTGGTTTATTTAATTATATTGAAGTCTCATGCTCCATACCACCTAGACTCTTCTGTTTATCACAAGATCGTGATAGTTGTAAACTGTACATTAGAACAGAAATAGAACGCAAAAAGGAACAGAAATGTCAAACAGGAGAAGAAATTGTACAAGCAGTTTTTGGTGTACAGGAATCTAAAGAGGAACAGCAACCATGTTCTTATTCCATCACTTCTGCTAACTGGTTTAATAAGCTACGTATACCAATAAAAGGCACCATCGATCAACTCAAAGATCGCGATCAGACACGTGAAATTTATGTATCAGTACAGATATTTGCTGGAGAGCTACTCTACCAATCTGCTAAATTTGGCTCTGTTGAAGTAAGTAACAAATTATCAAAAGCAAATAATGGACACTATTTGTAGTAAGTTGATATCAAAAACCTGTTTATCTTGAAATTACTGGTACATGGGTGGGCAGCAATCCTTGTTTGTATACAGGGATTTAATTAAAAGCAAAGTTCATTGCAAACTTCTGTTTGTGTCAGATATTGTTATATATCTCTCTATTGTCTTTTCCTACTTTTATTCTTAATATCAAGTTTCCTAGATTCTACAGCTTATATTTTATTATATTTGTTTAGTTGAAAGTTAAAGATCGTGATAATCTGTCATTATGTAAATCTTATGGTGATCCACATGTAACCAGTTTTGATGGAAAGTAAGTACAAATTATACATATTATCATAGGTACAAAATATGTTGTAATGTTGGTTGTCAAATTCCCAAATTTTCATAGTACTTTAATATTAATTATAATTACTTGCTGCAAACATTCCTCAGTACAAGCAGGGAAATGACAATTTAGTCAGAAAAGTTCATCAATTACTGACAAGCAATTTGTAGGAAATAATCAATATCAGTTAGCAGTAATTTTCAAGGCAACAGTTGTTCAAGCAGCAATTAGTTAGCAGTAATTAGTTGGAGATGACAGTTGTTCAAGCAACTTGTATTTTTATTATTACAGTAAACATAACAACTATTTGGAGGGAGAATTTATTATGTATCGACATAAGACACTACCATATGAGGTAAGCATTAATCAAATTACCGGTATACTAACTTGAAGCCCCAACATGGCAGTATAAAAAATTAAAGATGCATTATGTAACAGCTGTGTCTGCCTATTGCAGATCTTTTTGGGGCTTCAAATGTGATATAAATCATTATTTAGACATTTATTCACATGACAAGCCTATGATCAACTCTCTAGACTATCGGATGGCCCAGAGTTAAATGGATTTGAGCACTTACAAGATTTAAAAATTAAAGATAACATGGATAATTGAGACTGGGCCTTAGTTGTCGAGTATCGTTGCTATGATAATAAATGATCTGCACTACATCTTCAAATGGTCATAACTTCCCCCAGTATAAAGTAATTTGAATGAAATTTTAATTATCTATTTTTAAAATATTGTACCAAGAAAATCCAATTCTTACACAATGCATCTTTGAATATTGAGTTTAAGGCTAATAATTAGTGTAAAGTGTTAATTGGATAATGATTTAGATGTAATAAAGTCACTGTAGTTGTTTTGTATATTTTATGACCTATATTTTTTTAGTAAAGTTACTATTAAGTTTTTTCAAGCTACATTTTTATGAATGGTGTAGAAACTCTGTGAAATTGTAATCTAAAGTTAATTAGACTGATATTATATGAGAGTCGTATATCTAATAATTAAATTTGTTTGTAGATTCGTACCTATTTAAGAAGTTGTGGTAAAGCCTCCTGTAACTGTGCTATATCTATTAAATCTGGTGATGATGTCATCTTCATGAATAGATGTGCCAATAGGAGGGGATCTTTTGTACCTATTCAACCAAAACTTTACTTAAATGGAGAACTTACACCAGGCACCAAGATATTTAGACACCGAGGTGGCAAGAAATATAAGGTGAGACATATAATCAAGCAATGTCCTAAGAAATATGAGGTGGGGCGTATAATCGTTTCTCACTAAGCAATTTTCAAAAAAATATGAGGTGAGGCATATTATCATTTCTCTCAAAACAATGTCTTAAGATTTCTCTAAGAAATGTCCAAAGGAGAAGGTTAAATGCTTGCTCTGTCTTAGAACTCTTTGTTTAGTTGTTTGTTTGTGGGGGCTTAAGGTCCACTTCTATGGGGGAGGGGGGGTGGGCTCTAGATACCCCTTCTTATTTGAGGAGATTTCAAATCTAACAACCTTTTTTTTTTTTTGTTCCTTTTGTATTTGAATTCTACTAGAACAGTTGAATTGTTAGAAAGCTAGACAGCATTAAATCCAAGTTTGTGTCAAATTTCTGGCCATATTAATCATCCGATATCAGGACTTATTAACTTTTGTAATACTAATAGGATAGTTTTTGTTCACATTCAAATACATGTATGCTGTTAATGTTTTACCCTATGGTGCTGAAATGTACCCTGCAGAGTCCTTTCCTTTCTTTGCTTATCACAAGACAAAATGTGTAGGGTAAAGAGCCAAGCTTTAAATGATGCTTAGTTTATAGAACTGCTAATTCTTGTGCAGCTTTCTTTTTGACTTGACAATGAGCAGATGTTATAAAGATGATGATCTATTATATTTTACAGGTTATGTTACCAACTGGTGGTATTGTAACTATTTCTCATAAGAGAGGAAAATATTCTTCTTATCTTAGTATTTGGTTTAAGGCTTCTTCATTGGATTATATGAACTCAGAAGGCAAGTATATACAGAATGTATTACCAGTACTTGTAAAACTTACCATATTTATGGCTGTGGCATAGTCAAAGGGTATATGTCTGTGTGTCTGTCACATATTTGTTTCTCAGACGTAACTACTTTGAGATGATCCACACATCAAACGTGTAAATTTGTGTCTAGTAATATTTAGAAATTTCAAAAAATATTTAACTTGTTTTTTTTACGAGTAGTACATATGGCAGCAGAATTCAATGACTTTGATATTCTATTGATAATTATGAAACTATATGTGTTATATATTACCAGGTTTCTGTGGAACATATGATGATGATAAAACTAATGATCTGATGTTGTTAGATGGTTCTCTATTCCCTGGACGTTCTAAGAAACCACTAAGTTTCCTATACAGTTGGAGGTAATACCATGTTGTTGTTTCTTTTTATATAGGTCCACATTGATATGTCATTGTATATTGTTGTCAAACTTGTTCATTGCTTGTGAATGCTAAAGCTATCATTCGTTTGACTTAAGATTTATACATTGTGTCTATGCTTCTGAGAAGAAGAAGACTATTTATTTAGCTGTTGATGTATGTTTCATTGCCTGGAAGCTTATTGTTGTTTTTTGATAATATAAATGTATATATTTACTTGGATAATAAGAAATATGTTGCTGGATCTGGCTAAAGGAACCACATGTGTCATAACATCTGAACACAACTATGCAGGATTTTAAATTATACATTCACAGACCTTTAAATTGGTTGTGACATAAATTTGTCTTGAGATATTTAGATGTAAAGTTGGTACACAACAAAATATTCTTTTGCAGATAAAAAGCTATTGAAAATTACTGAAACAAACAAAATTTTAAAAAACTCATTGCAACTGAAATTTTGCATATTTCTGATAAGTTTTCACCTTTTGAGTGTTTGGTAAAATAAATATATGGTCAATTTTTTAAAGATAAATATGCTGAATAATCATAATTGGGAATAAGTACCATATATGTATTTAAAATAGGGGGTCTGCCACACATATTATTTAACCAGAGCCTGTCATAAATGTTGTTGTTTTTCTAATTAATTTATTTGAAATTATTTTGAATAAATAACAGAGTTGAAGAAGAGAGTAAGAGTATGTTTAATGGTATATGTCCTGAAGAAGATATGGAACTAACAGATACTACACAATATTGTCAATGTATAGAAGATAGTGAACCAATGTGTGCTGTAGGTCTTGATCTTATTAACTGCAACTATAAAAAATACAAAATGAGCAAAAAAGGTGAGTAGCATTAACTATAAGTCATAATTGGGTCATTTGTTTGACCCTTATTTCTATTGCGGGAGGGGGTGTGTGTCAGGGTGGCTAAGTGGGTAAGATGCTGGCTCTCTACCAAGGAGATCGGGTGTTCGATCCCCTGCATTAGTTGAGAAAGTTAATCCAGATGTTCCAGTGTGGTTCCCATTTGTCAGTGATGCAGGACAGAGCACCTGACAAGAACAGCTGTCTAGTCGTTCGCATGGGATGAAAAACTGAGGTCCCGTGTACACATTGGCGTGCATGTGAAAGATCCCTTCACAGTTGGAATTCGATATAAGAGTAAGCTGTAGTGCCGCTGTTCACGTACAATTTCCCTCATAGCACACTGGATGACATATGCCTGTCTTCATTAGCCCAGTTCGAAGCAGAACAGTAGGACATTAAACCCCATTTCATTTCATTTCATATTTCTATTTGAATTTATGATATTTTTAATGACCAGGAAAAATCAAATAATCTATTACCCCCACCTCCCAACAAATTAAACAGTTATGTAAATTATTAACCACTAAGTTTACCCACACCTATGTAGCTAGGGTAACTGCAGAGCTTTTCCATTCATTATCCTACAATATAAGTGTATCATGTTATGGCATCTACCTTAATACTTGTAGACTGACAAACCAAGGTTCCCTTGAAATACCTTGAAAGAAACACATACTTTAATAGATTAACAAAATACTGAATATTACTGATTCTTATTTTCATTAATATCCTAACTTTGTGCAATATAATATCAATTCTATTTTTTATAGCGAGAGACATCACAGATTCTATGATCGAGCAAGCAAATGAAGTACAACATTGTCTACCCACCAAAGTAGAGAAACTAGAATTCAATCTCAACTATACCTCTCCTGTAAGTATTAGCTAACATAATTTTCAAATAAAAAGTTATTTTGTTCACCTAGATAAACTAAATTTCAATCTCAACTATACGTATTAGCTAACATGATTTTCAAATTACAAGTCATTTGGTTCCACTAGAATATTTTGAAAAAGGGTTAATTGTCTTTAATCATTGGGCATTGTCATATTTTGAAACTTTCTACACTGCAGGATGTATCATGGCCAACGAAAAGTGGAATAACAAAGACAGGAGCTATGAATCAATGTAGAGAATTTATCGAAGCTAGTGCTATCTTTTCAACATGCCGTACTTTCATAAATCTTGAACTATCCTTAGAATCATGTGTTGAAGATATTCAGGTAAGTAATTTATACTTTAGTATTTGTCTTGTTATCAAAAACTGACAGTTCCTTGATTTTAAGAAGGTGAACTGGCTATCCTGACAACTGGCCAGTTGAATTATCTGTCAAGCTGAGCTCATGGTAACTTACTACTTCGATGTATATTGTCATTTTAAGTAAAACATATATAAATATATGGCCTCTATTACACTTTGATAAGTTTTAAAATTGGACAGCTAATTCTACTGGTCATACCACAGCATGGACATAAATTAATATTGCTAGGTATCTAACTGCAAAATTATCTCATCTTTGGCATGCATGGCATATATCACATTTTGCATTGAAGCTTTTTATAAATAGATTTGATCTGTGAAAGATTAAAGATCTAAAACTGTAATTTCACATCCTCATTATTTTTCCATGGTATCTTAGTGTATGCACAAAAATACCATGACATTTGGAATACAAAGGAGAATAGACACAAAATTGACTTACCCTGAGTATATTATAGAGTATAAGAAAATCCATGTTAATCTCATTTCTACCTATATTAAGAGTTGATTAGTTGTTAAAGATCATTCTATTGTGTTATTTCAGATATTAGATGATACAGGAACATTACCTAGTTTATTTGATGATGTAATGATAACATGTTTAGCTACTCTAGAAGTAGATGTTAATCTATGGGTAAATGTAGCAGGAAACTTCGGACCACCATTAGCTGTAATAGATATTATTTGTCCGGATGATTGTAATAATCATGGAAAATGTCAACAAGGTTAGATTCAATGTTAAACTTTCTATATATTAATAAATGTTATTAATTCTGAAAAAAATCATATTTAAAATAACTATAAACATATGTAGATGTGTTTATGTTACAGGAGTATGTACATAATGTAATTATGGGTTTTAGTAATTAGATGTTTATGTTACAGGGGTATGTAGTATATACATAATGTAATTGTGTGTTTATGTTACAGATGTATTATGTGTTTATGTTACAGGAGTATGTACAGACCACACAGTATAATTATGTGTTTATGTTACAGGAGTATGTACACAATGTAATTATGTGTTTATGTTACAGGTGTATGTACACAATGTAATTATGTGTTTATGTTACAGGTGTATGTATATGTAATGATGAATGGATAGGAACATCCTGTGATGTAAAAGCAATAGAACCACCAGTATTAATATCAATATCAGGTGGTAATTTGTGTGATATTACCAGATACGACTGTACAACAATTACTATATATGGATTAAACTTTGTAGAAGTATCAACTCTTATATGTCAAATTACATATGGAGGGGTAAGTTTTCCATGAAAGATATTATATTGATAAAAGCCATCTGTTAAAAGTGTTCACATTAGAATAGCATGAGCAGTAGCATTCAAACTGGCTATATCATTCAAAATATAAAAGCCCAAGTGATATCAAAAACTTGTGGGCTCAGCCTATTAGTCCTCATAAAATGGATTGCAGGGGTAATCAAGTTTAGTCATTTGAAGGCGTTAAGATACCAAAATATGTCCACCATATGTATCTCTATAACACCATAGTGAACAAAGGTCAGGTTATAGCCATTAGAAAAAAATCCAGAAAAATGTGAAATAGGTCTAATATATAACATCCTTTCTGCATACAAAATAACTCTGAGATAATGTTAAATTTACTTTCTTTTTATATCAGAGAACGATGAAGACACCAGCTATATATATGGGGCCTGAAGTTGTTCATTGTACTGTACCTGAAACGGGAATCTATGATATCAGTATCAGTAACAATGACCTCACATTTAGTACAGTTTTGAAATATCAGGTGTACAACTCATTATGTGTCACATGTGTAGGTGATACATGCTCAGATCGGGTAAGTACTAGATATAGACAATTTACTTCTAAACATTGGGTATATTTGACAATATATAGGTTACAACACCAACAATCGAACATTAATAGACCGGAGGCTCAGTGCTGGTTTATAACCTACAACAGTTCAAGACGAGAAAGATCATAACAATGCTTCTGCCTTATATAGTGTTTGCTTATTTCTATCTTAGGTAATGATTGATTCTGTCAGTATGTTAATTGGATCATCAATAAACTTAATTAGTCTATTTCGTGTTTGTAGTCAAGCACCAATCAGCTCGTTAAACTACTATTACAGAAATAATTAACTTAATTTTTAACAATAGTAGATTTTACTTTATGGTAACTATTTATATTTGAAGGATGATGTATGTCGAATTAATGGGAATTGTTATGCTGATGGTTTCTTCAACCCTGAAGATGCATCTCAAGTGTGCTCAGTATTAATATCTAAAACAGACTGGACTGTTATAAGAGGTGTGTACTCATGTTTTAGATCTATATTATTACATGATCCGAAAAGATGGTTCAGTTTCAATTGTATGGGATTTATGGTTGTAAATCACACGTAAATTAATTTGTGTTAATAGTCTATAAATGACATTTTTTGGGGATATATCAATCATCTTTTCTATTACAGTTGACCAGATAGAAGAACAGCGTTTTACCTTTAAAGAGATCGTGAACAACCTTCTGATAACAACTGGAGGAAATATTACCATTAATGGTGACATCAAACTACAGAACAATGAAAGAGAAAAACTAGCTTTAGTTATTGGAGAAGACAATCAATTCTTAGATTTGACATCGCTTGCACATAAATGCTTCCATAGTCCAGAGAAGTGTGGTCTCGGAATTTCCTTGTCGTTTTCTCTTAAGCTCAAAACCATAAAAGATAACTCTTATCTACTGACAAACTGTGGAGATGAAGATGATTCAACTGGTTTTGCAATCTACTACAGGAAGAAAAGTTTGTATATCACAGTCAGCACCCAGAAACGCAAATGGCAACTCATCAGTTCCAAAATTAAAACCAAAAAGTATAATGATTTTGTTTTGTCATGGAGTCAACAGACAGGATTAAGTTTATCAATCAACGGGAAGAAAGACAAGAAGACGAAGCGATATGAAGATAGAGATGTACCCAATCCTCGTATTTGTAACCTATACATTGGTCGTCCACAAGTTCTAGGAATCTTCTCTGAATTTGAATTAGAATTGTGGCAGACGGTATTTGCTGCTCAAGAAGTTATAGAAAAATTGGATGTTATTGTTGGTAAGTTGCACATGTATGTAGAAAATATGAGTAAAAGATTTTGATGAATGATATCCAGATAAAATTACACGTTATGCTAAATAAATCACCTCTCTTAATAGTATATACTCGGATACTAAATTGAACATTCTGGAATTGAATTCTCTCAATCCCCAAAATAATGACAATCAAGTTAAAAGGGAGATTTTGGGCTAACATGCATCAACAGAATAAAAAGAATCCAACCAATCATTACATCTGAAACCTATTTATTGTGTTTAATTCTATTAACACTACCTCAGTTGTCGGGTCTGACTGAACTGTGACAGAACTGAATTCTGTGTCACTCATTTGCAATTCTGTCAATTCGAAACATTTCAGACTGACAATCAAGCTTCCCGTATGTAACTGATAAAACCTTTCAGTGCTCGGCTTATGTAAACTTTTTTACGGTATAGTTAACATACATATGATTAGACTTACATTGTTTGTTGTCTTTTCTAGGTTATCCCAAACTACCAAGTGTACCGAAAGTGACAGTAGAAATGATAGAAGGAGATATTAATATTATGTGTCAGTTTGAATTAATAAAAGGTTATGATGTGGAATATACAGTAGAGTATTTAATGGGAGAAACTGTTCTGTTAAAAGATACACTGAAAGATGGTAGAGTTCCCATACTCACTAAAGCTCTGATAAATAACATTAAATCAGGTGATAAGGTTAGTATATTATATACGGTACTTAGTACTATACACTAATTTAAAGTATCACAAGTCACTAAAATACCTTGACTAATAGAGCAATAAATACATACGGCCAAACCAATTTGAATTTTAATGATATTTCCATTTGTCAAGAATCTGAAGAACTAAATTCAAATTAGTTGGGCCTAATCTGAATATTTTAAAACTAGTGAGAAGGTGCATCCTTTTCTTGATTTAATGCCAAATTTCTTAAAACTGCAGATTTTATTTTAGCAAGGAAGTGTTTAGCTTGTTAAAATAATTTTGTTCTTATTTCACAATAGCATTTTAGATATTGATATATCAACAACAAATTTTCAGGTTGACATTTGAAAAATAGGGATTGTAATGAAACCCAGTTGACCTGCTATCTGCTTGTGACACATTGATATATTTCCATAGGATAAAATCAATTATTTGAATTTTATTTGGTGTTAGATGTCATGCATAAATATTACAGTTTTGAATCTATCTATATTTTATTTTAGTTACATTGTTCAGTAACAGCTTGTTTTAAAGATGATTGTAAACCTAGCACTGGTCCAGCTATAACAAGTGTTGAAGTACAACTAGGTATTCAGGTAAGTAAGATCCAAATTTCCATGGATGCTTTTACACTCAACAATAGATGGAACTTTGTAGGTTACCACGTTGCCTTGTGTCCATGGAGCCACGATGGCTCAGTGAGAAGGCTCACTAACCAGGAGGTCTGGGGTTCGATCCAGCTGTTGGCCGAGTATGTTCTGCATGATTTTTCAATGTGGTTTCCCCTTATCTGTGATGCAGGATCGAGGGCTTGACAAGAAAAATCAACTAGTTTTTTGGATTGAACGAAGAACAGAGGTCCATTGTACACATTGGCAAACACGCAAAAGAACCTGTTACAGTTGCAATTCAATTGCTGTCCGAGCAAAATTTTCTCGATAGCACACTCCATGGTGTCTGCTCATCTTCATTCACCAGGATGATGTAGAAAAGTAGCGCGTTAAAGCCCATTTTAATTCAGTCCAGTTTCAGTACTACACTGAAATGATAATTACATCAACAAACAATTAATATTATCGTTTAGAATATTTCAGCCATGAACATTACAAATGGCTGGCTATAATTGTACCAATTTATATATATTTCAGATCCTTACAGAAAAACTGACAATTTATGAAGGCTCTTCCAATGAAATGATCTCTTTCAAGAGTAATATACCTCCATCTTTCTTCTGTCCATCTGATGAACTTGAGAAATGTGAAGTAAGAATAGAAGCCAGTATCCGTGCGGCTAAGAAAAGGAAATGTCCTGATAAGAGAGTCATCTCACAAGCTGTTATAGCATGGACTGGAGAGGAAGGTGCTGTTCCATTCTGTGGTGTTACACTCAGTAAAGAGAAATGGCAGGAAGAACATGTGATTAAGGTTCGAGGTGTTGTAGATGGATTAAAAGATAAAGATCAAGATCAAGTGGTGGATATTACTGCATCTGTTATGATTAGTGGTGTTAGACGAACAACAATAGAAATTGGACAAGTGCAAGTAAGTGAAATTAGTTTACAAATACTGATGTCATTTTGTTTTTGTACATATTCTTCACTTTTCTCAAATTTGTCCACAATATTTTAAATTCTGTCCAGTGATCTGCTTTTGTGTCATTCTTTCAAGGCTAATAAATGCATTATTTAAGGGAGGTAACTTATGTCTGACTTATTGATTTTCATTGTATATTTATTTCTTAGATAAAGATTAAAGACAGTGATAAAGAATCAACTTGTAGATCCATTAATGATCCTCATATAACAACTTTTGATGGCAGGTGAGTATCGTTCAGATAATCTCAACGAGTTACATGCCGTCTCACTAACCTGAATGTTCTGGGTTGGATTCCGGTGTTGGGCCAGAAAGTTCCTGGTATTTTTTTCAGTGTGGTTTCCCGTTGCATAGGATGAAAGACATGGCAAGGAACAGGTGATGTAGAAAAATAAGGCGTTCAACCTCCATTTCATTTCATTTCCATATGATTTGCGATTTTAATTTTTGAAATTCGTGTCATGTCGAAAGAAACCTACTTGACATGAAAATGTAAAATTGATATATTTTTTGTTTTTTTTACAGAAAATACAATAATTTCTTTGAGGGGGAATTTGTATTGTACAAACATAAGACATTGCCATATTCTGTAAGTAATCCTTTCTTATTTTCACTTTAAATTAATGACCCATCATTAGATGCTTAGTTATCACAAACAGAAATTTGTTCACAATGACACATTAGCAGTGTTTGAACACTAAATATTTACTAGTACAAATTAACAGAAATTATGATTTTTCTTATGAACTAGAAAAATAAATTATTATAGTTTGAAACTCAAAAGTAGTTATTATTAGCAGACTTGAACAGATAATCTGTAGGCATACTCATTTCACATATTACCAAGAAACACTCTTTTGGTAATGGCAGTATTTTTACATTTGAAATATCTTTTATATACCTTTAATCAATTAAAAACTGGAATTTTTCTTTTACAGGTTCATTCTTTCTATCGAGCATGTAATAATAAAAAACATAGAACAGCATCATGTAATTGTGCTGTAGCAGTTAAGGTAGACGATGATGTAATTCTCTTGGATAAATGTGGTGCTAAAAGAACAAGTCAACGTTATCCATTAAATATCAAACTTTATCAAAATGAGGAATTGACAGAAGGCTTTATTATAACTAAATATAAATCTAATAAATATAGGGTAAGTATTTGTATACTTTTGTTATTATATAAAGTGTAGGTCATTTAGTGCATGAGATAAAATGCCACAGAACAAAGACAAACACACATCTGAACATGTTTTGATACAATTTGCTGCTGCAGTATAAAATCACATCTACTTTGCTTATATAATTACAATTTTCAATGGAAGAACTGACAATCCTCTCTGCCAATGTTCGGCCGATTCTACTCAGAATATGGGGTCATAGTGTTGAACAACTAGCATCTGGAAATTCTAGTGAGGAAATTTATTGGGACTAGAAGAAAGGGTTGTAAGTACCTTCAACGTTTTATTCACTTTAGGATGTAATTAATGTTTATAATTGTAGATATATTTACCTAATGGTGTTAAAGTAATTGTAAAAACATCTAAACGTAAAAGTTTAATTAATATTTGGATTACATCGACTGGTGGTGATACTGGTAATATAGAAGGTAAATTATAATAATATTATACATTATAACTGATTCCATCTTCCTTCTAGCAAAAATCAGAGCAAAAATGATTTAATGAAATGCCTTACACAATCACTTGGTTATTGTTCATAATTTTGAAATTTGAAATATGCATAGATTATCTTGTAAAACTATTCAGATTATCAGATAAATTATGATATTATTGTACAAATAAAACAGCATTAAATAAAACTAGGATTAATGATTATGTATTTTTGTAAAGGTTTATGTGGAAACTTTGATGGCGATTCTAGCAATGATTTAGTGATGTCAGATGGTATAGTATCACAAGAAAAGGGCAAATATCCAGATATATTTACACAATCCTGGAGGTATGTTTTTATAGTGGGATTCTTTCAGCTAGTCTTAAAGACGAACTCTATCAAAGTTTAGAGAAAACAACAATTTATAGCCAAGTAAAGAACTCTGTGGTTTAGATTTTTATAAGAATATGTCTAAACTAGGGGGTTTATTCAGCTTGCCCAATGGATCATAAAAAAATGAAAAACTGCCAGTATTTTCCTTCGTTTAGATATAAATATGTTGGTAATATTCAATTTCTATTCTCTCAGTTGATTAAGTTGTGGACTTGTAATCCAACATTCTTCATGCGGATCCACCAACAGTTTAAAAACACCTCTTTTTTTTCTATAAATAGAACTTATAAGCACATCAAATTTGTGTAATTATGTAATACCCATCATTAAGTTGATATTTGTTGGCAATGATTTGACTTGTGTTTATATTATTAAAGAGTATCGTCGAAAGAAACACTATATGATGGATATTGCGGCAAGTCAGTTGTAGATCTAAAAGCTCCTATATTCTGTGATTGTATGTATGGAGCTGATGCTGTCTGTTCACCTGGACTAGATGTCTTTGACTGCAACAAAAAATCCAAAGGATCTAGAAGAGGTTAGTTAATTTTATATACACAATTCTTTAACAACTTTAGCAATTTGGACATCCACAATTTTAACCTTGATGTTTGTAATATTCTGTTAATTTCCTTATTTTATTTTAGAAAAGGATATGACTGCTGAACTTATGACAAAAGCCACAACACCATTGAAGTGTGTCTCGACTGAACCAGCAATACCGTTTGAATTTAATATTACCTATATTCATCAGGTAAATATATTCTACAATTACATGTCACATGTCATTAATTCTGCTTTTGGTGGATTTATTGTTTCAGATGAGAAGTGCTTATTGCATCAAAAACTAACCGACGCTTTAACTGTAGGGTTAATATGAAGAAAAAATTCTACGACAATATTTTCCAGGTTTCTATGGCATTAAGATGCTAAACAAATGACTATTATCATCATTCAATTAATTATTTTAACAGTTGATGAATTTCTAACGAACGTGCAGGCACACTTTTAAGGTATAACCATCTAGTGGACACTTATTAAAACAATATATCTAGCATTTATTATTTTATAATGAAATTGAAATGACTATTGTTTTTTCCCCATTACTATATTACACAGATTGTTGACTATGGTATAACATTTGATCAAGCAGGAAATTATTGCAAGAATAAACTATCACTTATACCTTCTGCTAAAGATATAGAAACCATATTAGGTAAAGATAAAGTAGAAGCATCTGTAATGCTATGTGTAGAAGATATCATGGTAAGTTAAAATTGTGTTCTGGGGGTGGGAATTGTCCTTCAAGTCATTGGTATTCCGATGGGAACCATTTGTTCACCTTTGCTGGCTAACGTCTTTCTGTATTCTTGAGTCAGAAATTATCTAGAAACTTTTCCCTTTGTTGAAGTCTGTATTATTAAACAGTATGTGCTCCATTATACAGTGCAACATAAAGCAAGACTATAAAATAATTTCATTGTTCACATCTTTTGGTTTTATAGGAATATTTCTGTTAGATATTTTATCATATGCATTCTAATTTAAAAACAAATATACATCAGTGCCATCAGCTAAGAATCAAGGAAGAAGTCTAAGTTCTTATTCGAAGAGAAGGCTGCTCTTGATTTCAATTGTCTAGTTTTCTAATGGCTTGGACCTGTTTACAATTTTTTTTGTATATTGATATTTTCTTCATTGCTACAGACCTATTTTATATGAATCTTAAAATTTGAACATTTTTTCTTGTCTTTTTCAGTTAACTGGAGATTTTACTTGGGTAGATGTATTATTAGAGAATGTAAAACAACAATGTTTATTAAAGATAGAAGTTGATGTAGATCTATGGGTAGAGGGTGAAGATGGTACACCTAAATTACCACCAGTTGTAGATCTTATCTGTCCTAATGAATGTAGTGGTAATGGTACATGTGTTGAAGGTGACTATTTCTACTTCTACAATTCAGTATTGTTAGATATAGAAAATGAATTAACTTATATGTAGCTTGTTTTTTGTTGCAAATAAAATAGAAATGTGAAACATATGGTATATTTTTATTTAAATAATTTGCTTGCAAAAGGGTCTTCCAATAGGCTGTGGAAACATGAGAACTTGGAGATATGCAACCCTTTTACTTGTCACATTAAAATGTGTTCTGTTAATTGTTATATGATTATTTGTAGGTATATATGTGTATGTTGTTGTTATTTATGATTATTTGTAGGTTCATGTGTATGTTATTGTTGCATGTGTATGTAATTGTTATATGATTTTAACTAGGTTTATGTGTTTGTAATGGAGATTATACTGGTGATGATTGTTCTGTATTACCTGCTATACCACCTATGTTAATTAGTTTTGCTGGTGATATGCTGTGTAATTTACATCAAACTAACTGTTCTACTGTAACTATATATGGTCTAGGATTCTCACCATCCAATCAACTCACATGTAAATATCAAAGATTAACTGTAAGTAACATTTAAATCACGTCCTCTACATAATTTCACAATATAAAAATTGATAGAAAATACTTGAAAGATTTTTACCCATGAATTAACATATAGTCTGTTTTGTAAAATTTAAGTCCTATCTGCCACAGCATTTACATCCATTGTAGGGTTTTGAAGAATTGATGGAACTGTTTGACGAATTATAAGAAGAAACCTATTAAGATCTGCATCAATTTTATGTGACATTATTGGCCCTCTCACTGAAACTTAAGACTTGCTGAGATTGTTCAGCTAATCATATGGCAAAACCCTATCAAAATCCAGATTCACCTTGATAGGATTGAACCATGTTGAAATTCAGTGTCGCCCATTTTTAGCTGGAATCTGTTATATATTATAGATGGATAAGTTTGAAGTAACAAGTGATACAGCAGTAACAAGTTTAGCTATATTTAAACTAGAAGAACAGATAGAATGTATATTACCAGATAATGAATTTAGTTATTCTATCAGTGTTAGTAACGATGGTATAACATATAGTACACCACTCAACTTTATTAGATATAACTCCATTTGTCAGACATGTACTAGCAATGGCTGTCAAGATAGAGTAAGTTTAACTTTAATTATTAATATACAAAAATTGTTCTATTTTGTATAATCTTATAAATAGTGTAGGAATGGAAATAGTTCTCTTTAACAGAGCTTGTTTTCTAAATGAGATATGTGTCATTTGATGGTATATCCGTTTTAGTCATTTTGTGTGGCATATATATAAATTTTACCGCATTAGTGGACAGAACAAGCATTGATAAATTTTTATATTGACCTATGATTGCGTAATTATCTCATTTTTGGCAGGAATGGCATATACTGTGTTTTGCATATAAGCTCTTCAAAACATTTTTGAAAACTACAAATATGTCAAATAGGAAATTCTTTAAAATAATTGTTGTTTTACTTCATCATATAAGCTATTATTGATATTTTCAAATAAAACTCTTTTTCACCAAAACCTGAAAAGGATATTTTTCTTTTTTTTGTCAAAACAAATGATTAGTTGGTGATTTATGTTCGGCATGTCTGCTATAGAACTATTTCGTATTAAATATATATAATTTTTTTTTTCAAGACTTCTATATGTAGGATTAACAATGTGTGTTATGAAGATGGATTCTCTAACAAAGATAATGAACAAGAAATCTGTCAGATTGATTCAAGCAGCACACAATGGCCAGTTATAAAAGGTAAATTTATTTTTAATTTGACTGTCAATGTTCACCTGCAATTTAAAATCACTGGCTGAAAAATTTATTTGCCAGTCAATTTCGTATTGGAAAATAAAATTCAGATTGAATTACCATACCATTTCTTTTCATGATAAATTTTAGGTGTCACAACTTCACAGCTATTACATAACGAAGGTTGGATGTCATGTTTATTTTGTAGAAAATCATTAGGCTTTCACATGATATTGCAGCTGTTACCGTTGATTTATTTCATTAAAGTATATGTCACATGCTGTGTATATAAAGTTTCTTCCAAACTTGAAATAGAAAGAAGTAGATATTATTATAGCCATTTGATAGTGACAAATTAATGTTCATCCAACTCAATGGTATAGATTATTTATGACATCAATATATAGTGGATGATATTGATGATTTGGTACCGATAATTGAATGAAGTAAAATCACCCAGGGATTGTATTGACTAATTTGATTAGTCTGAAAAAGAACTGGCTAGACCAATGAAAACACTTACCTAGAATGTAGATTTGGCAATAGTTAACTATTGATAGTTTTTTTTATCCTTGCTTCAGAGAAAGGCAGAGACAAGACTCTCGTAATGTTGATAATAGATTAGTTCATATTTTTTAATAGTATTTTTTTGTTGACAAATAAATAAATTATTCTGTCAAATCTATTTTTAATATACTCAATTTAATTTATTCAGCAACTGATGTGAAAGTTACGAGACTAGATTTTGTAGAGGTTGTCAGCAATGTATTAGTTACAAAATCATTCAATCTTACATTGATTGGCTCACCAAAAGCTGATGTGGGACCATTGGGTGGTTTAGCTGTTCTATTAGATGGTGCTACCCAATATATCAACGTAGGTGACAAATCAACAGAATGTATGGGTGATCTTCTTAAATGCAAACTTGGTCTAACCATATCATTTAGAGTTAAATTCCTTGAATTCAAAGAGAAAGCAGTAATCCTCACTAATGGTGCAGAAATTCCTGATAAATATGGGTTAGTTATGTGGTTACAAAATGGCCGGGTTAATTTGCGTGTGAACACAAAAGAGAAAGAATGGACATGCTCTACAAGTAAATTCTCCATCAATGTGTTTATGAATGTGAAACTATCATGGAGTCAACAACTCGGTCTCAAGTTTTACCTAGAAGACAAGATGGTGTGTAAAACAGAACGGTATATAACACGAACCAGGAAAGATATAACAGTTTCAACAACGTTCAATATCGGCAGCCCGGTTGAAGTTGGAGAATTTGAGAAGGCTAAGATGTCAGTTGAAGGATTAAATGTTGCTTATGCAACACAGGAAACCACAGAGAAACTCAACGTTTTAACAGGTGGGTTATCAAATATCCCAGTGATCTTAGAGGTAGTTAGTTGGTTCCCTTTCACATGTCCAAATGAAAGGAAATATTTCTCACCTAGACATTAGGAAGTTGTAAGAAAGTAATGTCTGTTTCTTTCTTCTCGCAAAGATAATTCTCTGGGTGCGCATCTATCTTTTGATTCGAACCAGCTTATAGAATCCTATGTGTTGCTCATATATTGTTATCGGTGATTATGGAAATAATCTCAGAATTATCATAAATTTTATTAGAAAATATTATTCTTTGTTTCATATCTTGCATAATTTACATAAACCTAAATTTCACCCTTTTTTTTCAGTTCTGCCAATATTTGAAAAAGCACCTAAAGTCTCTATTATTATCGACAAGACCAACCCCATGGCAGCCATATCATTAAACTGTAGTTTTGAGCCATTAGATATTGAAGGTGTACAATATAGAGTTAAATGGTATCATGGTAAAGATAACGTTATAAGTGAATCTCTCATAAATGAAACATCAAGCATACTTCAGGAAACCAGTCTACCACAGTTGAAATATGGTGATGCTGTAAGTAATAAATATTTAAGCTATTGCATATTATTGAACATTGTATTTATGTTACATTGATTTTATGGCCTTTCACATGATAAAAATATATGAGTTTCTGCTAAATTTATTTCAATTTTTGAAATAGTATAGTGGGAATGTTAAACTGCTTATTTAATGACACTCAACTCATAATTAGTGTCTTTGTATGACATGTAACTTACTATATACATATTCCTGGGTCATTATTTGTACATGTGATATTTATATGACTACAATACATTGTCCATTTGTATTTTTTTATGTATTTAAATGACTTCTTTTCCATCTCAATTCTGCTTAAAGATGCATTATGTAAGATTTAGATAAAGAACTGGCTGTTATTACTGTAATTGTTGCAAAATAGATAATGAGAGATGAATATATTGAGAATTTCAGTAAAATTACTTTATTGTGAGCAAAATTATGCGTGTTTGAAGTTTTAACAAAATAATCTTGATTTTAAACGGCAAGAGGGGTCTAATCCACTAAATGTCCAAGCCATCCAATGTACTAGAGGGTTGATTATAGGAATAAAATGTTGAAATGATAGTTTATATAACTTTTGAAGCTAGAGTGGAATAATGGTCATATATTTTAACCTTTCTGGATTAAGATTTAAATCTGTTTTGTATATGATTACAGATTGAATGTAGTGTGTCAGTTTGTTATATTAGTGATTGTGATCAAACTACTGGTCCAGAGAGAAAGAGTGAACCCATCACAGCAACATTACAGGTAATAAGATCATATTTATATTAGTCTCATGTAAATCAACTGAGACAAGATATTGATACATAAAATTCATACCACATGTTCTGCACATGATTAAAGGTTGATAGGCTTGTGCTATATTTTATAAGGTCTCTATCAAAGTTTCAGGAATACTGTCTCACATGTGGACTGACAAGGAATAGGATTCTCCAGAGTCTCTGCTAGAGACCACTGCAAAAAGCTTATTTTTTAACAAGGAAATGGAACTTTAATCTCTCTCTGTTTTTCTTTTCAATAAGTTCGATGGCTAAATGAAAAACATGAATCTGTACTAATTATGTATGTTTTTGTAGGTAATGACTAAAGAAATAACAGTTTATGAGGGTGGTATGGAAGAATATTTATCTGTAACATGCCTGTTCCCTCCAAGACTATTCTGTCCTGCTTCTAGTAACTGCACCTTTAAGATCACTTCATTCTTCAAATTGGTTCGACGTGAAATCAAATGTGCCGACAGACGTCAAGTACCTCAAGCTTTGATTGGCTGGACTCAGGAAAATGAGAACAAATTCTGTGGTGCTCTTATCACACCCTTTAATTGGATTTCTGGTGTACGTATTCCAGTCAAAGCTGCCATTGATTCACTGAAAGATAAAGACCAGACACGAATTTTAGATGTTATGGCTCACGTAATGGAAAATGGTCAAAGTATTTTTATACAAACAATGTCTACAGTTACGGTAAGTTCTTTAATTCATGATCATACAGCTCAGCTTATGCTAACCTGTTCAAGGAGCATTCCCAGATTGCATAGTGAATCAATTCATAAAAGTATGTAAATTTAACATCAAAATGTGAAGAAGTAGTCTGAAAGGTTCAGCTAAAATTTTTTTCAGCTCAAAATAATCACTAGGATTGGACAGATGCACCTCAAATTCATTTGTAGCAGAATTAGAAAAAAATGATATCTTGTGTTAGTCCCTAAAAAACCAAAGTATAGTTAGGAAGAGTCATTAAACCCCATTCATTTTATTTTCTTTGAACTGAAAGTCTTTTGGGAGTGTTTTGATTTAAATAAAGGGGAAATAACGAAATGTGTGGTTTTGGCCGAACAACCAGCATTAACAACATTGTTATCAATGATAAAATATATTAAAAGAAGAACATACATCAGGTTATCAATAGTTCATGACATACCTGATATATAGCAGAATGGCTGACAAACGGCGACAGACAACAAATGCTGTGTTCTCTAGTATTCCAACATAGCTGTTCCACAGTGAAACTTTGCACGTGCAGCTTAAATTATTACCGTAAAGTTATTAAAGATATGTACAGTACGTATAAATCAATACCCATTTTAGACAAGAATATTTTTACCTGTTACAGGTTAAGATTATAGACAGAGATCAAATAGCAATGTGTAGTAGTACTGGTGATCCACATATGAAAACATTTGATGGACGGTGAGATTTAAAAACTTTTACATCTAATTGGAATTTTTTTTGTGGGTTTTTATGATCAAAAGTATTGTTAATATATTTTCATTTCTGTAAATTTAAACTCCACATTATCTATAACCAGAAATCATACCACAAGACAAGATTGATCATTAATTTGGAGATTCCAAAGAGTATCTGACTCAAATCCTGTTTCAGTTTATTAAAAATTATTCTGCTGTAGTTTACAGTAGTGCCGTAGTGGCTGTCGGATTTAAAACATGTCTTCATAAATTTAGATTGAATTTAAGAATACCATTTCATACCTTTGGTAAGCAGGCATGTTGGTTTAGATAGTTTAAAAGGTGTTTTATAGTTAGATCCAGGCCAATAGATTGTTTACTACCAAGTAGTTTCGGAAAGGAATCACATCATATTTCTCTAACCACATGGTGTATTCTTATCGTTTGAAGAGCCTTTCGTTTGTAACATGACTTGTCATATCTTCTGGTGGCAATATCTCGAAAACAGTTTAATCTTTTAAGAGCTAAAATTTTCAGGGTTTTTTATATGTGATTTGAACTGAATAAAAAAGATTATGGCAAAACAGAAATGACATGCTGCTATTGCCTCTAGTTCCTTTAGTATGTGTTTCAAAGAATGTTTTTATTTTGTTCAGAAAATATAATAACTTCCTAGAAGGAGAATTTTTGATGTATCGTCACAAGACCCTACCATATCAGGTTCACGGTTTATATAGAAGCTGTTTGAATAAAGCTGCATGTACCTGTGCTGTCGCCATTAGATCGGGTGATGATGTCATAGTTGTTGATCGCTGTGGTCCCAGTCGTGGAGAACCTAACAGAAAGACCCCGGTAACCATCAACCTGTACATGAATGGTGAACTTACTCCAGGAACCAGGATTCTCAGATATCGAAATGGAAAAAAGATAAAGGTACATTAATTGATCTCTATTGGAAATATATTTGTGCCAGGAAACCAAGCATATTTTAACATCTATTATGTAAACAATGAAATATGTCACAAGCTTCCAGGAAGATGAGGATCCATCCGTTCTACCAAAATTTGAAATTGTACAATCCCTGGGTTCACTTGATTACTTTTAGTAAATTTTTTAATACCTGTTTAGATAAATGATCAAGTAACCGTTGTTTCAGGAGAGCACATCATAGAACACAGCAATTGTTGGGCAACCTGAAACATGTTTAATACTCACTGGAAGTAGTCAATGGGCCACCGACATCTGGATTTATTTCATTGGAGAGTAGCATGTGTTTAACATTATGCTTTAGGATCAGTTAGAGCATTTATGAGATTTTTTAAATGATATATTTGTACAGGTTATGCTACCAACAGGAGGATATGTTACCATCAAAAAGTCAAAAGCCGTAGGAGGAAGATATCTTGATGTCTGGTTCCGTGCGTCTGCTATAGATTATGAACAGACAGAAGGATTATGTGGTACCTTTGATAAAGATAAAACCAATGATTTAGTGATCAGACAGACTGGAGCACTATTTACCGAGAGAACCAAACAACCAACAGAGTTCTCTAGAAGCTGGAGGTAGGAAATTCAAAATTCTGTAATATGATAGAAAATCTCTTATTCCCAATAGACTACCTTACAACATTATAATAGAGGTTTGGTTAAGCCTCATCATTTAGGTTTCTTAGAAGAGCAAATGAACCAGTTAAATGCATTTAGTTTCCTGTAAGCAGAAATAGACTGATAATGGAATATAATTTTATCATTAATAAAATATTATCAGTCTAATGCTTGATTGAAGATGGATAAAATAAATATATATATTATTACAGAGTATCAGTTGAAGAATCTATGTACACTGGATATTGTACAACAGAAACACCCAAGCTCACACCTCAAATGACTTTCTGCAGTTGTCAAGATACAACAGAAACCTGTGATATTTTACCTGAACACACGTCTTGTGCTTCTGTTGCAAAGAATTCTAAAAGAGGTAATAAGCAATATTGTATTTGTAACATTTTACTGGACAGTTTCTAAGGGTAATGTAATTCTTATGTAACTATTTGATATAGTTTGTAAACTTTACCACCCACACGTCTGAGTTGTAGACAGGTTTATCTAGTTTCAACTTTATTGCTAGTCAAGACATTGATATTTCTGTGAAAACATATCAAAGAGCATCAGGTAAATTGTCTGGGACTAGAACAGATGTTTCTATCTATTATTTGACATATTCATATCAATATATCTGGGATTTTTCCTTTAAATATCACATACTTGATATTGTTGTTTTATGAAATAGTAGTGATGTTGGTTGTAATTTTTTTTTTTTCAGGTAAAGATATTACAGAACAGTTATTATTAGATACAGAAACACAGAATCCTCCAGAAAAATGTCAGACTAAACAAACACTAAAGATATTTGAATATGATATAAATTATATATCACAGGTATGTATTTGAGACTTAAAAAACTATTGATGAAGTGTTTGAGATTTAAACAAAGTCTTGATGAAGTATTTGAGATAGATTTAAACAAAGTATTGATGATGTATTTAAGGTAGATTTAGACAAAGTAATGATAAAGTATTTGAGATTGATTCAGGCAAAGTATTGACTAAGTCTTTGAGAGAGATTTAGGCACAGTGAAGTATTTGAGATAGATTTAATCAAAGTATTGATGAAGTATTTGAGATACATTTAAACAAAGTATTGATGAAGTATTTGAGATAGATTTATACAAAATATTGATGAAATATTTGAGATAGATTTAGACAAAGTGTTGGATAATAATATATTAATTACTGCTCATCAACAGCTTCAATTTTATTTAATAGACTTCCACAGCTTAGATACTGGATTGATTAATTATTTTGTAGTTAGATATTGTAAATATACTAATTATTTTTAACATCATATTGATATTGTTGTAAAATCTCTTTTCAGACATTTAATTGGCCGACACCTACTAATAAAACCGAGATTGAAGTAGCTAAGACATGTAGAAATATAATAGAGAATACAACATCTGGTTTAGCATGTAAACAAGTTAAAGGCCTTCAAATAACAGACAGTATAGAAATCTGTATTGAGGATATTAAGGTATGTATATGGGCAGTTACTCAATTAATATTGACCTGATAACATCTATGCATGTCAGGTTTCCATCTCATGTTTGTACATGACACAGAGTAGGATCGCTTGCCTAACTTGGGGTTTTGCTTGGATTTTAGTCCTGTATTATGTAAAATTCTCTGTCTATGGAAGGTTGGGTGGTTGAATTGTGCACTTTAGATCATAATGTCTGTCATTGAGTCAAGTGGCATCTTTGTGATCCCACACTTTACATGACAAAGTGTAGGGTCCCCTGCCAAACCTTGGGTTTTCTCTTTAAGAAGTAGTAAGAAGACAGGAGTCTAATGTTAATATTGAATCCATTATTAAATGCATGTTTTTTCTTGTTGGAGAATATTTGTAAATTAGTATAAATTTTTACTACAGATTACAGATCTGATTGAGTGGGCTGAATCCGCTGCTGATAATTTTATACAAGAATGTAGAACTGCTATAGAATATAATGTTGAACTATGGGTTAATGAAACTGTAAATGGACAAGAAGTAATTATACCACCACCAGATATTATAGATAAATTATGTCCTGGCGACTGTAATGGACACGGTAAATGTGAAAATGGTAAGTTTTATAATCTTGTGATAACTTGCAGGGTAAACTTATGCTATCATACAGTCATATTCAGCGTCCCTTTTTATACGCCCACATTTTTATGTTGACATATATTGTCATCTGTCCAAAATTTGTTTGTGGACACTCTACAGGACACAATTTTTATCCGATTTTGACAAAACTTGAAATATAGGTCTATCTAACTTGTGGATCCTCTAGAGGACACAATTTTTATCAGATTTTAAAAAATGTTTAAAAATATCAACATTTTTTTTTTTAGCTTGTTTTCTATCCATCTCTTGCAAAATGTAGGCTTTTCTTTCCTGGCAACCGCTGGTTTAGACTGTGAATCAAAATATCATGTTTCAAATTTTTCACTATAGAAAAGTGACGCCCAGTTTTACACACCCAACAAGATAATTCCTTTCCTTGCATCGCACACTGTATGCTTGTCTCAAACTGACTGAAGTATTGTGTTGATCAAATTTTATTCCATTCCATTTTTATGATATTTTTAGGTGAATGCATATGTGATGATGACTACAGTGCTCCAGATTGTTCAGTGAGTCTAACACAGCCACCTACAGTTTATAGTACAGCTAGACCATTATGTGATAGTCGTCTGTTTAACTGTAGTCAAATATCTGTGTTTGGAGAATCATTCTTAGACCTAAATACACTTATCTGTAAACTTAAATTAATAGAGGTAAGAAATTCATTTAATTAAGAATTAAAAGTATGCGGAGCATGATATATGTCCTGTAGTAATTCATTTAATTAAGAATTAAAAGTATGCGGAGCATGATATATGTAGTATATGGAGCATGATTTAAGTCCTGTAGTGTAGGAGGTAAAATAGATAGAATGGTAGAATTATTGCGATGTTTTGTTTTCTCTATTATGTAATCTCAGAATGATTCACTGATTAGACCAGTTGATAGGATGCAGGAAGGTCAGGATGTTTCAGAGAATAAACAAAATAATGTCAGCCTCCATGCTGAAAAGAAAAATCCTCATTTATGACATCATTTACGTATGATTCCCCCAAATGTTCAGAGAATATCAGTACACATGGAAATACAAATAATTACGTATAGAAATTTGACGTTTTTTCTGCTGGCGTAAAGCAGACCTTATTGTTACAGCAAAGGGTAAAGATGTTACAAGAAATTTTCCTTTCTAGACTGAGTCAGAATGTTAGAAAGAAGTGACCTCTTCAAGAAAGTTTTTAATGTTACAGAGAATCTAGTGATAATCCAAATGACTTTTCAAGGGGAAGGCTGGACGTTAAAATGTAATGCAAAGAATTGACCTCTATATAATCATAAAGTGAAAATGTAGCTAGTAGCATTATGTTTAACAGTCGTTGCATATATCTTTTTCAGAAATCGGGAACATCATTTACAGTGACTAGTACGAGTCTAGATGTTTCAGCTGTATTTATCAGTGATGAACAGATCATATGTAATGTAGATAAACCAGATATATATGAAGTAGCTGTCAGTAACGATGGTCAACTTGTCAGTGCTAGATCAATTCGTACAATAACATTTGATTCTATTTGTTACATTTGTACAGAAGATGGATGCACTCTGAAGGTATTGTAGATTTATGGCTTTCTTTTATATTTATAAAACAAACTTTATAAGTTTATAGATACTATATATACTATTAACACATTTATTTTATGTCGGTGATACTATTAAAATTTATGTATTTTGATGAAATCTGGAAAATGTTTCCATAGCATCTCCACCATGTTATATTCGGATCCTTGGATCCTGAGGTGTTATACTAAACATGTGGGAGAAAGTGAAAAACCACCATTCTCCATGTTAAAATTCTAATCTCTATCTTTATTACCGTACTCAAAAAGGCAAAAGAACTACAACATAAGGCAGACAACTTGTATCTAATTTAACATAAGGGATCAGACCACAATGATATTTAATATACCAATATAATATGACAATAGAGTTGTTGCGAAATTAAGTTTGTTTTATTTTTCAGTCTGATGTATGTGATATAGAAGGTAGTTGTTATGGTGAAGGTTTCATTAACCCTGTAAATACACTGGAAAAATGTAGTGGTGGAATAACAACATGGGTACCAATTACAAGTAAGAAAGATTACTGTTATATTGTGTCAAATTACTGTCTCTAATGTCAAGAAAAAAGCCTGAGCTGCATTTATACAACTAGAGGCCAATCCTTCTATAATGAAAAAAATACATTATTCTTGATTTGATTTGCTTAAGTGTTAGCAGGTGTAAACTATTGAAACTCTCTAAGAACTGCAAGCTTTGTACCTATATGTATACATCTTTGATGTTTATAAGATAAATCTTTTTGTCTGATGAACCAGTAAATATATTTATATCTATTTTTCAGGAAATGAAATAATGTTATTTAACTTTTACTTCATGAACATTGTAAACAATATCCTGATTACTACCACTACCAACTTGACCGTATTTGGTAATCCGGTCTTAGTACCTGGTAAAAATACTGATATGGCGATACAATTGAACGGTATAGATCAGTACATCAAATTTACAGATAATATACCTCCATGTCTGATAAACCCAGAAAATTGTTTACTTGGAATGACTGTTTCCTTCAACTTAAAAGTAACAGGAGTAAAAGAGGATATGTACATATTTACAAATGGAGGTGATTTGGTCAACAGTTATGGCATAGCAATGTGTTACCGTAGAAACCGTTACCAAGTTACAATCAGTACCCAAACTAAAGAATGGACTGTTTTTACAACAGATATAAAACTCAACATCTACATTTCTATAGATATATCATGGAGCATCCAATCTGGTTTGACACTTTATCTTGATGGCGAGATGGCAGCAGAAACAGCTAAATTTATCCCCCGTAATGTCACTGAAACCAAGACTCCAGATTTTATCATTGGAAAAGCTGCAGAAGTTGATGATTTTGCTAACGTCTCTATCAGTGAATTAAAGGTTATTAATTCTACCCGACCTGTTGCAAAAGCTCTGAATATTGAGGCAGAAGGTAAGACATTAGCAATTATTATGACATAATAGAAGGTGAGACTATTCTAATGTTTCTTTCTGTTTTATTTTTTGGGTGTTTTACTCCATGTCATTATAATGCATAGGTTGTGATTGGTTGGCTCAAGATCAAGTTACCAATCAAACCTTTGGTAATGCGAATTCTGCTAAGTCTTTTGAAATGGCATTTTTATTCCGACATTTAATTGGTTGTCTACAGTCAAAGGTACTATTATGCTATCATCGGTAGTGGGGTTGGGTTGTTGGCCGAAGGTGATCTTAAGATCTGTCATTGAGTCAAGTGGCGTGGTTTAGATTTCCCGCCTGTATGTGACAAGAAGAAGGGTCACCTGTCCATCCTCGTGGCTTTTCTCTGGGTCCTCCAGTTTCCTCCCACTGCTACAGACCCCTACTCGCTAGCGAATCAATGAAATAAAATTGTACCATATGTTAATCCTGAAATGACCTAGTTTGTCAAGTGAGCATTAAACTCTCTCTCTCTCTCTCTCTCTCTCTCTCTCTCTCTCTTGATTTAATATATCTTTCATATTTTATAGAAGGAACAACTGTAGCTCCAACAGAAACAACTGAAAATATCACAGAAACAACACCTACAAACCAAACTGAAGCAACTACAGTCGCAACAACAGAAAATGACACAGTCAGTACACCTGAAACAACTGAAAATGTCACGGTCACAACACCTGAAACAACTGAAAATGACACAGTTACTACACCTGAAACAACTGAAAATGACACAGTCACAACACCTGAAACAACTGAAAATGTCACAGTCACAACACCTGAAACAACTGAAAATGTCACAGTTACTACACCTGAAACAACTGAAAATGACACTGTCACAACACCTGAAACAACTGAAAATGTCACTATACCTGAAACAACTGAAAATATCACAGTTACTACACCTGAAGCAACTGAAAATGGCACTGTCACAACACCTGCAACAACTGAAAATGACACTGCCACAACACCTGAAGTAACTGAAAATGTCACAGTCACAACACCTGAAAATGTCACAGTCACAACACCAGTAACTACTCCTGAGACAACTAATACAAGCCCAGAGACCACTGCTGACACATCTCAAACAACTGTAGAGACAACTGCTGCTACCACTGCTGCTACCACTGCTTGCATATGTAAGTTTGTTGTTTAAAGTGTGATAAACATTTTGTTTTGTATAAGTTGAGAAATATTGAAATGCTGAAATTATCTTGATTAAACCTTGGGTAGTTTAGATGTGTTGTACTATGTCGTTAAATATAATATAACATGATTTATGAAAAAATATAGGATTGTCTTTAAGAGTACTGTAATTTAACTTTTTGGGTAAGACTTTTTACAAGAAACAGGAAACAAAAATTTGGGAGAAGAGTGAAAATTTGGGACCAAATTATACAGGCATTTAGGGTCTTGATTTTACTATATAGTTACATCTGGGTGTTTAGATGATATTGTATGCAAAATATAAGGCAGATCTGGTGATCCACCGACAAGATGATTTAAGAGTCAGATCATGTCCTAAGTCAGTTGGATTATAGAGTTAAAAAATGAAACTAAAATTAGTAAACAAGCCAATTTCGGCTTATTCATGTAGAGTTTTCCCCATCACGATCGAAGTATCCAATTCAATACTACATTGTGACAAAATCAAAGATATTCAGCAGCTACACTTTGGCTCCATTATGTTATTCTTATAGGCATTTTCATTCTTTTAGGCAGTCATATTCTCAAACTGTTACCTTCCAATCATTTACATTTTGATTACCTTTCAATCATTTACATTTTGATTCCATATAATGTTATTGTTTACAGCTGCAGCAGATAGTTATCCTAAAATGCCCGGTGCTCCAGCTCTAAATTATGATTTAAATGGTGATAAACTATCATATATATGTAAACCACAGAAAGCTAGTGAAGAGGGTGTTGTTTATGGTATAAGTTGGATGGTTGGTGATACTACAGTTAAACAAGAAGATATAATAACACAAGAATCACATGTGTTAGATTATAAAGATATAACTAATACAACAGCTGTTTTATCTAATGGAGTAAGTTCATGTAATCCTTTTATTTTACTTTCTCATACATAATTTACCTTCCATCACATTATGAATACTAGTTCATTTGTATTGAACAAGCCATTTTTTAGTACTACATTTTGTCCCATAAGAGTTTATTACAAGAACTATATTTTGGTGCACGGCATGACATGCCAGTGGTGCCAAATGGGCTTGAGGAAAGTTGATTTTTTTTTTTAGTGAATTTAATGTTATCTTATTTTATCTTACAGATATCATGTCAAGTGACAGCTAGTAATCCTAAACGTTGTACAGTAGAAACAAGTCCACCTTTAGCTAGTATTCCAGTAACATTCTCTAAACAGGTATATTGTTATTAGTTTTATGTTGTGTATATCTTTCTTGTGTGAATCAATCATGATATAGATACCTGCCCCTCATTCAGTCCCCTGTTTGGATTGATGTGCTGACATTGAGAATGATTTGTAATGGTAGAATACTTTATTGAGAAGGTTGCATTTACTTGTACTAAACACAAGAGACATTTATCAAAGTCTGTAAACTATTTCTCGTGATAGAAGCCACAATCTGATTATATTAAGTAAAGCCAGGAAAAAATCTTTTAAGACAACACCAATGAAACAAATGGTACATTTTTTGGATACATTTCATAAAACAGTATAAAATTATGTCTTGTCTACCATCTTATATTCTTCATTTTAGACACATTGTCAAGTGTTGAAGATTGTTTTCTATTGCTTTGTTTCCTATTGACTTGATTTTCTCCATCAAGCATGTCCAGATTAAATTGTGTGCAAGCAATATTTCAATACATGTATATGGTTTACTAAGTTTTAAGATTGCGTGTGGTGGGTTTACTTTGCTAAAAGTGTATTAATACCTACATCATTTATAAAATTTCAGGTTGTTAAAACTCAAGACATGGTCCTGATAGAAGGTGGTGACGCTCAAGATGTTACTATAACATTCAGTAAACCTGTAGATTATTATTGTCTACTCAAATATCGTCAAACTTGTACAATTTCATTCGAAGCCAAATTAATTAGAGGAACTAGACCAAATAAATGTCTTAGTGGACAACTGATTAACACTGTTGTAGTTGGTTACCCTGGTGAACTGGCTTCTGCTTCCTGTCGCACTCCAATCAAAGGAAGCTCATTGGTTCATACCATGTCACTGACGGCCATTTCTGATCGGCAGTATAAGGCTTCTGATCTAGAAAACGAAGTAGAAATAATGGAACATGTTACTCATGGAGGAACTGAATCTTCAGAATTGATTGAAAGTTTTAAGGTAGGTGAAAAAATTAAAATTTTGTACCATTCAAGTTTTTTTTATGCATTCTTTAACTTTTTTTCCATTTTCTAAACAATCGTGAATTGGGATCGTTATTAAGATTATGATCTTGGAAAATCTGTAACAAAAGACATACATAAATTATTGAATAAAGAATTTATTTATTGTAGTAGACATATTATATAACAAGGGATATATGATTTTGTTATTTAGGTATCTGTTAAGAGTGTTGATTTAAGATCAACGTACTGTAATTCAGTTGGTGATCCACATATTAAAACATTTGATGGAAAGTAAGTTTAATGTTTTTCATTTTGATATTCAAATATTATGTACTTCTTTAAAGGGACAATAACACCCTTGCTGGCTTGAAAGCTCCAGAAAATAAATAATATCTCTATCTAAGTACTAGATGTTTAAGTGTCCTACCTGTTGTGTAAATTATCCATTACATCCTATTTTACTTGTCCAGAGGGTTCGAAAATATTTTTAAATTGAAGTTTCATATGAAAAGGTTTACGTTAGACGTTTCAAACCATTATGTTGAATTTTTCAAAATTTTTAAATAAGGTGTGTTAAGATGAAATTTGTATCATCAATTAATTGACATATTCTAAAATAGTACAATTTGTTGACCAGAATAAAGATTGGGACATATTATTCAGTTACAACAAGAGTGGTATTGAGCCTTTAAGTTTTGAAATTTGTATAAGAGACTTATTACTTATATTTTTTTCAAAACAGTGCACTTTACAATGTTAACAAATGAGGTACATGAAGTGTTTTGTTTAACGTTGAATTGGAATGATAAAGAAGACAAACCTCTTTTCATGAAATATTACATTGGTGGTCTGTAATTGATATTTGTAAAGTGTTAATCATCTGTAAGCCAGTTGAATATTTGACCTATCCAAAATGTATTATTTTTTTCCCAGCTATAGCCAATAATACTCTTAATCAAAATAATGACACCCACCACCCAACCTTTAACATTAGTCGAAGGCATTTAAACATTTTGTTCCTCTCTCCCCTCCCTTCTGGAATTCCTACATATATCACTACATTAGTCATCATTCATTTAATTTCTATGTTTATATCTTCAGAACTTACGATAATATGAGAACTGGTGAATTTATTTTATATCAACATACGACGATGGATGTAGAGGTAGGATAATATATGTATTAATACTCTCTAATACCTTGATTAAAGCATGGCAGAAGTTATGCTAGGAGGATGTGGATTGGGCTGAGGGGATACAATGTGACTTGTTAATATCAAAATTAAGCCATGTATTAGTTCCAAAGTGATCTAGTTTGAGTTGAGTGGACATTAAATATCTCTCTTTCAAGTACACTTAAATGTACTTATTTTTGACATTAAACGGAAATATAATACGAGTTCCATCTTCTAGCATATCTTTTATACGTATTAAACTGTTGATCTTGTTAATTACAGGTTAGAGGTTTTTATGTAGAGACAGGTAAAGGTAGTAGTGGATGTGGTTATACTATAAGATCAGGTGATGATGTGTTTAAAATTAGTAAATGTGAACTACAAGATGATGCTGAGTCTTTTCCCTTTATACCACAACTGTTTGTTAAAGGTGACATGTCTCCTAGTACTAAAATATATCAAGAACAAGGTGGACAGAAATTTAAGGTATTATTTGTTGCATTATTGACTTGTTGTTTGATAATTGATTATTTATTTCACTATAGAGAAGCAAGGATTCTTTTTCATAATTCTTCTTTGGACTTTTATATAAAGGCAGTACATTTTAGCTGCCATTCACAGATATTTGTCATTTAATAAAACTTGTTAATTCTGTTAAGAAGGGTCTTAGAACTCTTTATTCTAGTTACAAGTAACTAATAACCAAATAACTCCAGTTGTCTGGTTAAGTTTGGTGCAAACTTCTTGACTAATGATCAACTTGTGTCTTAATAAACATGTCTATAACTCAGAGATGTGTGTAGTGACAACTTACTGATATACTTCATTTTATAAAATTTTGCATGTTATTGATACGTTTTAATTACCTATTGGCAAAGTTAACAAACAGTATTGAATAATTCTGTTTATCAAGTCACTCAATGAAAACTAGGAGACAATTTTATAACTGTTTGGATGTTTTCCAACAGCTAAATATTTTCAACTGGCTGTTTTTTAAATATTGGCATTTAATTTGCATACTTATGGGTACCCTGTAAAAATTGGAAAGAATTACCAATACTTTGTTTATTTGAATATAACCAAAGTAATTATTGTTGTCAACAGATAATCCTTCCATCTGGTACTAAAGTTATAATAAGGAATGATGATAAACAAACAATGAATATATGGATTGTACCTTCGGGTAAAGATTTCGGCAAGGTCAAAGGTAAGTACATAATGATTAATTAGTATATTTGTATAGTATACATATATATACTGCACTCTGATAGTAAGTGCAGGAGGACCACACTATATGCAAAGCAGAACCGACAAGACAAACCTGTAGACAAGACAAACTACATAGACATTGCAAGAAATAAACATCAAATCAAGTGAATGGAGGGGGGGGGCAGTCGTAGGCCTGTAAAGATGAAAATGATAAAAGAAATTTGATTTACAAGAAAAAAGTAAAAGAAATAATGCAATCGCTCTTGGCGGTAGTCGTCTCTTGAAAGGCGATAGTCTGCCATTTGACCTCATGAGTTAGAATATCGAACAATTTTAATAATAAGGGTAATAATAAAGTGTAGTCAATCAAGTTAAGAGTTAAGACTAGCCTTAGGCATGGATTTCAAGGGGAAGAGAGAGAGAAATGGGGTTAACGTCCACTTGACACAAACTAGGTCATTTCGGGACTAACATATGGTTCAATTTTATTTCCCTAATTTGCTTGCGCATAGGGGTCTTTAGCAGTGGGAGGAAACCGGAGGACCCAGAGAAAACCCTCGAGGTTGGACAGGCGACCCAACTCCTTGTCACGTACAACCGAGGATTTGACTCAATGACGGACTTTATGATACAGCGTGCACATGCTAACTGGATTTCAAGGGGACTTAGAGGGACTTTTGTTAGAAATACTTTTATTTACATTAACTTATCACTATAGTACTATTATACGACTGTGCTAAGAAATACAATTCAACTAAATATTGACCTAAGCACACACACCTTCAATAACTGTACTCTAACAACCATCCCATTCATGGTAGATCTGCCCATGTATTTGTACATAATATTTTAATTACCAAGTAATAATTTCTGTCCTTTCATAATGTGATAAATAAGATGTTATTAAATATATTTCTATTGTCTTGTATATCTTTAGGTTTATGTGGTAACTATAAATAATGCGATCAATATGATGGTGTTAATTATATTATATATTTTGGGTTTATGTGGTAACTATGTGATATATATGATGGTGTTTATTATATATTTTTAGGTTTATGTGGTAACTATAATGTGATAGACATGTTGGTGTTAATTATATTATATATTTTTAGGTTTATGTGGTAACTATAATGGTAATGATGCTGATGATTTAACAGGACAAGATGGTACACTATATACCATGGTTGACAAAACTGATGTTGATGATGCTTTTATTTTGACGTGGAGGTAAGAACTGGTACTTCTGTTGACCATCTCAAACAACAATAAAACTGAAATAAATCCAATATAAATCTGTATGTTTTTAAAGAGACGTTAGTGAATTGAGGTATTGACTGGTCAGATCTATCAGTGATTTATAATTGTTTTATTATTAGAACAGATGAGATAGATGTTTTCAAACAGTTCAGCAATGCTCATGTAAAATGCTTTGCTCTAAATAGGCCAGTGCTTAAATTTTTTTGTGAATAACATACAGGTATATGTAACATAAGATTTATTTTCCTATGCAAACTGGTAATTCCTCCTTAAAGAGAAATTTATATTGTTCTGCTATAGCAAATACTACCCAGGTCATATTTAAAACACAGTTTACAAAACACTTTCTACAAAAATATATTTTCAAGCATCACTGAACTCTTATTTAGAAAAGAAACAAATTAGGATGTTCTTTTATCACTGAGGTTTAATATATAATCAATTCGGACAGTTAAAGATGCATTATGTAAGATTTAGATAAAGAATTGACAGTTCTCGCTATAATAGTTAAAAACTAGATAATGAAAGTTAAAAACTAGTCAATGAAAAGGGAATATGTTGAAAATTTTGTCAAATTACTTCATTCTGAGTGGAGTTTTGGCCATTTGAAGAACAAAGTAGTCTTGATTGTCGTTGCTACCATTGTTACAATAATAAACAATGTCTCGTTTATCCATTATTTACTTAAATGATTAACAGGCACTCATGTTTAAATCCATTGAAATCCAAAACCATCCTATGGTCTAGAGAGTTGATTATGGGCTTGGCATGTGTGAATAAATGTCTAATTAATGACTTATATAACATTCCAAACAAAAAAGATTTAACTCTTACATAATGCATCTTTAATCATGTCTACCAAAATGTAAATTCAAATCCTGTAGATTTTAATATTTATGTTCTACTATTATAGAGTTGTTGATAGTCAGAGTAATTATAATGGTTATCCAGGAACTGTCAATATGGCTACACCTATATATTGTAATTGTTATAATGAAGAAGAATCAGCTTGTGGTTATTTCTATGATGTAGATGAATGTGGTGTCACTACAAATGGTAATATTCATTTATTTATATATTTTTTTCCAATCTTCTACATAAAATGTGTCTTGGAACCTAATACAAAATAAAGACTAAAATGATTTATTAATTTGTTGTTTTCAGGTGAAGATATAACCCAACGACTAGTAACAGAATCTATAGCTGCTCAACAAACACCAACCAGACGTAAACGTGCTACAACTAGTTTTACATATGATCCTAACTTTAATGCTGCTGCTGTAAGTTGTGATTTTTTTTTATTTTAAAGCTGGAATCAGGAAAAAGGCTATCCTCAATAATGTCGGGTATTTTCCAATATCTCCTTTCTCATGTGTCATTAATAATGTTATTTGACTGTACATTGTATTCTCTTATGTATATAAATGTATGTGCCAGTGAATAAAGTCTTTCTGAAATTCAAGCTGGAATCTGGAAAAAGGCTATTCTCAATAACGTCGGGTATTTTCCAATATGGTTGAATTTATACTCGAACATCATGTGGGTTGAAGGCTTAACCCATAATGTAAGATGGATTATTTCAATAAAGATTTAAAATTGGATATTCTTCAGGGAATGATGAGGGTGGAATAATTTGATGAAATGTTTTTTTATCTTCTTTACTACTTTACTTTTGGCCCCTGGATCCATTCACTTGATGTATTTGTTATTGATTGTTTGTAATGTCTGTGTATATTGTCTGTACTTATTATTTAAGTGTTTGTTTGTAATAAGGAAACCAAAGGCTAAACTGTTAGTGCTACAATCTTTATCTATAGGTTAATTCCTTTTCAAAGTCAATAAATTAAACCTTTCAAATCACATATGTACTTAAAAAATATACTCTTATTTCAGCTTTTATATAATACAGTGTCTTTTATTATACCATGCTAATAATTTATTGTTTTTCTTTCAACAGACAGCTACCTGGCCAACTGCTTCTGGTGTAACTGAAGCTAAAGCTAATGAATTATGTACCAATAAAGTTAGATCAGCTAAATCTTTTGAAATTTGTTCTAACTTCTCAGCTGATGCATATGCTGTAGAAATAAGTAACTGTGTTAGAGATATCAAGGTATATAGTCTATATAGTATCACTTCTCTTACAATCCTAGATCTACTGACTATGATATTAATTTTAATGAGATCAGAGACCCTTATGTAATTTACTTCACTCAGTCTTTTTGAAACCAGGGGGTCACAGTGTCTAAGTGGGTAAGACGCTGGCTCGCTAGTCTAAAAGTCGGGTGTTCGATCCCTGCATTAGCCGAGAACATTCATCAAGATTTTCCAGTGTGGTTCTCCCTTATCAGTGATGCAGGACAGAGGATGGGACGAAAAACCGAGGTCCCGTGTACACATTGGTGTGCACGTAAAAGTTCCCTTGACAGTTGGAATTCGATATATAAGAGTAAGCCATAGTGCCGCTGAATGGGCTAAATTTTCCTCATAGCAAACTGTATGGAGTATGCCTGTCTTCATTAGTCCAGTTTGGAGCAAACAGTAGGACGTTAAACCCCAATTCATTTCATTTTTTGAAACCAGTCTTTCAGTGAACTTAAGTCTAGTAAGAGGAGTGTATTTATTAACTATATTTCTATAATGACTTTGTGTTTTGTAGTTGACAGATGATATATCATGGGCTAATAGAACATTAGCAGATATACAAGAAAAATGTGAGATTAATACGCTACAAGATCCTACTACATGGGTAGATAACAATCCTACTGATCCAACAAAACCTCCATCTTTACCCGCTGCCTTGGTTAGTACCTTCTGTCTCAATGATTGCAGTGGTGCTGGTACCTGTAATAATGGTAAGTACCAGGTTTATGATATACTTTCATAAGATTAAATTAAGCATTGTGTTAATGAGACATAACAATTAGTCACAAAATATTGTTATTTTAATCTTTATTTCAATTCATTCTGTTTGTGTTAGATTTAATAAAGATACAACATGTCAGATTTTTTAACATTTATCTCTAAATTCAAAAGTCAATATGCACTATTTTCATATAAGCACATCCTAATAGAAAAATAAAAAACTTCATGAAGACAGAATTACTTTTACTTCATAAACCCAAAGATGTCAATGTGAAACCAAAAGAAACTAATGCATACTTTAAATACTCATAACTTAATTGCTTTTATCGATTTCAATATTGTTTGAATCATGATGTTTTTAATAGACAGACATTTGATTGTGTATGGTCTTAACTGACATGTTGGAATTTTAAATTAGTTTAATTAGTTCTTTTATATCTGCTGAGTAAACACCATTTTTTGAAACAGACATCCTATAGTTACTTATAGATGAATTAGCAAAATTTGCACTTAAAATGGTAGTTAAAGTTTTGACGACCTCTATGAACTTGCCACAGATCAGTTTTTATTATTTTGTTATATGTTTTAGGTGTATGTAGCTGTACTCCAGGATCAGATGGACCTGATTGTTCTATAGGTGTTAATATAGCACCAACAGTCTTACCTGATAGTAATACAGTATGTACTATAACATCAGCATGTAATCAAACATTAATAACCGGTGATAACTTTGTTAAAGGAAACAATTTGATATGTCACATGGAAGAAATAGAGGTAAGAATCTATTAATAATTTCTGTTGGTAATTTGATATTCATTTATGCTGTATTTTAAGAAGCTGTTGTTAGATTTTTATTATTTTTCAATATTTTTGATAAAAAGTAGTTTAAAACTGGATTATTTAGGAGACATATAGTTATTGTTTAAGTTAGAGGACAGTTATTACTTATTTAATACCACTTAAATCTTTGTATTTTTTATTCAAATTTATGATACTCTGGCTCGCTAGCTTGGAGGTCGCGTGTTCGATCCCTGCATTTGCCGAGAAAGTTCATCAGGATTTTCCGACGCGGTTTCTCCTTGTCAGTGGTGCAGGACGGAGGGCCTGACAAGAACTGCTGTCTAGTTGTTCGTTTTTTTACAAAAAAACATGAGGTCCTGTGTATACATTAGCGAGCACATAAAAGATCCCTTGGCAGTTGGAATTCAATGTAAAAGTAGGCCATAGTGCTGCTACCTATGCAAAATTTCCTTATAATACACTGTATTGCATATGCTTGTCTTCATTAGCTAAGTATAGGAACAGAACAATAGGACGTTAAACCCCATTTCATTTTGAATTTATGAATCCTATAATATGGGTTACTGATTCACCAGTGTAGTGTAATGAGATTTTATTGAGATAAATGTGGATAATATTATCAACAGTTATCTATCTTTTTCTTGTAGATTGATAGTACAGGAATAATAAATAGAGGTACTATACATACTACTACAGCTGTTTATAGAAGTTTATATGAAGTTCAATGTCCTATGCCTGACAGTAATAAGAGAAGTTATGCTATACGTGTTAGTAATAATGGTCGAGATAAATCACTTAGAGAAGCTATATACAGTGTATATGATTCTAGATGTACATCTTGTACAGTTAGTTCAACAGATTCTACAGCTACCTGTACTGTTAAGGTATGTTTGAAGACTTCCTGTTTCACTAATTCATTTATCTTTCATTGTAGTAAATCATTGTCTTTTTCTTGTCAGACATAACATCTACTTCCACCTAGGGTGATATCGCAGACAAATGTTTCCTAGGAAACTTGCAAGAAGACCTAGTCAAAGATGAGAGAGACTCATCTAGCGTAGGATTGAAATGGAAGAGTGATTAAGAAATTTTACTGCCTCCATTTCCTTGATTAAAGGACTTTTAAATTACAATGAGGGTGTCTTTCTATGAAGACCAGACGCCATAACTGTTGTAATCCATCAGTCTACTAATGCAATCACAAACTGATCAAACAAGTTTTCAATAATTGCACCTTTAGTTACTACTATATATAATTAGGTCCTCACATGTATAAATGTATTTTTGTTTATTTTAGCCGTTGATATGTAAGATAGATAATGTATGTTATAATAATGGTGATAGTAAAACTGGTGAACCATGTTCTATATGTAATGTAGATTTATCAACAACTACCTGGTCCAGTACTGGAGGTAATATTATATCACTATATACAGTTAACAGGAGACTCCGGATAACAGGCACTAAACTTGCACTGTTTTAATAATAAATGATAAATTAGGATATAAAAAAAGTCATGCCTTTAGTGTATATAGTGGGATAGACAATGTATTGTTGAGAGGTAAAAGAACCTGATCAAAGGTCAGTGACATGTGCAGCACCACATACCATGCAACATCACTACATGAAGGAGATAAGCCTCTGAATGGTAGTTAGTGGGATCCTCTTAGCAGTGTTGCTTCCAATGGCTCTGTTTGGGTTGTCAACCTTTGCATATCTATGTGTCTTCTACAGAACTGTCCAATGTCTTACAATTCACCTTGTATTTAAAATATACAAAATGCATTGTTAACTGGTAGATTGAGACACCATTTCTGTCAGTTTAATCAATGTGTGAACTATATACGTGAACAGCCAGACTGCCAGGCTGTAATCTTTGTCCAGACTAATATTCATTGTAGTTAAAGCGGAGACAACTAAGGCTGGAATGAACAAAACTAACAAAAAATTGACAATCAATTTTTTGATATGTGTTTCATTTTTTTTTGTCTTTCAGCATCTGGTTGTTCATCAATAGCACCACCTAAATCAACAACAACAGAAAAACCCTTTGTATCTAATAGTGATAATATGGAGTTTAATTCTAGAACAGTTATTATAGCTGTTGGTGTTATAGCAGGCTGCATGTTATTACTGATAATTATAGTAGCAGTTGTTATTTACAAGTATGTTCAATTTTATTCATACATAGTCTTAATTGATGACAACTTGTCATTGACAAATCTCCTGGGAGTCATCCTGTTATGAAATAGCGTCGGCATATTCAATGGTATTTTTTACTCCTGTCAACAGTTTTTATTCTTCAATCGTATAGCAAATTGAGCATTTACGATGTTTAAAGATATATTGTAATTGGAGTGATACATATCCTTATACAGTGATAATAAGTTTCTAATAATATATTTGATTGATAAGTGAATAATTTTTAAGATACTCGTTCGTTAACCGATGACAAATGAACTTATCTCATATATTTTAGTCATTAACAGTAATACTAATACGTCTATAATCCTTAAGTTTTCACACCCCTCCGTCATAACACCATTTGATTGGGGTATTGCAAGATTAAAACATCTTCTGGATTCAAATCTAGACATGGGCCTGGTACAGCCTTTGGAACTTCTCATGCCTGGTTCTCACTTTTCAACGAAAATATCTGAAAGTGGGCTTAGTCCATTCTCAATAGTCAAGATTTGGTTTGAACAAAAAACTGAAATCCTGTGTAGAAGATAACCAGAATTTGAAATTCAGAGGAATTCATATTCCTGAAGCAATGGTCCGAGAAATCCCTCTCAGGCCCTTGCTGGATTGGCTTCTGATACTTGAGCTTTTGAGGGAGTGTGTCTATTCTTCCCATTCAATCAAATCTATCCCAAGTACAGCAACATGACAGCCCTTCGTTTAATCTGGGGTCTTCCCTAAAACTTTGGACAGTGATTTAAGGTATTAAAACCGGTGAAAGTCTTGTTCGTCTACATACAGTATTGTTTACATTGTGTCCTCGTTGATAGCCTCGTTTGGCACGCAATTAGTTTTTCTGCAATATTCTGCTATGCACTGGTTAATTGGGCATAATAAAATCGTGAGTCAGTATGTAATGTTATGTAAACATATTTGGTCCAATTTGGAGCTTTGTTTAAAGCGTAAACATATTGTTACACAGTTAGCTATTGGTTGTTAATCGGACTATTGACCAGTCATAATTAAAGCAGTGTTTAGTGGGATTAGATCTAATCAAACGAAATACTGTGGGGAGTATGAGAGGAATTAGCTAAAACACCTTTTTCCTCCCCTTTCACACATTAGCATAGAAAGTAAGAATGTTGGTCTGAAGCAATATATTAAAGATATATTATGGGAGATAAGATAAAGAGATGGCAGTTCTCGCTATAATAGTTAAAAACTAGATAGTGTAAAGGTAATTTGCTGAAAATTTCAGTCAAATTGATCCACTATGAGCCGAGAAAGAAGCGGGTGAAATTTTTGCATAGTCTCGGTCATCATTACTAAAATCATTAATATAAACAGCATAGTCTCGATTATCCACTTTTTCTGATTTAGTTATCAATGGCCGTTAGCGGCATATCGGAATCTAATCCAGCCAACATCGAAGGCTAGCCTCGACATCGAGAGTTTATTATGGTCTGGATAAGTTAATTAATGTCTAATTGATAATTTAGATAACATTTCAGGCCTAAAGAAAGACTTGTAATAAGCAGATTTTGCTCTTGCATAATGCATGTTTAAGCTATGATAGAAAAAACTAGATTGCTACTTACTGGAAGAGTGATGTTATAAACTGGACTGCACACACAGATTTATAATATCAGATATGATGCCTGTGGCACACTTTTATCTTCTCTTTATTCAATCTCTCCATCTTCATTAGCCCAGTCAAAGCAGAACAGTAGGACGTTAAACCCCATTTCATTTTATTTACACTCCAGTCTCAAAGTCAAAGATTACATAATGGGAGATAACTCCAAAGGACTCAATAACTAATAAAGGGGAGGAAACCCATTCCATGAAAGGTGGCAATAATAAACGACGTGTGGAGGATATGATGAGATATAATTACTATATGACATAATTATTCACTATAGCTATCATTTCTAAAGCATATTGATGTATAGTACCATGATAAATACATTAAGATTATATATTACCCTATTTGGTATTTTATTATTTTACAGAAGAACAATTGCTTCAAAGAAAAGACGTAGCGATTCATCAACAGAATCAGACAGTAGAGTATATGATGGTTTCTATGGTTTACGTACAGAAAAGACCATGACATTACGAACAAGTAGAAATTTTGATAGAGAAAGTATATGATGTGATGATTCTACTGGATGCAAAATTATCTTAAAATTGCTATAATATGTCCTATTATTGTTTTGTTACTGTTTATAAAATCAATTTATGACAAATTATTTACTTCATTATTCACTTCTTTATTACTAATAACATCACCTTCCATATTCATCAATATTCATATATGTTTTATAATATAGATAAAGTTGAATATATTTTTATATGATAACCTTGAATAGAAATCCTTTTATTTTTATACCATGTTTGTGTTTATTAAATTTAAGATTTGTGTGATTTTTTTTTTACTCAATCTAAATGGCAGTATAATAAACCTTATAGAAGTATTAAGCTGATGGGAGTAGCTCAAGGCAATAATTATAATGTCTTTCTTTACCACAATAATATTCAAATATATACATGGAAAAGTTATGACAAATATGCCTATTTGAAATAAGGGTCATGAGACATGTGTCATTAATAATGTTATTTGAATGTACTCTATAGCCTCTTATAATAGTGGTTTCGAATCCCCGGTTGTACGTGGCAAGGAGTAGGGTCGCCTGTCCAACCTCGTGGGTTTTCTCCGAGTCCTCCGGTTTCCTCCCACTGCTAAAGACCCCTACGCGCAAGCGAATTATGTAAATAAAATTAAACCATACGTTAGTCCCAAAATGACCTAGTTTGTGTCGAGTGGACGTTAAACCCCATTTCTCTCTCTCTCCCTCTTATAATATATATATGTTTGTGCCAGTGAATAAAGTCTTTCTGAAATTCAATTCGAATATTAAAATGTAAATTTAATTTAAGTATTTTAAACAAAATGTTTGTTGCTGGCTAAATGTGCTAGTTTTATATTTTTTGAAATCGTGAGATTCATATATTTGTTATCACTTTATACATTCCTAAATATATTTCTGTTATATTTTACAACTTGAATAATAAAGATTCATTGCACAAATATATACATGGAAAAGTTATGACAAATATGCCTATTTGAAATAAGGGTCATGAGACATGTGTCATTAATAATGTTATTTGAATGTACTCTATAGCCTCTTATAATATATAAATGTGTGTGCCAGTGAATAAAGTCTTTCTGAAATTCAATTCGAATATTAAAATGTAAATTTAATTTAAGTATTTTAAACAAAATGTTTGTTGCTGGCTAAATGTGCTAGTTTTATATTTTTTGAAATCGTGAGATTCATATATTTGTTATCACTTTATACATTCCTAAATATATTTGTTATATTTTACAACTTGTATAATAAAGATTCATTGCACAAATAAGATAATGGTTACCATTGATTTTGGGAATAACACCTGGACTGTATTTTACCAACTGTTAACATCCAGGGACTGGAAATGAAATGCGTTTAGCGTCCTATTTTTCTTCACATACCAGGTTAATGTATTGATCTATGAGAAAATTTTGCCCAGGCAGTGGCCTTAGGGTTACTCTTATTTCAAATTCCAACTATCAATGGTTATTTTACGTTCACCAGACCTTGCCAGGCCTTCCATCCCGAAACACTGATTAGGGGAAAAATACACCCGAAAACCTGTGTCTTGGCCAACACCGTGATCTCCAGGTTTGTAAGCCAGTGTCTAACCCATTGGAACACAACCCGGGGATTGGTGTCATTCTTATACATATGAAATCCGGTATTCAACTATTTGCAATATTCAGAGACTTTATGTGTACCCTAGCTGACAGATAGCTTTGATACCTTTGATTTTAATAATAGTGTATGACCAGTAGAAAGGGTGGGTTTACATCAATCTGATTAGGTTCTGAAACTTGAGAAACCCGAGCCACTCTTAGCTCAATATATCAAAAAATATACTGTCGAAAAGTAATGTCAAAAATACAAGACAATCTGAAAATTTAATAATCCTTGTGTGTATATTTGTGTTGAAATGAGATGGGGTTTAATATTCTGGGCTCATGAAGACTGGTATACGTCATGCATTGTGCTTTCGGGGACATTTTGCCCGGACATAGGCATCACAGTCTACCCTTATTTCGAATTCCAACGCCAATGTGTACACGGGACCAAGGTCACATCGGACACTGTTCATTGCCAGATCGAAAAATCCAGATGAGCTTTCTCCTAGAACCTAAGACCTCCTGGTTATAGCAAGTCAAAGCCCTACCCACTGTGCCACCTCCCCTCCCCCACTTTGCTGTGGTGAATGGCTATGATGTTGGAAAAGGACCACCGATCACGATCTTTTAGTTGTACTTCTCTACACACTTGAGCATGTTCAGAGGAAAATAATTTATTCATTTATTGTATATGTATATTTTACGTTTTTCAAATATTTTTCTTAATATAAAATTGATATTCTAAAATAATAATAACACAATTTATACTTTTCATTGCCATGGACATAATCATGTTTATTCAGATATGAATCCAATAACATCGTTCCTTGAAAATATAAAGTAGTTTGATTCGATATTAATCCATAATGCAGCACTGCCAAAATACATTTCAAAATATGCAAATGAATTATTTGACTGTTTGGTATCAGACATTAACCCTTTCATAGCACATTTTGGAGCTTCATTCATAGTCCATAACATTTTAAAAGCGTTTTAATAAATAGTCATTGTATAATAGCACATTTATCACATTTTCCACGTATCAATAGCACTGTAATCTGGAAAACCTCAGTTCAGTCGTCTAGTATAATAACTTCAGGAACTTCCTGACAATGTTCATCGTCTGATTCCATCTTGGACTCCCTGTAAAAATAACAATATGTTGAACATATTTATTTATGGATAAAATACTCATTTATGGATAAAAATATATACAATGCAATATACAATTTAATATTATAGCATTTAAATATTTACATTTCCTTGAGAGTCAACATTTAATTATTTACATTTTCAAAGTCAAATTTTTTTTTATATACAATGTGTGAATTATTTGTGTGCGTTGGTTTTGCGACATTGTCTGATCCCAAATAAGCTATTTACAAAATTATTACCATGTGTTAAAAACCTCTCATCACTCACAACTAGAAGTGTATCCAGTTGATTCACAACCCGACGCTCAAAAGATGGGTAATCATATTCATTATAGTGTGTATTCACAGCTGTGGTATCATCCCACCCACTATGCATTCACACCTACCATGTATATTCGCACCCACTATGTATATCGCCCACTGTGTATTATGTATATTCACACCTACCGTGTTTATTCACGCCAACTTTGTACATGCGTATTCAGTCACTACTATTTCTAGTCTATATAAATCCATAATTCAAGCATCATAAATACTTTATTCACAATAGGTATAATAAAATTACTTACATTGTAGATGATTGTTGAGTTGTATCAATACTGGTTATTGTATCATGTAAAACTGATGTAGATGGTGCATTTCCCCTAAAATTAAATAAGTTTGTGTAGCGGGGAGAGAAATATATATATTTGAAAGCAAGCGTCGACGGGGCTATATATAGTTTCAAAACTTGAGAAACCGGAGCCACTCTTAGCTAAATATATAAAAAAATATAACGTCGAAAAGTTATGTCAAAAATACATGAAACTATATGAAACACCAAAGCTAAATGAAAAATAAAAAAAAATAAACTCACCTTTTATAAGCTCTAATAACAACACTAGCTCGTTTGAAAATTGCATTTCTAACCAAATCTGTATCTAATTCCTGGTTCAACGTTGGATTCAATAGGAATACCTGTAACAATATATTATAAGATTAATATGAATTCATATTAACGTCAATATTGATGTATTGCAGTTGAATAACATAAATAATTCATAAATCAACATCATATTACGATTTAACAAAGTGAACAATAACATTACAAAATACCATCGATGCTGTTGAAAAACAAAAAAATAAAACGCAGGGTGAGGTGGGGGGGGGGGGGGGGGCACTCCGGGCCCTCCCATGTTCAAATTCCGGAACACAACCATGAAATGGTCGGCCTACATAATATGCATGTGCAATGCAGCAGTCGGTAGACCAAATAATGAACAGGAATGGAAAAATTATCGACGTTTAGGGTTGCCGAAAATCACTCTAATATAATTGAAAACAATAAAACAAAAGTATAGATCGGTTCTCGGGTATTATAAAATAGATTGTATGAAAACGGGGAGCCAAATAGATATCCATAGATTGATATGGTTTCAATCGTGTTACATGAGCATGGAACCGAGTCTGTCGGGTGGATAGGCAAACCGCGACCCCAAAATTTAATTTGCGTTACCTGTCGTATCGATTCCAACAACAATTCTCCGTACTTTATGGAATCTTCGATCTCATCGTTTATCTCTACGTGTGAAAGGTCTGCTAAAACACTTCGTATACAACTCTGTAAAATAGAAATAAAATAATTTTGTAATTTCGAAATACGATTATTCCAACACAACCCAATATATATAACTATTATTGAGATATTTACCCATCTCAAGAAAACAAAATGCATATTTTTAACCTTCGACGTTATTGACGATATAATTGATATCATAAAATTGAAATTTGAAAGTAAAACATGTTGACTTTATTTTTCTCCTTTATTCGTCACCAAAACAACTGTATCTAATATTAAATATAATTTTGTCACAAATGGCTGTTGTATCTCAGGTGCTTTATAGCTAAACGTTAAATTCTAAAATATATTGAATAAATTCATTGATGCAAAATGGGTGTGTCAAACGCGGGAATCCGGTGGGGCATTTACCACGGTGTGATGCATACTTTTAAAGAGTTGAAAAAGTTTCTTTTCCATTTAGTAAAAAATCAATAATGAATTTCCGTACCGATAGAAAGTTTTTGGCAGTTCTTTCCTCTCTGCTACGCTCACTTCTTCTCGTTGCAGAAATCAAAAGTTCTCTTTGAAAGGTCTTTGGTTTTATACATCCAAATATATGATATTGTCCAATGTATCGTCTAAGTCGGTTGAGGGGGGAATAAAATTCATCGGATCTTAGTAGACAATCAGGAAAATCACGTTCTAAGTCATCTCTTTCATATTGTAGTTGAATTAATTCCGGTACAATACAGTCAGTGTAGATTTTTCTAGGTGGAAATATAAAACCATATTCATCCATGCACATAAGATCCTCACTAGGTACGTAAATAATACTTAAAGACATAATAATAGATTTCTTGTAAAACAGACCCGGAAGAAATTAAACTTGATTCAGATCTGATGAAAATTTCTATTGGGGGGTATTTAAAGGGGAAATCTACATTTGACAATATGCGAACTTATGATTTTTGGAAAGGATTAATAGGTTGTGAAGAACTTGGTCTAGACATACAGGCGGTACTTATTCTCCTGATTATGCGTGGTCGTTGTTTGGCGACGGACACTATTATCACTTTAGGGAAAAAGTTGACAATACTGATTGGCACGTGATTGAGTAAAGCGAATGTGTAATGTGAACGTATATTCATTTACTATAGGCACAAAATGGAGATAAACACTACTTTATCTTTAATTTATCAAAATATGGCCTTTAAAGCAATCAGATAAATCTTTGGATAATAAGAATATCCTAATTCTTTGAATACGGTTATTAGAATATTCTAATTCTATGGATAAATTAATTTTGCCAATTTCAATTGCTTCTTTTTCCACTTAAAGATACATTATGGGAAATTAGATAAAAAGCTGGCATTTCTCACTATAATAGTTAAACACTAGATAATGTAAAGGGAATTTACTTCAAATTTCAGTCAAATTGATCCACTCTGAACCGAGAATTTAGCGATCGAATTTTGGATCTAGCCTCGATCATCAGCCTACTAAATTCGGTACGATAAAAAAACATAGTCTCGATTATCCACTTTTTGATTTAATAATCAATGAGCGTTGAGTAGCAGGATCGAATTCTAATCCAGTAAATATCGCAGGTTCGTGATGACATCGAGAGTTGATTATGGTCTGGATAAGTTAATTAATGTCTAATTAATAATGTAGATTATAACATTTCAGACCTAAAGAAAGACCTGCAATTTGCATATTTAGCTATTGCATAATGTATGTTTAAATCTATAGACAACAATTATTTTCTGTGGTAAAGGAGCTAAGTCTCTAACTCAATATTGTCCATAATATTCGAAAATAAACAACACGGAATGGAATTCAATATTGGTCCATTTTAATCAATATTGATAGGCTACTGTGATCTTGCTGTGGAAATATGGGATCCTAATATCCATTATTTAAATGCAATTAACATTTTAAAATTAGTACACGAGTCGTGTATCCTATGGTTTCGGGCACCATTCGTAATTAACAGTCAAAAATATCCTACAAGACAATGCGGAAGTTATTATTAATGGCTGATTCACAAACGACAAAATAATAGCCTAATTAAAAACGTGTAGAATAGATGACCGTTTAACATTGATTAGAAATTACAATATTATAAATATTTTTTTTAAATGAATATAAATCACTTTTTATGTGCATTCATATTACATTAATATGTGCTTATAAGTTATAGATCCAATTTCGTCTATTTTAAGGTTCAAAAGACACGCCCTTTAAATTTTATTATCTTTTAGCCTTTTCCTACATCCATTTATTAAAATATATTTTCCTTTAAATCGGGGGATTGGATGACCGAATGGTTAGCGCGTGTGCGTTGTTTCATAAGGTCTGTCATTGAGTCAACTTGCGGTGTTTCGATTCCCTGGTTGTAGGCTACATTACAAGATGGATAGCCTGTCCAACCTCGTGGGTTTTCTCTGGGTCCTCCAGTTCAACCCCCCCCCCCCACACACACACACTGCTAAAGACCCGTACGCGCATTGAAATATGAAATTGAACAATATGTTAGACCCGAAATGACCTAGTTTGTGTCGAGTTAACGTTACCCCCCCCCCCCCCTCTCTCTCTCTCTCATTTCGTCTCTTAAACTTAAGTTAATATCAGAAAAGGAATCAAATATTTTTCAACGCAAAAAAAATACAAGAAAGGCTGCAAAGTCAAACAAGGGTATTTTAATTTTAATATTATGAACGATATCTCTTGAACATTGGCCTATGTTTTTAATGTCTCCATGGTATCATAATGCCATAATGGAATGCGCCCGGCTGATTGAGACTACTGTTGCGAAGATACACACCGGATGTTTACATCTAAATTATCTTGATCAGTAGGACTTATTCTTAAAAGGAAATAGTATTGGATTATTTAACGACCGGGTAATCGAGATTATAATGGCTGTCAAGAGTTAAAATTGTTCACGTTTTTTTGTCAATCTAACAAAAATAAAGGATTACTGCTCGACAGACTTTGATTTAAAGTCTTTATACTCGTGGAAATACCCCTTAGTGAAGTTTTAACTTACGGAACTAAATTTGGATAAGGACTGTGAACAATTTTAACAACTTTCCCACCGGTTCGGCACTCTATCAGTCTATCTATGTGAATCGTGATTCGTGCTGAGTGAGTGAATTCATTCATTAACAAATCTCGTAAACGAAAACTCTTCTCAAAACAATTACAGAAAACCGTTACGTTTATCAGTGTTTGACAATACAATCAGAAGTCAACTAGCCAAGTGTAGCCCTAGATATTTATAACCATGACAGAAGTGGAAACCGCGATAGTACGGCCACCCGAGCCTGTAACAATATCGATTGTGAGTGCTAGAAATTTACGAGGTCAAAAAGGAGATGCCGTCAGTGTTGTTATTAAAGCTGAGTTTGGAGAAAAGGTTTTAGGGGAATCACCTAAAATAGACAGCTCAGCAGATGAACCAGCAGAAGTAAATTTTAATGCAATTCTCAACTGCGCCTATGATGATCCTCACGCTTTGGATGAAATAGCTTATAAGCCTGTAGTTTTAACAGTGATTGAAGTGCTACCAAAAGAAAAACGACAAAAGGAAGAAAAGACTCATTTATTGGGACAATGTACTGTGGATTTACTCCCCTTAGTTCGAGGCGAGACCAAAGTCAGCTACACCCTACTTGTAAATGCTGTACCTGGTTCCCCATTAGAGTCTTTACCAGCCGAATGCCCCCAACCTGAAATAGATGTAAATATATCTGTACAGGAGCCATTACTGGTTGATAAACATCTTAAGAATGGAAATCTGATCAAAATCACCATGGAAAATTTACTTAGCCCACCAGAAACGTGGACACTATCAGGAACCCAGTACCATTATGCTGCTGCTTTACCAATTCCAGTAACAGAAGACAAAGAAGCTCCAATTGTTTTTGCAAATGGTCAGTTAAAGCCTGGTTCAGACAAAGAATTGCCAAATAAACAGAAGAAATGGAGTAAACCTGGCAATGCTCAAGGAAATGCTGTTTATATTCCTGATAGTTTTGTGGTGAGTGAGCCAATAGAAGATGAAGATGGCGACCTCAAAGGCAAAGACGACAGAGAATTTAGACTTATTGCAGAAACTGAGAAAAACAGGGTCAGCTGGACAACAGAAAGGAGATGCTTTTTAGATAGTGCTGCTACGAAACATCTCCAAGATGAAATTGCCAAAAACCGATTATGGCCCGTGGAAGTAATGAGGTTAGCTCAAGCATCTGGCGGAAAGGGTAAAAAGGAAGAGGAAGGTGGCATCAATTTCCACGGTATTGCATTTGTGAATCTGGCACCATTACTTTATCCTGGGGTCAAAAAGATAAGAGGGGCGTACAAAGTTTGGCCATATTCTGATCACATTCTACAAGAGAAAACTAAACGAAAGGGAGGAATATCTGATGAAGCTTCTAAAATAGCTATGAACATCCTGCAACACAATTCCACCTCTCCATCACCTAAAAAGGGTGCAAAAGAACCAGAGAAAAAAGATGTGAAAAAAGGAACGTCCCAGACAGTAAAATCGGACACAGGATCAGAATTAGATGGACAACCACCAGTAAATGCTGAAGGACAGATGTATGTTGAGGCCAAATCTTTTGTTATGCTAGAAATTGCCCTAGATCGACCCCTCATTCCAAAGCGTCAACCAGAAGAACTAGCTAGAAAAGTTGCTGAATATATTCCTCAACGTCCTCAATTTCCTAAAAGAACCGACGGTGCCCAGAGATCTGTAGAAGATTACCATGGACAAGTAGCTAGTGTTGCAAACCTCATTTTAGATGAATTTAGAGGGACTTTTGGAAATGAAGAAACTAGTGGGGAGCTAAATAGTAACGAAGACATGGAAACTAAACGGCAAAAGCTAATTTATGAATTGAATTCTTCAGGGAAATATTTTGCCTTTAAAGAACAGTTAAAGCATTCTGTGGTGAAGATTGTTCGTGAGAAGTACTTGAAAACAACCAATTTCGATGACAGGCAAGAATTGCAGACCTTTCTGAGTGAGCTGTACGTTTACCTAGTTGATCAGATGCACTTGGCACTAGGTGATACTCTGGATGTAGGAGACCAGTCCCCAGTACCAGAACCTCTCACAGATTCCAACCAACTCAAACATTTTGCAAAGGAAGCAGAAGTGAATGAAAATTACGAGTTGGCGTCTAAATATTACCAAGAGAGAATTGCCCGAGAAAAAAACAACGCCGATAACTGGTATGATTATGGTACCTTTAATCTTCATATCAATGACATTACTAAAGCCGAGGAATGCTTTAAAGAATGTATATCCATTAACCAGAAGCACTTGTACGGGTTGATGATGTACGGCGTCGTTTGTAGCCTTTTGGATCGTAAAGAAGAGGCAGAAACATTTTTTGAAGCTGCTACAAATATTGATCCAAAAAGTATCCGAGCGTGGACGATGTTAGGATTATTTTATGATTCTATTGGAAACGACATTGGGGCTGAAATGGCGTACATGGAAGCGAATAAACTGAATCATTCCGCGGCTGTCGCGGCAGCCAAAGTAGCCAAAACAGATACGAAAGAAAAAACAAACCTAACGCCACCAGGTTTAGACAACGAACCAAGCAAAGATTCTGAGGTATTAGGTGACTGTGGATTATCAGTTCCACACATCGACATCAAATCCGCCTCCACACATGACAGGACAGCTCTTACGTCGGCTAAATCATCACATAGATCGATTGACCGACGTGGCTCGTCGACCAAGAAATCTGACAAAATCCCTTCTGCATCTAATAAAGCGAAGGGTCAAGAACATACGACGGGGGCCCTTTCAATTTCACGCCCGGCCAGTCAACAGAAGGCGGCCAGTATGATGGGAACCCCCCAGCCCCTCGATGATACCATTGAGGATATTCCACCAAGAGAACCAACCCCTTTGCCGACTTGCAGTATTTATATGCAGACAATAGAGTGGCTTTTAGAAGCTAAAGCAGTTCCGTTTGCCGAAAGGGCTCTAGCACACGAATTACTGTTACCCGGAAATGGCCATGGAGGACCATCAATAGATTATCAAATAGCTTTGGCACAATTAAACTTACAGAAACGCTGTTTTAGTGAAGCAGAAAAATGTCTTAAGATAGCTCTAGAAATGGAACAACAGAATCCGGATGGTTGGGCATTGATGGGCCATGTGAAATATTTAACAGGAGACACAGAAACCGCTAGAGAGTGCTTTGAACGAACAATATCATTTATTGGTGATGCTCTTGAAATGCATTCTATTTATCTACGCTTGGCATCTATCTATCTTTCTGAACACAAATATCAAGATGCGAAAAATGTATTTTTAATGGCATGTAGAAAGTCGCCCTCCTGTGTTTCATGGCTAGGTGTTGGAATCGCCTGTTACAGATTAAACGAATTGTTAGAAGCCGAGGATGCGCTGTCAGAGGCCAATATTTTGAACAACAGCGATGCAGAAGTGTGGGGTTATCTTTCTTTGGTTTGTTTAAAATGTGGTCGACAATTGGAAGCAGAACAGACTTACAAATATGCTTTAAAACTGAACCTACAGGACAAAGCTTTAATAAATGAAATTTACGAAGTTCAACAAGAAGTTGGTTTTGGAAATCCCCAATTTTGAAAAAAAAACCAACAAAACTTTTTCATTCAAAATTTAAATAGAGTACCGATCATTAACGTTTATTAATTATTGTGTTGTCATATCTATTTGTCGTTTGGATAACCGTTATTTAAACTTATTTAACAAATTATGAAAATCGGTAAATACATTATACAGTATTTAAATTCAAATAAACTTATATTTCCGTGAACTTAAAACATCTATCATAATATGTAGACCCTTTATTACTGTATACCACCAAAATGTACATAGAATATTTTAGAGAAAATGCTTTATATTTATTTGATATTTATATTATTTTGTAATATTGTTAAAAAAAACCTATTATATACACTTGAATAATTTGACTGTGTAACTTATTACTTTCTGTGATAAAACCATACATCTTTCTTTTTAACTTTGAATCCCCAGATGAGCTCTTGCTGACCTTGTGTATAAATTCTCTTCTTGTCCGTCCTGAATAAATTCTAAGCTGCAACCAAACACATAAAACGAAAGGCAAAATCAAGAAAATAGTGAGTAGCCACAGGCACTTGAAGGGATTAATCCCTTCAAGTGCCTGTGTGAGTAGCATATACAGGATTGTCGCACATGGTACCCACCATAACTATAATGAAAATCATACACAGACAGGGGTTGAAATAGGGTTAGAATGAAGACGGGCATCCGCTATAATGCAGTGTGCAATGGGGAAAATTTTGCCCAGACAGTGGCAATACAGCCTACTCTAATCTTGAATCCCCAAAAAAGGGTTCTTTTAACCAAACACGCCATTTTTGGTCACATCCGAAGGCGCTACTTGGCAGGTCCTTCGTCCTGCACCAATGCACTCAAGGGGGAACCACGCCTGAAAATCCTGGGATCGTTCCTGGCACATTCAGGTTTAGCGAGCTAGCGCATTACTTACTGAGCCACCGTGACTCCCACCCCAAAATCAAGTAGGACATATTATATATAATATGTATCTCAAAAATGTCTTAGTTGCGGCCAGTAGTGTGATGTTTTTGTAATTTGTGTGTTAATAATTTCCAAACGTCGTTTTGAAGAAAACTTATTTTATACGAGTCGTGCGGTGCTGCTATATTTTAGGCCTTTTTTGAGTGCGTCTCTGAGTTCGATCATTGGCTTTGCCCGGGAATAAATCCCTGTTGTAGGTTTTACAAGGTAATAACGAGATACTTTGAAGACAGCTGTTATAATGGGCAAGCCAAACATTTTCACTGAAGTACAATTAGCTTATGTACCAAATTACCCATAGGGGCCTATAGTTTTGTGCGCTATAACTATCCTAACTTTTCAGTAAAATCACTATTGTTAAAATAGATAATTTGATTGGTGAAAGGGGGTGGGGGCTCAGTTTTTAAGGTCATATTTGACATGGAACATCCTATTTCTGCTACCACTGGACTGATAGGGACGGACGGAGGCTATCCATATGAATATGAGGGAAATTTAGCACGTAACGCCAACATGTACACGGGACCTCGTTTTGTTGTACCATAAGAATGACTAGACACGAACCCGAAACCTGGTAGCGAGACAGTTTTTACTCACTGGGCTAATACCGAGGCTCCCAATTAGAAGTCAAAATACGACTAATAGTAATACGAGTCTAAATTTTTATATGAAATATGAAATTCCGGACATTTTGTTATATTCCCCTTGAAATGTTCATCCTTAGATATTTAAATTATTTATTTCCTGGCACATTCATAATAACAATTTAGAAAATATAAAATTCTGGTCGGTTTGAGAAAAGAAAAATAATAAGCCAATTACTAAAATTAGACTACTTTCAATTTACCAATCACGTGATTTCATTGCAGTCACGGTCATCCATTTTTTGACTAGGTTAGCTTGAAAAAGACATAACGAAGCGTTACTGTTATTTGAACAAATTGAATCCCCGTGCGTCTCATGTTATAAACAGTGGCATAGTATTGGTATTATTGTGAAGCAACTTTCCACAAAAAAGGTGTTTGTTTTCGTCGGTTTAGTCCAAATAGGCCATATTATAGCCATAGCCACACAATTCACTATCAGCCAGAGCGAAAGCCAAAGTAGCATGGCTAGTTTTTCTGATCTTAAGGTTTTTTGCGTAGAAGATCACCACGAAGTTGTACCACATATTCACAGAGCAATAGGATCTAAACAACTGCCTTGGGAAAATGTTGTTATGGTTCATTTTGATTCACATCCAGATTTACTTATTCCATTTAATATGGAAGCAGATGTGGTTTATGAAAAAGAACAGTTGTATGACAAACTCAGTATTGAAAATTGGATAATCCCTCTTGTTTATGCTGGACATATCAACGAGATTATCTGGCTAAAACCACCTTGGGCAAACCAAATACCAGATAAACAAATTACATTTTTAGTTGGTAAATGTAAAGAAACTAAGGCTATTCGAACAACTTGCAAGGAAAGTTATTTTGTAAATGAACTCCTATATGTGCCTGAAAGTCAACTAGAAAATGTCAAGACTGTAAAGTTGACAGTTATTACAATAACCACAGATCATTTTTGCGATTTATGGGATGAAAAATCAGCCTTAAATCAGCAAGAAACCAAACCTACTAACGAAACAATATTGTCAGAGGGTCTCGCATCTGGTAGGAAAAAGATTAAGTTGGACAAAACATCTGAAGTGACAATAAATGAAACCACTTCTACTCTTTTTAAGGATTTAAAAGTAGCTTTAGCAGGACGAAAATTTATTTTAGACATTGATCTCGACTTTTACTCAACACAAAATCCCTTTAAAGATATGTATACTGAAAAACAATACAACATTCTGAAAAAATTGTATAATTGTCCACCTGTTACAGACTATTCAGAAGAAGGTATAGATAAATGTGTGAAAAATAGGACAGAACAACTTGTTTCTATTAAAAACTGTTTGATGAAATGTTCAAATTTAACAGAGAGTGAAACTCCTTGTGAAACATTTTCCTCAGAAAGGTTTACTCTCATAACAGAACTTGTTGAAGATATTCAAAAGACGGCAAGCGACAAAGAGAAAATTGACTGGGAAATGGTACATGAAGCTGGATGTACCATTGATGATAGTGAATTACCTCATCATATCAGTACCACAGAACAAATAAATCACTTAATCCAAGTTACAAAAAATGTATTAGAATCTCTACCTAGGCCAACCTTAGTGACATTATCTCGATCCAGTGCTGATGACTATTGTCCAGTGAGTCAAGTAGATTATATAGAAGAAGCTGTATATATGATTTTGGAAGAGGCCTATGTATATGTTAAAATAAAACGGATCTATGAAGAAAATTTATCCGAAAGTGATTGACATTGAACATTAAAATAAAACGGATCTATGAGGAAATTTATCCGAATGTGATTGACATTGAACATCATTGGATATTATCTTTAATCAACAAATTAAAAAAGAACCACTTAAGTTGTGTGAAATATGAAAGTGATGATTTTATTAAATTTGATATGCAAACTGTCAATTGATGTTCTTCTTTTTCTATACTCAACCTCACAGTTTGATTAAAAAATTTAAAACTAACATTATTAGGTCAATTGATTTAGGAATTGTAATTGTAAAGAGATTGCTCTATTTTGAAACAAATACCAGATCAACCAAATGATTTTTTTACTAACATTTTAAATGAAAATGGTTTTGATCAGAGTGAACACTACATTTGTAAAACATATAAAAAAATAAATAAATAAACACCACCACTTCACATTTATTGAAAATTGTTTTGTTGATGATGATAGTAATAAAAAAATTATAATTGATATATTTTGCATTTGAAAATGGTAATTGTGGTCCTTGGAACGAGTGTACTTTAATGGGCATTAATGGGTTGGTGGAGTCAAGTGGTCTAAAGGTCTGCCATTGAGTCAATCAGTGGCGTGGTTTCAAACCCAATCTTGTATTTGACAAGGAATAGGGTCGCCTACCCAACCTTGTGGGTTTTCTCTGGATCCTCTGGTTTCCTCCCACTAATATAGACCACTACGTACAGGCAAATTATTGAAATAAAATTGTATCATTTTAGTCCTGAAATGACCTAGTTTATGTTAAATGGACATTAAACTTCATTCCTGGCTATCTCTTGAATGGTATCTACTTCAGAGCTGGGGTAATGGTAATGGAAATGTAATTAATTACATTCCAAGAATCATGTAATGATAAATTACTTTTCAATTACATTTTGGCACATATAAATATTTCCAATATAACTAGCCTTAAATTTTATAGCACGAAAGAAGTACATTAAGTCTATCTGACACAAATCCAATTCATTATAATGTAAAAAAAAAAAAATAATTTAAATCTGTTTTAACAAATTATAATAAGAAGGCATTAAACATTTTCTTTTCTTTTTTTATGGGTATGTAAAACCCTTTTTTAGACATATAACTTAAAAAGTGGATTTCTGAAAAGATGTATATTGTAATTAAAGATTAGTGCTAATTTGCAGGCAATCACTCAGTCAATCAGTTAGTTAGATTAAAAGACAATAGTCTTACTACACTTTAATCTTAATCTCAAGGTAACAAGTGACAAATCAAACAATGGCCTAAAACAAATATATATTTTGTTTTAGAGTCATGCTGATTAATTCATCAGTAATACAATTATTATAGACAAACTATTTGGAATAATTAAGAATTTTATAAAATTACTTATGAAAAAAATACAGATAATTAACTATACTTACAATTCATTTTTCAGGTCATACAGTGAAGACATCAGTTTTTGTCAAAACTGCCAGTCACTTGAAAATTTGCCTTGATGTTATAATATATAAAGATAACAATTCATACACATACATGTATATCTATTATTATGAATCAAGGATTATTTTGAGTTTGATTTTGTAGGCACTCATGGCAGAAAAATAAGGTTGTCTCTTATATTTTTATGAAAAATGTTTTTTTTATTTATATAGCCATAAAGTAATGGTAATTAATTAATTTCAATGTAATGGGTAATGGTAATTAATTACATTGCTAAAAATGAGAAAGTAATTGTAATGATAACATTTAAAAAGTAATGGTAATGTAATTAATTACATTGGCAATGTAATTGCCCCAGTCCTGATCTACTTTTCCCTTTAAAAAAGGTAGGTGGTCACAACCTCAAACATAGATTTCAAGAATAGGAACGTCGCATATTAAAATTATCACGAGCAATTGACATAAACGTGTTTTGTAAAGGCACTTTTTCAAAAGGAGTTACCTCACATTCTATCTCACATGGGCGGTCTGATCCCAGAATATAATGAGAGTAGCTCCACCTCTATAGCTCTTTAGAAAGAGAGTAGAAATCGGTCCAAATAGAAATTTCAGCACGTGTTGTTGTTTACTAATTAATTTGACAACATGACAAACGTAAAAGCTAAGAAATCAACTCCGACCAAAAAGTCTAAAATTAATGGCAATCGCAAAACAACCAAACCATCCAGTTCCTCGGGTAAATTTAAATCGAGTAAGAAAAAGACATTTCCAAAGAGAAAAAAAAGAGAAGATTATGATGATATTGATGATGATAGTGGCGATGACGAACAAATAGGAATGGAAGACGATCAAGATGAATTGGAGGTTGTTTCTGACAAGTTTTCAAATAAAAAGGTATAACTAGAAAAATTATAAATGGGGCTGAACCTCTTTTAAAGCGTTGCCATAAAAAATAATGTCTGATTTCATAACATATAAATTCATTAAATTGTATTTTTGTAATACCGGTCTTTATTCTAGTTCAAGTCTAGTTCAGCTCTGTAAGTAGGTCTGATTACACTCACCCTGTACGTTCAGGAACCGTCCTATGGTTAGCATGTGCGCGCAGTATCATAAGGCCTGTCATTGAGTCAATTGGCGTGGTTTTGAATCCCTGGTTGAACGTGACAAGGAGTAGTGTCGCCTGTCCAACCTCGTGGGTTTTCTCCGGGTCCTCCGGTTTCCTCCCACTGCTAAAGACCCCTACACGCAAGCGAATTATTGAAATAAAATTAAACCATATGTTAGTCCCGAAATGACCTAGTTTGTGTCGAGTGGACATTAAACCCCATTTGTCACTCTCTCTTCTCCCTCTCTTAATGATCACAGTGGCTAAGTGGGTAAGACGCTGGCTCGCTAGCCTGAAGGTCGAGTGTTCGATCCCTGCATTGGCCCTGAAAGTTCATCCAGATTTTCCGACGTGGTTTCCCCTTTTCAGTGATGCAGGACGGAGGGCCTGACAAGGACAGCTGTCTAGTCCTGCGGATGGTACAAAAAACCGAGGTCCTGTGTACACATTAGCGTGCACGTAAAAGAACCCTTGGCAGTTGGAATTCGATATAAGAAGAGTAGGCGGTAGTGCCGCTGCCTGGGCAAAATTTCCCTCATCGCACACTGTATGGCGTATGCCTGTCTTCATTAGCCCAGTTTAGGAGCAGAACAGTAGGACGTTAAACCCCATTTCATTTCATTTCTCTTAATGACAAAGCCCACAATTACTAACTTAATGATAATAGTGATGATGACTGTACATTGATATTTTAATTCCTTTAGTCTGAACACGATGAAGAATATGAAGAAAATTTTGAAGATGAACTTGCCAGTACAAGAGATCAAGTCAAAACTCAAAACAGAAAGAAAAAGAAATCTGGTGGCTTTCAATCCATGGGTAATTTAGTATTCTCAACATAGGAAATGCTGGGCTTTGGGATAAGGTAGCAAGTTAACAGAGAATGGAAACATTGATATGTCTTAATTTTACTATTTAATTTTGTTTATTTCTTATATTTAAGACGCTGCCTGCCAGAATGAAATTTGAATATAGAGTTTGACACCAAGTACTATCATTAACAAAATTTTGAGTAATAAATTGTTCAAATCTATCAATTATAACTTAAGTGATGACCATTATGTTTTACATTAATGTACTTAATAACCTAATAGCTATAGTATTTATATATATATAATTTATATATATATATAGTTGTGCTTTTATACAGTTAAGATAACATCATTTTTTCGGTATTTCCTATGCTGCATGCATTCACGTAATGCTGTGTGTCTCAGAAAATATACTTTTAACCTTAGAATATATTTTAAATTTTTCAGGAGGTAAATGAATATCTTTAACTGTATTTCAGGACTTTCTAATAATGTATTCAAAGGTATTCAAAGAAAAGGCTATAAAATACCAACTCCAATTCAAAGAAAGGTAAATTACTCGTACATGTATTTCTATTATAGTGGGTAAAATATGTTTTAATCAATCAGCTGGTACATTTCAGTAAGTCGTTTAATTTAGAGTTAATTTCCAAAGTGCTTTAAACCCATTTCAAAATTTCAATAAAGACAGGCCATTTTTTTTTCAGTAATATCAAGAGCAAAATAATGAGATTGTATGTTTTTAAAACAATGTTTGATTTGCACTTTGTAAAGTAGACGTTGTTTCATTTATCTGACATAATGATTTTGAGAAAAGGGGGGGGGGGGTCTAAATGACAATTGAAGTGCTTTAGAAAATATAGAATTATATTTTGTATCTAATAAAATCTATGTTATATTCTTTTTTCAATTGATCTGCTTTTCCTTGCAGACAATTCCAATCATCATGAATGGTAAAGATGTGGTTGCTATGGCAAGAACAGGAAGTGGTAAAACTGCGGCTTTTCTGATACCAATGTTTGAACAGTTGAAAATTCATTCTTCTAATGGTGCCAGGGCTATGATAATGTCACCAACGAGAGAATTAGCTTTACAAACTCTAAAATTTACAAAAGAGGTAAACATAAAATTGACCTTTGCTTAAATGTTCACAAGAAGATAATGGGTCTCAAAAAAAGAACCACATTTAAGTATGCTGATCAAATTGCAAAATATGACGAAATAGCTCTTTTGGTTGGATATGATTGCCAAAATAATTTATAGGTTGGTTGTTATATTTTATGTTATCAATCCCATGTTGTTTCTAGCCAGTATTGATACCGACCGAATGTGTATTTTTCTTATACATATCATTACTTTTCAGATTGGTAAACAGACAGATTTAAGAGCCGCTGTAATTCTGGGTGGTGATAGGTAGGTTTATTTGCATCTCTTAGACTCTCAACATATCAGAATACCTGTTCAAATAAACGTAAATTATTCAGATAATGTTAACTGACAACAGAGTTCTATCAGGAATGTATTGAGCTACGATGTAGTTGCAGCGTTTTCCTCAGTATGTATTTTGAAAAAAAATAAAATGAATGGCTCATGCTTTTGAACTCATTGATTTTAAAGTTGCTTTTTTGGTATTTTGTCTTAGCTAAATTATTTTCCTAGCCTTGTGGCTATGGTTGGTTGTGTCAGCAGATTGAACTATGAGTCAGAGCACAAGATTAGACATCAAAATTTTGCAGAATATGATTTTCGATTGTGCCTGATTGATATGTGAAAATGTACTCGTAATATGTGGGCTTGGAGCCAAGACTCCAATATATTCACTATTCAGGTGAACTGTTTTTACAAAACATAACATTTATTTTACAGAATGGAGCAACAGTTTTCAGCACTGCATGAAAATCCTGACATGTAAGTATATTATTAGCATCTTAAACCTCAGTAAAGCCGAAAAGAATAATACTAGTGGAAGTCAACCTCAGTATTAGGATGTTTTCACGGTAGCACCATAGATAAATACTCTCAAACACAAAAAAATTAAAATCGACAGAATGAGGATGTTTAATATTACACAACTTTATGATGCAGACATGGAGTATAAAATGTGTCTTTAAAAAATCTTGGGCCAGTGAAAGTCAGTCTCAGTATTATATAATGTAACCAAGTGTATGGTTTTCTGTCGAACATCCAAGGGTTTCTCCAGCACCCCTCAACGTTTATTTTAGAAAAATAATGAAGTCATTTATTTGTTTGACAGAATTATAGCAACGCCAGGAAGATTTTTACATGTTACCATGGAGATGAATTTGAAATTGAAATCCATGGAGTATGTGGTGTTTGATGAAGCTGATCGGTGAGTACTGATACAGATAAAACAAATCTATATTTACTCTTCTTCACCAGCAGATTATCTTATTCAATAGCTCAGATTCTTTTACGAAATGAAAAATTAAACTACTCTTTCTGTTCTGTATGTTAATGATACAGGAGTGGGATTAAATTTAGCTCTCATCATTGGTCAACTCTGTTCTATAATTTGTAGATTATATGATGCTAAAGTACAATGTTAGTTTTTAATTGTTGATAGAGCCTGCTATCCCAGACCCCTGGGAAAATATAGAAAAACAGTTGATTACTGGTAGAATATAGATTAAAAGTTGAATTTCAACTACTTTTGATATTAACTACAACAGTTGTGCCTCTTTGTTACAAAATCTTGATTATTGTCCGATCTTTCTTAAATCTATATAAGCTGTTAAGCTAATAAAAGCAGGGACGAAGTTAGTGGCTGATGAGCCTGTATTGCAACCAATGTTTTTTTTTCTTTAAAGGTTATTTGAAATGGGATTTCAAGAACAATTACACGAGATAATTCACAGATTACCTGATTCGAGACAGACCTTATTGTTTTCTGCTACACTTCCTAAACAACTGGTGGAATTTGCTAAAGCTGGATTATCAGATCCAACGTTAATCAGATTGGATGTAGATAATAAACTTAGTGAACATTTAAAGGTAAATTAATTGTGAAAAATATATATGGGTATTGTATTCATTGATAGAATAAAACAATCCTCAGTTTTTTTAACTGTAAAGATGGATTCCAATCCAGTCCTGTTACAGTAGTGAGTAGAATTGTTACGTAATTAAATATGGTGAACAAAATATGTTGACTGATGATTGAAAAAAGTAATTATATTCCAAATAACATTCAACTCGTAAATTGAAAGCTAAAGCATCTTAGAGATGGCTTGGCAGATTTACCTCAAAATATGGATACTATCTAATTAGTACACACCTGATGTAAAATCAATTCAGATAGAGTGAATGTCTATTGTGACATTAAAACTCTAAAACCAAGTATTCCTTTTGTATTTTGATTAAAATTAAACTCTATATTTTAATTTATTTTTCAGACTGTATATTTATCATGTAGATCTGAAGATAAACCAGCCTTATTAGTCAATTTATTACAGAATATAATACCTAACAGAGAACAAGCCTTTGTGTTTGCTGCTACAAAACATCATGTTGAATATCTTAATTTGGTAAGCACAAGTTTGAACAAAGACTAGCTGGCTGTTTGATTTAGGCCCGCTTTTCATTTACGTGTTTCCGTCAGCTGAAAAGTGCTGTGTTTCTGCTCGCAACTTTTTGTATTTCCATGTGTATGGAAAAATTTCTGAAAAGTTTGGAGAATCACATGTAAATAATGTCATAAGTGAAGATTTCTCTTTATACTGGTATTATGTTAACCTGTAAAACTAGTATATAAAGAACGTGAATTGCATGTGTAAAGTCGCCGCCTTTTATAATTATACCATATCAAAAAATCCCTGTGAAAATGCTTACATGGAAACGGCCTATTACATTTGCATTAGACCTACTTTTTCGCCTGCTTACATGGAAAGAATTTCAAATCACCTTGCAGAAAGTAACCGAGTACTAGCCAAATTTGTTTCAGGACACTTACTTTTAAGGATTTTATGTACGTCTACATCGTATATTATTATTGCACCCATCATATCATTCATCAGCAGTAATTGCTTGTTGATGCAAAAGACAAATGTTGAACAAGATGACAGGCCTGACAAAGTCTGAATTCGTGACTGATATTGTCTCTGACAGGTACCTTATTTCCAGGCTTGCAATTTTGTAAAAACCTGACGTCATTACTTTTATTGACGATATGTTGGATAAAAAGATGTTTCCTTATATCATTTTGTTCTTTAACTTATCATGTCCCAACTTATATGTATCTGGATTCTGGATATCAAATGCATACATTTGACTTAGTCATTGGTTTGTGTTGCCTGTTTCTATTGACAGATGACAATATATGTTTGCTGAATTCTTTAAAGGGTGTGCATGATTCTATGTATGTTTTTCCTACTTTCAGATTTTAGAAAAGGCTGGTATATCTTGTAGCTATATTTATAGTTCTTTAGATCCAACAGCTAGAAAGATAGCTGTAGGTAAATTTCAGATGAAGAAAGTAAGAGTTATGATAGTGACTGATTTAGCTGCTAGAGGAATAGATATACCTATGTTAGATAATGTTATCAATTATAATTTTCCTGCAAAAGCTAAATTATTTGTACATAGAGTAGGTAAGTATATTTATAAATTTGAATTATGTTACAAATAGATTATTTTGTAGCTATACATGATAAAGAAATAGATAATATGCTAAGGATAGCTAATTTATTCTAGTCTACAACCTTGGCTCTAATAAAAGCTGAACTTATGTGAAAGTTAAAAATCAAATGACAATTTCTGAAGTCTTTACAAAAATGACTCTGGTACACATGCATGGACAACAACAGCTTGCATTTGCCTATAAATATACTTCTGTCAAATAATAAAGTCCATAAATTGTAGAAAATTAAGAACAGATGGAATTACTGCTGTCCTGGCAAAATTCTCCTCTTAAGCATTGCACATGTGATCATAGAATGAAAACGATAAAATATTCGTTAATCTCAAAATGTTCTTTTCATTTTATATCATGTTGATTGTCTGTATTTTTGTATATTTTAGGTCGAGTAGCAAGAGCTGGTAGAACAGGAACAGCATTTTCTATAATATCACCAGATGATGTACAATATCTGATAGATTTACACGTCTTTCTTGGGCATCCATTAAATCTTGTTACACCCCATGCAAAATATGATGGTATAAATATGTTTATTTTTATTGATTATTTAAACTTTACAACAAATTTAACTGTGTATACATGAATGAGTATCTTTTTTGACCACAATAAAGTTGATAGCATGTTGCTAGTAGGTCCCATTATTAAATAGATTTGGACTAAATTATATAAAACTTGTTACATCATAAAAATCATATAAAAATTGTAGGGATGTATTTGTTACATGATCATACAAACTGAGAGGGTTACACCAAATATAGGATGTTTTAGATATTTTCAACTGTTAAGAGTCCAGTTTAGAAATGAAAGTTTTCAAAGTACAGTAAAAGTAACAATGCATCATTTGCATTTTTCACTAAAATATCAAATTTGTCACAGCATAATCAATGCTAATATATACCCAGATTGATTATTTAATATGTAATTAAGAAAAGAAAATCAAAATACCAACACCAGATAAAACTCCTGGCTTGGATGTAATCAGATTTAAAATAAGCCTATCTTTTGTGATTATTCTTAAAAAAAATGGCTGCAGGCTTATTAGATAGTGAGCAGCATAGTTTGATGAAATTTTAATTTAGCATACATGTATGATATAAATACCTAACCTAATTGAACCATTTTTGAATGATATTCATCTTTCACAGTATTCTAGTTTGCTAGTGATTCCTATTGCTTAAATGATGCAAAGAGACTTTAAAGGGCTAATCCCAATAATTTTTTGGAGAATAAAACTGTTTAATTTTGTTTTAAAATCCCTTAAAATCCTCTACCTAAGGGCCGAGCAACTAACTCAATATTTGTGATAAGTTTTCAAATAACTGAAACCCGTCAGTCTCAATCTGGAAATGGAGACCGGTGTCCCAAGCTGTATTATTCGGTGTCTAGATAAAAACAGACATTTTTTGTATAAAAATAATGTGTAGGTGAAATTTACCTTTCATTATCAAGTACATCATTTGGGTCATTCACTGCATAGACCGCTCAATGAACGGGAATCGATTATTAGGTCTCCCAACGAAAAAATTGACCCGAAATCTTAAAAGGGTTACGTGTCCGGATAAGCAGTTTTGACGGTCAAGTCCAAACGACTCAATATTTTGAGCTGAAATTTTGAGATACGGTCAATACACCATTCCTCTATATTTTGGCGTTTAAATTTCATACATACTCAGACTTTTATTTTTGAGACTCTGTTCAAATAAGGGATAGTCCCTTTAATATCAGTGTAAAATGAAATGGTCAAGTACATCAGTTATTTATTATTTTATAGATGAAAGTGGATTATATGGAACTTATCCTGCTAATTTCTTAGAATCAGATGTACAGACATTACAACAATGGCATTCGGAATCACATGATATGGTAAGTATACCATTAATTAGACCAAAGTAATGTAACATATTTATGTCTGATATGACATATTACACTAATTTAGCAGTCTGATATGACATACTAAACACTTTTTGAAATCAAGGTATGTAGAAAAGGCAAGCTCGTAAGTGAATCAAAGTCAATTGTCAGTCTCTGCAGTTCAGTTTTCAGATGCAGGTGGCAGTAGTTCAGCTGTCCACTGCAGGTGGCACACAGAATTATCTTTTTTGAAAGTGTTAGGTTTGGTTTTCGTTTAAATTGTTTATTTTTAATTGTGATGATATGTGTATACATATTTAATCTTTCAAATATTTCTCTACGGATAATTATTAAGATGGCCTGAAAAATCAAGGTCCCTTGCTGAAACTGTTAGTACACAAGAAAGCCCACTTTAATGTTTGATTTCAAAGATGAGTAATCAGAAACACTTTTGTCAGTTCAAAATTCCACCTGCCCCCATCTATCCACCTCCCCCCACCTCCATCTCATGCTTATGTGCCCATAGCAGCATAACATATAAAAATTAATATATTTTAGTCTCAGAGTGACTGATGCCTATTTTTTGTCTTTATTCTAAACGGTTGGATATTCATTTCTCCTCATTCCAGACTGAAATGAAGAGAGTATGTAGCAATGCCTATAAACAATATCAAAGATCACGACCCAACCCAGCAGCAGAATCAGTAAAACGTGTCAAACAAATGGAGAATGATGGAGTGATATTAGGTGTTCATCCTATTTATCGTAAGTTAATTTTGGTGCATTATATGTTTTATGTTGTTATAGATAAAAAGTTTGTTAAATTCATCCAGTTTGATATCAGTATACACAAATATGCTGGGCGATCATGAATGAACAGTTCACAAAACACTGCTGCTTCAAATTTATTCAGTTATTAAGGATTTACCACTGTAAAAGTGTAACTTACTTGATCAAAACCTTTGATAACATATAGGAAATTTTGTTTAAAAGGCGGTGCCATTTCACTGGCTGTATTATCAAGGTCAAAGATATTATCATGGTGTTGTCACAGGCCTAGATAAACTTTTGATAAACATGTCTTCAGATTTAATTGAGTGATCCACATAATAGAACAACCTTTTTCTCATGGTTGAAGGTAAGGGACATTCATCTATCATATATAAAATGGTAATGCATATTTATAATATAAAATTATGGTTGTATATATTTAGGATCGAAAGTCAATGATGGTGATGAAGCACAACAAAAACTGTTAAATGCCTTAAAAACATATAAAAGTCGTTCAGTAAGTAGTATTTCTTTTTGTAGAAAATTTCTACAGACTTTCTTCCATCTGGATATATATATTCTTAGAAATGTATTCACAGTATCAGTGACTACAAGATTGATCATATTCTTGTCTTACAGGGTCAGGACTGTATAGCACAGTGAATGCTTACCGAGGATTCATTCTCTTCAATCAACATGTGTTGTTTATTGCTTGCAGGGGGTTGGTGGGTGGCCGAATGGTTAACATGTGTGTGTTGTATCATAATGTCTTTCTTTGAGTCAATGTGAAAATGAGTAGGGTCGCCTGTCCAACCTCGTGGGTTTTCTCCAAGTCCTCCGGTTTCCTCCCACTGCTACACACCCCTACACACAAGCAAATCATTGAAATAAATTAAACCATATGTTAGTCCCGAAATGACCTACTTTGTCATGTCGAGTTCATGTTAAACCCCAATTCTCTCTCTCTTTTTATTGCATACAATATCTGTGTCATATCTGCAGGGTTATCTTATCAGTTTTGTTTGTGTGTAGTGCAATCCCCTGCACTTATACTTGTATTGTAAAATTTATAGGGGACATATATTGCTTTAGCAATACTCTCAGAATGCTTGATTTATAATTATTTTTACATCTTATGGGGGGTTGGATGGCCGAATGGTTAGCATGTGCGTGCTGTATCATAAAGCCTGTCATTGAGTCAACTGGCGTGGTTTCAAATCCAACCTTGTGGGTTTTCTCCGGGTCCTCCGGTTTCCTCCCACTGCTAAAGACCCCTGCGTGCAAGAGAATTATTGAAATAAAATTAAACCATATGTTAGTCCCGAAATGACCTAGTTTGTGCTGAGTGGATGTCAAACCCCATTTCTCTCTCTCTCACATCTTGTTATTATTTTGGTTTTTGTCTATGATATTTCAGACCGTATTTGAAATGAGTAACACAGCTAAAACAAAGAGCTCTGATATAATGAGAGAAAAACGAGCTAAACATCAGACGGTGATATCATCAAATAATAAAAGATCGGAACAATCTGTAGATGAATCGTCTAGAAGAAAAATAAAAAACACACACAGTGAAGAAAACGAGACAAATGCTGATCAAATACAGGTAATTAAACCAAGCCCTGTTCAATGTTATCAATATTATGATCCATATAATTATGTTTGTAACTTTGACTAATCCAGATATCAAGCCAAGTGATTTCATGGCTATAGTTACATATATAAAAAACATTTCAAGTACAAAAAGGTGAAGATATTTCTAAAAAATAAATAAAAAGTAAACATAATTTACATTTTATTGATCTGACTGTTCTCCTTGACAATTGGATAATTATTGATTTGTAGGGATGATTTTTCATGTTACCTAAAACAAAATTTGTTGTTTCTAGTCAGTGTTTAGTACAGTCATAGATGGTAGAGCTTCAACAAAATATAACGACCCCAGCAGAAAGAAGAAAAAACGAGAAAAACTGGGACGTGATGAAGAGAATTATTTATCTTATCAACCTGCTGATTATCAAACAGAAAAGGGGTGAGTTTTATTTTAGATTTAACGTTTATTACCTGTTGTTATGATCAAATTTTTTAAAATCTTCTTTTCATTTCAGTCTTAATCTGAAACTTAGCATAGTGAAGGTTCTGTCTAATTTATGTTTTGTTTTTTTCATCTAACAGACAAAATCATTTGTTTTTGTCAAAATCAAACTTTGGCTGTCATGTATGTAACAGATAATGTGATTGAATCAGTCATTTAGACTTATTAAATGAGTATTATGGAAGATTAAATAAAGAGCTGACAGTTCTCACTATAATAGTTAAAAATAGATAATGAAAACAGAATATGATGAAAATTTCAATCAAATTGCTTCACTCTGAAAGAAGATATCAGGGATTCCATTTTAGGCTAGCCTTGAGCGTCATTACTACCATTTGTACGATAATAATCAAAGTCTTGATTATACATTTTTACGGTATCCAAATCCACTTAATATCGCAAGCTATTGATGGTATCAAGAGTTGATTATGGTCTTGATAAGCTAATTAATGTCTAATAAATAATTTAGATAACATTTCAGGCCTAAAGAAAGACCTGCAATAGGCAAGTTTAGCTCTTGCATAATGCATGGTTAATTAACATTTAAGTGACTTTTAGATATATTTTCTGTTGATTAAGCTATTATCTAAGGATGTAAAGTGTGTCAGTTATCAACAGTATTTTAATCAAAATTGCTCCATAGTCCTTATGGGGCAATGTCAGAATATCATATTAGGATGGTGGATCCATAGCTAATTCAAATCTTGCTTTTCTCAAATAAAAATATGTAAGCCTTTGGAGTTTGAACTTATGTATTTTATTTTTATTCTTATTTGTTGTTAGGTTTAGTTTAGGAGGATTTGATCGTGAAGTCGCTGGAGCAGAAATAGAAATAGTTGGGGACGATGTTGATACAATACGTAACCAGAGAAGTCAATCGAAATGGGACAGGAAGCGGAAGAGATATGTTAAAGATGGCGGGGGTAATGATCCTACTAAAAAGAAAATACGAACAGAAAGTGGTGCTTGGATTCCTGCTTCATATAAATCTAGTGTATATCCTTTAAATATATATATATATGATTGTTTTTTAGACATGTATATCCCATTCATTGGTCAATCTGATTGAAATAATATATATCTAAATTACGTTGATTGAAATAGATAAGCAGTCAGCATTGGTATTTCGGGAGGCCTTTCAGATGGCTCAATAAAATCTTCAACTATAAAGTTTGATGATTTTAATGGCTGATTCTTTCTAAAAAAAAAAACCTTCTGCATCCCACTGTCGTAAAAACAATTTAGAGTTATTTAACCTAGTGGTCTAAAGTGCTGTTTTACTGATCCCATGTCTCTCTCTCTGTCTGTTCAGTAGGAATGTACATGAACAAGGAGAAAGTTGAGCTAATGGAATGAGTAACTATTTTAATTAGAATAATGACAAAAGGAAAAAAATAGCTGTCGGCCATTTTCTAGAAGCTCTTTTGTTATTTGAAAAAGAACCCCACTATTTGTAAACCAACACAATATTTTGTCTGGAACATGACATAAATCTGTTTTATGTCAAATACATCTTTATGAAAGTTTTTAAAATTCATATTATATTGTACATTCAAAGATATTTTCATGTTATTTGTCCTTGACCTATGTTTACTTACGATGATTGGAAGAAGAAGAATAGGATTGAAGATACTAACTTTGATGATGATAAACAACAACAAGAAAATAAACATTTTACAGTCATGGGTACTAATAGAAGATGTAAGTTTCTAACATTTATTATACACCAGTCTTAAAAATACATTCCCCACAAAAGTATTTACAGGGTAGTTATTTACAATATAAAAATATGGTAATTTTGATATATATGGAGAGTAGAAACACCCAGTCGTACTAGAAAAATACTGTAATCCCTGAATAACACAAATGGAGCACAAAAGACAAAAAATATGCGGGTATCTCCTGGAGTGACGTCAGGAAGCACTTATTATGTGTTGATCTAATGGCTAATGGTTGTGAGAACATTGAGAGGATTAAATGTACTGTAGACTATGCAATTAAACCACAGAAAAAGATGGCAGAGGATAATCCATGAATTTACTTAGGCTTTGATATTTATGATAAATGGACAGTGACTAACGACAGATACAAGCTCAAAATGGATTCTCCCTTTATAGAGTCATGTGATAAAGATAGATTCTCGCTGCATGGGGTACTTTTCTTTGGATTAAAATGTTTTGAGAGAGATTTGAAGCAAACATTTGATAGATAAATAAGTTTGAATATGTTTTCAGTTGCAATATGTCATCTAATTCAAACAGTTTGTAAAGCACTTCAGTCTGTTCATTTCAAATTAATATTAGAATAAAACCATCTTTCATCTCGAAGGAAAAAAACATATTGTAGAGGTGACTACATTCTAAACATTTTATTATTATATGTCTATGTATCTTATTTCAGTTCATACTAAAGGTATGAAAGGAGTACAACAAGTTAAGGATAAACAAAGATTTAAGAAGAAAGAAATAAAAAGTAAAGATGAGATTTTGAAAGAGAGAAGTAGAAAAGAAAGAATACATAATTATGAGAATTTTAAACATAAGAAAGCTAAGGGTGGTAGTAAAGGAGGAAAAGGTGGTGGAGGAAGAGGAGGAGGAAGAGGTGGGGGTGGAGGAGGAAGGGGTGGAGGTGGAGGAGGGGGTGGAGGAGGAAAATCTAGAAAGAAATAAAAAGACATTTCATATTCATTACTTGTTTCAATATATTTATAAAATCTTCAAAAAAATAAAAATATGTCTATTCTCCTCTGTGTTGTTTTATGAAGACAATCCTAATGTGACCAGCTGTAGCACAATGTGGCACATCTACAGCTGTAAGAATGTAGAAATTATCTTATAAGTTTCCAGCTTATTTATTTTTAAAATAGCCTTTATTTTATATCACCAGGACCTGGAAGGCAAAAACTAATCATAGTGCACAAAAATTGATGGTTTGGTCCAGTAGTTTTCAATTGCTTTCTTTCTGTAAGTAGGGGGGTTTGGATGGCCGAATGGTTAGCGCATGCACGTTGTATCACAAGGTCTGTCATTGACAAGGAGTAGGGTCGCCTGTCCAACCTCTTGGGTTTTCTCTGGGTATTCCGGTTTCCACCCACTGCTAAAGACCCCTACACGGAACACACAAACGGATTTTGAACCATGTTAAATACCGAAATGACCTAGTTTGTGTGGAGTGGACGTTAAACCCCGTTTCTGTAAGCTATGTCAAAAACCAATTTAATACAAAATGTAAATTTATGAACCCATAAATCTCATTTAGTCAGTCTTTCTGTGGGTCTGCATTAGATAATAATTGCAAGCCAATTTCAAATAGTCTGTGGTGTGATATTGTTAATAAAGACGATTGATCATAGAGGATGGTATGAGCATTGGTTATAGTGCCAACTACCAAACCCATGGCAAAATTCTACCAACACTCATAGAAAATATAATCCATGACGTCCTTGTTCATATTGACAAGATGTTTATTCTGTTCTATTTTTAAACCAACAAATCATCAACACAAACCAGGATAATTAAAGACTTACAAATGTCTTTGGTTTCAATGATCTTGATATGCTTATCCTTATTAACAACTTGAGTCAACTGGGGTGGTTTCGATTCCCCAGTTGTACGTGACGAGGAGTAGGGTTGCCTGTCCAACCTCATGGGTTTTCTCCAGGTCTTCTGGTTTCCTCCCACTGATAAAGACCCCTACAAGCAAGCAAATTATTGAAATAAACTTGAACCACATGTTAGTCCCAAAATGACCTAGTTTGTGTCGAGTGGACATTTAACTCCATTTCTTTCTGTTATTAACAACTGAACAATCCTAACAAGTGTATATTAATACCTCATAAACAATCCAAATATCTCATCAAGTCAATAAATCTGCCATAAATTGTTTTCATAACTTAGGTTCTTACTAGCTGAACCATCTTAGCTAGTTATAAAAATAATCCCAAATACTGTCTGTAGAGCGCTTACAAGATTTCAAAGACTGGGGCAATTTGCCCAAAACCAATGTTGTACTGTGAATTTCAAAAGGTTCCCTCCTGAAAAATCCCAACAGGATCGTGTTACCACACCAAAGATCAATTCTCTTGATTTTTGATGACTTTTTGGTGTATAATTGAAGAAAAGGGTTTGAAAATACATTTTCTGCCAGGTTTTGGTGAATATTCATGATTTTGAGGCAGAAGGATACCAGAGTTGAGAGTTTGGTCAGATTGAAATGTAGGGCTGAAAATTGCATGTTTACTGTTCTTTACTTTCAGTTTGTGTATCTCATGTTTTCAATGATGAACCTCATATGTGCTTTCGCCACATGTTACTCCATCTGTGGTAGAAAGCTTTCTACCCAACGAAAATTTGGGAAAAAGTTAAAGCCAGTCTAAGAGACGAGAATTAACATTAAAGTCAATGGGGAAAATCATTAGTGATCTGTGGCCATCTGTAGGATCACGTGCTGCCAGCTCCTCGTACTGCATGGGTTCATCAATACTGACACTGATTGCCGCAGACTGTGCTCTATTGATGGCTCTACGTTTGACAAATTCTAAATCGGTGCCGTTGTTGACTTCAGATTTGTAACCCTAGTGCCTACTCTTCTCTGTTAAGTAAAGTTGTTATGTCCCTCATGGGTTGTTAATTTTGTTATGTTGGTAAATGTCCAGCCTACAATCATGAAAAAAATGTCAGCTGCATAATGTCTCAAGAGCAGAGTCATTGAGTATAGTTTGAATTCATCGCAGGGAATCTGAAGTCTACTATCTTGGCTGTCAGCAACAATTAATGTCATCAAATGAAGTTTAATATATTTATTTTATCATTTCTTTGATTATCTTAGAAAAAAATATAAATATCAGTACATACAAACCCCTTCTTACAAAATTTATATGCATTATTACATTCCTTGAAAATAATAAATCAAAATTCCATTCATACTAATAAATAAATACACAACTTCAATATTTTTAATCGTGATTCTTTAAATTATTAGATTACTTGATTCAAAATTTAATCTGTGTACATAATATTAATATAACAAATAAATAAATTCATAATCCGACTGTGCAAACAGAACAGTAATTTAATTCTTTGTAACAAATGAGTGTAGCACATTAATTATGTTGATTCTATAATTAGGTTATAGGTATTTATGATTCCAGATCTAAATGTATAAGGAGATGATTCCACCATTCCAATCACTAGATCATATCAAGTATCTGAAACAAATTACAAAATATCTTCAATGATTATCATAATAATAAACTCAGTGCATGATCAGTGCAGATTCTGAAAATGCATTTATTCAGAAATTTATTGTTCATGTTATTGTAGCAGACAAAATACTAAAAACCTTTTGCTAGTTCATTATTTTACATTTATAAGGAAATTTGTATCTGCAAAGTTCTATAGACTTTAATAATTTTATAATAACTTTAAATCATTAAAAGTTTACAATCGTTCTTTTATTGCACTCCGTCATCTGTATCTCTCTTTGACAAACATATTAATAACAATTAAGTTTTCCATTCTTGTACAAGTCAGCCCCTTCTACAGCCTTTACATTTAAACAGTGCATATTTTGACGTTTGAAATATGTGCGAAAGACCTGGCTTTGAGTACCTTTAATGTCCATTTTAAGATCTAAATGAAATGAAATGAAATGGGGTTTAATGTCCTACTGTTCTGCTCCGAACTGGGCTAATGAAGACAGGCATACGCAATGCAGTGTGCTATGAGGGAAATTTTGCCCGGACAGCGGCACTATGGCCTACTCTTATATTGAATTCCAACTGTCAAGGGATCTTTGACGTGCACGCCAATGTGTACACAGGACCTCGGTTTTTCGTCCCATCCGAACAACTAGACAGCTGTCCTTGTCAGGCCCTCTGTCCTGCATCACTGACCAGAGGGAACCACGTCGGAAAATCTGGATGAACTTTCTCGGCCAATGCAGGGATCGAACACTCGACCTCCAGGCTAGCGAGCCAGCCTCTTACCCACTTAATCCCCATTTTAAGATCTGATAGCCTAATCATTCTGTTGTGATATCAGGCCATATATCATTCTCAAATGTTAACAATAATTTTTATCTGTAAATGTGATGCCTAAACTATGTTTAGATTATATATAAACTTACATTGTATAAATTGAGCAATACCACAACATGTAATATGGTATTATTTAAAGATTAAATTATCTTCTTGTTCAACATCCCCTCCACCACCATCATCTTCAACTTTTGATTTAAATTTTTTCTGTAGTTGACGTTTCCTTCGATAGTTAGATGGTTTTGTATTTCTCTCAATTTGAGCATAACCTTCAAAATAAATTAATACATAGTTTACACACGAATAAATGAAGAGAGGGGGAAAAATAAGTCATATTAGCCTCCTCAAATTGTTACACTTGACATGTGTGAAATGTTGCCAGGTTTCTGCCTATGCTGGGTACTGAAATCTGGACATTTTAATGGTGAGTCAAGTCTAGAATAATATAAGATAATACAGATAATAGACATGATTCAGATAATAAATGTTATCAAGTATTATCAGCGTCAATGGTGGGTGGCTGTGACCAACATAGTATCTGGAGAATGAAATTTACTTTTTTATCTAGTCTACTTTACAAAAAAAGGCCAATTTTATGGTTTATAAGTCTAGTGGATACAGATGCTCTTCCCGGGTGATCAGCTTTCTTTTGGATAAACCACCTTGTTGTTAAATTACCACTACACCACTGGTCAAATGGACAAAATGGCATTCAGGAATATGGGGATGGTCTATTTTATAATAATCACATAACAGGATTTCCCCCCCCCCCCCAAAAAAAAAAAAAATATCCAGAGACTAACTTTTGACAATCAATTCAATTGGTTGCTGATATTGTCACCATATTTTATATAACCTACCATTTCAAACAAAGAACATACATTACTAGATAAGATATTACACTATAATGTACCTCGTTCATGACATTCTTGTGTGTCCGGGAACCCAATAGACCAGAAATGTTCCGGAGTATCAGGGGGGATATAATCAGCTCTATGTCGTGAACAATCTTGAATTCGACTCTGTATTTCATCTTCTGACATTCCTGTTGACTTATAGTACTATAATAAAACACAAGAAACAAACTTTATAAATTACACTGACACCATAAATTATAAAGTACTCAGCTAGAATCTTTTTTAAATAACTTTTAACTTCCTTTGTTGTTTCCTTTAAAACATAATTTTTTCAATTTTGGATTCTAGCAACCCCCTTTTCCATCAAACCAGACCAAAGCAATTTGAAATTAGTCTAGCATTTAGATTGATCCACAGCAGCAGTCCCACTATTTGTAATGTCAACATACAATGTAGCCACAATTTTCTGCAAACAAAGATTTTTGCACGCATTAAGACCACAAGAACAAATCTTGAAGTTACCTTATACAATATATATGAACTTACCTCATAACACTCTTTACAACTATGTCCTTTTAACTTTCTTCTTTCATCTTGTTTTTTAACAACTTTAACATGAGCAAATTCTGTATCTTTTTTCTTGTTCACTCTAAAGATATGAACAAAAAAACCTTAATTATTAGTGTTTCAAACAATATGAATTCTACGTCCTATCACATGTTTCTGAAAAGAGATATTCTGACCAATAAATTTTAAATTTATGATCTAAAGAATCTGAAATTTGATAGTGTTCTTCTTTATACCCAACAATCACACAGACTGTCCTTTATAGAGTTCATGAGGAGATAACTCTAAAACTGACAAATTATGAATTTTGATAGTATTCTTCCTTATGACCAACTGCAAATTTGAAAAATTTTGATAGTATCCTTCCTTATGACCAACTGCAAATTTGAAAAAAAAAATCTAATAAGAGCTTCAGTGTGTACAGTGTTCACAAGTAAAGTAGGATGAACGACTACATTAAATGTGTGTTTCAGTGATTAGGGCACGGCTCACTAACCAGAAGCTGCTCAGATCGATTCTGGTGTTGGCTGCGTAAGTTCAATTGGAATTTGTGGCTTGGTTTTCCCTTGTCAGTGACGGCCTGGCAAGAAACAGTATCTAGTCATTCAGATGGTATGAAAAAAACAAGATCCTGTGAACACATTGGCATGCATGTAAAAGAACCTTTTCGAGATGGAATTCAAAATGTAGCAATGTTGTCTGGGCAAAATTTCCCTCATAGCCCACTGTATGGTATATGCCTGTCTTTATTAGCCCAGTTGGTTTAGAAAAGTAGGACGTCAACGGTCAAACCCAATTTCATTTTATTTCTACATTAAATGTATTATAAAAACTGTTCATGAAAAATAAATTATTTATAGTACCTATCAAAACTAGAATCAAAAGAAGGTTGTTCTTCAACATGATCATCATCTATAATTATATCTTCTTTTAATGTTCCTCCATTTTCTTCTTCTTCTTCACCTTCATCTTCAATATCTGTTAGTGGAATATTTTGATGATATTAATATATTTTTTTTAACTGCAGGGAATTCTGAATTTATTAAGTGTCCAAGGGTGGGATGATTTTTAAAGAAAAGTGATGATAATAAAGGATAATGAGACATTTTAACATTTTGAACTACTCTGTTTGGTTAGAGACACAAAGGAAACTAAAATTCCATATAATTTTGTTGCAATTATTTGTTTCTAATTTTTACACCACATTGTATTCTTAACAAATTTCTATCACAAATGTGTTCTAAACACAAGATCTTCATTGTCCACTGTCTCTCGAAGAAAAGAAGGGGATTATTACACTGATTTTGTACGTACTATCAAAAGAGCTATATTAGGGTTATGCCTGATTGTTACTGACCCTGAGCTGAACTCACTGAAAACCACTATAATTTGTTTTAAAACTTGTAAATTGAATATTAAAATGTCTATATCTCAGCAGTGGAATAGATGATGTGTCAGATTAAAATGTATAGTCAAATAAAATCAACTGATTAGTGAAAATATCCAAATCCAAAATGCCCCTTAAACAAACAAAACTAAAGTGTCAACAATATTCCTACCTTCTTCCTGTGTTTCCATGGCTTTAGTTCTTGTTCTTCTGGCACCAAATTTAAAACTCTTAGAGCTACAAGGTAGACTTTGAGATTCTTCATTTAATGTCGAGTCTAAAGTTTGTCTGGTATTTTTCGAGTTGGTGGTCAGCTTTTTTTTACTCTGTTTCTTCAATGTAGGAGAAGCTTTTAAAGGATCTATAGACTCACTGTCTTCACAGTACTGAGTTAGTCGAACATCTGGTCCAATACTTCTATTTAATCCTGCTCTACAATTATCACCATCTGATGGAGTCTGCTCTTTTGTGTTAATAAAAGCAATGGGTGATGGTGCAACAGTTTCATCCAAATCTCGTAAAGATTGATCCAAACTCAGAGGTTTGATTGTGGGTAGGTAAGACTTCATTGGTGAGGATTTCCTTGGCGATCGTCTTAGTGGTATGATTGGTTGACTATCAGGAGATGGAGCCACTGTTTCATCAGGATCAAGTGATTTATTTGGTGATTTATAGTTTTTATTCGGTGAATTTAGGGGACTCTGCTTGTTTGCACTGGGTCGTCTTTTGCGAGGTGTTGACATTTTGGTAGATGATAAAGGCTTTTTAAACATTTCAATTCCATCCATCTCATCATTGACTTGCTTAACTTTTGCTTGTTTTTTAGTGTTATATTCTTGAGAAGTGGTTTGAAATTCTAGTAGTGATAATTTAATTGCTTCTTCAATCTTTTTACGTTCTAATTCCGATTCAACAGATGAGACGGCCATTTTAGGACTGTTATTAAAAACTTGACTTAAAGTTGTTTGCTTCAAGCTAGAATCTGGAATGTCAATGACTGCATTTTTGGAGGAGCCCCTTTTCTTTGATTTAGATTGATTTAATTCCTGTGATGATGTCTTTGACTCCTTCTTTTCAGATGAGGATGCTATCTTTTTTATCTTGGAAGACTTTGAGTTTCTTAAAACTCTAGGGAAAGGATCACTTTCCGTCATCTGCGGTTTGTAACATTTTCCCGATTGTAATAGCAACGGAGATACTGGTTCCTCCAAATCAGACAGTTCTGGCAAATCATGCTTTCCGTCCATTTTATTTTTAGAATGGTCGTTTGATCGAGTAAATACTGGCGAAATATGAGTGGACGACTTCTTCATTTCCTGAGGTATATCAATACGTAATGGTCGTCGCTTGCTGTTCTCAGACAAAACATCTTTCATAGAAGTATCATCAAAATCAATATGTTTTTTAGTTTTGGATTTTGAGTTTCCAAGTCTGGTTTGAGATTTTTCTATGTTTCCTGTTTGGTTCAATTTCTCAATTCGACTGGTATACCCAGAGTCTGGAATATCATCTAGTTCATTGTCAGCCTTATCAGGATTTTCAGTAACACTGACATTCAAGGAAGGATGAAGTCTGCTCTTATTTATTTCAGGTTCACTAGTATCAGAAACTGGACTGTTGAGAATATCAGTAGTGTTATCCATAAAACTCTTGGAAGCCCTATGATTAATTGCTTTGATTTTAGATTTGGACGGATCATCATCCGATGTACCGTTATCAATTTGGGATACTACAGTTTTTTCCGTGTTCAAATCATCATCGCTTTCATCACTATAGGAACTGTATGTTTCCATACCTAAAGTTTCAGGAACAACAATATTGGCTATTTTATCACCTTCACCATGGTCAGAATCAGCCATATCTTCATCAGTGCACGAATTGTTCAGTGTTTGATGAAAACAAGTTTCAGGAACAAAATTATCTCCCTTTGAATTGATGACAGAAGGTGAAGTTTTCTTTTTTGTAGTTAGACGATTACTTCTTGGTTTTTTATCGTTGGTATCACATTGGATTTTTTCACTTGGAGTAGCTGATTCCCTACTTTTAGCACAACCAGTACTATTCTGGCTTGACTTTTTAACTTTTACTTTTACTTTTGAAACCAAATCTGGAGAAGTATTTTCTGATGAATTTCTATCTTTTTCACTGATTTCTGAACCGGAAGAAAATTTTAATTTTTTATATGTAGGTGATACATCCTGAAGACAATAAGAAAAGGAAAAAATTGAAATAAATAAACCAGTTCAACAGTTTCAGCTCAAAATATTTGGCTGTTTTGAAATGATCAACAAAACAGTTTTATGAGTAACACTTTTAATTAAGAGTGCTTGCCTCCAATTTTTAAATGAGTGACTTGATAAATGTGACTATTTGTAAAATTTGTAAACTTTGCCAAGAGGTAATTTAATGCACAGCAGTTATATAATGTGCCGGAAAACAAATAAATGAAAGTATAGCAGGAAGTTGTCATTCGCATGTGCATGAGGTAAAGACAGGTGTATCCAGGCACATGATAACTTTTAGTCAATAAGTTTATTTCCAACTCCACTTGACAAAAGGACATCGGTATCTCTTTGAAAACTTATAAGACTATGATAATGGTTTCTATGATAATGCTTTCTATGAATTAACCAGTTTCATTCAATGCAATGTATCTTGGGATTCTACTTTTATTAAGAATAACTTGAAAACCAAAACATCAGGTTAATGAAGAACATACTAAGTTATATTTATAGCACGGCTTTCATGAGTTAACAGGTTTAACCAGAGGCCGAGGGGTTAAACCTGTTAACGTGTGAAGCTTGCTATAAATGACTTGTAACATTGACAACTGCTCAACATGCTTATTGTTATTGCACAGAAAACCCACCCCACTTCTCTATATGATTTCTACTAAAACTAGTGTAAACCAGCAAAAGTGTGCAATAACATTGAATATGTCTAGTTATTGCATGGTTAAGCTCCACTCAATCTACTAGAGGGAAAACAATCTGCTTATTCAACGAAAAGAACAAAGGACGATTTCACATCCATGTTACAATTATTTTAAAATAAAGTAGTAATTAAAAGAACACACACCTCTTTATGTCTTGCTCTTTTATTTTTAAATCTTAATTTATCATTCTTCAAGTTATCTCCACCACCATCTTCTTCCAATTGTTTGCATATCTGTTGTTGTTCTTGTGATTTTTTCTTTGCACTATTGACAGTAGAATCTGGACTAGGTTTCTTCTTTTGAGAATCTGTTCCACCGCCTTTGATAAATCCAGTGATCAATTTTGTAGGAGTCCCCGAAATGACTTCCCTAAAAAAGTATTTTTTTCACTAAGAAGTTTGGGTGTGCCGAAAACTACGATGCAATGGCCTATTTTTTATTCTGATCACTTTGATCTGAAATCTCAACCATGGCTACTAGTTATTTAATGTTATATAAGGTAAAGTGCATGACTTTTTTAAAGATAAAAAGGGCTGTATATTTCATATATTGTTTTCTTTCAATTAATCCTGTATATCAATGATATTACATATTTAAATTAATCCTGTGTATAAACGATACATGATTTTGATTATTGTTTATGTGAATGATAAATATCAACAAACCTGGATATCATTTGATTTGACATATCTACCAATGGAACGTGACCTGATCTTTCTGCTAATTGTTCTTCTGTTAATAAAATAAGACAAGGTAAACATTTAATAGCATAACTAATGTTACAGTTTAATAGATTTAAAAGCACAATATTGTTATTAAAATAAAATGAATAGGGGTTTAATGTCCTACAACAATGTAATTGTGATTATCCATTCAGTTTTATCATCCACATGTATTTTGTCATGTATGAATACAATTGGAGTGTACTTTCTAGCAGCAACGACAACACTCTACAATATTTGATTAACCATAAACGTTATATCATCATCTCTATCTGCATAGTAAATCAACATGATTACTAGACTATCAAACTTTATTAGGCTTCATGCCTGAAAACTTACTTAAAAATTTAATCATATTATCTTTTTCTTCTAATGTTTGTTTATAAGCATCTTGTACAACTTTCATAGACTGTTGTAGGTGACTACACATAGTACAGGCTTTGTCATCGTTTCTAGATCTGAAATTTTTGTTATTAGTACAATAAACCTCACCTGGGTAATAATTTAAACTATTTTATCATACATCTTATTCGTTGATTGAGAACTAAAATCTACACTAGGAATATAGCTGTAATTAGTGTAAACTAAATCTTGCACATTTATTTTTTTCAAAAGTATCAAGTAATCAAACTGATTATCAACTAACTATACACTAAGTTTCATCCCTCTCTATCAGATATCTTGTCCAAAAGCATCAACCAATGAAATTTCTTTAGTTCAAAATGTTAATCATTGAACTCAGTCAAGACATTCACCTAATGAACATCTACATCAAGTTCAAACATTCTACCTTAAGTAAAAGCAGAGTCGTTATGTTCCAAAGTCTTGATCAATCAAACTGCTTATCGCTCCTTAGCTATCAAAATTGTTAAAAATCAATAGAATTCTTCGGCTCATGACCTTAAATGGTAAACAATGTGTATAAATTTCGGACAATAACTTTAGAGCACCAACAAGATTTTTAAGATATGGCTAAAAATCAATAGACTTTTTCGCTGTATGAACTTAAAAAATAAAATGACTAATGTTACTCATATAAAATGTTGATTATCTGTTACACATGTAGAGCTCATGTTTTTACAACTTACGATATTTTATCTATGCTGTTACTCAATGTATTTTTTTCTTCTTCAAGTTTGGCATTTTTCTTCTCTAAACCTTCAATTTGTTCCATCAATCTGTAAATTAAACATACAAAAGTATTTTACCAATTTGCTTTATGCTAGGTTCTCACTGTCATGCAATGCAATATAGTAGGATTGTCCCTGTTCAGTCCACGATCTGGTACTTGCAGATACGTTTGGATATGATCAAAACGATTGCTAAGACTGACCTCAATGTATGATAAGACAGGATAGGACCATCACGATTACTCCACGGTGAAAACCATGATTTCAATTGTAGCGTGAATTTTGATAGTGGGAACCTAGCATTAAAAATTAACAAGTGTCACTGCAGATACCGCTATATATTACAGGATTCGGTAATGGTGTGAAATAAAACAAGAACGTTCACAAGCTACATGTACATGTGTATGTCCAACATATTTTCACAAATCCAGGACAATAACTCTGCAAATATTTTCAAATTTCAACTTGCCCTAGATCTAATGGAGATATATAAAGATAACATTTCAGTAAAGTCTATTGTACTTGAAAACTATGTTTTATATATTCTGACCAATTCCATGCCAAACTAATCACAGATCTCGTAGATATAAATTTACAAATCTCATTCAAATTTTTAAGTTATGGACAAAAGTCCACAAACTATGTTCATTACAATCAGATGAAAACTTTGTGAAAATAAGCCCATTCAATAAATCTGAGGAATAACATTATAGAGTCTTTTGCATTCACTATCTATTTTTGACAAGTCTGTGAATGACTGGCTAATCACATTCAAACTTAGTACAGTAAGTAAATTTTAATTCCATATTCCATACTTTTCCTTTTCTTGATCCAATCCTTCATATTTTTCTATCCATTGACCAAGTTCTGATTGATATTCTGAAATATGAAATCAAAACAAATGAATGAAATGGGGTTTTAAGTTAGTTTAACATCCTACTTTCCAACACCAACACTAGAGACAAGGAAGACAAGTAAAATCAAATGATTCTTTTTAAAGAATATTACATACATGTAACTGCAGTACCGGTACTGAATAAGTTGAATAACATGTTATATTTAAAAAGATTATGTTTGAGTTTTTTTTAATGATTGGTTTAAGGGTTTTTTTTTAATGATTTATTAACATTTTTTAATAAATTCTACCCATACACTAGTTAATTAGTCTTAAAAATAATTCCCGAAATCAATCACTGTTTAAAAACAAAGCTATGCCTGGATGGTAACAATTTTTATGTAATTACTGATTAACAAAGCATATTAATATCACCATACCTTTAACTGTGTTTCTATGGATATAAAATACTTCTTTTAAGGCCTGCTCAATCGACACTTTTTCTGTTTTCCCACTTAATGAAGCCATTGTAACTTTTTAAAGGGCAGGTAGGCCTAAACAAACATGATGAATTTATTATTTCCTATGTATCATAATTTATCATTTCATATACTTGGTAGCAAGTAGAATTTCATTATTGTCATAAACACTGCTAGGCCTATGCTCTACTGTTTAGGCCTATACACTGTAACCCAGGTATCATTTAAAGATGGGTTCCCGCGTACAAACTGGGTGATTTAATGGTATATATGGACCAAAAACATATTCAAACTAATTCATTTGTCATAATTATGCTTCAAATCCTTCTCAAACATTGTAATTGTGAAGGAATGCCCTGCTATTAAAATTTGATCAAACCAGGTCATGTTTACGTCACGTCTTGGGAGTCAGAGGAGAATTCATTGCATACATAAGACAATGTTGTCTTTAATCGCTTACTATTTATTACAAATATCGAATCCTAATTAAATTCTCGGATTATCCACTACCCGCGTCTTTTTCCGTCATTTTTATCTCAGAAAGTATTGTACGCCTAACTCTTCATAAAGTTTATCAACTTGTACATCAAACGCTCAATGTTCGCTTGTGACCTTTGACATCATGCGTGCAGAAGTTCCTAATCGTCGGGCTGTTGATTAGGGGAACCCTTACATTTTTATCCTGTATGTGCTCCATGAGTGTTTTTCGGGGAATCCAGTATTTTTCTAGTAAGATTAGATATCTCTACTTTCCATATATGCCAAAATTGCCAGACTTTTATTGGAAATAACCACCCGATAAATACTTTCTGGGAACCCATCTCTAATCTTGTGTATCTAGCACTAATTTCTTTCACATTCGTTTAATATCCAATCTTTGTTTAAAAATTCGTAAAAATCGTTTAAAATCACCATAAATCGTTTAATTTGTACTTTTGTCCAGTTTAAATCTGACCATTCAATTTCGATAATGAGTGTCTAATTTACAAGTGTTTAATTTCTCAATCACTGTTAAAAAAATAAACAACCCCAATTGATTAATGATGTATAATGATTAATTTTTGAAAAGAGGTCAGGAAATTAAATACTTGTAAATTGGATACTCATTATCAAAATTAATCAGTCAGTTTTAAACTGGACACAAGTACAAATTAGATGATTTTTGGTGATTTTAAACGATTTTTTCAGATTTTTAAACAAAGATTTGATATTAAACGAATGTGAAAGAAATTAGTGCTAGATACCGTACACAAGATTAAATGATACCCGGGTTACAGTGATACATTTCATGAGTTTTCAAAGATTTTGGCCAGATTGATTTGGATGAAATAAAAAGCTTAAAGGAGCTAAATCGCTAATATTTGGACCTAGAAAATGACACAAATGGTTCGCAAGGCATATTATAATAATGTAATATGAATGTTTATAAACTGATTTACTACATTCAATCGTTTATGTTTTTACCGGTACGGGTACTGTAATTTCTAATCAGTTATATATGTTCGGCGAAATACGCCAGAAGTCTCAATCGAATGGTAATATCTAGCATCTGGTTATTCCAGTCTACACGATAGTATCTTCTCCAGATAAGAATAATATGTGGTCAACGTTTGACATGACTTGTGGAATATGTCTAGCCCCGTTCTTCGAGTCGCTTGTTACAAATGGCGCTGAAACGCGCACTATGGTACACGATTCGTGTACCAACGGTAAATTGTTTATTTTGTCTTAATTGGATATCAGAAGCCCATCTTTTCCCGGTAAGATCACAACATCAATGTTGATTTAATTAAATTGACAAATTACTTCATGTTTTCAATGTCAAAGATTTTGGAGAATTAGCTACTTTAAATCAAAACTTTTATGTACGGTAACTTTTATTTGACTAAATATAGTAGACATAAATAAATGCACGAAGGGTGTCGAGTTAAACGGGTGGGTGGGGAGACAGTACTGTCACACACAGTGCCAGTGGGGCTAACTTGATGCAAATTGTTTGTTTACATTTTTTCTGTATACAAATTAATTTATCGTCTAATAATAAATAGATCTATTCTTACACATGAGTGAGGTTAAATAGAAGGATATCGAAGCTATGTAATTTAAATGAACATATTACTTATCAAGAAAACCAGAGCGGGATTTTAAAATTGTAACAAATTCACTCAATTGACAATTGATCAAAAAAACATCGTTTCACATTACGTACTCAAATGTGGCGCCGTATTATATCACCCGGATACGGAAATAAAGCAAAAGTAGAGAGTGACGTATGGAAACCTGGTGTGCACACGACTTTAGTCGGTGTTCAATAGTAATCGGTCCTTAGCTCTTTCGGACCAGATTCTTAGCTCACTCGGACAATTATCTGAAAGGCAAGAGTATTTAAAATATGTTTGTGTAGCAGGATCGATGGACAACGGACTATCCCCTTTCCAGGTCGCGGGTTGAACGAAAAGAGACAAAGACAGGAACACAGCTATACAGTTTATTTACAATACACAGGAACAAAACAGCCAATTATTTACAGAAAGAAGAACAAGTAGAAGACAAGAAGAAGAGCACCTGATAAAGGTGCTCTTAAGAAATGAAGAATTAGAACTAATAATGTATAAGGAAACCATATACAGGTACAAAAGAGAGAAACACCGAATTAGTAAATGCAGTGCTGTAGAAAGAAATTGTTGCCTTCAAGATGGAGATCTAAGAAAAAGTGACTAAAGGTGAAACATGATGTTAGGACAGTATCTAAGTAACAGAATACTACTCACCATGTTAAAATAACATGTTTAAACTATAAACTAAACTAATTATACCAACTGGAAAAACAAAACTTACTGGATATACAGGACAATAGAACTGGATAAAATACTTAAAGAGAATAACATCCGATTTTAACGAAACTTGAAATATAGGTGTATCTCCAAAAGATCTTGGCTTCTTTCGATATTGGCATGTATCGGATCGAAACTTCATGGATTATGGCCCCTGTTTGTACGAAATATCACGTTTTTGGCTAGTGGACCCTATAGAGGTCACAATTTTTATCCGATTTTGTTGAAACTTGAAATGTAATTTTATAACCCAAAGATCTCGATTCCTTTCGATATTCGCGCTTATCGGACCGTAACTTCCTGAATTATGGCCCCTGATTGTACGAAAAATCACGTTTTTAGCTTGTGGACCCATAGAGGTCATAATTTTTATGCGATTTAAAAAAACGTATTATTATATCACCGTTACACCATAAGGACGACTGAATTCGAATTTCGTGAAAATCGGCCTAAAATTGACAGACAAAATGGCCGCCGTTCGTTCTCAAATAGCGTAAAAATATGGTATATCAAGGTTGTGGACCCTATAGAGGTCACAATTTTTATCCGATTTTGTTGAAACTTGAAATGTAAGTTTATAACCCAAAGATCTCGGATCCTTTCGATATTCGCGCATATCGGACCCTTAACTTCCTGAATTATGGCCCCTGATTGTACAAAAAATCGCGTTTTTAGCTTGTGGACCCTATAGAGGTCAAAATTTTTATCCGATATAAAAAAACGTATTATTATATCACCGTTATACCATAAGGATGAGTGAGTTCTAATTTCGTGAAAATCGGCCCAAAATTGACAGACAAAATGGCCACCGTTCGTTCTCAAATAGCATAAAAATATGGTATATCAAGGTTGTGGACCCTATAGAGGTCACAATTTTTATCGGATTTTGTTGAAACTTGAAATGTAAGTTTATAACCCAAAGATCTCGGTTCCTTTCGATATTTGCGCATATCAGACCGTAACTTCCTGAATTATGGCCCCTGATTGTACGAAAAATCGTGTTTTTAGCTTGTGGACCCTATAGAGGTCATAATTTTTATCCAATTTAAAAAAACGTATAATTATATCACTGTTACACCATAAGGACGACTGAGTTCGAATTTCGTGAAAATCGGCTCAAAATTGACAGACAAAATGGCCGCCGTTCGTTCTCAAATAGCGTAAAAATATGGTATATCAAGGATGTGGACCCTATAGAGGTCACAATTTTTATCCAATTTTGTTGAAACTTGAAATGTAAGTTTATAACCCAAAGATCTCGGTTCCTTTCCATATTCGCGCATATCGAATTGTAATTTCCTGAATTATGGCCGTTGATTGTAGGAAAAATCACTTTCTTTTTAGCTTGTTCTCTATCCATCTCTCGAAAATGTGGGCGTATTCTGCCTGGCAGCCACTGGTTAATACAGTTCTCAAATTTATACATTTATCAATAACCATTGTAAAATACTAATTACTTATGGGGGTTGTATGGCCGAATGGTTAGCACGTGCGTGCTATATCATAAAGCCTGTCATTGAGTCAACTGGCGTGGTTTCGAATCCCCGGTTGTACGCGACAAGGAGTAGGGTCGCCTGTCCAACCTTGTGGGTTTTCTCCGGATCCTCGGGTTTCCTCCCACTGCTAAAGACCCCTACGCGCAAACGAATTATTGAAATAAAAAAATAAACCTTATGTTAGTCCCGAAATGACCTAGTTTGTGTTGAGTGGACGTTAAACCCCATTTCTCTCTCTCTCACTAATTACTTCCTCGGTTAATATACATCTGATGTCTTCAAAACATCATTATACGAAGCAAGCGTATTATGAAATGGTAAGACACTGAAAGTGACACAAACTATTAAATTACTTACATGCACGAAAAAATATTGTTTAAATCAATCCATTTGTCTACGAAAAAAGCACATATCCTTTTTTTTTTTTACATTGGCTGATATTTATATATTTTGATGAATATATGGGACTGGTATTGGTTTTAGATATGTACTACTTATTGAAATTAACATAAAATTAGCGGAAATAAAAGCACATAGTCATGACAGAGTCTAGATAAACCCTTTTAAACTTAGATAGATGTCTAAATCTCAGTTTCTGGTATTTATTATCCTATCGTCTGAATGAGCCTGATGGTGGTTGGAATCATCCTTGAAAGTAGTTGGAATAAGCTTTGACTTTTGGTCCTAATGAACAATGGTCGAATCAGCTTGGTTTCATTTCAATGCCTTGAGGGCGAATCTACGAGGATGCCTCATTAACTTTATTTTCTTGTGGAAAGTGATAGCAGCCCTTACACTCCCTCCCTTTCTCAACCCTGATCTTAATAATACATATATCCACCAGATTATTAACATTTTACCAACAAAATCACCAAAATATTATAAAAGAAAGTTCATAATAAATTTATTTACAAATATAAAATATTATATCCATATACGTAACATGTTAATATGACATAAATACATGATACCATTCTATATTAGAATTTATGTTATTATTGACTACAGGGCCAAAGCCCTGGAGGGAAAGTGTGTGAATTCCTTCGTGTGGGATGAAAATGCGAGGTCCATAAATGTATCCTTGGCATTTGGAATCCGATGAAGTGTACCGGGTAGGTCATGGAAATGGCAGGTAAAATTCGCATTTATTTTAATCATAGAAAATAAATAAACATTAGTCTTAGAATGTCCGGAGGTGTGCCTAGGAATGTAAATATACATTAATAAAAAATTTCTCTGTTTTGTTAGGCCCTAAAAATCGCAATGTTTTTCATATTTTTGCCAATTGAGGACCTTTTTCCAACTAGTGACAGCTTGATTCGTCACTGATATGTCCGGGGGTATCTTTTTATCCGTTCAGTCACACCATCATCTGATTATCAATACATCAGTATTGCCCAAATACATCTGGTTGGGACAGAAAAGTAGGACGTTAAATCCCATATGATTTGAACAAATGTGAATTTGCACCAAGACAACACGCCTACCAAATATGGTTGAAATTATTCAAGCAGTTATTGAGAAAAGCTGAAAATTTCAAAATTGGTCCTTTAATGACCAAATGAACAATCCCAAAAAGATTTTTAAAAAAAAATATAAAAAAAATGATTTTTTTGAAAATTCATAATGGGGAAAAAGGTGTGTGACTGAATTTTGATAGGTTTCTTCATTTTGACTAGCCAAATAATATGGCAAAATCTTTTTTAAAAATTTCAAAAACTATTACCTGTAGAGTGTTTTACAAGATTTTGGCAATAACTTGGCAAAAAAGACCCAACACTGAATTTCCTTACTAAACAATTCGGTTAAAAAAAACCATGTACCTGTATTGGGCCCACTTGTTCATCTGTGTATTAATATGTTATCCTACTAAAACATGTCTAATGAACTAAAAAGCATTTAAAAAAGAATTCTGAGATATTTATTTAAAAACATAAATAATATAATAATCCATATATATAATATCTTCTATTTATCTTTCTCAGTTATATGACCATATGCTAGACCGTCTCCACATATACCATAATATATATTATCACTGAAAAGCAAAAATGTAAATACGGATCAATATCTTATATCAGAACCATCCATATAGAAAAATACTATAAAGCAAGAAAACTTGTAGCACATAATGTAAACACTCAACAGGTCAAAATGCAGATTTCTTTTATACAAATACGCAAGGATTTTAAGTAGAGTCATTCTCAAAAACCCTGTCAAAATTCTCAATTTTTCTACTATACATCCTGTTTACTTGTTAACACGATACAACACAGCCTTCTTGATGAGATGTGTAAAAACTTGTTGGAAATGTGCAATGGTGCATATGAAGGAATATTCAGATTAAAAATTTCAAATGCTAATTGTACAGTTATCAACTCTTCTACAGGAGCCACGGTGGCTAAGTGGGTAAGACGCTGGCTCGCTAGCCTGGAGGTCAGGTGTTCGATCCCTGCATTGGTTGAGAAAGTTCATTGGGATTTTACATTGTGGTTTCCTCTTGTCACTGGTGCAGAACAGAGGGCCCGACAAAGACAGCTCTCTAGTCATTCGGATGAGACGAAAAACCAAGGCCCTGGGTATACATTGGCGTGCACCTAAAAGATCCCTTGGCAGTTGGAATTTCCCTCATAAGCACATGCAATTAAAACTAATATGTATATATTACAAGAAGTAATTAAGTTTACTTCCTTTATAATACTGTAAAGAAACAAAGTTTTTTTGTTAAAAAGAAACTTACTTAAATTTCCAAACATCAATATTGGCCACATCTGAGACATTAATAAATTCTCTGTCATTATACTTGAGCTGAAAAAAAAAACAACAGAAGGTTAAACATGGGTTTACCGGTAGTTTGGAAAAAAACAAATAATGTCATTGCAGGTATGTATATTCCTTCAAGAGCTCATATGAATGTACCAGGAGTAATTCTTTCTACAACTGTTCACGTATCAAGCTGGGTCATCCTGTTTATAAAATCTTTAAATTTGACTTCTTTATGCATATTTATCAGATCTTGAATCGATTAGAAATGTTCAATATTCCAGATGCTCAGTCAAGCACCCTCTAATGTATAGATAATACCACACTGTTATCCTGCCAACACCAGTTCAACAAGCTAACTTCATTTTACAATCCATATGAATGCTGTACACTCCGCATCTGAAATTTGTCATAGTTGAAAACATTTCGTCTTGAAAAAAAATAATTTTGTACCTTGATGTCAGTGTTTGTCTCTGTAACACTCCATATTGTCATTCTTTGATCCACAGATACTGTTAATAATTTATCTGGAGACAATATTTTCACTCCTGTAAATAAATTGTTTTCCATTAGAATGTCTGTTTTGTACAATGGTGGTGTCATTTTGATTAATACAATTAAGACAACTGAACTTGGTTATAATTAATGCTGATTTCATCTAGCAAGTAGGAAAGACATAATCTAAGACTAATTATTTCTGTTGTGATCTAATAGCAAGTTACCTGTGATTTGTGCAGCATGGGCTGTGACCTCTGACCCTGTTTTAACTACCTGGAACTGTATAGGTGATGTTTTATGTAATAATATTAATTTATGTACTGTTAAACTGTTATCATCTCCTCCACTTGCTAATAAATACTCACTATCTGTAATAAAAAAATACACCATGTTTCATATAAAGACATCATATTAGAAACACTGTCTTCACCTTATCACAAATAATGATAGTACACAAATACATTTATATATGTAAAAGTTACTTTGATTGGTCAATGATTCTGAAGCAGTTTTAGACTGTTCACTACGAATAACTTCCTTTAAGGCTAAGTGAGTAAGACAGTGGCTCGCTAGCCTGGAGGTCGTGGGTTCGATCCCAGTGTTGACAGAGTGAGAAAGTTCTTCGTGATTTTCCGGCACGGTTTCTCCTTGTCTGTGGTGCAGGACGGGGGGCCTGACAAGGACAGTTGTCTAGTCGTTCGGATGGAATGAAAACCAAGGTCCTGTGTACACATTGGCGTGCATGCTAAAGATCCCTTGGCAGTTGGAATTTGATATAAGAGTAGGCCATAGCACCGCTGTCCGGGTAAAATTTCACTCATAGCACACTGTTTAGCCCAGTTCAGAGCAGAACAAAGGACGTTAAACCCATTTCATTTCATTTCTGATTGTCCATATACATATATTGCTGTCAAAAAAATAACAATTGAACAGAATCCGAACTTGATATAGTATTGTTGACGATGGGGCTCCAATCTAAAAGACAGAATATTCTTAATATTTACCGAATGCTTAGAAGTTTGCTTATGTTGTATGTATGACTTGTAAATACTAGTTACTAACCGCTTACAGATAAAATATCTATACTGTTTATTCCCGATTGATGACATTTTATTGTAAAACATGGCTGCCAGTCTTGAACTGTTACTTCTGCACTGTTTTCCTTTTTAACACTAATTATTTTCGTTCTTTCAGGAAAATAATCTTTTTTACTAGCATCTTCTACCAAGTTGTCATCTTGTAGACTATAGTTCGTTATATCACAGTTTTGGTCGTCACTACTTTTGTTTTCATTGACATTCTGGAAATTATTGCACTTTATATAATGGAAACATAAAGTTGTGATATCCCATATGGCTATCACCCCTTCGGTTGCCCCTGACAACAAGAATATATGTGTTCCTTGTTCTGATTGGTGGATGAAATAATGAATCTTAAGCACACAATTATTGTGATAATCTGATTGGTCTATGAGTGACATTGTATTAGTCTTCTCATCAAAACCAAATAACCTATAATTTAAAAATAATAATTGTTAAGTAATAATTCAATAAAATCGTTTATGGAGTGAAACGTAATAACCTGGCAAACATAATAATCAACTATGATTAATTAGATAAGAGGCAAATCAAAACCATTGATAACGTAATAAACGACAACACAATGGAGTCTTTAGTTTACTCTTACAATGTCCGTGTGTTATGTGAATGATGTGTCTTGTGGGTTTGTTTATAGGCAATAATTTCATTTGCATGCAAGGGTATTCAACAGTGGGAAGAAACAGAAGAACTCTGTGAAAAACCAATAACATCACACATGCAGTCCTACTCCTTGTCAGACACTAACAAAGGATAGAAACAGAAACCATTTGAATCAATGACTCAACCAAGCAACACCCCCAATTATAATAACCAATGATCAAATGATTTAAATAATGCAACTTTAACATACCTCACAAATCCATCAGAACAAGCGGCACCAATAAAATGGAGATTATTCGGGTTGGTGATATCAATTTCTGTAGCAGGGAAAGATGTTAGACACAATATTCTAGTTTCTGGATCAGGGTTATAGGAGTTTTTCTTCCAAGATTTTAGACCTCTTTTATTTTTCACTTGGCCTAGAAAAGTGCTTGTTAAATGTTCATAATCACAGTTCAATGGACATGTTTCACTGTTAGAATTAATCTCGAAAGCATCACTATTAAAACTGATTTCATTGTTTTCACTTTCGGAGACATTTATTTTCCACACTTCTATCTGAGCTCTACCTCCACCTGAGAAGAGTAAACACTTAGTAATATTTTCGTGTCTGTTCTTCACAGTACTGGTGGATAATGTCCGCACACTTGATAAATGACCTTGCATTGTGTGTAATGGCTGTAGCAGTGCATGGCAACCATTTTTATCTGAGATTTTAATAGGAAAATAAAACTTTAGATTATTTAAACCAGCTAATTTAATTTAAAGATGGGCTGTCTATGAAGATAGCAACTTTCAACTTAATTACATTTTTGTTGATTACTATATGACGATGCCGACATCCATAAATAAACCCATTTTTCTTCAAAATCTTTCATGTAATAAGTATGTAAAAGACTATATTTTTAAAAGTTTGCAAATTTCCATCATTATGTGTTGTAAAAAGATTGTGTAAAGTAAAAGGATACATTTAAGAAGTGATATATTAATGGTAGTATCTTCACTAGATGTAACTATAACATGATATATACCTATATATAAATAAATAGATTAATAGCTTACATATATGAAATACAACTACATCAGTTTGGGACAGATATACATATGTTATAAAGGGCACCAACTTACACTGCTAAAAAATGTAATTAAATGTGAAAAGAAAGTATGGACAGTGTCTCAGAAAAAAATATACTAAAAAAGGTAAATGTTCAAAATGTCAATTAAGATAAAACATGTTGATTAAAGATGGAATAATGAGTAAACTTAAACAATGACACACTTACAAAGATTATGGGAGATGCAAACAAGTACAAACTTTCAAAATTATCCAAGCATAATTTAAGACATGTCATGAAGTCAAGTGGTGCAGTTTTGATCCCAACTTATAGGTCACAAGGTATAGAGTTGGCTGTCTAATCTTATAGGTATTCTCTGGTTGCCTCCCACTGCTATTTACTCAATGATTCAATAATTTTCTATACTTTTCTCTCTTACTTACATTTGGATATATTTGTGTATAAACTTGTTATACATCTCATATCACATATTTCTCGACCATGTAGTGCTGACTGAAATGTAAAGAATAAAATGTTTCAATGCAACTATTTTCAATATAGTCTGCATGTACATATAGTTCAATATTGATCCCATTCAATATATATATAATGACCTCTCTCATATGTTAGTGGCAAAATAATTAATTAGTATAAATCTGACATTAACTGAGTCAGCCTATTTTTAAATAAATACTGCCTGGATAATCAGAGCTGTAGTTAAGTGTGTCATAACAAACTTATTAGACACTCGATGTGACATTCAATTTGCTCTTAGGAAATGTGCATTGAAATATCTACAAATATTATGTCTTTTTTCTCCAATTTAAATTGTATCTCAGTTGTATGGCTTAGGAAATGTGCATTGAAATATCTACAAATATTATGTCTTTTTTCTCCAATTTAAATTGTATCTCAGTTGTATGGCTTATAAAATGTTTGCTTTGCTGCATGACAAGTAGGAGCCATTAATAATTACCTTTAATATAAGTTGATTTGATTGTAATGATGCATTATGTAAAATAACATCTCCATTTTTTATATACAAAAACTTAGCTTCTTGACCTTTCAACTTGCAGTCCCATGACCTATGACCTCCTCCACACTCTATCTCCACTAACAGTTGGTTATCTACTTCACTCCATATCACAAAGCTTGTCTGAAAACATTATATTGAAAATACAAATATTTATCATTCACCTTTTAGATGAACCATGCTGTAGTAATTCATTCAATTATTTTCTTACCTACACTGAACATTTTACGCTTATAGAATCAGCCAATTCTGGTTTTGTTAGAAGTTAAGTGGGACCTCAAAATACAAGATAGTTGATTGACCATTTCATAATATAAATTAGGTGTTACATACAGATGCTTTGAAATAATACTGACACTATTTCATAGAAAACATATTTAACTGGGTAGTGGAAACTTGTGAAATGATTTATTATAAACCTATATTATTTTCTGACCTGTAATATTTAAATTCATTCAGAAGAAAAGGAGTGTACTTACAGAATGAAAACCATATACTTGTAATTTATTATCAATAAATACCAATCTATCTATCCATTCTAATCCTTTTAAAACCTGTATAGTCAAAATTAAAAACTCGATTTCTATTGATTGCAACATAGTTCATGCAAGTAGTAGCAAACAGAGTCATTTTATTTACAAGTGAAAGAGAAAGGGTCAATTTTGGACCAACCTTATATTTTTGTTTGATGAATTAGCAGGGTAGCAATTAAGATCCTTTAGCAATGGGAGAGAACTAGAGAAAACACACAAAATTGGGAAAGACAACCTTACTCCTTGTCATATGATCATATAAAATCTTGGGATTGAATTTCAGACATTATATCAGTGAGAACTTGTAATCTGTTGTGTAACTGTTTAAACCATTTAGAAATCTCCTACCTTATTACTATTTAACAATTCTAAACACCCATCCTGATCTATAGTCCATATTCTGTAATGGCCATCTCGACCAGCTGAATAGATCTTCTGGCCGATACTACTAATACATGTCACACCAGCTTTACCATGTATCTTAGGAAAACTCTGTATAGGATCCTATAAACAAACATTAACATACAACAACTTTATAGAGAGAATCAAACAAAGTATAATGAAAATAATGTATCACATTTATTACACAAAACTGCAAACAGCGAGAAGTGTTTATCGAACTTTGTTGTGGCTTATGAGAAAATACATTTTCAAAGGTCGCTTTCTAATTTTATTTTCTATTAAATGTCAACCAAAGTTTAATACTAATGTATCAGTACCAGAAAATATAAAAATCCAATGCTAATGTACCTCATCAGTAAATATCATAAAAGTCCAATTCTAATGTACCTTATCAGTACATGTATGTATGTATCATAAAAGTCCATAAGCTACTAATGTACCTCATCAGTATGTATCTTAAAAGTCCAATTCTAAATGTATCTTATCAGTATGTATCATAAAAGTTGTACAACTTAATAAAGGAAATGTTTGTAGTGATAAACTCACTTTTGTATTTTGTATTTGGTAACTGTGTATAGTACCACCTCTATCACCACAGATTAAAACTTGACCATTACAAACTATCTGACCAGCACACACCCATCTTTGTTTACATACAGGTAAAGTAAAAACTGCTTTATGGTGCAAAACAAGTTGATGGTCTTCATTATAGATTACTGACAATAGAATCTGAAATGCAGATATTGAAAAATACATGATATTTTGAGATTAGGATATGGAATTTATATATGATATTCATATCCATTGAGTAATGGACTTTTATAATAGAATGAATCATAAAGGATGCAAAATTGATTACTCCAAAGTCAATATTTCTCATAAACAGGACACTTAGCTAATGTCTGCTTTTAAATACAACTAGTGATGGTGGAGACTGATTAGTTACTTTACATGTAATTCCTGGGGTTATCTTAGATTTCTGAAATTAAGCACCGTTCATGTTTGTTAAAAGTTTAAACTCAAAGGCTTGAGATATCAAATTACATGTATTTGACTTGAGGTCTCGGATAAAAACATTTTGTGACTTGACAATCCATTTCCTGCACAAATATAAGCAATCCTAATCCTGGTTATAATGGATTACAGACACCTGTTTACAGTTTACAACAACCCCTGAATTCTGATTTCTGTAGTATAAAAGCAGGAAAATTATGATACTTTACTTACAACATTTCCATCAGGTCCTGTAGCAACTATATCATTTAAATCTACCCATATTAAACTAAAAACTTTACCATTAAATATTCTCTCACATATACAATTATCTAAACAAAAAAATATAATAGATTATCTTCTATAGTTTCTGAATGTTTTACAAAGTTTGTTCCCACTTGGGGGGTTGGATGGCTGAATGGTTAGTGTGCGCGCGCTGTATCATAAAGTCTGTCATTGAGTCGACTGGCGTGGTTTCGAATCCCCGGTTGTATGTGTCAAGGAGTAGGGTCGCCTGTCCAACCTCATGGGTTTTCTCTGGGTCCTCCGGTTTCCTCCCACTGCTAAAGACCCCTACGCGCAAGCGAATTATGTAAATAAAATTAAACCATATGTTAGTCCCGAAATGACCTAGTTTTTGTCGAGTGGACGTTAAACCCCATTTGTCTCTCTCTCTTGTTCCCACTTAGTAACACAAAGTTTTGGGTAAACCAGTAAATGTTCCATTTTCCAGAATGTATTCTATAGTTACCAAACACCTTACAAAAAGTTTATTTTGTTCTCACTTAGTAACACAGATTTTTGGTAAAATAGATGCTGTTTTAAAACCAGTAAATGTTCCATTATCCAGAATGTATCTTGAAAGATCATTCCAAATGTTTGCACCTGGAACTGTTAGTGAATGTATCCCATCAAGTTTATTACATTTTGGAACAGACAGTAATATTGAATTCAGGCATATGATCTAAGGTTTAGGTCTAGAATGTTTACCGACAAAAATGAGTGCTTTGATGCACATAAGCACTGAGCCCGATAATAAAGCCTTGTTGAAAATCAGGAACATTTTATAATCTGCAATCAGACAATAGCAAGGAGGGAGACCATGGTCAGACTAACTCAATTAATATTTAATGGTAGTAGAGAATTAGTATTTTTAAATATATTGAAAATTGAAGGCATACAAAATGACATGAATAAAGTTGCCTGTGAAAATGCACAACATCAATCAATCATTTTGTTTGTATAACATTTCAATCTAAAACGTTTTTATGTTTTTAAGGGTTGTATATAATTTTAATCTTTGGAACATATCATACAAACCTTTACTAAACACCCTAATATCACCCTCTATGTTACCCACAACTGTCAACTGCTCATCAGGGGAAGTAACTATCAGAGAGTAGGATTTAAAAGATGGGTCATGGTGCAATAGTTGCCATATATTTTGTGACAAATTGTAATGAAATAGAGAACTGAAATGAAAAAAATTAAGACAAAAAATGAAAAACGCCATGAGTATCTCAGATATATCATTGGATAAAATCAATTTAAGTATTTTTTTTTTGTTTATGGGATTTTGAAACAAATAATATAATACATCATCAAATAGAGAAATGAAATGAAATGAAATGGGGTTTAATGTCCTACTGTTCTGCTCCGAACTGGGCTAATGAAGGCGGGCATACACCATACAGTGTGCTATGAGGGAAATTTTGCCCGGACAGCTGCACTACGACCTACTCTTATATCGAATTCCAACTGTCATGGGATCTTTTACGTGCACGTCAATGTGTATACTGGAACTTGGTTTTTCATACCATCCAAATGACTAGACAGCTGTCCTTGTCAGGACCTCTGTCCTGCATCACTGACAAGCGGGAATAATTAGCAAGTTTAATTAACATGTATAAAATGAAAAACTCACCCTGCATTAGTCATGATCAGTGCTTCATTATAGTTCTTGAGAACAACAGACCTGGGTATATCATCTGTATCAACCTATTTACAACATAAATTGTTATGTAACCTGTATCATGTTTTGGATTCATTGAGTTGTCATATAAATTCTTCCCACATTCATGTATGCCCCAAAACATTGGTGAACCCCTAACAAACAATTATCTCAACATTCCCAGACAACAACATTCATTACAAGTTTTACAACCACACCCATGATATCTTTAATTATCATTAGAACCCATAAAAATTTGAAAAATTGAAATGTTTTTATATTGATTTCAGTCATCTTAAACTACAGATGAAATAAGCTGAACATACATGTACCTTCAGATTACTGGGAATTTGTAAAACTGTAAGAACTGTAGAGGCAGATGGCGAATGAAAAGAATTTATCCTCCATAATCTAATACTATTGTCTCCTCCCCCTGTTACAATAAAACTATTTTTTTCACTAACATCTAAACTCCATATACTTTTACCCTGCATAAAATAAAATAATTTTCTCTTGTATTATTTTATATACTTACTATCAATGATTCAATGATAAAGGGTTTCTCAACCCAAAACGTTTGAATAAACCACCTTCAAACTTACTTCAATTCTCCTGAGCGCGGATTTTTATAAATATCTACCTCTCACTGCTCTCTCTGCCCGCATCATCATTTCATCCAGCAGCGGCAAAGAATTATAGGCTGGTTCAGCCAATCTTACTCTTTTTAAGGGAGTACTGCCATTCCTCCTTAGAATTATCATTTTAGAGAATGGGAACGAAGACATTGCTCCACTACTGACAGTTTTCTTATCCAGGTTATTAATGAAAGGTAGAGTAAGATTAATGTAGTCACCATCTAGAATTATACAATTTTTGATCTAAAATGAAGTTTATTTACCTTATGACCTTTGAACTTTTGTAAAATGTCCCCTTGATAATTCCAAACACAACAGGTTGAATCCTGCAAAATAAATAACCAATACATTACTGTGTACGTACTGTATACAGTACCAAGTCTACCTATAGACTTGCCAGGCGAACGGGGGGTGGGGGGAGAAGTCTGAATGGTTAGCATGTGCGAGCTGTATCATAAGGTTTGTCATTGAGTCAATTGGCGTGGTTTCGATTCCCCAGTTGAACATGACAAGGAGTAGGGTCACCTGTCCAACCTTGTGGGTTTTCTATGCGCAAGTGGATTATTGAAATAAAATTGAACTATGTTAGTCTCGAGATGACCTAGTTTGTGTCGAGTGGACTTTAAACCTCATTTCTTCCTCTCTCTCTCCCTTGGTAGGCTGATGCATAGGGCCTCAAGATCTACGGGACCTCTAGCTAAGTTGATTGGGAGGGGCCTTATAAGTGGAATAGCCTGGGCATCTCTTTATCTACATTAAATACATCACTGTGTGTATAGTATTGTATACAACTATTTTACTGCAAATTTTCAAAGATTTGCTTATATTATAATGTATGGCACTGGTATCAAGAATGTGTAAACTGTAGACCAAAAAATTGTCAAAAAGAATATGGGTTTGAGTTAATGTTTCAAACTTAATGCTACACCAGATTCTTATCATTTGAACAATTTGCAGATTCATTTCTTAAATTGAAATACACAAATTAGTCTATTAAAATATGAAACAAGGAACAATTAAAGTTTGTAGGATCTGCTCATGTTTATGTCGGTTAACAGGATCTCAATAAGAAAGTGTTACTCCTTTACCTCTCCAATACTAATAATTTTATTCTCCAACAGCTGTGCACTCCACACCCTCGCCGAATGACCATAAAGTGTCAACATTGGTTCAGAGGTCACTCCTAGCCAATCACAGGCAGCAGAAGGATTCTTTTTTAAGTTTAACTTCCATAGTCGAATACTTCTGTCATCAGATGCCGAAGCTAATATTTGTTTTGTGGGTAAATAATGCATGGAAAAGATGACTCCCTATAAATTAATAAAAATTATAAGAAAATATACAAAAATACAGTCCAGTGATAGATTCATCATTTAAGTAAAGATGTTTCTACTAAATGTAAATGTTTTTTACACACCAAACACATGATTTATTAAGTATCTTTCATTGTACTTTTATTGAAATGCAATATGTATTTTCTTCCTCTAAATACAGCATAAATATTTACTTTTACGGATTACTTGCCTGATGACCATCTAGTCTATGAATCACCTCCCTTTGACCATTAGAGTTGACTTGTCCAGTAGGTGACCATAAAACTATCTGATTAAACACTGTACCAGCAGCTAAAACTAATTCCTGCCATGTTCTACCAACAAAATAGGCTGAATATCTTCATGTATTTAAGAAAAATAAGCAACAAGAACAAAACACAAGATATTACAGGAGCAAATATTTCACCATATTTCCAGAGCAATGGTAACATGATATTCGCATTGAAATGGACACAGAGAAGATAATTAACTGTAAACACCACTTTGCTATAGTAGGTGTAGCAATGCTCAGTGAGTTTATAATGGCCAGAGTAAATGATGATAGTAGGCCTATGTGCATTGTTTACATCTAACATATTCAACATTTATCAAGGATACAATATACATTTTTCTGTACAATCAACTCTGCTAATTATTGTTTGTGTTTCCCAGTCCCAGTTTATAACAACATTATGTGCTAGACCTATAGCAACTGTAGTGCTTTCTTCACCCTATTGAAAAAAGAAAATGAAATAAATAGGTTGCAGCAACTGTGGTCTAAGGGGAGATAATATGGGTTTTAGGTCATGAAACGAAGTTACCTCCCCTTACTAGCCTTTATCAGTAAGGGGATATTGAAATAATTAAACTTACATCTTATTTAAGGTAATTTATTGACTTAAATAATGAAAAAGGTACAAATTGTACAATCAGACAATTATTGTAAATCAAAATATCATATCAGCATTTCCAGTAACATAATATAATAAGTAGAAAACAAACCCTCTCCAACCAACATGCTTCCAATATCCAGTCTTCTAGTTCTTTAAAACCACATAAACTCTTAATCCTAAAAAAATTGAAACCATATCATCCCAAAGTTGCTGTTGCTGTGCAGAACAAGATCTGATCGGATTATGAAATTTCGGTTTTATAAAATGAAAGCTGTAGGCTTACTTCAAGCTACCTTTTGATACAGGTTATATTATAAGTAACAGTAATAATCATTTACCTGTTGTTGATGTTATTAAGTAATATTTATTTACCTTGTAAATATACCTTCGCTACATTCTACAAACAGAACTCTGATGCCTTTTCCACCAAATACACACAACATGACATCATTGCCTAAAATTTTGAAAAAAAAATAGAGATAAAAATGGGGTGTCAATGTGCATTCAATAATTGTGTGTGGTGCAGTGGCCCTGCACTTACTAATATATATAAGGTATATCTTTATTTCAGTAACTTGCTTGTGTGTAGGCTCCTTTAGCAGGGGGAGAAAATTTGAAAACTTAGAGAAAACCCACAAGGTTAAGCAAGCTTCCCTACTCCTGGTCATGTATAAGCCTTGTCTCAACGACTCATCTTTATTCCAATGCCAAAGACTCTTGTTTTAACCCACTTGGTCACCCAACCCCGATTATTATACAAAATAGACAATAAAATATTTAGATGTTTCATCTTGATGTTCTTCCATTCATTTAGGAAATGATTGAATTACACCCAAATTAGTCTGTAGACCGTTAGAAATTAATGGTGGTATTTTTAGATTTAAAACGGAATAAAATATCTCAGTTCCAAATAATTTTATACGTCTATTTTACGGTCTTTAAAAAAGGTTTATCATCCAAAGAATATACCTTTAAGCACTAGAAAATCAATATGATTTTTGAAAGTATGATATTTCATTATGACAATCAATGTTTTCTTAATGAAGGTTAAACTGACCATACAGGGGATATAAGATATGCAAAATGGGGTTGAAGTGTACTTACATATATGTTTTCTAATTCCATGAATATTTTGTTTCATCAATAGACTGTGTTCTGTGTGAACTAGAGATTGTTTGTTGACATCATAAAAATGTAAATCACCGCATATACCTGTTACAAATATAATTTATAAAATAGATTTGACATATTTACTGAATGTATTCTAATAAAATCCTCAAAAATTCATTAAATTCAAGACTTTTTTTATTCTCAGAATCTTAAAATAAATTGTCCATTAGATAGTGATAGAGAAGGAGGGAGAGGGAGAGAGTGTAAAGGGGTTTTAACATCAACTTAAAAAAAAATATATATGGCAGATCTTTATTTCAATAATTCACTTCATGCAGGGAGGGTTCTTTAGTGATGAGAGGAAACCAGAGAAAATCAACAAGGTTTGGCAGATACCCCTACAACATGTCATATATACCATACAAAATGAAATGAAATGAAATGAAATGGGGTTTAACGTCCTTCTGTTCTGCTCCTATACTGCCTGGGCTAATGAAGACGGGCATATGCCATACAGTGTGCTATGAGGGGAAATTTTGCCCGGGCAGCGGCACTATCGCCTACTCTTATATCGAATTCCAAATGTATACACGGGACCTCAGTTTTTCGTATCATCTGAAGGACTAGACAGCAGTCCTTGTCAGGCCCTCCGTCCTGCATCACTGACAAGGGGGAACCACGCTGGAAAATCTGGATGAACTTTCTCGGCCAATGCAGGGATCAAACACCCAACCTCCAGGCTAGCGAGCCAGCGTCTTACCCACTTAGCCACATGATCCCCTATGTACCATACAAGTCTGAGATCAAAACCGTAACAATTGACTCAATGAAATACCTTATGATCTAACCCATATGCACTAGACCACCCAATCCACAAGATCTAAGAATAAAACACTGAAGATCGATCATCTTGTCGGAGGAGATCAAACAATATAAGGTTGAGCTATAACATTCTGAGTACCGTATCTGTCTTACATATTTTTAATTACTGATAGATGAAAGATGTTATATACCTGCTACAACTGTACTGTGTGACAGTATGGAAAGTGATGTAACAGGGCCAGTTTGATAATCAACAACCAAATACATATCAATATCCATTTTTTCCTTTTCACTCTGCGCCATGTCCCTATATTATACTGATAAATATAATAAACAAGACATCTGTTAAACTGAAAATAACAAGCCAACAGTGAGGCTGATGTCCCCCGCCGAAATTGCAAAATAAATAGATGACACATATTAATTAATCGCACATTTATTTTTTTCACTAAGTTTCATCACTCTCTATCAGATAGAATCAAGATTATCTTGTCCCAAACCATCGACAAATGAAATCGATTAGCTCTGCTTAGCTTCAGCTCGAAATGTTAATTATTGAACTCAGTCAAGACATTCACCTAATGAACATCTACATATACATCAAGTTTAAACATTCACCTAATAGACACCTATGCCAAGTTTGAACATTCTACCTCAATTAGAAGGAGAGTTATTGTGTTCCAAAGTTTCTACCAATCAAATTGCTTATCACTCTGCTTACCCTCAGCAAAAAATGTTCATTATCGAACTTAGTTAAGGTATTCATATAATAAATCTATACACCAAGTTTCATCAATCTCACTTAATTAGAACTAAAGTTATCGTGTCCCAAAGCATCAACCAATCAAATTGCTTATCTCTGCTTACCCTAAGCGGAAAATGCTCATCTTCGAACTCCATCAAGGCATTGACCTAATCAACACATACACCAAGTTTGAACATTCTAGCTCAATTAGGAAGAGAGTTATCGTGCCCCAAAGTATCAACCAATCAAATTGCTTATCTCTGCTTACCCTAAGCGGAAAATGCTCATCTTCGAACTCCATCAAGGCATTGACCTAATAAACACATACACCAAGTTTGAACATTCTAGCTCAATTAAAAGTTATCGTGTCCCAAAGCATCAACCAATCAAATTGCTTATCTCTGCTTACCCTAAGCGGAAAATGCTCATCTTCGAACTCCATCAAGGCATTGACCTAATCAACACATACACCAAGTTTGAACATTCTAGCCCAATTAGGAAGAGAGTTATCGTGTCCCAAAGCATCAACCAATCAAATTGCTTATCTCTGCTTACCCTAAGCGGAAAATGCTCATCTTCGAACTCCATCAAGGCATTGACCTAATAAACACATACACCAAGTTTGAACATTCTAGCTCAATTAGGAAGAGAGTTATTGTGTCCCAAAAAGTGTGACGGACAGACAGACGGACGGACAGACGGACAGACAGACGGACAGACAGACGGACGAACCCATTTTAATAGTCCCCTGCTTTCTTCGAAAGGCGGGGGACAAAAATATTAAAGAATAAGTTTTTGATTCAGGAAATGAATGAAATGGAGTTCAATGTTTTCTTGAGACTAATATATGAGTCTATAATTATTATATCCTACGTGTAGTTCATTTAATAACTTGCTCGCAGAGGGTCTTTTAGCAGTGGGGGAAAATAATAGAGAACCCTTGTCTTGTACATTAGTAAGTACACAGACAGGACACAAATAATGGCTCTGGGGGCTAGCAGGAAGCGTCCACTGCACTACATGTACACATTCCTGGGCCTGTAGTGATACAGATTTCACTCAAAATGAAAAAGAAAACAAACATACAGGGAAGTACTCAAGAAAATTAAAGGGGTAAAGTCTAATATTTCATGAATGTTGTCTGATAATGGTGTCTCGATAGAGTCATCATCGGCTATGTATGTGCGCCGCTACAGGAAATCTCAATGTATTGACGAAAAAATCTCCATATCCCTTTCAGGACTAGGTCATTTTGAGACTAACACACTGTTAAATTTTTATTTCAATAATTTCCTTCACAGTCATTAGTTTAACAGTGGGAGTAAACTATATATAATATATATAGAGAACCCAGGGAAAAACGGAATTAAATTGGATAGTCAACCCTACTCAATTGTCACGTACAAGCGGGGAATCGATACCATGTCACTTCTCAATGACAAACTTAATTACCAATCATCTCTCAACTAATTACCTAAACCAAACACAAACTATTCAGTCAGTCACCCTACCAACCACCACCTCACTGTCAATGTCATGCACGAGGCAGCAGACGGGTTAGGCCCAACTTAAAATTGTATTCTCTAGAATATCTGATGACTTTTATTGAACAAATTTATCTTGTACTTTTTTATAAGCACCTTGTTGATATGGATAAAAATAATATGCGCAAGGTCAATGTGTTATATACAGACAATACATTGTTCATTGTTGACTATTTACTGTCAACAAACCAACCCACGTGAGTTTTTCATATTTTAATCTGTAACAAAATGCTATTATAGGAATGGACCAAGTCGCTGATCTTATTTATCGAGTCAACTCGTCCAAACATTATCAGAATTTTAAAAAAAATATATATATATTCTAAGATTGTTTTAGTTGAAAATATTTCTAGGAATATATACTTTTTATATTGAAATTGGTAAATTCAAATGTTTATTATTTCTACAACAAAACTGTTTGGTTTGTAGTCTTTTCCGGCGAGTTGACATAAACTAGGCCAACATCCGCTTTGGCGACTTTGATTCCCATTTTACTTGAAGCCGAGTTCTAGATTTACGGAAAGTAAACTTCCGGTATAGAAAAACTAGAACAATAAAGCGGGAATCGAACTTATTTCGTAAACATATACGTATATATTTCTGTCTATGATCTCTGTATTATAGGTGAGCTTTACAAAAGGTTTATATTTAAGTCCATGCCATTAATTTTTTTAGCCGAACATTTAATGCTGTATCAAACTGGCTTGAAATACGTTATTTGTCGTGTAAAATTTCTAAAATCATCGACGCTACAACTGGCGTTCTCGTTAGTATTGTGCATGACATTGGTATTAAATAATTGGATCAGTCAGATCATATCCATAAATTATGGTCCATATTTGATTCTGTTTGTTTGCTACATCAATTATGACCTGTCAGACTAGTTCAGCTCTGAACGTAGGTATCATTACACTCGGCCTGTACGTTTCAGGGACTGTCCTATTGAATCCTTGGCGAAACTGAAATTGCTTCCCAGTCAATTTTACTGGGCAACCTTTTACTGTTAAACAGTCGCGTGTCAGTCCCTGTGAATGCCTGAACAATATAAATGAACATCTTAGTGAGAAAATAAGACCTTGCTTACATACTGGTCTGGTATGAATGGTCCAATCAATGAAACAACTCTTTACGGTACGCCCTTATCCGACCCACCTTGAATATTGCCATGCTGTCCATTATAAGTACTTCGAAGAGCAACAAAACTGAAACGGCAAAACATTGCAATAAATAATTTGCCTTAGACCCTTAGCATATCTGCTATTTACTTATAATTTCTATTGTAGTTAAAATGACTGATACACCAAGTGAATTTAAGATTAAGGAACCCCCATCAGATGGGATAACTGCTACAAAATTTGGACCAACATCAAGTCAATTTCTACTAGTATCTTCATGGGACACTACTGTTCGTCTTTATGATATTATTGCCAACAATCAGAGAATGATTTATAACCACTCAGATCCAGTTTTAGACTGCTGTTTTCAGGTAATTAAGAGCATGTAGTAGACAGCAGACGCTTTCCAGCTTGTTATTCGAAATAAAAATAAAGTGCTGAGTCTACAGTTTTTATTTCGAATAACAACCGTGGAAATAGGTTGCTATCTGACTTACACATCGACACACACTATAAAGATAATCGCCAAATATCAACCGCTGCTTATTTCTTAGCAAGTGAAATTTAAAGCATGTGGCCATGATTATTTGAGGTTAACATTACTGCAGTAATCAACCTCTAATGACTTTACAGCAGGTTGATACGAGGAATAATCACCATAAAATAAAACCTCAATAGTTGCAATTTGAAATATAGTCTGGATGTATGTTAGTTTAAACAGTTTAATGTTTTGAAGTGAAATCGAAGATTCAATTGCAGTGCACTGATGTAGGAGGTACATGCAGATTGTTCATGTTAAAAAGTGGTGTTTGTTCTACATGTAAATGAATTTGAAATTTATTATTGTTTCTTATTTAATAAATTTGATGTTATCTTTTGTATTCTTTGTAATACCTCAGTAAACAGTTAAATTGGTTTTATGAAAAGGAGAATACAACTTCTAGTTGTTTGAACTGAAGAAAAACATGTGAACATACAACTCTGCCATGTATCAAGTCATCTCCCCTTTTTGTCAGTTATGGAAATTGTAAACCATGTGACAATCCGTAAAGCAAATTAATATTCATTCAAATAGATGGACTTCTATAAATGGATGGACGTCTCCTATAGAATCTAGCATACTACTAATAATCCAGGAGATGCTGGAGCGCCAGAAACTATCTTAAGAACATTTTCATAAAGATTATTTTTCTTTTTGATTTCTAATATTATTTTTTTTAATTAATGAATCTATTGAAAAACCTACTTGTTGATCTGGTTATCAAGATTAAAAAGTTAAAAATATATAACCGAAACTATGTACAAATATTAATTGTAATAAGGCTCTATTCTAAATTTTAAGTATATTTGTTACTTTTAGGATTCTGTTCATTCATTTAGTGGTGGAGTTGATAATACATTGAAAATGTATGATTTTAATACACAATCTGGTAAGTATAATTATTAAAGGAAATATTTCTTCACCACATCATATTTTTGTGGTAGTATTGGTCTTGTTAGAAAGCACAACAATCCCAGAGAACAGGCATGGCCAAACATAGTCGATATTGGACCTGTAGTCTACGAAATGAAATGAAATGGAGTTTAACGTCCTACTGTTCTGCTCCGAACTGGGCTAATGAAGACGGGCATACACCATACAGTGTGCTATGAGGGAAATTTTGCCCGGATAGCTGCACTACAGCCTACTCTTATATCGAATTCCAACTGTCAAGGGATCTTTTACGTGCATGCCACCTCAGTTTTTGGTCCCATCCGAACGACTAGACCGCTGTCCTTGTCAGGACCTCCGTCCTGCATAACTGACAAGGAGGAACCACGCCGGAAAATGTGGCTGAACTTTCTCGGCCAATGCAGGGATCGAACACCCGACCTCCAGGCTGGCGAGCCAGCGTCTTACCCACTTAGCCACCGTGACCCCCTGTAGTCTACGAATATCAGTGGTTCATTCCCATATTTGTAAATGACAAGGAGTAGGTTCTCCACAAATTATTAGATAAAACAAAGACTACATTTATTTGTTTGCTTTTATGATCAAAATAAGTCATGTCTATTCATAAAGGGTGCCTTTTGTCAGGAAAGTTTAAAACAATTCTAATACAATCTGAAATAATTCATGTAGTCAAAGTTAGATGGAAAACCTGAAAACCAACAAGTTATTGCAAATATTGCATCATGTTAATTTAGTTTTTATCTCAGAAAAAATATAAATCCTTACAGTTCACCCAATTGTGGATACTGTCCAAAATTAACCAATAAATCAATTTGACTGTAATGTAAACATATGTTTTATTTTGGCTTGTTTTCTATAGAAACTATAGTAGGAACACATGACAAGCCAATAAGATGTGTAGAATATGGTGGGGATGTTAATGTAGTAGTAACAGGAAGTTGGGATTCAACTGTTAAATTATGGGATCCTAGAACACCTTGTTGTGCTGGATCGTTTACACAACCTGACAAGGTATATACTCACTTTTGTTAATCATATTGATACTTTTGTTAATTTGATTGATATCTTTGTTAATTATATTGATACCTTTGTTAATTATCTTAAAGATAGATTATGGGAGATTCGATAACGATTTGGCAGTTCTCACTATAATAGTTAAAAACTAGATAATGTAAAGGCAATTTGCTGAAAATTTCATTCAAATTGAACCACTATGAACCGAGAACTAAGCAGTTGAAATTTCCGGCTAGCCTTGATCATCATTACTAAAGTCAGTACGATAAACAGCATAATCTCGATTATTCATTTAATCGTTAAATGGCTAAGGAAAGTTATGCAGTAAATCGGCTCATAATCCACTAATGATCGCAGGCTAGCGATGCCATCTAGAGTTGATTATGGTCTGGATAGGTTAATTGATGTCTAATTAATAATTTAGATAACATTTCAGGCCTAAAGAAAGACCTGCAATAGACAAATTTAGCTCTTGCATAATGTATGTTTAATACTTTTGTTAATTAGATTGATACCTTTGTTAATTAGATTGATACTTTTGTTGTTAAATTTTAAAGAACATTGTAATTTCCATATCTAGCGTTCTAGTAATTTTGATATCTTTTTGCTGATACCATGCAAACAATTGATTATAATTATAGGTTTATACACTATCTGTTGCTGGTGATAGATTAATAGTTGGAACTGCTGGTCGTCGTGTCTTAGTGTGGGATCTTCGTAATATGGGTTATGTACAACAACGTAAAGAATCCAGTTTGAAATATCAAACTCGATGTATCAGATGTTTTCCTAATAAACAAGGATATGTTCTTAGTTCTGTAGAAGGTAATTTTCATATTTGATAATTATTTTATCATATTTATAGTTCACAAAAGACTAATATTATCTAAGCTTGCTTTAAGATGAAACCAAAGTTTGTTATCAGATTTTAGAATTTACATTTATAAATATGTTCCTGTCTGAAAGGATGGAGTCTTTAATGTTTTTCATTTCTACTTTTGACATTTTCTGATCTTCTGACAAAATTTGTGATTCTTCTCCCTCAATAACTATTTGCCATGAACAATTGCTTTCATATTTAAGTATTATTGGTCTTTAATGTTTACAACTATAGTTAAATTAAAAATTTATTTGTCTAAATTTCGAAAACCTTTAAAAAAAATTTGTGTTATACAGAAAGATATATTTTTCATGGAAATATTATTTTTTACAGCTTCTTCAGGTCAGGACAAAGAATTGTTTACCAACTAATGTTATATTTGCTATTTTTTCCTTCAATAGGACGAGTAGCTGTAGAATATTTAGATCCTTCACCAGAAGTACAGAAGAAGAAATATGCGTTTAAATGTCATCGTATTAAGGAGAACGGTGTAGAGAGTATTTATCCTGTTAATGCTATAGCCTTTCACAATCAATATAATACATTTGCTACTGGTGGTTCTGATGGCTATGTTAATATCTGGGATGGTTTCAACAAGAAACGACTTTGTCAGTTCCATAAGTAAGTATACAGTGTAACAACCTGTTCTTATGTTAAAAGATGTTTTTTATAAGCTTACAATTCTTCTCTTGTGTCTATCTCTGAAAATTCTTTACTAATTCCAGTTCGTGATATCCACCTTCCAAATACAATGGCTAATTCAACCTTTGCTTTCATGAACTAGTATTTGTGTTTTAACTGCGGATTGGTGCGAGGCAATGACAGGCTACAATACAAATCACTGCTGTACATGCAAATGAAATGCATTATTAAAGTGTACATGTAATGTCTCTATACCTTGGTTAAATTTGCCACATAAGTTCAGAATTGTACATCAATATTTTGTGGATCTGCTGTCCCAGACAGTGAAACCATTGTTGTCTACTGCAATGCTTAATGTTGTCTAATTGTTTAAGAAATAATTATCCTTTTATTGATCATTTATGAATTATGAATACAAAGTTATATTTTTCAGTGGTTTGTTTGTTTCAAGAAACCTATAAATATGCTATGTTGTTATATTTTATCAGATATCCCACCAGTATATCATCCCTGGCCTTTAGTAATGATGGATCAGTACTGGCTATTGCTTCATCTTATATGTTTGAGAAAGGACAGTTAGACGAAACACCAGAAGATGAAATCTTCATCCGAAACGTCAGCGACCAGGAAACAAAACCAAAATCTTGACTAGCAATGTCTTAATTTCATATCATTCATCAACACATTAAGTCAGAATATTGTATAAATGGGAAGGTTTGAGATATAAATTCATGTAAAAAAGTGTATATTTTCATTCAATTACTATTACATTTTCATCCAATTACCATTACATTTTCATCCATTTATCAATATTGTAGTTTAGTATGAAAGAACATAAGTTAAACTGAATGAAGTTCTAAATATTTTGAAAATAATTATTTAAAGAAATTTATTCTTGGGTTGAGTTAAGATGGAGAAGAGGAACCAAAACATTCAAATTTGTGATAGTGAATAATATTTGTCTCAGGTTTCTATTTGGGTTGCTAGACTTCACCTGATGGCATCATGGAATTATACAATTAACTGTTGTACTTTATGAACATTGATAAAAACAAGCTGTGAAGTCGTTTGTGTCATTATCAACTCCTAGTAAATTAAAGGGCATATGGTTCTATTTTTTGGAAGCATAAATAGGTCTAAAAGCACATATTAATTTAATATGAGTGTATATATAAAGTGATTAATATTCAATTTAAAAAAAAAAATTGTAAGTTCTAATCAATTAGTGAAATACTAAACAGTCCAAAAATGAATGACAGTCGTTTACGCCTGCTTCGACTGTCCTAAACGTTTTTTTTTATTATTATTGTATCATTTGTGAATCAGCCATTACTATTTACTGTCGCATTGTAATTTAGGATATGTTTTTCTGTGTTCATTGATTTTACCCCAAACAATATGTACATGACTGGTGTACCATATTTTAAAATGTTAATTGTGTCTTAAATATTGGATATTAGGATCCCACATTTTCACGGCAACATAACAACATCAATATTGATTAAAAGGGATCAATATTCAATTCTAATTTGTGTTTTTAATTTCGAATATTATGGAAAATATTGAGTTAGAGACTTTAATTCTGTCAAAATTTGTCGGAAAATCAAAGTGTTAATTATTGTTAAAAGATGTTTTTATTATTAAATGCAATGTACATTAAATATATTAATGATTATATTTAAATTCTTTGAAGTTATGCATATACATGTATGCATACCACATAGTGGACCCTTTATTATTAAGAGGGCTGTAACATTTTGCAGTTTATAGAAACCCTGGAGAAAAGGTTGGATAGGTTACCCCCCTTCTTGACATATATAAACATGGGATGGAACTTATAACTTGCATAAATGACTGACCTAATAATCATCCACATAACTTGTGATAGATTTACTTCTCGTTCCCCCTCGCCTGTAATATAATCCTATTTGATAGACCCATGAACACACCTGATTAATCATACTGCACACAGTGATTCATCTACTTCATACCTGGAGAACACCTATTCTCTCAACGGCCGGTATCATTGTCTTTCGCAATTTGTGTGGAGTAAGCACCGCTATGGGGTCTAGCAACTATTTGTTTAGGCTTAAATTTACTTATGCTGTCGAGCCTCTTTATCAGAAAATCGCCCAAAGCCAGACATACACTGTCAGATTTGGTTGAAATCAGTTCTTTTGGAGAAGAAAGACAAACACGCACAAAAGGAGCCGAACCTATCATAATCGATCCCTGTCGTGTGTCGGTCCGCAACAGTGCTGGTGAACTTCATTAGAACCAAACGAAGGGGCATCACAGAAGAATGTGCTGACGTTCATCAAGTTGATTAGTGGAACATGCCTAAATTAGCACCGTTTTTTTTCAAAAAAATTGACCAAGGGGGTGTGGGACAGGGTGAAAAATATAACTACCTATTATATAAATTATTTATTCAATCAATAATAGATTTGTGTATTAAAAAAATTGTACAAAATGTAATTACTACAACTTATTGCTTCTTAACTAATATTGTATACCTAAGCACTAATTCTAATACTGTAATACAATAATAATAAATGGTACATATTAAAACAAAAGATTCAGCATTAGTTAATTGTAGATATCATAATTTGAAAAAAATATAGCCGAATTTCTTCTTTAATTTTTCTTCTATAGATCAGTCACAGCTTTTTGGTAAAAGGACATTTCATGAAAGAAGTTTTCATTTCAAAAAAATATCCTCTTGAATCATTCATGTTGGATCCGATTACAATACATGTATATTAATTACTGATGAAAATTATAGAATCCATGCATATTCAAAGAATTTATTATTAAAATTTAGCTCGACACACATTTAATTGTTGGGTTTTTTTGGTACATTTAAATGAAGTTACATTGTATTCCTTGTCGCTGTAATATGAGTCCCAGTTGTGTGGAGATCTTTTTTTCCGAATTTGTTCGCGTAATTATCTACTAATATATTTCGAGTTAATTGCTATATACAGTGCGGTCCTCCCGCATTTACTATTGGATCCCAGTTTGGGTCTTTTAGATGCTGAAGCTATACAGTCTAAAGTTTGAATTTCAGTTTTCCACAAAGCTATACCGTCTAATGAGCCTAATACAGTCTCACAAATTCCGTCTCTAATGTGTGGGCTTCAAGCTAAACCTTTTTAAGTATTATAAGCTTACTGCAGATTCACAAATTCATCTAGATACAGTATTAGCTCCAGTTTTGCGCAAAGCTATACCGTCTAAGTATGAACTTACTATTTAGACCCACAAACTCCTCCCCCAGTCGCTATACCATCTGAGCCTCCGTTTTCCGGAAAGCTACATCGTCTACATGTAAGTATAACTTACAACAAATTCCACCCCTTTTGTCACTATACCATCTAAAGTATGAGCCATACCGCCTAATTATGAGCTTACTACGGACTCAAAAATTCGGTCTCTAACGTATGAGCTACAATTTTCCGCAAAGCTATACCGTCTAAGTATGAGCTTACTACAGACTCACAAATTCCATCTCAGTGGCTATACCATCTAAGTATGAGCTCTCAATACGTATCAGATCTTTTATGTGTAAAAAGCTATACCGTCTAAGTATGAGCTTTAAACTAGATCTCGATCTTAATTAAGTTATGAGCTATACCTTCTAAGTATGAGCTCAGTTTGTGAACAGACATATTTACCTTAAAATACGTAACTATACCATCTAAGGATGAGCTACTAAAACACCAAGTACAGATAATGAGTTAAAAGTGGTGCTGGAAATATCAAATCTTTTGAGGGTGAATTTCACCAAATTTCACTTGAACCAATGAAGTTTGCTACAAAATGTATACTATAGGGTTTTGTGTGGATTAGAAATAACTCTAAGCCTGAACTCTTGTTTGAGATTTAACAATAATCGGTTGTTATAATACCGCACTGATGTGTATTTCTGTAAAGTAAAGGTCGCACTGCAAAATTTTCGAAATCCCGATTATTTGTTAAACAGTCCACAAGAAACAGACTGTGTTGAATATCAAGTGGCTTCTTACGTACGAAAATTTTGTTTGGAAGATAAGTTAATCTGTACAAAACGTGTTAGTGTTCTTGTTGGTATTGCTGTCTGTTCTGGTTGATTGCTTTAAATCCAAAGCAACTATGCCATCTTAGCATGAGCTACGGAGTGTAACATCAGATTAGTTCACGACTATCAGACATATGAGGGCAATGGACAACCCAAGTACAGCCATAATATGGACGAATAGGACGAATTTCTTTATTCCAATATTCTGAAAGATTTTAAAAGGAATACGTTTAATATCAGGAATATGTGCACCGTGTAAACATAAACTTGAACTGTGCAAGGCTAAAACAGACCAATTAAAATCACAACACGAAATGCTTTTAATCTGATCAGATTAAGTTTTGTTAACTTTATACTTCCTTATAAGGCTAGGCCCATTTCTTCAACTTACTGGGGGGAGGGGGTCACGTGGCTAAGTGGGTAAGACGCTGGCTCGCTAGCCTGGAGGTCGGGTGTTCGATCCCTGCATTGGCCGAGAAAGTTCATCCCGATTTTCCGGCGTGGTTTCCCCTTGTCTGTGATGCAGGACGGAGGGCCTGACAAGGACAGCTGTCTAGTCGTTCGGATGGGACGAAAAACCGAGGTCCTGTGTACAAATTGGCGTGCACGTAAAAGATCCCCTGGCAGTTGGAATTCTATATAAGAGTAGGCCGTAGCGCCGCTGCCCGGGCAACATTTCCCTGTTAGCACACTGTATGGCGTATGCCCGTCTTCATTAGCCCAGTTTAGGAGCAAAACAGCAGGACGTTAAACCCCATTTCATTTCATTTCATTTCAACTTACTGTGGACGGCCCCTTTCTCCAGACTGCATTTGTCTACTTTTTAGCAATCCGATTAAAATACAGATCTACATTTCGTTTCGTTTTTTTATACTTTCGATGGCCTACACTACGTGAAGATCTGACAAATTGTATTCACAGGTCGTGTCAGGGGTCGTGCGAGTGGCGTTTGACCCTATGACGTCAGACATTAATTAATCAGCGTTGACGTTTCTAGTGGTTTACCCACAATTCCGTGCATGGCACGCCAAGAAGTCGCCGTAACAGACCGTTTCATTGGCTTATCTCTTACTTCAACCAAAACGCCGGTAATATAACAACTCTTCCAGATCCAGATGTTTGTCTTTTCTTTCGGTTTTACGGGGTATGAACATTTTGTTGATGCTATGCTCATTGCTCGAAATGACAATTATATATTTACTTAGATTTAGCGGTTGATAACTGCATTGACAATTACATACTTATAGAGATCTAGAGGTGTTGTTAGATCAAAATTATTTACTTACTCAACTTCAGTGTTTAAGGGGTTCTTTTTTTTTTCGATATTTAAAGTACATACTTACAGTGGTAGGGGAAGGGTTTGGCTTTGTCTTTGTTTTTTCCGGAGCATCGACCGCAGTCATCTCTAAGTCTATAGCTTGACTATCTGTAAAGATATTACAATAGTCTATTATTTAAGATTCGTAAGTTATCGCAAGCAAAATAATATGAAGCACGAAAAAAGAAATATTATCTATAAAGTTTAAAGTAAATGAAGACGAAATGCCGGCATTTCAGTGATATTTAAGGTAATACGGTGAGAAATTAATTGAGCTTTAAAAAGTAAATTATTTCCTTAAAGATACATTCCCACAAAAGTATAGTAATTTTGGTATATATGGAAAGTAGAGATATCCAATCTCGCTAGAAAAACACTGGATTCCCTGAAAAACACCCATGGCGCGCATACAGGACAAAAATGTAAGTGCTTCCCTAACCGGCAATCCGACGATTAGACATGGCTTCTCGAGTGACGTCAACGGTTGCACGCGAAGATTGTTTGATTTCTCAGCGTTTGTGAGCGCTTGATGTATATGTTGATAAACTAGATTTATGAGATAAAAACCACGGAAAAAGACGTGGGCAATGGATAATCCGGGAATTTAATTAGGCTTCGATATTCATAATAAATGGACATCAATGAAAGAACTCCGTCGGCTTCGCACCCGTTGCTAAGTACCGCGTCAGCCAAGTCACGTGACACACATATTACCTCTTTTAATATATATTTTTATAGCAGGGGTATCCCCTTGCGAATATAATGTTTGGGAAGGATTTGAAAGAAAATTCAAATGGCTAAAATATGACTGAAGGGATCTCTTACCATGTCTTGGGATATATGGGATTAGTTCCATTAGTATATAGGCTAGAGATACCCACACAGCATACGCTGTCAAAATATGTAGACTTGATTCTGGTAGCTCCAACTTGCTTAACTGGACACCAAAAAATATGCAAATAACTGAAATATAAAAATTAAAATTCATTCGTTTATAATCTTTAAAACACCATAAATAAGTAAGCACGTTCTAGCAATTACCTATGTTAACTATTGAAATATGTTCTTACCCTAGAAAAGTTATTGTTTACTTTATCTTTGGTTGACATATTACAAATCAATTATTGCCCAGTGATCTTACTTGATCTGCCAGTTCGCGGAACAAAATTCGAAGCAATCTGCTGGGCGTACATGTCAGAATTCGATTTCAGGAGTTTCTAGTGTCATTGGTAGAGTATCATAACCGCGTTTACCTGCTAGGACATAAGAGCCGGTGCCAACAGCAAAATGAGCCCTGTTAAACAATGGTCTGTACGGAGTGCCTGGACCAGTCCTAAAGTACGACATAAAAGCCTGGAATAAAGATTCATAAATGAGTTAGCATTATTGTTTATTACATTATATCTTTTTAAATCTTATTTATGATATTATTTAATTACTAACAGAGGAAAACTTTTTATTTCGAATTATGATTCAATCGACAGTGCTACATATAAACGCTCTACTCTTGGTAAGGATGAAATTATATCCAATCACAGATCTGTAATCACTTTATTTGGTACTCCGTGTGGATCTGCCCTTGTTATATTGGATACCTAAACTACATAAAAATCCATAAAAGCAACGTTTTATAGCAGGTTTTTCATCCCGTTGTTCCACATAACCACTTTCAAAAGTATTGACATCCCTACTAACGACAGTTAAAGAGGGTATTCAAACATACTGTGACAAAATATACTCTCGTAGTGGTATTAATCAAATGTGGATATTAAAAAGTTCCAAACAATTATTTGATGGTTTGCAATCCAGATCACTTGCTTCAGTCTTATCTATACAAACGTTTGACTTTTCTACTTTGTACACTAAAATTCCCCATACTAAATTAAAAGCTCGGTCAAAAGACATTATTCACAGTGTTTTTTCATCTAAATCAGGAACTGTTAGATATCAATATTTAGTTGTTTATTACAATTCCACATATTTTGTTAAGAACCATATAGTGATTCCAAAAATAAATTCATCGCCAACAAGATCATTCAGATGTTGGATTTTTTAATTGATAATATCTTTGTTGAATTTGGAGGGGAAATATATCAGCAAGATTAGTGGTAGGTATCCCCATGGGCACCAGCTGTGCACCTTTGCTTGCTGATTTGTTTCTATATTCTTACGAAGCCGATTATATACAGGCACTCGTAAAAACAAATAAACGATCAGTCAGACATTTTAATTGCACTGATCGATATATCGATGATATTCTATCACATAATAACCCCAAATTTAGTGATTATGTAGAATTCATATATCCTGATGAGCTCGAAATTAAAAATACTACTGACAGTGACAATTACTCTTCTTACTTGGATCTGCGTCTCGAATTTGACAATTGCCATAAATTGAGTGTTAAATTGTACGATAAACGTGATGACTTTGATTTTCCGATTATTTACTTTCCATTCATTAGTAGTAACATTCCAATATCACCAGCTCATGGAGTGTTTGTGTCTCAGCTAATTCGTTACGCGAGAGCTTGTTCCTTTTATTCTGATTTTTTTCAGTAGATCGAGGCATTTGTCATCTAAGCTTCAACTACAGGGATACTTGCACACTAAACTTACAAAAACCTTTAAAAAGTTTTATGGCCGTCATATTGACTTGATTGGTAAATATAACATGTATCTTCCGGCTATTATTCCAGATATATTTAATTGACGCGTATACTATCTCCCTGATTTTGTCTACCACATCGTTAACACTGTTCATCACGTGCATTTTTCATACGGATGGTCCATTGGCCAATCACGCTATTTTACCGAGATTTCGTCTTATGCTTTGGATGCAGTTATGTCGGGTGCGGCGCCAGGCAGGGTAAGCTTACTCTTCCGGACACCTGTTACCACTGTTTGTCGTGTATTTTGTACACGGTGAACTGACAATTTGCTGATTACACCATTTTGCCTATACCATTTTTTTAGGACTTCGAATTTTGTCTAATGGTTTGGATTGTTCGTACTTGGTTTTATTTTATTTTTACTTACATTTCCGTAAACCATAATAGTCACTATTATTCCAATTATAGGATGAGCTTTCTTGTAATTGTCGCCAATAATCTATAGCAAAAGAAATAACAATGTAGCACGTAAATGCTGAATAGTGTAAGAATGCTCTGAAGAGAGTAACATTTTGATTTGGGCCAAACTAAAGTACTGAGGGTGGGTTTTCACAAAAAAATGAGTAATGTTCGGTACGATTAAATTTCTAATTGAAAAGATTAAACGCAAATTGGCATGTTTACTAATATCTTTGTTTAATACTTAGATCTTTATTTTGAACAACGAAATGAAATGGAGTTTAACGTCCTATTATTCTGCTCCTACATGAAGACGGTTATTTTGAACAAGTGGGTAATAAATCATATCTGTTGAATCCCGATCATTGGATTCCAATGGGCTTTCGGAAGATCAAAACACAGTAATTTCAAATGAAACTCACTTGGCTGTAACCTTTATTATCGATAAATACCAAAATAAAACCAATTGACGAAATCAATAATGTTAAAACCATACTCCAACGATGAATCTGAAAATACATTACAAATTGATCATGAAAACCAAACCGATCGTTTACAATGTGGTAAAGATCACTTCATGAATATAATCAAAGTTGAAAGGATCCAAAACTATTTGATTAGGTCAGAATATAGTTTGGAATTAGGTGAATATAATTTGTTGTTACAGATGGGACAAGTTCAAAATAAGATTAAATATTTGTTTGTAACCATTAAGCAAAAGACACCTTATTAACCTTATTTAATTTCAACTTCACTTTTGGCTTCCTGTGTTGACGGCGGAACACACACACTCGTATTTCTCAACAACAGCTATTATCTTTCAACGGAGACAGATTGTCACCTCTGACAATAACTGCATTACAATACAATGAAATGAACAATTTTATTAAAAATTTGTGATCTGTATCGAAACGTTTTAGTCATTTTAAATATATATTTTAGACAAGGGAAGAATTATTATACCTATCCCATACCACCGATTCCTTTCAGTCGGAGGCTGTCTGTAACGCGCGACTTGAAAATATATTAAATAATATTGTAAGCTTACCTGAATCCATACCTTCTGACCACCAAGAGATGAGTTCGGCCAGAAAGGTTTCAAATACCGAGCTGTTATCAACCCAATTGCTGCACTAACCATCCAGGATATGACCATAAGAATTCCTGACAAAATCGCAGAAAGTTCATTCAAAATTAGTGAATCTAGTTTTGCTATATTCCAACGATTCTTAAATCGCATTGCTGGATCTCAATGCCAAAGCGGATGTCAATCCTCATGTAAACCGAAATATCATAATCTACTCTGCGAGCAGTTAGGCCTATCTAGATTATTACAGGATGATATGACTTACGCTGAAGCCAACTCGACAGTTAAGTTTCCAATGCTTTTACCCAAATACATAACGTTACCACGTTGACGAAGTAATTCTATGACCTCTATAAAATAAAATGTCGATGGTATAAAACACTATATTATATTTGTATTGGGTGCAATATTTCAGCTGACCAATCTATTCAGTCATACTGAAGTTTGTATCCAAGGAAGTCGAATATTATATAGAATATACTAAAATTAAAAGATGAGTACTTTGTAATACACCATACCATGATTGGATAGCGCGCTGTAACCACAGGCACTTGAATGGGTTAAAATAAAACTTCTTACTACTGCTTGACTATATATTACAGTATATAGAAGTTTTCTCACCCGCCATGTTGTTTTCACGTGTTCAAGACATTTCGTCTGCTATCATTGCACAATACTCACTAGTTCTAATATTTCCTGTCGTTTTTATTGCCAACGAGACTTTATTTGATCATTATACACCTTCCAATGTAATTGAAGCGTGATCATTTGGTTATTCATATCTTCGACGGACCGGAAGTAAGACGAAATGAGGTTTTAAAACGACGTCATGTTGGGGAAGCCCTGATTTTTGATTGGTCGAGGCGTGTTACTAAAACTAAAATTCGGGGTGGGGGCATATCTCTCGGGTAGACTGGTAAAGTGATAAAAAATTAATATATTTTTGGGGAAAAAAATATTTTGCCCTTTAGTCGGCAAAAATGAAGTGCCCGAAATAAAGAAATAAACCGGAGATCTCCGATCAAGTTTTGGCCGATATCTGCTATAACAGATTTTTCAAGCATCGATCATTATAAAAATGTAATTGTTTCATCAATTTTTCAGAAACCGTTATTTTTTTTTAACTGACTAATAAATTTAGAATATTAAAAATCAGTGTAAAAAACCAGTGTCTAGTGCCACTTTATAACTTCAAAGCTTGACATTTTTCACCCGACAAACACGCATGTTTGTGTTTTGGTGCATTCTGGATCACCCAGTCCCTTGGCAAATTTCGAGTAACGGATAGGTTTATAAAGGGACTGGGTGATACAGACTGCTACAAACAAAAGCAAAAGGGAATTCCTCTGAACTCAGTTCGTCTTACTTCCGGTCCGTCGAAGATACGAATAGCCAAGTGATCACGCTTCAAGTTTGATTTGTAATTAATAATGCTGTAAAATGATAAATTTAATTACATTGGAAGGTGTATAATGATCAAATAAAGTCTCGTTAGCAATAAAAATGACGGGAAATGTTAGAACTATTGAGTATTGTGAGATGATAGCAGACGAGATGTCTTGAACGCGCGAAAAACAACATGGCGGGTGAAAAACGTTCTTTAAGTCAAGCAGTAGTAAGAAGTTTTATTTTAATCCCTTCAAGTGCCTGTGGCTGTAACCCCCTACACACCCCACAAAACGTACACGCATAAAAAAAACTCTTATGAAGGAATAGTTTATTGAAACTAATACAAACCATGAGCTTTCATAAGTGGATATTTAGTCGTAACCATTCCATTATCAGAGACTTTCTGAATATCAATAGGGCCATCTGTTGACCATGTCAGAGAATCAACATGGTCGCTTATTCCGAAATCTGCAATTAAATTTAAAAAATACCGTGTCAGTTTCAAAGTAATAATAGATGAGTTACTTTAGATTACGCCTTGCCTAACACTATCGTCCCCAACAAAGCAATATTGCTAGGAATCTTACCTGCACGGGAATTTCCATAAGTAGCCAACAAATACCAATCGTCATTTAGATCAAAGACCTTGTCATTTCCCTTCACGCTCTTCTCTCGTGTTAACTTGCACTTTAATACACCATCTTCAAAACTAGCTGATTGAAGAACCATACCAATATTAGGCTACAAAACATAAATTAATAACAAGATTTATTTAAGGGGCATTATGTAAGTTTTAGATAAAGAGCTGACCGTTCTCGCTATAATATTTCAAAAATACATAATTATGAATATATAGAAAATTTCATTCAAATTACTTTTTGAGCTAAGTTAACAATGGTTGTAAATTTGACAAGATGTGTGCATTGATCGTTACCGCCGTTCTGGTCATTCGAGTCTAACCGTGCTGAACCGTGCTAATCTACTAAAAATCGGGACCATCCGATGGCATCGGGGGTTGTTTATGGTCTTGTCATGTTAATTAATGTCAAATTAATAATTTATAAAACATTTAAGGTGCATTCGGTCACTGTGACGTCACTGGCGTCTGAGGGGATTAAGAGTGTTTTCGATAATTGGCAAAGTCGTTTTTAGGGAGGTCTATTTTTACGACTTTGAGTGAAGATAACTGAATTAATTTCTATCAGATTGGTGTGAACTTGCCGTAAAGTTGATATAGTAACCATTGGCTACCCGTATCAAAAAGTTCCCAAGCCAATCTTATGTGCACTTTAAGTAATATCTGTTTAACTAAAAACAATTTAAATTAACTCGAACGGATGACTTTACTTCAACCACACTTTTCTAGCGGAAAAACGTCACAGATGTTCGACTACGTTTTTCATGTAACAGTATCCAACTTAACTTACATTTTCAAGTCGCCTGTTTCGTTTGGCAGTTTTATCATTAAACGACTGAAAGGCTTTCACATTACCATCTACAGACACGCATTCAATAACACTGTCATCACCCTAAAATATTGAGAAAAATTGAGCTGTATCATATGAACTTTCTCTGCATTGGCCGAGAAAGCTCATCCAGATTTTCCGGCGTGGTTTCCCCTTTTGATGCAGGACGGAGGGTCTGACAAGGAAAGCTGTCTATTCGTTCGGATGGGACGAAAAACCGAGGTCTCGTGTACACATTGGCGTGCACGTAAAAGATCCCTTGACAGTTGGAATTTGATATAAGAGTAGGCCGCAGTGCCGCTGTCCGGGCAAAATTTCCTTCTTAACACACTGTATGGCGTATGCCCGTCTTCATTAGCCCAGTTCGGACCAGAACAGTAGGACGTTAAACTCCATTTCATTTCATTTCTTTTTGCCCGAAAAATGATAATATATGACTGAAATGTTTACATTGACTGAACTGATCGCATAGTGTATTATTCATCATCACACCTAATTAATAATTATCGTTTACAAGTATCCAGTTTGAGTTTGAGAACTAGACACCCAGAATCAAATTCACAATTTTGGGATTTTCTAAAACTCTGAACTTGTTGGGAATTGCACCACCCAACCTACGGCCAGGATCGTACGTCTATGGTTACAAAGTGAAAGATCCCTTTATGACTTTAAGAGTATGCAGAGAGAGGAGTTACTCATAGGCGTGGTCTTTTACCTATATCAGATATTTGCTGAATAAAAACAATGTATACAAACAATATGTGTAGGATAAAGCACGAGACTGAGGTTATGCTGGGGAAAGAAAGACTGCAGAAAATAACCAGAGAAAAAGAAAAACAAAGGCCGGTAGTTGAGGACTTTATCTTGCTTATAAACCGTCTATGTTTAGATGTACGAAAAATGAGAATATCCCAGAATTCCCATAAGAAAAACCTTAGATCATGTTTTCTTATGGAAAATAACCCTACCCTGGTAGAATAACCTGTTACAGGTTTAAAGAAAAACTTTCAGAAGAATAACCCCAAATATCCAAAGCCTTCCCCGACATTCAGACCTCAAGTTATTCCGGGCATAGAATATACCCCAAAGATCAAAGAGATTTACCGTTACAGGTTTATAAAGTGTGGTATGACATGTCATCAAAACAGCTCCCGTAGGATGCTAAAATTGATTTTTTTTGTTGTTTTGGTTTGATTAGGGACCAAGCTATCCAAAAATGATGGGGTTCAAATTTTCCCACCTCTTTTTGAAATCGGGACCCTCTGAAGGAGAACAATGGCTATCTCGATCCGCCAATAATGGTTGGATTTTTCATGATCTGAAGTCCATTCTCGTGTTTTTTCATCATGCCGACCACATCTATGATACACTTTAAGCGATTGGAAGTAGTTTTTATTGACTTTCGATGGGGAATACCAATATCCGGTGTCAAACTCAGACTGATTTCAGCCAATAATCTTTAGATTTTCATGATCTGAAGTTCATTCTGTTTTTTTCCATCATGCCGACCCCATCTATGATAAACTTAAAGCGAATGAAATTAGTTTCCATTGAATTCCGGTGGGAAATACCAATTTGATATCAAAAACAAAAACAAATCATAACAAGCCAGAAGTCCCCAGAAACGAAAACAACGAAATTCCTATCTTGGAAGTAAATACGCAGTCCACTACAGCAGCGATGCATCATCCTCGTCCCCTTGCACACTCCTGGTCATATTGGTACGCTCCCTATTAAAACCCTTGCAGAGAGATGTACAAGGTCGACCATTATTCCGGAAACTGCACCGCCCCGTGCAGCCTGTTTTACAACAACTTTCTGTTAGTTCAGCTGCCAGCCACTTTGTTCAATGGCAGGAATGTTCGCGGATCTGGTCACGTGCGACTTGACGCGCACAGCTGTGTAATTCACCAATTCAGTAATTATCACGCCTTCGAAAAGTTCTTAAAACAGTTGATTACAGAGTCGTCACCATCAAGCTTATGACATTCACAAAACTTACCTCCCTAGTCAGCACCGAAAGGTTGTGAAATCTATAAGACCTTGACACTTGTACTTCCAAAATGATACGTAGTCGTTTTATCACATGTATCTCTCTGTATTTTACGGCCACTGCAGTGACCTCGAGATACAAAGTCTAGGAGAATTGTGAGGACATCACTATAAACTACAGATGCAACGGAATTCAACCAGCATGAAGTCGATTCGCTTGGTGAATGGCTCTTGTAGGCCAGGGAGATTCTGCATGTTTGATGATTTCTTCATACCTTGACGTACAGCCATAGCATAAATGATGATAACATTGGGTGGTGTATCAACGAGCCTAGCATATGACACTAGTTGAGCCTCTGCTTCTTCAACAGCATATCCAAGCATGTTTGATACAGCAAAGGCTATACCACACAAGGTTCTCGTCATTGAGAAACTCTTAGAACTTGCATCTGTAGCTGAGAGTTACTGGCGGAAAGCACGTGTTTGGTCACGTGGACGCCGATGCCCTCACAATTCTCATGGACCTTATCTCCCGAGGTCGTCTAGGTATTCGCAGTCATCTCAGGTTTGTAACTGAGAAGGCCGCAAAACACAGAGATCGAGAGATAGAGGTGATCGAGGGAGTGCGTGTCATTGGAAGTCATAAGTCTCAAGGTCTGATTGGACTTCGCAACTTCTCTCGTGCTGATTGGAGAGGTAAACGTTTGGGCATCACAAACAAAACAATTAAGGGCTGGTGCATACATGAAGCTTGATGGTGATGACCCTGTTATCATCTGTTTCAAGAAGCTTGGAGAATGTATCATCTCAGCTGAGCTGGTGAAGGGTGACTTGCCTTCGCAGGTCAAGGAATTGGAGAGATTTGCTGCCAAGTCTACTCTTCATCTGTTCCATTAAACTTACCAGCACTTAGTTGGCAATTGTTCAGTTCAGAAAACTTGGAGGGAGAGATGCTTCCACCTACTCGTGCTGCAATGTTGCCCCATATCTCAGGAACAAAGTACATCGCGACACGCGACAAGTCGTACCTAACCAGATCCCTGAACCTTCCTGCCATTTAACGAAAGCGCCTGACAGTTGGACAAGAGCATTTATGTTCCTGTGCAGAATCTTGATCTGCCTGCCCATCGTGCTGTAATTGAACTCACAGAATGTGGTTGTAAAACAGACTGCACGGGGCAATGCAGTTGCCGCAAAAAATAACTGATGTATTTATTTCCAGTTAGGATGTTTCGTTTCTGGCGAAAGATTATCAGCTGAAATCAATCCGAGTTTGACACCGGAAATTGGTATTGCCCACCGGAAGTCAATGGAAACTACTCCCATTCGCTTTAAGTAAATGATAGATGGGGTCGGCATGATGAAAAAAAACAGAATGAACTTCAGGTCATGAAAATCCAAAGATTATTGGCTGAAATCAGTCCGAGTTTTACACCGGAAATTGGTATTCCCCACCGGTAGTCAATGAAAACTACTTCCAATCGTTTTAAGTGTGTCAAAGATGGGGTCGGCATGATGAAAAAAACACGAGAATGGACTTCAGATCAAGAAAATCCAACCATTATTGGCGGAGATAGCCATGTTCTCGTTCAGAGGGGTCCCGATTTCAAACATTCCCCTCAAAGAAGGGCCATAGGGTCGGAAAATTTGAACCCCAACATTTTTGGATAGCTTAGTCCAACATCAACCCAAAACAACAAAAACATAATAATCAATTTAAGCATACAAATCCTACGGGATGATATGTCATTCCACACTAAGATGAACAATCACTGATCAATTTCATAGGCGTACGGGCTCGATTAATGTTGGGAGGGGGCAGAAACTGAAATACCCGAAAAAAAATTCGGGTTGCTGACGCCCCCCCCCCCCCCCCCCACACACACACGAATATTTGAAAAATTGGACTGCCACAAATGCATTTTCCTGCTATCAGTCAGTGAATACAGCAACTTCAAAGTGGTCTAATATAGCCTAACTTAGGTGGGGGACTCGAATTCTCATGAACCAGTCAATCATTTACAGTCCACGAAGAGGGGTCCATCGTGGGAAAATTTTGAAAATTTAAATGCCGCAAACGCGTTTGCATGCTATTCCAGCCCATGAATACAGCAACACACTTCAATGTGATCCAATATAGTCTACCTTAGGTGACTGACCTGAATCCCAAACAATCAATCAATCGTCGCGGGGAATAGCAGTAACTTCAAAGTTTACAATCGTATTGCAGCCGAAATCCCACTCTATGCCGATTTCAATTCCAACCATCCAATCAGACTGTTGGAGCTGCATTCACAAAACATAATCGATGCACGAAAAATGTCGCACAAAGTAGAGTGGCTCCAGACAATCCATAGTCAATTCAGTACAAATTTGTGGTATTCAATTAAAAAAAAGGAAAATTAATGTTTTATTAGATTTCGGGCACTTTATTTTGCTAACTAGATGAAATAATAATTTTTGTTTTCACTTTAATCGTCTGCCCGAAAAGTCCCATTGCCCGAAAGTTAGGAGGACAGCTGACCCCATGCCCCCCCCCCCCGGCTCGTACGCCTATGATACATTTACTGTTCATGTGATATTGTAGCTAATACAAAATCTGTTTCTTTATTTTATATAGCATTCTTTATAAAAAGAATCTCGGATTCTTTAAAAAAGACAAATATTTGTTTTAAAAGTTGAATTAATGGATATTTTGAAAGACAGAGAGAAAATGTTTAATACCATTAATATATCGTCAGATAAAGCTATTGCCGTCCATTTATTTAATTCATTACCAAAAACCATTTCCAACGCCATCTCTATCTTATCACCAACATCTTTCCATGTAAACATGAAATTGCAGCCAGATGCGTCACAATTACCAAAGCATCCGATATCTTTACCACAACCTTCTGGTTTAACAAACTTGTTTACCTATTGATTATAAACCCAAACAGGTCATTAAGATTACATGTATCATTTTATTTTTTAACGATACTTCAATTTCACTCAAATCCTAATTAGTTTACTCCTATAATATAATATGAGGATACAGACCCCGATGATCACCACCTACCTCTGGTAATTTAACAGGCAGCGTTGTTGGAGCTGGAGCTTGTGAAGTCAAATCAGTTAAACCAGAAACAGCAGGGGTTGAAGTTTCAATAGTGAATGGCTTAGACGAATTATCCATAACAACATCAGACAGCACGTTAATCCAAAAGGTCTTTTGTTTAAATACAAATGTTGCCCTTTGCAAAAATAAATAAATAAATAAATAAATAAATAAATAAATAATAATATGGCTGAATGAATTTAGTTTACATGTATATCAGTCTATTTTTCTTGGGAGTTGGGTGACCGAATGGGTAGCGCGTGTGCTTTGGATCATAAGGTCTGTCATTGAGGCAAGTGGCGTTGTTTCGATTCCGCACTTGTACGTAACAAGGAGTATGGTCGCCTGTCCATCCTCGTTTCCTCCCACTGCCAAAGACCCCTTATTATTGAAATAAAATTGAACCATATGTTAGTCCCGAAATGACCCAGTTTTTGCCGAATGGACGTTGAAAACTATACTGTCGCTGTATCAGAAAAGTTCTCCTATCTAGTATTGAGAATTAAAGAAACGGAGTATTGTTGACCAAATTCAATTCATTAAGCTCAAAAATTAAAATTATACCTGAATTGGATATGCCCAGCGGGTGACGGCGGTGGGTTCCATTTAAGCACTACAGGTAACCGCAGTTTGCCGTTCTTATGTGTTAACTGAATATAAGTGATAGTTCATAATTAAAATAAACAAGCCAACGGCGAGGCTTATGTCCCCCGCCAAACTGAAAAAGGAATTAGATGACATACATTTTTTAATTGCATCGAACTTAATCACGGTATTGATGTACTGAAACTATGCTCCGAGTTGTCATAAAAATATACACCCAGTTTTACCACTCTCACCCAATTGAAATCAAAGTTATCATGTCCCAAAACATCCACGCACATGCATAAAATGTTCATAATTAAACTTAGTCAAGGTACTGATCGATGAAACTATAGGAAATGTGCATTATCGAATTTCGTCAAAGTATTGATATATATACGCCAAATGGACACAAATGGGTCGCAACGCATATCATAATATATTATGAATGTATATAGACTGATTTACATTCAATCGTTTCTGGTTCTACCGTAATGTCTAATCAATTATGTTCGGCGAAATACGCGAAGGGTCCAAATTGAATAGCATTCTTTGGCGTCTGGTTATTCCAGTCTACTCCGGTATTATTTTCCCGTGGGGGATGTTTAGCCTTGTTCACCGAGTCGCTTCTTTACAAATGGCGGTCGAAAGATTCCTGGTACGCAATTCGTGTGCCAATTTTAAAATTATCATTTTGTGTTAAACTAGCTATGTCTCTAACTCAATATCATCAAAAATCTTCGACATTGAAAACACGAATTATTTGTCAATTCAAATCAACATTGGTCTTGTGATCTTACAGGGAAAAGATGGGCTTCTGATATTCAATATTCAAGACAAAATAAATATTTTACCATTGGTACACGAATCGTGTACCATAATGCGTTTCAGCGTCATTTGGAACAAGGGACTCAAAGAACATTGCTAGACATATTCCACAAGTCACGTCAAATGGTGACGCTATATTCTTATCTGGAGAGCATGCGCAATAAATACCATCGGTGTACATTGCTAGACATATTCCACAAGTCACGTCAAATGGTGACGCTATATTCTTATCTGGAGAACATGCGCAATAAAAACCAGACGCTAAAGATTGCCATTCACATGAGACTTCTGGCGTATTTCGCCGAACATAACTGATTAGAAATTACAGTAAAAACAGAAACGATTGAATGTAAATCAGTTTATATACATTCATATTACATTATTATATGCGTTGCGACCCATTTTTGTCAATTTCTAGGTCCGAAATAATAGCGATTTAGCTCCTTTAAATATTGGATATCAGAAGCTCATCTTTTCACGCGGTAAGATAACAACATCAGTGTTAATTTAAATTGACCAATAGGTCCCATTGGCAATGTCAAAGACTGTGGATGATATTGATTTAGCGACTTGCCTCCTTTAATTAGAAGAAAGGTTATCGTGTCCCGAAAGCATCTACCAATCAAACTGCGTATTTCTGCTTAGCCTTAGCAGAACATGTCCATCATCGAAGGCATTCACCTAATAAACACCTACACCAAGTTCAAAAATTCTAGCTCAATTAGAAGCAGAGTTATTGTGTTCTAAAACGCGTGACCGACAAACAGACAGACGGGGGACAAACGGGTCGCATTAACAATATTTGATTAGCCTCCATCAGTTCAACCTAAACTATTTTTCTTCGACTTCAACGAATTGCTGCCGATGCTGAAACAATAGTCTCGAATAATTGGGACATTACTAAAACACGTGGTAATAATTAGGAAACTATGGTTAGATATCGCAATTGGTGGAATGTCCTGTCGGACTTTGATAATGGTAATCTCTCTCTCTCTCTCTCTCTCAATGTCCTGTCGGACTTTGATAATGGCAATCTCACTCTATCTATCGCTCTCTCTCCCCCCTCTCTCTCTCTCTCTTAGAGATGAAACACTACCAATTTATCTGACCGGCGCTGTTATTTATAAATACCACTTACGGCATGTGTATTACAGACTTGTTGGGTATTGATTATTGGATCAAACTTTCCAATAAGTTCATCTGTATTTTTGCTTGGATCTGCCCTTCTTGCTTCTAGAAGAAAGCCGGTTATGTTCAATCCTGATTTTGACTCCAGTTTTACTGAAATAATAGAACTTTTAAAAATAAATAATTGACTTAAATATAATGACCAAAATCTATATAAGGAGAAAGATGTCTATAGTGTGTGGACAAGAAGAATCATGCTAGGAAACCAATTGGTCTGATGACCTAGAGCTATACTCAGTCCGCTCTTGTTTATTTTAATTCACTCAAGGCATCATATTAAGAAGAATGGAATATAATTTTAAACATTGTGCATTTTATCCAAAATATACCATTCTTCTCTCTTTTTGAAGCAAACTACATAATTACCTTCAACGGGAGTTCCCGGTTCATAATGATCAGCCGTTAATGTAACAGCATATGGTGACGGCGTGGTTTGTGGATGTGCAACGTGACCAGACGACGGATCCATTGAGTCACACGATTCGTCAGGGGCCCCGTCACTGTAGGCATCTGTTCTAATAATACCTACCAAAAATACTGCTAAATACAAACAATTCCACATGTTGGCTTACCTGAAAACAAAACACTAATCTGATTAAAACACAACCTTTTTCGTTTCGTTTTTTATTGGTCAACATTTCGTTTTACTTGTCTTTACTACAAGAAGCTTTAAAACTTCTTGCTTTACATATTCATGAAGCAATGACCTGAGAAATCCCTCTCTGGCCATTGCTGGATTAGCTTCTGATTTTTGCGCTTTTGAGGGAGTGTGTCTATTCTTACCGTTCAATCAAATCAACCCCCAAGCACAGCAACATGACAGCCCTTCGTTTAATCAGGGGTCTTCCCTAAAACTTTGGAAAGTGATTTAAGGTATTAAACACGGCGAAAGTGTTGTTCGTCTCAAAACAGTATTGTTTACATTATATCCGTGTTGACAGCCTCATTTGTCATGACAATTAGTTTTTCTGCAATATTCTGCTATGCACTGGTTAATTGGGCATAGTAAAATCGTGAGTCATGACGTAACGTTATGTAAACTTGGTCCAATTTGGACCGCATCTTTACAAAACTTCCAACGTCATGAGTCAAAAACCAGTCACAACACGGCCTTAAGACGGCCATAGTCATTAGATCTTTACTAGTTTAAGGTCACACAATTACCGTTGCTAAATTCAGTGTGATTCATTCAAAAGACAATACCCACCTAGTTCCAAAACTGGTTGGGAACACTTTTGGCGATTTTTAGACAAGGAGTAAGTTATGATTCATTAATAACAGACCGACTATCATAATGATGGAAGTCACAACGCCTGGACTAACATGTGAGGGCCTTGAAACATTGTATTGGTTCTGATATTGCTACGATTTGGGGGGGTTTTAGAATGAAAACTGTTGCCTGGCTAATGTTAAATTATGAATTTTTAACAGTAACAGAAATTGTTGACTCCTATTATAAGCCTACCCTTACATGTTCTGTTGCCTACCCTTTTGACGATCATGACTCCATGTGGAAATATCGGAACAAAAACAATTTGAAGTAGATATCGTCTTTCGTATGAAGCATACTTTATATTTAAAGTAAACATATAAACTAAAATAAAGTATGCTTCAGTTGGGGCCTCCGCTACAACCCAAGATATATCCTTCCTTTAATTTAGGAGGGCGCAAGATCCAACACTGGGGAAAGTACCAAAATTTGTCGACCGGAATTTTGTCGACCGGCCTTAGGTGGGATGGTCGCCAGGAAACAACGTAAGGTGAGGTCGGGGGCTTCCTCCGGGCATCGATCCCGGTTACCATATAAGCGAAATAATATTGAGCGCATAAAACATTTTAATGTCCGAGGTAAAAACGTTTCCACCGAGGTGATAAGTTATCATCACCTAGGTGAAAACGTTATCGCCGAGGTGATACGAGGGGTGATTGATAAGTAGCGAGTCTAACACAGAAAGAAACAAGAAATTCAAATCAAATGCATTTATTTTTCAACATAGTCCCCCTTCAATGTAACACACTTCTGTTATCGGTGTTGCAGAGCCTTTATTCCAGTTCTGTAGAAGTCTTTGTCTTGGGTGTGTAGAAAATCATCCACAGCGGCAATGACGTCATCGTCAGACGGGAAATACCTACCGGAAAGACATTTCTTCAGAGCAGGAAATAGATAGAAGTGTGAGGGAGCTAAATCAGGAGAGTAGGGTGGATGCTGAAGAAGTTGAAAACCACAGTCATGGATTGCTGACATGACAACAGCTGATTTGTGCACTGGCGCATTGTCCTGGTGGAAAATCATTCCTTTGGTCAGCTTTCCTCGTCTTTTGGTTTTAATTTCTTGCCTCAACTGTCTTATAAGTGCTGCATAGTATCTACCGTTAATTGTTTGACCCCTTTGGAGGTAATCCACCATGAGAACACCCTCAGAATCCCAGAATACTGAGGCCATCACTTTCCTGCAGATGAAACAGTCTTTGCCTTCTTTGGGGTGGGCGACGTCACATGTTTCCACTGTTTTGACTGTTCTTTTGTTTCTGGCTGAAAGTGGTGGACCCAAGTTTCATCCATAGTAACAATTTGTTTTAGGAAGCGGTCAGGATAGGTTTCAAATAAGGCTAGATTCTCTTCTGACATGATGTGTCTTGAACGCTTTTGATCAGGCGTCAAAAGCTTTGGCACTCATCGTGCTGAAACCTTTGTCATTTCCAAAGTTTCAGTGATAATACCAACTACCCCAGCTATGAATCGTCCAGTAACTCGCCGGTCATTCATTATCAGATCATGGATTTTTTGTACCATTTCAGGTGTTGACACAGTTTTTGGTCGACCAGGGCGTGGTTAATCTTCAATGCTGTCTCTGCCACGCTTGAAATCAGCTGACGACCTTTTAATTGTGGCATATGAAGGAGTATTATCTCCCAATGTCTCAACCATATCATCATGTATGGCTTTCGGTGTTAGACCCTTTTTGTGCAGATACTTAATCACAGCTCTCGCCTCGATATGGTCCATTTTCTGATAACAACAGACCCTACTTGATTGTTATGACCTGTCACAACCAAACAGTTTAACCGAATGTGATGAAAGTTTGTGACAGAGCCCGAGGAACATAATAGTGCACGTGCAAAACGTGGTTATCATTATCATTTTCCAATCAGGCTCACTACTTATCAATCACCCCTCGTAGGTTATCACCTAGGTGAAAACGTTTCCACCGAGGTGAAAAGGTTTTCACCTAGGTAAAAACGTTTCCACCGAGGTGATAAAAACGTTTCCACCAAGGTGAAAACGTTTCCACTGAGGTGAAAAGGTTATTGCCGAGGTGATAAGTTATCTCCTAGGTGAAAACGTTTCCACCGAGGTGAAAACGTTTTCACCTAGGTGAGAACTAAAAAAACAAACCTAAAACTAAAAAACAAAACCCAAAACTAAAAAATATTTATAAGTCGTATATGGGCCACCGTAATTATCTGAATTTTTAAAGATATAATTTAAGATATTATGTGTGGATTTTCAACTCTCGTCTTTATTTTGCTCACTTGTTAAAATGTATATTAAATATTTAAAATAAAGTAAATTTCGACAAGTAGTCAGCGTCTGCTCAAGGTGTTGATTATCTATGTTTCTCAGTTAAACATCATTTCGTGTTCGAATAAGAACGCATTTTACGCGTTCTACTTGCTCATAGTACAATTCTTGTGTATATTTTTGAATGATCGTGGTTCAATAAATGAAAACAGGAATCTTGTTGATGGTTAATATTTCTATATGATCCTGTAAACATATCTTATTTATTTTGCTTCTTATTGTGAACAATATTCAAATGGGAACACATCAATAACAACACATTTGTACACTTATGGATGTTTAATCTGTAATCAACGGTACAAAGTCAGAGGGGTCAAAACCAAAAGTACGACACAGATGTCAGTAGCGCGTGTGTCCTCCGCGGGCTCTTACGCACGCTGTGCAGCGACGTCGCATGGAATTTACCAATGTTTGAAAGAAGGCCTGGGGCAAATTGTTCCATTCTTGGACAAGAGCAGCTTCTAAAGCAGCAATGGTGTGCATCTGTGGTCTCCGATACAGACGGCGTCCAATCTCATCCCAGACATGTTCTATCGATGACATGTCCGGAGACATGGCTGGCCAGTCCAAGACATTGATGTTGTTAGCAGCCAGGTAGTCCATACTAAAACAGGCGGTATGCGGACTTGCATTATCCTGTTGGGAATGCTGAAGTTGTGGGTGCGCTCGAAACATCGGAACAACAATTGATTGCAAGATATCAACACGGTAGGCTACGCAACCCCTGCAAATGTGTAGGGCGGTCCGGTGATGAAATGTGAAGCCTCTCCACACCATTACACTTCCCCCACCCCATCGATTCGTTTCGAAGACGCAGCAGTCTGCAAGACGTTCCCCAAGACGTCTCCACACACGTTGACGGCCATCAGCGTGATAAAGATGAAAGCGACTCTCATCACTGAAGAGCACACTTTGCCAGTCTACTCTTCTCCATGTCTGGTGTCCTTGAGCCCATATCAAACGCCGCTGACGGTGATGATCCCTGAGGATAGCTCCAACATAAGGTCGTCGTGCACGGAGTCCTACTTCTCTTAGACGACGTCTTACTGTGTTGGCACTTACTGGTCCTTGTCTTCCGACGACTGCTGCACCTGTTCGAGTCGCTGGGCGGAATCTGTCACGCAGATGAGTGACCCGGATGTAGCGGTCTTGAGCCTGGGTTGTAACGCGTTGTGGACCAGGACGTTGACGGTCACGTGTTGATCCAGTAACTCGAACACGTTCCACCAACCTTACAATAGTGGACTGATGACAATTGAAGTGTCTGACAATAGCACGTGTAGACATGCCAGCCCTGGACATTCCCATGTCTTCATTCCGTTGATTTTCAGTAAGTCTCGGCATCTCTAGCTCGATTCCTTCACACGTCCAACAACAAATTACGACAGATTGACGTTTCACAGTTCATGTACTACACATTAAGTTGAAAACATGCTTTTAAAGGGCTCATACACAATGCTGCACGTGAATATCGGGGTTTTCATGTGCATCTCGCGCAATTTTTTTTGTGCACACGGGCCGATATTTTTTTGCGTTTGGGAGCATTGTGTGAAACAATAGTTCATAGTATTGCATAATATTATACATACAAAACCACCTAGTAATAAAATATTTGGGAAAAAAAGTGATGCGTTTTCCATGGCGCTCAGTATATATTCTATAAGATCCATTAAAATATAGTTCACTGAATTAAGTATAATGCACCAATAATATACTGTGGCAGAGGTACTGGATTCTAAATTGGCCCCTGAAGGATCGTTGTATTGTCATTGACAGGCGCGGATCCAGGGGGGGGGGCGCACGCCAACCCCTATTTTTTGCGGTGGCGAACAATTTTTTGCCCCATATATTTTCGCGGGAAAGGAATTAACAGTCAGTTTAGGTTGAAAATCGTAATTTACTCCAAAACGAGCCGGTTGGTGGCTTGGTTGATTGCCCTTGGTTGAATAG